CCAACTCATAGTGTCAGAATGACAAACATGCTGACTAGACGCGCAAAAGGTGAGATCAGAGTGTGGGAAATCGAAATTGTAGTTCGTTTCCCTGATAATGTGAAATTCGTTACTGCATTTTGACAGATTTTCAAATGGAAAACCAACATGCGCTTATAATAAATCATATTTTTTTAGGGGTGGGCTTATAATCGAGGACCGGATATAAGCGCCGTCATCATTTTATAAGCGCCGTCATCATTTTATAAGCGCCGGCGCTTATCCGAGGCCTGCGCTTCTATCCGGGGGCTAACGGTAACCACGTTTTGGAACCAATGGGAGAAGGCACCCAGCGTGATTGCTGGGTGACATGCCTTTGACGCCGTGAAGTTCATTCCGCGTATTTTTTTTTTTTATATGCTAAAACCGAAGTACATACTGTTCACATGTCTAGCTTCCATAACACAAGTAATATACATGACCTTATGATAAGACCCGTGTCTTTTATCCAAGGTATTAGGGTACTACACCCAAATGCATTCTACTATTCCGCAGCTATCGTATGTTCCCTGAGTGTTGCAATCAAAGCTATGTAGTGGTTTTAGCAAACATTTCGCCAAAAGCCTTGCTATAGGGGCCGATTTAACCCGATGACATCACATGGATGTCCTATGAAACTCAACAGGCTATTCTTCCCCATGTCAACTGAGTAACGCTAGTGACGGTGAGAAGGGCAGAGGAGAGGAGAGCACAGTGGTGTGTGTGCAGGTGAGTTCAGCAAGCAACAACCAAGCAACCGGACCCATCAAGTGTAGCACCCTAATCTAGGCAGTGGCCTTGGGGAATCTGCTCGCTGAGGCCATTGAAAGCCTGGGCAGGCAAGGGATGAGTTGGTGACTGAAGAAAGTGTCGGGAAAAAAACAACTGGATTGGCATAGCAAGCATGCATCTAGAGAGAAGTAGTGTGGAATAGGGGGGAGTGGGTGCAGCAGGGAGAGACTGATGGAACGCTTTTGAGACGGACGATTCTTGCAGAGTGCGGTAGCATGGAGAAGTTGGAGGAGGTACCGGTAATGAGTGGTGAGCCATGCTGGGCATGGACGATTCCTGCAAGGCAAGCTCTTGAGCGTGAGTGGTGGCCGCTGGCTGGGGAGATCTGAGGACAGCGGGACCGCCCTCCCGCAGGGCAAGCAAGCAGCTAGGGAGTGCTGCCCTGGAGCAGGTGCAGGTGCAGGTGCAGGTGCAGGTGCAGGTGCAGGTGCAGGTGCGGGTGCGGGTGCAGGTGCAGGTGCAGCAGAGAGAGTACACTGCTGCTCTCTGAGAATGATGAATGACTGAACATCGCATAGTGTGCGCCACATTTGAGACACGAAAGTGAGGTCTCAGGGGTCCTCACTCATGGGAAAAGAGGGAGCTCCTTTTAGAAGTAGGATCAAAGGCTTGTAAAAATCGTCCACTAAACTAAGTTGTTAGCTAAAGAGAAGGCTTGCGAATGAACTCGTCTCTTTATTAAAACAAGACAAAGACAAACATGTTTCTTGCGCTGGTGGTCGTTGGTTGGGGAGCAGGTGCAAGCAGAGCGGAGCAGAGCAAGAAGTCAGCCATGGAGCTCTAGCGTGGATTGGGGGGCAGCAGGTGCAGCATGTAGCGAGTGCAACCACGCGCGCTTTGAGCCTGAGAAGTGGACACTGGTTGGGGAGAGCAGAGCGGAGCGGACTTTTGAGTCGATTCAAGAATGAGCCGGAGCAGTGGAGAATGGTTGGGGAGAGCAGAGCGGGTAAACTCCATAGCGGCAGAGCAGCGGGGCAAGTAGTCAGGTAAAGACCGTAGCGGGCCGGCGTGAATGAAGGCGCGCACTTGGACACTTCCCCCACTTCCCCCACCTCCCCCACTTTCCCCACTTGCCCCACTCCCCCCACTCCCCCCACTCCCCCCACTCCCCCCCCCCCCCCCCCCACTTCCCCCACATGACCGTCCCTTCTTCTGTTGACTCCACCATTTTTGAGTCGACTCAAAAGGCACCTTCTTCTGTTGCACTCCACCACGGAGAATGGTGGTCACTAGGGACTGCTGTGTCGGCATACCGAGGGGCGTCCACCTGCCACGTGTCCAGCTCTGCGCCTGCTGCTATGATCGTTGGTTGGGGAGAGCAGAGCAGAGCAGAGCAGCTAGAGTGGAGGGAGCAGGTAGTGAATGAAGGCGCGCACTTGAGCCTCCCCCACGTCCCCCGTCACCACTGCGCCTTCCTTCGTGGGCACGCAAGCAGCTATAGAGCCCTAGCGTGGAGTGCGTGGGGGCAGCACGTGCAGCAGGTAGTGAATGAAGGCCCGCACTTGCGCCTCCCCCACTTCCCCCTACCATCACCGCGTATGCTGTTGTGTGTCACCACAGAGTAATGATGGTCATTGGGCACTGCTTTGTCGGCATAACGAGGTGCGTCCACCTGCCACGTGTCCAGCACTGTTGCTGCCCCTACAGGTAACTATGCCAGCTCAGCAGAACGTGCCACTCTTGCTCTCTCCCCGGCTTTTCCCTCCTGCTCCGACACTCAGCGGTAGTGAATGAAGGCGCGCACTTGAGCCTCCCCCACGTCCCCCGTCACCACTGCACCTTCCTTTGTGGGCATGCACGCAGCTATAGAGCCCTAGCGTGGTGGGGGCAGCAGGTGCAGCAGGTAATGAATGAAGGCGCGCACCTGAGCCTCCCCCACGTCCCCCACCACCACTGCCCCTTCTGATGTCGGCTGGACCACGGAGTAATGATGGTCGTTAGGCTCTGCTGGACTAGCGTGGAGAGGGTGGGGGCAGCAGGTGCAGCAAGTAATGAATGAAAACGCGCACTTGAGCCTCCCCCACGTCCCCCACCACCACTGCCCCTTCTGATGTAGGCTGGACCACAGAGTAATGATGGTCGTTGGGCTCTGCTGTGTCGGCATACCGAGGCGCGTCCACCTGCCACGTGTCCAGCACTGTTGCTGCCCCTGCTGGCAACGCTGCCAGCTCAGCGGATTGCACTTCTGCTGCTGGTAGTGGTGATGGTGGTGATGGTGGTGATGGTGCTGATGGTGCTGATGGTGATGGTGATCCTGCTCTCTCCGTATTTTCCCCTTCCTCCTCAGAGTCCCGCGGTAGCACCTGCAAGCTCGAATCAAGATACACCAGCTTCTCTATCCCTCTTCCACTTCTCCTTCCTTCCCCACCAACATCCGCCTCTTGCACCCCTCCTACCCTCCCTTCCTCTAATCTCTCCAAACCTTTCCCCTCTCCCCCCACTCCTCTCTCCTCCCCCCCCACTCTTCCCCCCTGGACTATCCTCTTCAGAAGCACATTAACCGCCATAATCACCCGGTTCTTAGCCACCGGAAAAGACGGGATAGTTCGGAAAATAACCCTCCCTTTAGCGGGCGCGGCGGCAAACGCCCACCGGGCAAACTCCTCGAGGTGCACTCGGAGCGCCTTGAGGGGCTGGCGGCAGAAGGAAGCTGCCCAGTAGCCTCCTTCAAAGAGCGTGACGTCAGCAGTGGGGGAGATGCTTGGGAAGGCTTCTGATCGGTTGGTGGTCTGGCCCCGATGGCTGGTGGGGAGGGGGAGGTGGGGAGGGAGGGTGGGGATTGGGGGAGATGCAGGGGGAGTTGGGAGGGATGACGGACTTTTGAGGCACCTCGAAAGCAGTGGGGGAGATGTTTGGGAAGGGTTCCGATCGGTTGGTGGTCTGGCCCCGATGGCTGGTGGTGGGGGAAGAGATGGGGGGATTCAGTGGGGGAAAGAGATGGGGGGATTCAGTGGGGGAAAGAGATGGGGGATGGGATTGAGTAAGGGAGGTGGGAAGGAGGGGGAAGCAGTGGGGGAGGTGCTTGGGAAGGCTTCCGATCTGATGGTGGTCTGGCCCCGATGGCTGGTTGGGCGGGGAGGGGAGGGTGGGGATGGGGGGAGTTGGTGGGGAGTTGGGGGAGAGTTGGGGGGGAGTTGGGGGGGAGGATTGAGGTGACTTTTGAGTCGACTCAAAAGCGCCCACACGAAGCCAAACTCCCCGTTTGTACAGATCCCATCAATCCAGTAGAAGAGAAGACTTTTGAGAATTCTCAAAAGTCACTCGGAGAAGGTGATCCTCAGCGTGCGGTTGCTGCTGTCAGTCCAGTGTAAAAAGTCTCAACTCGAACCTCCACCTGGAAATCACACTGTCCCATCACTTTGAACACTAATCACCCTGACCCAAGCACTCACGTGCAGCCGAACTCCCCGTTCTTATAGATCCCATCAATCCAATAAAAGTTGATCCTCAGAGTGCGGTTGCTGCCATCGCGCGGGTAAAACACCAGGTTATCCCTCCACCGCTTCACACCCCTCTCCGCCTTCCTGGTGAGCAGGAAGTGCAGGTGTGCTGCCAGGTACCGCTGGTGGCTGTCCCCCACAATGCTGATCTCATGAATGCCTCTCTCTTGCAGCGCGGCTATCCAGTAGGCTGGGGGGATCTCGGGGGGGGAGCATGGGTAGAAGGCCCATCTGGGGGGGGGGAAGAAGGGGAGGAAGAAGGGGAGGGGGAGGGGGGGAGAGAGGGGGAGGGGGAAGGAAGGGGAAGGGGAGGGGGATGGGGAGGGGGGTGGGGAGGGGAAACGTGTGTGCAACACCAGGATACGCGCTCTAGCACCCCACGCTCAGAATATCCGGCCGACTTTTGAGACGTGTCAAAAGCCCCTACGCTCACAATATCCAGCCATGGTTTCCACACACACACGTGTGCAGCCACACACACACCCATCCACACCCATCTACACCCATCCATATCCATCTACACCCATCCACACCCATCTACACCCATCCACACCCATCGTCACGCACATACCTGAGTGATCCATCTGCCTTCACCACCCATCGCCCCGACACTGACGTTCCCACACACGGATAATCCGGCCAATCCTGCTGCGCCTCCTGCTCCTCCTCCTCCTCCTCCTCCTCCTCCCTCTTTCCTTCGCCCGACCCCTGACTACCGCCTGTGCCCTTATGGTTCCCGCATGTTTCTGAATGAGTGACGGCTGTGGTGGTGCTGTCACCCATGCTGCTGCTGCTGCTGCTGCCGCTGCTGCTGCTGCCGCTGCCGCTGCCGCTGCTGGTGCTGGTGCTGCTGCTGCTGCTGCTGCTGCTGCTGCTGCCGCTGCCGCTGCCGCTGCTGCTGCTGCTGCTGCTGCTGCCGCTGCCGCTGCCGCTGCCGCTGCCGCTGCCGCTGCCGCTGCCGCTGCCGCTGCTGCTGCTGCTGCTGCTGCTGCTGCTGCTGCTGCTGCTGCTGCTGCTGCTGCTGCTGCTGCTGCCGCTGCTGCTGCCGCTGCTGCTGCTGCTGCTGCTGCTGCTGCCGCTGCTGCTGCCGCTGCCGCTGCTGCTGACGCTGCTGCTGCCGCTGCTGCTGCCGCTGCTGCTGTTGCTAAGGCCAGGGGTGCTGGTTCTGGCCAGCGTTTCGCCACGTGGCGTGATTGTGATTGGCCAGGAGGCAAGGCTGTGCTGGTGCGTGCGGTTGAAGTGGTGAGCGAAGGAGCGGGAGAAGTTGAGGTTGGCAAAACCCACGTGCAGCGTCGCCCTGCGGGGGTCAGTGGAAGGAAAGAGCGGAGGGGGGGGAGGGGGGCGGATGGGGAAGGCGGGTGCAAAGGAGGCAAAGAAGTTGAGATTGGCGCACCCCACGTGCAGCGTCGCCCTGCGTGGTGAGAGCGCGAGTGACCCTCCCCCCATGGGGGCAGCATGGGAAAAGTACGGGGAAATACGGGGAAGGATGGGGGAAAAGAGGAGCATGCGAGAGAGGAAAGAAATGGGCGGGAAGTAGGATGCCAGAGAATTGGAGCTCCCTCGAACTGCATGCCAACTGAAACCCTAAAATCTCGGTAAGTTTTCGAAACTCTCGACATTTTCGAGGCGCCCATGCCAAAAGCAGCTTTGTTGGAGCTCCCTCGAAACTCTCGATCGACAGAGCAACTTGCGAGGAGGTGGTTCTAAACCTACCCCCCCTGATCTGTTTTAGCGATGCATAAGGTGCAAAGGGGTTGGGAGGGATTCAAAGGTGTTGCCAAGCGGTTGGCAGGGATATGGACGTGGTGCGAAGGACGCATCAGAAGAGCAGTTTGGTAAGGCGTGGTAAGGGGTATATTAACTAACTACCTCGCATTGAGGCGCCTCGAAATCAAACTCACCAATAACCGCCGATGTCCCACACGCGGTACGACACTCTAAACTCTGTGCAATGTGGAGGGTCTAGACACCTAATGTCCCCGTGACCTAGCGCGGCGCCTCTTAAAGTCAGAGTTAAGTCGCGCTTCCACCAGTTCTCCTTGACCTGCGCCCAGCGCGCAGGCGCGCGCACGGACACGCGGAAGGAGCAGCGCTGCCCGCGCAGACACGTGGCGCAACCTGAGCCGTGGATCACCACTCCCGAGGGGGACGGGGATGCATAATCTGCGGAGTGCGGAGTCAAGAGGAATGGACATGCGAATGAGAAAAGGAAAGGAAAGGAGGAAAGGGGTGAAAAAGTCCATGATCCGTGGCTAGATTATAGGCGCAACCTGAGCCGTGGATCACCATCGCGGAAAAGGGCAGGGCGAAAAACAACTGGAAAGTTACTGTTCCGTAACTTATCCGTTGCATTTCGCGCGCAAGAAAAAAGTTTGACTCGAAAACAGTGGTAGCTCACGTGACTTGCGAAGTGACTTTCCCGTCACATTCCCAACACAAACTGTACACTTTGATGCACTTGTGAGGTATACAGTAAAGCAACTAGGGGGGTGGAAAACGTCACTTTTGTGCAACCTATGCAAAACTGTCACGACAACGCCACGTGGCATACGATGTACGCTAGATGAAACTGAAACATGCTGACGTGGCATTTTTTTTTACGCTAATGTCAACCGTCAGATCCTGACAACATCTACGCACGTAATCGTGCCATGTGGACCAATCTGGCACGAAATGGGGTTTGCAGTATTGAATTTAATTGGCTGGCAATTGGATGGTTCCGGTTGACGAATTTCCAATATTGGTGTGCGTTTTTGGTAACAATTACAACTTATTCTTACACGTTCATACATCTGACAGGGCATACAACTTATACCAGTATAAGAGCGTACAATTTATCCAGCAGTAATACACTACGCATAATGCACCGCTAAGAAGCCCTGCACACTCTGCCATGGAGAAAACGAATGTAACCTGGAAGAACAAAGGAAAGGGAAACTTTATAAACAAGCAAAACTATATGCTCACCTTTGGGGTTCTTACGACTGGAGTATGCTGTAATGCTGAAAAATAAAAATACTGCACTTCTAACCCTGCAAAACCAGGCACGCTCTGCAACACATGCAAACACAGCGTGCTGTTACGTATCCCCCTGACATTGCTTCAGAGGGGTCAGTAAGAGAAAATTTTGCTTGACACCAGTAATACTTGCCCTTAGGACAGTCAATCGCGGTGGGACTAAATACCACCACTGTGGTGCGATTGCAACAGACTTAGCTGCAATCGAAAGAAGGGGTTGCACTTGTAGGAAAGCTGAAATGAACATGACATGGAAAAAAACTAGGAAGGGGGCGAGTGAGAGGGAGAGAGTGGTACCAGTAGACAAAAGATCTAGCCTACCGTGAACAATGGAAATAGGAAATGCAATCGTAGGAAACGGAATAGATACGTGACGAGAGGTACTAGAACCTTACAAATTGTAAAAGTAGCTACCCAAATGGCGCGTGTACGCATGTCCACCGTGAAAACGCTGAAAGTTGTCGACCTGGAAAGGGGAATCGTCGGTTTAAAGGAAGGGGGGAAAGTCCAGAACAAGCGTGATAAAGGAATGAGCTGATTACGAGGCATACGAGAAGTTAACGTGAAATGTAGCTGCACAGAGGAGCAATGCGTTAAACCGAAGCGACACGGTAACTAGAAACGGCGAAACGGCGAGCAATACATATGCAGTTGTATTGTCGCACCAGAAAAAACGTGTACCTAAACAAATGGAAACTGCACGACAAAATAAAATAAAGACAGCTTCACGTGCAAAATAAGAACATGCACGATCAAATAAAATAAAGACAGCTTCACGTGCAAGAACGGAACTGTAAACGTACCTGGCCTGTTGCGCAACAATGTCCGTCCTTGGCGCGACTCTCATGTGCCCCAGCAGCGCGACGTAAATAGATGAACGGAGCTGCCGTCTGAAAAGGGGAGGGATGTGTAAAAAAAAAAAACGACACTAAGTTCGCGCAAGGCAACATAGTCTCGACGTTCTCACACACAGTCTGGCTGTGGGCTTGAAGGATACAGGAGTTAAGAAGGGTTGGACGAGGAGTGCGGAGATTACGAAAAGAGTTGCAGAAGTTGAAGAAGAGAGTTGCAGTCTGAAGTGTGTGCTCTGTGTGCGTAGGTGATAATAAGTGCGTGAATGCTGGGAATCTGCGTGGTCTGCAACGGGGTGGAAAGATGAGGTGGGGGAACGGAACTATGAGGTGGGCGTTTGTTTTGGTTTGGATAGGCTGAATGTGCTGACGTGTATTTGATGGCAGGTGTGGGTTGACAGTGATTGGTTAAAAATGATATTTGGGCGCACACGTCACACCCCTGAAGAACCATCTAGCATCCGTGGCTTTGTTTGGGTGGTTGGGGTTCAGATTTGAGAAAAAAACGAAACAATGTATCCAGTTCTGCAACCTCGCTGGATTTCGTGAAGAATTCGTGGGGTCGTTTTGTTTCGTTGTTTATGTGGTTACATCCCACTCTCATTTGTTACTCTGCATTACCGCTTGCAAACTCTCTCAAACGCGCGATACCGATTGACGCGCCAATGTTGACGGGAATGCAACTTTCGGGTGACGGTTTTGTGTCCGTGAAAACATCTGGTACTGGTGTACGGAATGTCGCGTTTCGCGCGCGTTGTTTTTTGGACACTTCGCGCAACACAGACGCAAGCTTTTCGTAGAAAAACCTTCGGACCCCCAAATTCGACATTTTCCTTTTCCGCGATGACCACTCCCGAGGGGGACGGGGATGCATAGTTTGCGGAGTCATATGGATGTGCGAAGCAAGGGAGGTGGAAAGGCGAGTCGCATGAAAATAATATCTTCTATTCGCCGCAGGATTTCCGAGAGAGGAGGTGATGCATAGTCTGCGGAACCATGATATGAGTATGGGCCCCAATTTCCCTTCGGGGAAGGGAGGGGGATGCTGGCAGCATACTCACTCGTCATCGTTTTATGAGGCGTCGCTTTTCTAAAAACGTATCGCAAACTCATTCCCATTCTACTCATACTAGACGTGAACCTAAAAAATCAAACTTCTGCTTGTTTTTTAAGCGCCTCGCTGAAGAATACGCAACTCATATTCCCACGTCAACTGAAATCTCACCTCCTGACGACGTCCAGCATACACGTCGTCGCCTGAGCTGCGCCGCGCTGCCACTGGAAACGCTGGAAGCAGCGCGAACGACAGTTGCGCCAGTAGCGGCAGCGCTAGGAGCGGCAGCGCCACTAGTGGTAGCACTAACGGCGGCGCCAGCAACGGTAGCGTCAGTGGGGGGAGCGTCAAACGTGTTGAGTGTGCTGCTTTGGAGCACGGCGTCACGCGGGGAGGTTGAGGTTGGCGGGAAAGTTCGGGGAGATTGGAGAGAGGTTGGCGGAGAAGTGCGGGGAGATTGCGAGCGTGGGGGGGGAATCGCGAGCAGGGGAGGGGGAACGAGGCGGAAAGGGGGATTAGTGAACGAGAAGAGTACGGAGCGCAGAACTTGGGAATCAGTGAACGAGAAAAGGATACTTTAAGATCGCCTTGACTCAAGGCAGGCGGAAATATAAGTATGAGACGGACGGTTTCTAGAAGGGAAATGACGATGTCAGATATTAATAATCTGAAGGCTGGGTCAGGTCTTACACTCGTAGCTGCTAATCACGTTATAAGCCGCTCCGACGACTTACTTGATTGGGCTCGCGGCGTTATCCTGTGTTGCGTCTGAAGTGTGGGCGACAAGCAGCGGAATTTGCAGCTGCAAGGGGGAAAGTGGGCCCCATACGTCGATGTCTGCTCCCCCATCGAAACTGGGCGGTATCGATTCGGCTATAACGAGTACGAGGAGGCACAGGATGATGGAAACGAGCACGTAGTGAGACCAATCCATAGAATACCCCGATCGCGTGCTCCTTTCCTCGTTTGTAGAACCTCCCGTTTTAATTCCGAAAGCCGTCAACATGTGCGAAACTACACGAGAGACGCGCGACCGGTGCGACGCTGACGACGTTGGCGACGGCACGCCGGGGAGTGCATGCGACGATCGCGAAGAGTCCGCAGTCGGAGTGCGTGTTTCAAAATCGATTGCGGAGTGATATCCGTGTCCGTTCGACCTATCGTGGGTACATGGGTGACCCATGACGCTTACCGGGCACTGGATGCTATGAACCGCGCCTCGAAAGTAACTTAATGGGTCTGACACACGGTTGTCAGGTCTAACAATCTTCTGAAGACAGTTGGGGAGTAAAGCTTGTTGATATTGGAGTATATTAGAACAAACGTCCCCTTTTGCAAAGTTTCAACAACAGTTCCTGCGAGATATTCTTGCACTCCGGCTAAACGGTGAACTGGCAAGGACGGCAACTGATAGTAGATTAGTAGAGCTCGAATCCGGGCTACAACCAATGGAGCTGATAAACGAAAACTCTCGAGACAGTCGTCGGTGCCACGTGTGCTAGGTTGGGTATCGCGTTGAGCTCTGCCCTCGATTATTGTCGCTCTGGTGAGAGAACCAACACAACTCGCCGCCGCTCGAGTATCGAAGCGGCCGCTATAAGTAATCAGACCCCTCATTTTCTGGTTTTGATGACGACGCAAATCCTCACCGTCAATTGGCCCGCATTTTTTTGCTTGGCAAGATCTGTTGGGTGAAATCCAACTTCAAGGGCGACAATGACTTGACAGGCTGGTTGGAATCCCGAAGTACCAAGTTCAAGGAATTTTGAGAACCAGTTTCCAAGTCCAGCGAGCTTCTTGATTCTTCGGCTTGAAAAAACACTGCAGGCAGAACCATGAAAACCGTTTATTTTGCCAGAAGCCGTCTTTCCTACGAGACGCGCTTGGCGCCCGAGCTGTATTTCTCGGGCACATTGCTGACGTGCCCAGGGGCCGGCCTGGCTTGAAGGGGTTTAGCCATGCAGACCCCATCAGCTTGGTGTTTTTGCTATCCACTTATGACGAGGAGCCGCTATTCTGATTAGCCCTGCCGTCCCAAAAACAAATAGCCACTAGCTTCGGGGTGGTTGTTGGAGGCTGCACGTGAATGACACTGCACGTGGTACACGTATCCTCAATTGTGATCGTGCGAGTGCGATCTCCGCGACGCGCAGCTTCGCGAAGCGAGTGTGCATTGACGAACAAATGGGACATGTTACACGTTTCAACCAGATATTGAAGAGCCTCCAAACCTGCATACATTGTATTTGTTTATTTCCAAAAAACAAAGTATGGTCTACAAACTGGGATGTGCAAAAGTGAAAAGGGGTGTTCCGAGAATTGAACTCGGGACCTCTCGCACCCTAAGCGAGAATCATGCCACTAGACCAAACACCCACGCAACTGCAGAAAACAAATTTATTTAGATCAATTTCACACAACGTCTACTTCTACATGCCAAGCTACCTATTAGTTCAAGCTGAGTGTGAAGAACATGCAGGTTAGTCTGATCACTTGGTGATTGGGATGACCTTGGATGTTTCTTGGAGCTCACATTAGTTTAAAGAAGCACGAGAAGAATGTTGCCCATGTCTCGCCGTTGGCAACCTGAGATAGAAAAAACATTAGCATGCAGTAAGCCGAAGGCAGCAGCCTTCACTATACTAAAAAAATCAACAAACCCATGATTCAATCCACCATTCCAGTCACCGGAATTTCCCAGAAACTCTTGAGGCCTCCCACTTTTAGGAGGGCTCAAGGAGCTGACTCTACAAGCGTGCACCACATCACATGCTGTAAGGGCCGCGAGCAGCAATGGGGCCATTGGGGGTAGGAGGAGGCGGGGTGGGGGTGGTAACAAGAGCAGCTGCGTCTTCATCCCAGTCTGACTGGTACTCGGGTTCGGGCTCAGGCACGTACTGAGGCGCATGGGGTAGGAGTGCCTCTTGGGAGACTGCTGACAGCATCTTCATCTCGAGATCGTCCTCCACCACTAGGTTGCGGATGCCCTCGTGCAGTGATACAAGCTCCTGTTGAGGGAGAAGGGAGCAGGAAGAATGTTGAATGAAATGAAGAATATTGAAGCAAATTCGTACTTCAGCAGTGCCTCTTGGGAGACTGCTGACAGCATCTTCATCTCCAGGTCGTCCTCCACCACTAGGTTACGAATGCCTTCATGCAGTGGCAAGAGCTCCTGTTGAGGGTTAGGCAGGGAGGGAGAGTTTTGAGTCGATTCACAATGCAGCAGCACCTCTTGAGAGAATGTTGAGAGGCAATTCATCTCCAGATCGTCTTATACTACTAGGTTGCGGATGCCCTCATGCAGCGATACAAGCTCCTGTCGAGGAAGAAATGAGGAGAAGGTCAGGATGTGACGGGTTAAGAGCTGCTTCTCCTGACTGGGATCAGTTCCTGTAGTTGCAAGGGGAGGGGGTAAGATCAGAATATGCGCATGCAGATTAGACAGGCGGGTCAAGATACTGGTGAGAGCTGCTTCGTTTCAAGGTCTCACTCTCCAATATCGAGATTGCAAATGCCTCGGCGAGTGTGCAAGAAATGAGGGCTGTTTCATTGCCTACGCAGTCATGCAATGACACAGTGATCCACCCATATCGTAAGGAAGACGGAAGGTCAAGTGATTGAGAGACGCATAAACTGTGAAGTTACGAAAGTCGGATTCCACAATTCATATTGTGGAATCTTTCATGCTGTTCCACAATTGCTTGTTATGAAGAGCGATGGGGAGAGTGATGGGGCGGAACATTGATGACAAGAGTGGCAGGATGGGAGGATGTGGCCGACTCAGGGGGTTGAGGGGGAGAGGTATGTCAGGAATGTGGAAATCATCAAATGACAAGGATGGCTCAGCCAAGTGGCAGTACAGAAATGCATTGCAAGAAGACTTACACCAGCATTGTTTCGTGCTGATTGAGCGATGACGTCGAGTGCCAGGATGGGGAAGGGGTTCTCAATGAGCACTCCGACCTCCTCGATGCAGAAAAAGATGGCAGCACACGTGGCAGTCACGGGGATGGTGAGCCAGCCGAGGGGGTCCCACAGGGCGAAAGGCAGGAACATGTGGTAGAGGACGAGGAAGCGCGAGGTGAGGCGCGTGTAGGAGAGCGGGATGGGCGTCTTGAACAGACGCTCGCTGCCTCCGATGTCATCCGCGAATGTCGCGAAGTTGGCCTCCTGGAGAATTCAGGGGTAAGAGAAGTGGGATGAGATGATTCGTCAAGGAAATGAAGAGCAATGCGGAGCTAACTCCGTCTCCAGATAACCTGATTCAGTCCACCAACAAAATTTGGGAATCATCTGGCTCCGCCCAAAGGTTCATTGATTATCTGCTTCAGAAAACCAGAGATTTGGGTATTATCTTATACAGCCTACCAAAGGTGCAGTGGTCACCCAGCTTCAATACACGGGAGGGGGTCGTCGTGCGACTGTGCTCCCAAAGTATTTGTGCATCTGTTGTTGGGACTCTGGAGCTCGTTAAAAGTTCAATACCATAGCCGCTTCTGTATGTTAAACTTTGGATGTGAGCATATTCTGCGGATCTCCAAAAACGAGTTCTCTTTTTGAGAGTATTACTCAACAGACCAAGAACAAATGCGGGACTCACCATGGCCACGCGGTGCATTGGCTCCATGTGGCACGAGCGCATGCACTCCGACATCATCTGAAGCACGTAGTTGGGCCTGTGGGTCGCCCCCAGTATCCCTGCAATCTCCTCGTCGGATAGAGTGGTGAATTGCTGCAAGGAACGTGTAGAATGCACACAACCAGCGTCAACCAAGTTACACCTCAAAGAAAGCCAATCTAGTGAATTTTACCACTAAGTAGTTCTTGTGCTTAAGAGCAACAATGAGTCAGACGGGTGCTACTCACACGGAGGTCTTCCTCCAAAGATCCTTCTTGAAGGAAATGGTGCTTGTAGGTGAGCGCGAACGCCTGCAGGTGGCGGATGAACTGAGCGCGCTTGGGGTACTCGTACGTGTACTGGTCGCGAGCCATGTACGACAGCGCCTGTCGCGTGATGTCGCGCGTGCGATTCAGCATGAGCCCCCACATCTTGCGAGCCTGCAGGATGAACGAAACAAATTGTTCATAGTCGGCTACAAACCACTCCAACAGAAGACGCTCAAGGTTTCAGTCCTCACACATCAAACGATAGCAGGTTACTGTAATAATCGAGAAGGCTGAAATTTCGAACACACCTCGTCGAATCGGCCATAGCTGGCATTGGTCCGGAACACGAGGAGGAAGGAGAGAGCAGGTGCCGTGAGGGTGTACGGGAGGTTGGACATGTGTAGCACGGGGACCCACTCGGGCAATGCACCCATCGTGACCAGCTCATTCCACCCCACCACACCGGCTGCGATTCCAGTCATCACGGAAACTGCGGGTCCGAGCGCGCCAATAACCTTAGACGTAAGCATGGACTTCATGTGACGGAAGTAGCGGCCGCTAGATTTGTGTTTCTGGAGACAACAAGGCGTTCACGAGATTGAAAAAGAATCAGACTTAGAGAAGTTTTCCGTTGCCAGATGCTAGAAGGAAACATGAAACGACGACTTATACACGGTTCGTCAGTGAAAGTGAAGGGAAGGTGAACATCAATGTGAACGTGACGCACCTTCCAGTCATCATGGCCAAACACCACCCGTCGCAACACCAATGCCTCGAACTTCTTCTCATCGATGGTGCTAACATCGACCAGGTTTTTAGGAACCACTGCCTTCACCACCAGGGGTCCTCTAGCCTTCTTCTGCACAGTCTGAGCTTTAGTGACAGCGACGCTATTCTTGCGAAGAGAAACACTTCTCAAGGATCCCTCGGTCCAGTCCTGCAGGCCTGCAGCTTGAGCCTTCAGGCTGGTCTGAGCAGGAGACAGAAACATGGAGGTGCGTGATGCGACACTCGTGGCCGCCATTTTCGTCACGGAGCTCAGTCACTGGCTAAAGAAATCGAGGTTCCTGTTATTACCCCTGGACGTTCAGAAACGTAACTACTGGATGGAGATACCGTACGCCTTTTCCGAGTCCCGACTTCTGTGCGTCGGAATAGAAATTCCGAAGCCAATGTGTGAAAAAATAAATGAAGCAGGTGTGTTTACACCCTCATATCAGAAAGCTCTTGCTGCCAACTGGTTGGTGAAAGCAGGCAGGAATGCCGACATTCGCGATCGACAGAGCCACAACTCAACTCATATCTCGATCTTTCTCGCTGAAACGAGGCAGCCGAGCAGCAGAGCCGTTGGATTTGAGATGGCATGGCTTCCAGACGAATTGCGTCGGCTGATTCATGTGATCGAAGCGAGCTGATTGGCTTCTTGATGACCCCACGGGAAGTGAGGTGACTGGAAGGCCGAGCGAGTCTGGCGTGTGCTGACGGAATCAAAGAGTCAGCAGGGTGATTGATGTCCGCGTATCAACTCATGTGATCTGACCAGATACATGACATGTCAGCTTAGCCTGCCATCAAAACGGGGACTTGGGAGAGTGGGGCTGCTAGCTGGCCGACCTCAAAGTCACAAGCTAATCCACGTGGCATTGTCTCGGCTGGACCAAGGTTGATCACTTGCCACTCGAGTTTGCTCTACGATGTCCTGGGCCCCGGGGCACGAAGCCTTTTCATTTTCGCGCAGGCAGTTTGTTTTCGCCAGCACCTCTGAACATCGCCCACCATCACAGCCGATTTGAATGTGAACTTCCTGATGCTTGGTGTGTGGTGTGTCTGGCAACTTCAGCTGGTCTTCACTGAGCTATTCTTGGAGCTCAAGCAGTACTCAAAATGCTGGTCAGCTCAGTTGGCCCTTTTAGCAGAATGGCGGTGTTCGCCAGCACTTTTGAAAACGAAAACGACGGGATCAGGAAGGCCAGTCACGCCTTCCTGATCCCGTCAGTTAGGGTTCGTTAAGCTCCGTCAGCCTGGTCAGCCCGTAAAATTCGAGCCGAAGCTAGGATGTCGTCCGAACCTAAAGCAATCTTTGGTGCCTGGCGAACGCCCTCATTTTTCTCGATTTTCGGATGGAAACATGGCATTCGGAAATGGGGATGTGACTTCCTCCCCAGGCAAACGTCCCGTCTCATGCCATCCCGTGGCAATCCACCATTTCACGTGGACTGCCGTGGTTTGGCGATGTAATTGGCTGTCAAAGGGTAAACACTACCACAGCCACCGGAGTCACGAATAGACCCTCGTTTACACCCAATTTTCCACTCCTCGAATACACCACGGGCTGCTCTAGTCCAGTACAGATGGGGTTTTTTTCTCCCGTTTTTAACCCTGGTACAGTAGGGTCTGGCGTGCGGTCAGGCACAGGTCAGTGGCGCCAAATTTTCGTCCCATTTGGGGGGAAGGTGGGGTGTGGGGTTCCATATGCGGTTGTGAAGTTTCCCATGTCGGGGCTGACAAGTTCGCGGGTGGCATTTCGCCCAAACCTTTTCGGAGGGTTCCGGCCCCGCTTCCTGATGCCGTTGCCAGACCGATGCCTTCCATTTTCTTCCAATGTCAAAGGTGCTGGCGAACACCGCCAATACAAATGCTGGTAAGCTCGAGCTTGAAATAGCGAATGCAGTGCTTCCTATCTTTTGGAAATATGAGACAGTATCACACATGTAAGATAACACACAGCCAGAAGGTGGTCAATACAATCTCCACACTGCATCATACACATCAGCTAGCGAATGGTTGGAGAACAAGCAAATTATCAAAGCTTGAAAGCTTGAAGGCCGTAGTATCTTTCATGGCATGATGGATGACTTTAAATCCAATTTCAAATCAATTATTCAAGTACATGGCCCTTTACAACCAATACCTGGCAAAAAGAAAATTACAAGCTAGGGTTTGACAATTGATGCAGCCTACTAAACATTTAATCGCTGTAGGGACCGCGCACAGCGATGGGGGTCACAGGAGTTGCTGGGGGAGGGGGAGGAGGGGCCAGAGCAGCAGCGTCTTCATCCCAGTCCGACAAGTAGTCAGGCTCGGGCTCAGGCACAAACTGAGGCGTCTGCAGTAGGGCCTCCTGCTTGCGGGCAGACAAATTCTTCATCTCGAGATCATCCTCGGCAACAAGGTTCCTGATACCCTCGTGCAGGGCAACGAGCTCTCCGGCGTTGTTGCGCGCCGATTGGGAGATGACGACAAGTGCGAGAATCGGGAAGGGGTTCTCAATGAGCACTCCGACCTCCTCAATGCAGAAGAAAACGGCCGCACACGTGGCAGTCACGGGGATGGTGAGCCAGCCGAGGGGGTCCCACAGGGCGAAAGGCAGGAACATGTGGTAGAGGACGAGGAAGCGCGAGGTGAGGCGCGTGTAGGAGAGCGGGATGGGCGTCTTGAACAGACGCTCGCTGCCTCCGATGTCATCCGCGAATGTCGCGAAGTTGGCCTCCTGGAGAATTGAAGCACAGGGAACAAGCAGCACAGACGAAGTGCACCGATGAGACTGAGTACGAGACAGAGCCTCGAGATATTGTGTATGAAATTACTGTCTGGCCGTGACACGATGCACACTGTGAATTTCAGCATGGGTTAAAAAAACGCAATGTTTCCTTGGTGGAATTTGTTGATACGTTTGGCCACACTCTACGATGCTTACCATGGCGAGGCGGTTGACGGGCTCCATGGTGCACGAGCGCATGCACTCCGACATCATCATAAGCACGTAGTTGGGTCGGTGGGTGGCGTTAAGCACTCCCGCAATCTCCGCGTCAGTCAGACTGGTAAAATCCTGCCGAGGGTACGGGTGCGAAGTCAAGAAGGAAACACAGTGATTAATAGACAAGAAAATTGCCCTAATTCGAAATTAAGGACGCGACGATATCCAACTTTTACTGATAAATGTCGCAACCGCGGCGGGTATCGGACAAAGTAGTGGTGCTTACCCTGAGATCCTCCTCGAGCGAGCCCTCTTGGATGAAGTGGTGCTTGTAAGTGAGGGGGAACGCCTGCAGGTGGCGGATGAACTGAGCGCGCTTGGGGTACTCGTACGTGTACTGGTCGCGCGCCATGTACGACAGCGCCTGTCGCGTGATGTCGCGCGTGCGATTCAGCATGAGCCCCCACATCTTGCGAGCCTGCAGGCGAGAAAAAGAAAAGGTTGAAATGTGTGACTCATGGGAGAATTACGGCGGATATAAGAAATGCATATAAGTTAGCAACACATGTTTCGACAATTCATCACCCACATGGCACATATGAAGATGCGTTTCAGGTCTTCCTCATGCTTACCTCATCGAAACGACCGTAGCTGGCATTGGTGCGGAAAACCAGGAGGAAGGAAAGAGCAGGCGCGGTGAGGCTGAAGGGGAGGTTGGAGATGTGCAGCACGGGAGCCCACTCGGGAAGAATATTCATCACGACCATCTCGTTCCACCCCACCACCGCCGCTGCAATGCCCGTCATCACGGACACAGGAGGGCCCAGCGCGCCGATGACCTTGGAGGTCAGGATGCTGCGCAGGTGCTTGAAGTAACGGCCACTCGATTTGTGTTTCTGAATGGAGGGGGAGCGCGGAGGTGTGGGGGAGGGGGAGAGGGGAAGGGAGGGGGAAGAGGGGGGACGGAAGGTGAGGGAGGGTAGGGAGGATCATAAGATAAATGCTAGGGAGAGTGGCGCCAGAGCAGGTCGAAGAGGTTTGCGGGATGAACGACACTTGTAAGACGCTTCTAGTTTGAGTGAGGCAACGGAAGGTTGGAACATGCGTATTTTTGTGAAAACAATGCGTAAGGATTGGGAGGTATAAGACAACAGCAGCGCGGCGTCAAAGAGAATTGCTTCTTACCTTCCAGTCGGCATGGTCGAAGACGACGCGGCGAGAGACAAGCGCCTTGAACTTGACTTCATCAGCAGCGTTGATGTCCACGAGGGCGTTAGGCGCCATGGCCTTAACCACCATGCGGTTCTTGCCATTAGCATTCTGGCGGGATTGTGCCTTGCTCACTGCTGGCTTGGTGCTCTTGAGGGAGATGCTTCTAATGGAGCCCTCGGAAAATTCCTGGAACGACGAGGACTTCACACCAAGCGAGGAGGTGGCTGCGAGCTTCAGGGACGAGCCAGCGGCAATGCTGGTAGAAGCAGCCATGGCGACCAAGTAACTATACGTAATTCACCAACAAATCGAATGCGATTTCAGATTTGGCCAGTGCTCCGCTTTATGTGCAATGCCTGGTTGAGCGGAGAGATGGATAACGAGAGACGAACCGCGCAGAAGCAAGTTTGGTTGGCTGGGTGTGCGGTGGTGGAGGGAAGGGGGAGGAAGTGATGGCTTGCGGCTGGCGGAAGAATGAGCTTCCAGGTTCCGCCCGCCATGAACGATTGAGCATTCTGCGCTGGTACACTCTAGTGGTAAGATGCACTTACTGCTGGCAGGCGACGATGGGTGGCTAGGATTAGCTGGGCTGACTCACGATGGCGATCTTAGCGGGCGTTCCCAGTGGAGGGGGGTCGGGAAGGAATTATTGATTGGTTCAATCAGCGCTCGACGGTTCCTGCCACGTAGGCATTAGACACTTCCCCCATACCCTGAAAAGTCGGCATCCTGTCTGGGTGAGTCAAGGCGAGCCGAGTTTTCGGGAAGATCTGAACCTGGCCGTCCACGTGGCGAGGAAGGGACCTCAGACCGCAGATGCCACCACAGAAGTATTCGAAATTGCAATTCATGAACTTGATACATTCCCTTGTTCCCATGAAAAGCTGGGGCAAGGTGTAGCCAGGCAACCGAAGTGTCACTTGCTTGCTCGCTCCCGAGAACGTCAAGTGAAACAAGGTTGCAATTCACCGAACTCCGACTACCTGCAGTCACGAGCGCAATACGGGGTAACTTTTTGGCCTAGTCCAGCTGGCTTCTGCGAAATCCTTCAGCAAATCAGGAATACCACGAAAGCAAAATTGGACCGCGAACTCCGCACGGCCTGTTTTGCCAGTCTATCAAGATGCGTCGTTCATTGAAACCCACTTCAGTTCATTTCTCAAGTTCAACATAATGCCTGAAATTTCAAATGGCGTCAACTTGACTCCTCTGCTCGTTCCCAAATTCTCATCCCCCTCGCCACAAATTCACCACACCTCCACCACCATCATCCGCTCATCAATGATTCCTATCACCTCCTAATGTCACCATACATCCTGAATTTACATCTTGATACGTCAGCCCCATATCCTCCCTTGCTTGCTTCTTGCGTTGTTCCCTCTCTCCGTCAGTCACTTATTCCTCATGAACAGCCGCCGAATTTCACAAAGTATTTCGGTACTTCGTCCGCTCTGACTATTTTTATTACGGCACCATAATCAGCGCTCAGCAGCCCAGCTTCAATCAGTGTGAACAGTTGTTCGAGAATTTGACATAGATTTCTCCCAAAGCTATATCGGCAGAGCTTGTCTGACAATTCCGGTTCTCAGCCTTTCCCCTTCGCGACCGACCCCCGATTTCCCGAGCAGGAATTCACACTCTGCTTCGCAAGGGCTTCAAGCATACTGCATTCTGCACCCACCGGAAGGTGTGCATACCAGAAGACGATGATACGGTAAGAAGACAGCTTCACACCACACAGGAGAACCATCAGAAGAAGATGTCAGGTAAGAGGTAGGGACAGCAAATGGATTGTGGAGGTACGCGCATTCTTGAAAAAAACTGTACTATTCTACGAACAGGATTATATTATTAACAAAGCAACAAATTGGTGCATACCATGAAAGCGAAGCATTGAACAGATGCACAGCTACACAAGCCTCCAGCTTGCAAGGTCCTATACTGGCTCTAACAATTCTATCTACACAAATAAGCTCTTCCCTCCCCTTACACTATGAACCTAATCTCTAACACTACCTATTGCTACTCATTGTCTAAATGACTAGCAAGCATCTAAATGGCTGGCACGGCACCAACCATGTGCTCCCCCATGCTGCCTCCCCCACTTGCAGGGGTGCCATTGCTCCTACAGGCTGCTACGTCATACCCTGCCATGTCATACCCTGTCACATCGTACCTCCCAACACCTTCTCCATTTCCCCTGAGAAAGTCTCCCTCCTCATCCTCGCTGTAGTAATCCTCCGCTTCATCACAAAAGTAATTCTCCTCTTCCTGAGCCTCAATAGACAGAGGCTCTTCAGTGAAATCCCCATGCACTGTCACCAGCTGCTCCTCCTGTGTGCGTGGATGTCCCTCAAACCCTTCATTACCCTCCATCTCATCATCTAACCGTTCTGTAACGCCTTGGAAATCTCCCAACCCAGTCATCCCATCCATGAGATCGATCCCTTCCAAGCCGTCAAGCCCATCCAGGCCGTCCATTCCTGCCAGCCCATCCAGGCCGTCCATCATGTCCAGCAACCCACCGATGTAGTCAACTCCTCCAATGTCACCGCCAGAGGCGAACATTGCATCGTTCAATCTACCAGAGACAGCGGGAGCCACAGCAGCAGGCGTGGCATCACCCGGAGCAGCAGCAGCAACGCCATTAGCGGGGCAATAAGCAGTTGCAGCAGCACAACGGGCGCCAGCAGGAACAACGCTCCAGAAATTGGACGCAGCAGCTCGTTTCAACCCATACTGACTCTCCTGCTGCTGCTGCTGCTGCTGCTGCCGCGTCTGCTGCATGTGCTGCTGCTGCTGTTGCTGCTGATTCTGACCTCTCCCTTCATTCCCCTGGGTGTTCCCTTTGGTACCCAAATCTTCAACGCCTTGCCCATCCCCCTTGCCATTCCCCTGCCCTCCACCCTGTACGCTGCCCTGTCCGTCGCCCCTCCCACCCACCCCTGCGCCACCGCCCCGCCCATCACCCTCCTCCGAGCTCCTCCGCAGCACCACCTCCTCCCCAAAGCACCGCCTGTACACGTCCCTCAGACTCATCGCTTTCAGCTGCTCCTCCTCGCTCCCCTCCTCACTCTCCTCCTCACCCCCTTCCTCATCCCCCTCCTCACTCCCCTCGTCATCCCTCTCCTCTCCCTCGTCCCTCTCCCCGTCACTGTCCTCCCCTGCCCCTGCCCCCTGCTCGCTCTTCTCCTCCTCTATGCTTTCTCTGTCGTTGAAATCAGCACTCCCTTCCTCGCTCTCAGCTTCCCCACCCTCCCCACCATTTTCCTCCTCTGTCTCCTCTTCAGCACCTTCACCCCCCTCACTTCCTCCCTGTTTTCCTATCCCTCCCTCTCCATCTTTGGTAAGAAGCCTCAAATATCCCGTATTTCCTTCCTCCTTCCCCTTCTGCTGCTGCTGCTGCTGCTGTTGCTTCTGCTGCTTCTGTTTCTGCTGCTTCTGTTTCTGCTGCTTCTCCTGCTTCTGCTTCTGCACCTGCTCCCCGTGCTGCTCCTTCCTTCGCCTCTGCCCCTTCTCCTCAGACCGCTTAACCTGCAGCCGCAGCAGCGCCAGTGCAGGAATCACCGAGTCAAGCGGGTCTTCTGAGTCAACGAACTGGTACCCCTCCTCGTCTGCCACCTCAGCAAAACCACCAGCAGTAGACATGTTACCAGCACCAGTACTGTTACTACGACCAGCAGCAACAGCTACAGCGAAACCGCCTGCAGAGGCAGCAGCAGCAGTCCCAGCCTTGACCACGACGCCCTCTAGGCCCTTAGAATTGCAGCCTAGAGGAGAGGGGGAATACCGCTTCTGCTGCTGCTGTGGCGGTATTTGCTGCTGCTGCTGCTGGTTGAGACTGCTGGTAGGGTGGGGCAGGGGCGTGCTGGTAACGAGGGGTGGTGTGCTAATAACTGGAGATGGATGCCTGCTGACCTGCGCAGAAAGGGGAGAGGGCAAGACGGGGAAATCTTTAGTCCAGACCCAGAGTGAAGAAGTTCTTGGGTTTACCGTTTAATCACAGCAGGGAGGGGAGAATCAACAGCAGGAGACCATTTCACATGGTTTTTTTGCATCAAACGGAAGTGATGGTGGGTTTGTGTGCTTGTGTGATGGATAGGAAGAGTGGGTGTTGAGCAGGTGGGGTTTAGGAGGGAGGACGATGAGGGGGATTTAAATGGGAAACGGTAAGCGAGAGTTATGTTGCCATGACATAGCATCCGTGTTTCATCCACTTACCACCACGTTCCCATCCCCGTGCCGACCACTCGAGCCACTGCCATCCCCCTTGTCGTCTCCTCCCTCCCCTCCTTCTCTCCCCCTCCCCTCCCCCCCTCCACCAGCCGTCCCTCCCTGCTTGCCCTGCCACTTATCCTTCTGCCTCCTCCACCTCCTCATCTGCAAATAAGAAAGGAGCCGACAAGGAAGCGAGAAGCATTGTGAGTGGATGGGGGGTTGGGAACATGTCAAATCACTCACCATGCATACCAAAAAAAAAAAAAAAAAAAAAAAAAAAAATGGTCTGGTCTGAGTGTTCAAATCTGATACACAGTATTGAATCGGTTAAAACGAGTATGCTGAATCACAGTGACTCACTGAAGTAACTGAATTTGACTAAGTTTTGAACCTCTATTGCACAGCACAGTAATGAAGCGGCCAAAAACGAGAATATCAACTAACCCGTGCATTGATGAACCAGCAATTGACTTGGGTGTCCCTCAACCCTGAGTTTGCTGCTAGCTCCGCCTTCTCCCTCTGCTCGTGGATTGGAGGAAACAGGGGACAAGGACACAAGAAGGGAAAATGGAAGAGGCGGAGAGAGATGAGAGGATGGTGGGACAACGGCGACTACTCTGTTAGGTGAATTACAGGCGGGGCTTGGAGCAAAGCATGAGTCAATTGGAACGGAAGAATGAGGATGGAAGGAGGATGGTACTTCGGTGGGGAGGTGTTGGGTGGTGCTTCAGTGCGGTGGAGATGAATGGTACCTCGGTGGGGTAGGGGTGGTGGAGGTGCGAGAGGAACCACGAGTTGAGGCAGTCGACTGCCTCCTTGGAGAACTTGGTGCGCGGACCCTTGCGCCGAATGGGCTCGTCCTGTTTCCGAGGTGAGGGGTGATGGGCGGTTGGGGGACAAGAGGACAAGACAGAGAGAGGAGGCAAAGCACGGAAGGATGAGTTCAGGCAAGGGACGAGTTGAGGCAGTCAACAGCCTCCTTGGAAAACTTGGTGCGCGGGCCCTTGCGCCGGATGGGCCCGTCCTGTTTAAGAGGAGAGGGTTGAGGAGGGGCAGGCGGAATGGGCAAGGGAAGTGGAAGAGTTGAGGCAGCTGACGATTCGTTTGGGGTTAATAAAAAATGGAGAAGATGGATGCATGGAGCAGGAAAAAAAAAAAAAAAAAAAAAGTGTACCTGTTGTTCCGAGTCCTGGGTAGCGTTTCCCTGCCCATCCTCGTCCATCCCTTCTGCCTCTGTACCATCGTCACTACCACCACCGGCACCGGCACCACCGTTGCTACCAGCAGCAGCCCTGGCAGCGGGAGATCCAGCACCAGCAATAGAACCGCCAACAATGGAAGCACCAACAGCTGCACCAGCAGTTGCAGCAGAAGCAGCCACAGCAGGGGAGAAAGGAGGAAAAGCGCCAATGGGGGTGGAGGGGGGAGGGGGGAGAGGGGTGCGCATGGGAGGGGGAGTGGAGGGTGGGGGGGCAGACCGAGCGACTGGAGCTGTGTAGAAGCTGCTGTGTGTCTGCTGCTGCTGCTGATGTTGCTGTTGTTGCTGGTAAGACTGTTGCTGCTGTTGCTGCTGATAACGCTGCTGGTAAGAGTGGTGGTGCTGCTGTTGTTGCTGCTGTTGCTGGCGATACTGCATTTGCTGCTGCTGCTGCTGCTGCTGCTGCAAGTACCCCTGCTGACTCGGCAGAACGTGTTGCTGACGTGGCTGCGGCACCCCCTGCTGCTGTTGCTGCTGTGAAAGCATGGCCCCTGAAAAGTGCCTCTTAACGGGTGTGAGTGTACCGAGGTTGGAGGAGCCCCATGCCCCATGTCCGCCAATCCCTGCCTGTGCCACGTGGGCAGCAGGGCCCCTCTGGCTTTGTGACACGTCAGACCGAGCCAACTCAGCGTGGTTCACGCCAAGGTGACGTGGAGCGCTTTCTCGTGGCATCATCAGATCCCCTTGGCGTTCGTACGCGACATAAGCATCTCCACGCACTCGCTTCAGCTGCTGCTGCGACGCATCCTGCGACCACCCTTGCTCTTGCACCTGCTGCACCCGCTGCTGCTGCTGCTGCTGCTGCTGCTGCTGCTGCTGCTGCTGCTGCTGCTGCTGCTGCTGTTGCGGCTGCCAAACGTTCGGCTGATTCTGCTGCTGCGGCTGCAGCTGCGGCTGCGGCGGCTGGGTTAGAACCTGCGCCGGCCATTCCGCTTGCGGAGGCGGCGGAAGGGAACAGGGAGGGGGAGGTGGACCCGGGAAAGGCGGAGAAGAAGAAGGGGGGGAGACGACGAGCGGGGACGCGGGCTGCGGAAGCGGAAGTCCCGCGCAAGGGGGCACGTGAGGCGCGCCGTAATCTCCGCAATACCCTCCTGTCACAGCAGAAGTGCCGTAATAGCTGACCGCAGGCGGCTGGGAAGGACCGGCGGGATGGCTTGGCGGGAGCGTGGGTGGCGGAAGTGTTGGTTGCGGCGATTCGTACGAGGACTGCGCGAATTGAATATTACTCGTGGGAAAGGCGGCGGGATTGACGGGCTGCGCGTTTGGCGGAGAAGCATGGGTCGGAATCCCGCTGGTAAACCCTAGCGGCGACGGTTGGTTACCAGTCGTGTTACAGTGGAACTGCTGCTGCGCCTGTTGCTGCCGAAAATGCGGTTTGAATTGCGCCTGCGCCTGCGCCTGCTGCGGCGGTAATGGCTGCTGCGACTGCTGAGAAAATTCGCCATAGTTTTGGAAATTCGAGCCAGCCGAGGCACGAGACTCCGCCACAGAACCCAAAACCTCTGCATTTGTGTTCTCGTTGAACCTCGGATGTTGGTAACCTGTCGTCAGCGCCGCGGGCCCAACAACAACGGGTGCGAAATCAATGTCGTCAAGCATCGAAGCGAAGAAACCGTCGTCAGCGAGAGCTGCTTCAGTAGTTACCACATTGTCGCAACCCAACCCCCTTCCTCCCTCCCCTCTCATGCCCTGCAACACATTTCCACTCCCAACTCTTCCCTCAACACCAACGCCCGAGATTTTCCCGTCAAATTGCATGCCTTGATCCGGCTGCTGCTGGGAATAAATGGTGACCCTTGGATCAACCTGTTGCCGAGTTGGCGCGGATTTGAAGGCATTCTCGTCGTCGGCTTTCACGGCCGCGTACGCGCTTCCAGCTGCGCCGGACGCGCCAGCGAAGCTCGGAGCTGGGTAATTCGCAAAATCCGTTTCATTGACACGTGGCGACGGTTTGCAGTCAGAGGCGAACGTGGCGGCGTCGTGAGTGGCGGCAGCGCTTCGATTCGAAGGGCGATGGTAATTCACGAGCTCCGCTCCTGTAGCGGGGATGGACGTAGGATCCGCGTGGTGCAGCAGCAGCGATTGGTCGCCCTTGCCAGGCTCGTAAATGGAAAACGATCTGCCAAAAGCGTTAGTATTATTGCTATTGTTAGTAATAAGCGGTAGCGCACTGGCAGTTATCTGCGTCGAATTAGGAAGAAACAGAGACTCGTCAAGGTTGTTGGTGACGTTATTAGCGAGGATATCCGCGTTGACGCTTCCTGGCGCGATCAGGGGCATCTGGACGGCAGTACTACCCGCCACGCTGACATCAGAGGCACGCGCCGCGGGATGCGGGGGTTTCTGTCCGTTGGATCCTCGATCGTTGCCTGTGGTGCACATTCTAAGATGCGACTGACTCTCAGGAGATGGGGAACTAGACGTTTCTAATCTTAAAGCGGCCTCAGCATGAGAGCTGGTGTTTCCACTGTCGGGATCGTTGCTAGGCTGCTGAATGAGGCAGAATATGTCCTCGGCCATGTAATAAGGCCCTGGGATGTCGAGAAGAGGCTCTGAGTCCTGGAACGGCCTAATGCTAAGACAGCTACTACTGCCCACGGCGTTCATTGGAGCAGTTGGAAGAATGATCACGCTCTGGATCCAGGGCGACTTGTCAAGCAGGAAAAGTAAGAGTGATGAAGTATATGCTGCCTCTGTGGAATGGCCCTTATGAGAAGGCTTGAGGAGGCTAAGGATCGGATAAGGCGGCGACGGAGGTGGATAAGGAGCTTCGGTTTAGGCTTTAGGAGCGAAAAACACGATGCGGACACATGACGGGTTTTTCGCTGGTGTAGGCATGAGTGATTTCGGAGGGGGGGCTTTGGTTAGGTTGGGTTGGGGCGCAAGCACAATTCCCAAGCTGATCAATTTCGGCTCTCGGACCGCGATCATGACCGAATCGCCTGCCTCGAGAATTTCGGCGACGGGAGGTTTGGTTTGGGTGCAATTGAAATTGCGGGTCTGGCCTGGTAACCAGCCGTGATTTCAATTCGCGGGAAACGTAGGCTCGGGTTCCGGAGACAGCGCCCCTCTCATTGGCACAAATGCTCGCAACTATCGGACACGTGTGGCCAAGTAGAGCAGGGGGGCTATGCCTACTGGTTTGCATACTTTACTGTACCAGTTATAGTTGCATTTTATGCGTGTTTTATCCACGTGTAGACAAAATGTTGGTTGAGTGCCACATGGACCACAAGAGTGGAGCATGTAGAGGAGGTAGCCGCACCACGTCACTCCCCAGTCAGGCGTCCTCTCGTGCCACATAATGTTGACGTCAGTCCCACACATTCATGTTCGCTAAATTCGCAACACCTGAAGTCGCTGTAACGTAACATCCACCCACTTCCATTCCGCCAAACCGAAGCTCTAGAAACGAAAGTAAGCGAAAACAGTTCCAAGATGTCCAGCTTTCGCATGAAGTATCTCTTCCTAGAGAACACCGCATCACAGTGCGAGAATAGTGCTGACGTGGGCGAAGGAGGTCCCTCGATCTTTCGTGACTGGCCATCTTCCAGGAAATTCCATTTCGAGCGACAGCATCTTGACCTGAGGCAGGAATGGGAGTACAAGTTTTGATTCTCCTAAGCTTGAATTCAAATACTTCTCCGTATTAGCGCCTCTGTTGCTCGCTATCTTACTCGCTCAGCTTACTTCGTAGGACACCCTACAAGCGGATAGAGTATCCTATTGTTCCGCTCGGCTTTTTCGCGCCATAATGCAGGTTCGTGGTCGCAGATTTCCAAATGATCGCGCTCATCATTTGGCGCTGCAGTTTAGGAGTGGTAGTAAACCACGATTTCACATGTCGCGTTTTTACTTCGCTCGTCATCCACTCCCGCGCGCCCGTTCATTCCGCTCAGGCCCTGCGCAACGCGCTTTTCTTTGCAAATTTTTTTTTTTTTAAACGACCTCTATCCCGCCGCGCGTCCCTTCATTCCGCGCAGGTCCTGCGCAACGCGTTGTTCATCGCGTACGGCAACGCCAACTTCACTCGAAGCGCCTTTCTGTAAGAAAATCATCCCTCCAATTCATTCCTCGGCCCCGTATCGTCACCCCTAGCTCCGGTGCCGTCACCCATAGCCCCTCCAGTCGTGACCCGGAGCCTCAATGTAGTCACCTCCGATTCCTGAAGAATTCGTCTCTCCTTCTTTTTCCTTTCATTTCTTTTCTTTTTTCCGTTTCCCTTGCTCCGCCCTGCGCTCATCCCGGCCAGAAAACACGCCAAGACGTTTGAATATGCTGACGATAAGGTGGCCACAGGTGATCGTTGATGCGACTCAAAAGTCACAATTCCAAACTCACAATGTTATTCCCAATTCGCCCCCAATCACCCTCTCATCCTCGCCAGGAAACGCGCCAAGACGTTTGAAGATGCAGCTGATCAGTTTTTGAGGCGCCTCAAAATTTTTGAGGCGACTTTTGAGGCGCCTCAAAAATCACCCTCTCATCCTCGCCAGGAAACACGCCAAGACGTTTGAAGATGCAGCTGATCGGACGGCCACAGGGGTTCTTCGAGGCGACTCAGAAATCACAAGCTCATACTTTCAACGTTATCTCCGCCTCGCCCCCGTTTCTTCTCGCCCACCTCCAGGAAACACGCCAAATCGTTTGAAGACGCTGACGATCAGACGGCCACAGCAGGTGTTAGCACGGACGCTCGGCGGCTCGATGAGGCTCGGAATGCCGAAGCTGAGGTTCGGCATGGCGGTGCCACGGACGCCGAGCCTGCAGCAGCGAACGTGCGGGGGCGGCGGGACATGCAGGGGCGCGTGTGCGTGGTGACGGGGGGAAATCAGGGCATTGGTCGCGCTGCTGCTACCGCCATGGCGCAGAGGTGAGTGGATGGCGCAAAGGGGAATGAGTGGCGCACTCAAACGGCTGAAAGGGCATCTGTGCGTGGTGACGGGGATCAGGGCATAGGACGTGCCGCTGCTACTGCCATGGCGCAGAGGTGAGTGGGTGGCGCAAAGGGGAGCATGTTGGGGTTTGCAGGGGCATCTGTGCGTGGTGACGGGGGGGAATCAGGGCATTGGGCGTGCCGCTGCTACTGCCATGGCGCAGAGGTGAGCGGGTGGCGCATATAAGGGAGGGAGGGGGAAAAGTGGGAGATGGGACTTCCCCCATTTTACCACCCTTCCCGCTCCTCACACTAACCCCCCTTCTTTCCCCAATCCCCTTAGGGGCGACACTATTCACACTTTCTCAAATCCCACGCTCTTCCCCTCCCCCTCCCTTCCCCTCCCCACGGTTTCCTCAACTCCCCAGGGGAGCCACAGTGCACATAGTGTGCCGCCACGAAGCCAGAGGGGCAGCAGCCTCTCCCGCTTTTCCTCAACCTCTCTTCCACGTTTCCCTCTCCCTCCCCACCGTTTACCTAAACCCCCAGGGGAGCCACAGTGCACATAGTGTGCCGCCACGAAGCCAGAGGGGCGGCGACACCTCTTCTGCCTTCATCCTGCCTGCCCTCTTGCTCACAGTTGCAACACCCCTTTCCCAAACCGTCCCTCCCCAGCTCCTGAAACACCCCCAGGGGAGCTACGGTGCACATGGTCCCTCTCCCGGCCTCTCTCTCCCCCCGCCCCCACCATTACCCAAACACCCCCAGGGGAGCGACGGTGCACATAGTGTGCCGCAACGAGCTAGATGGGCGGGCGGCAGCCGCCTCTCTTCTCTTTCCTCATCTCTCCCTCTCCCGGCCTCTCTCTCCCCCCGCCCCCACCATTTCCCAAACACCCTCAGGGGAGCGACGGTGCACATAGTGTGTCGGAACGAGGCCAGAGGGGCCGCAGCAGCCTCTGAGATCGCCGCCCAAACAGGAAACGATCAGGTGTTTCTTCAGGTGAGGAAGGGAAACAATTATTTGTCTTTTAACCGCACATGGGCGTTTCTTCTTACTCACTCTCCTCTCTTTCTTGTATCGTGGCCCATTCTTATGACTTCTCTCCTCCTCCGCGCTTTCCTTCCCCACCCCGTCCTCCCTCGGCGCGTCTTCACCCTCCTCCCTCCCTCCCTCCCTCCCTCCCTCCCTCCCTCTCTTACGCACTCTCCCCGCCTCTCCAACTCAAATGTATTTCCCTCCCCGCCCATTCCCTCCCTGCCCGCCAGCTGTGCGACCTCTCCTCCCTCGCTCAAGTGCACTCCCTGGCTGATCGGCTAGCGGGGCTAGACACGCCCATCCACGTGCTGGTGAACAACGCTGGGGTGATGGAGCATGAGAAGAAGACGTCTCCCGATGGGTGGGTATTGAGACGTCTCAAACCTCCATGGGTGAGTGTAGGGCCGATCACTCGCTGATCGGCTAGCGGGGCTAGACACGCCCATCCATGTGCTGGTGAACAACGCTGGGGTCATGGAGCATGAGAAGAAGACGTCTCCCGATGGGTGAGTGAGGGAATGAGCAGCTGTTTGGGGGTGGCACTATAGGGGCGTTTACACGCCCATTCACGTGCTGGTGAACAACGCTGGGGTCATGGAGCATGAGGAGAAAACATTGGCTGATGGGTGAGTGATAAAGCTAGCGGCATCGTGAAAAAGGGTGACCATCTTACCACTTTCCAATTCCCACTCCCCTCCTCACTCTTCACTCCTCCCTATTCCCTCTTCCCTGTTCCCTCGTCCCTCTCTTCTCTTCACCCTTCCCCTTTTCCTCTTTCCTTCCAGGTTTGAGCTTAACTTTGCAGTGAACGTGCTCGGAACTTTTGTTCTGACCGAAGCCCTGCTGCCCCTGCTGCAGCGGGCAGCCCCCGAAGCAAAAGTCATAACAGTGGCCACTGGGGGCATTCTCACTCAACCGCTCAGCACCGATCTGCAAATGGAAGACACCAAGTTTGATGGGATGGATGCATATGCGCGCAACAAGCGAGTGCAGGTGTGTGTGTGGGACAGGAGGGAGGAAGGCGGGAAACATGGGGGAAAAGCTGGCAGGGAAGAGGGCTAGAAATGTAAGACTTTGTGTAGTGAGTCGTGTTTTGAGTCGACTCAAAACGCGACTCACTACGCGCAAATGCAAGACTTTACCTTTTCCTATCTCACCTCCCTCCCAGCACTTGTTTTCACACATTCAGGCAAACTACAACCAGCCCCGATTCAGTAATATACCAATTCCGTTCATGCATCACTGCAGGTGGCTCTAACAGAGAAGTGGGCGGAGCTATATGGGGTACAGCCGGGAGTGGGTTTCTATTCAATGCACCCGGGGTGGGTCGACACGGCCGTCCTTCAAACCAGCATGCCTGGATTCTACAACACGTGAGCCCTCGAATCTGAGCCCTCGAATCTGAGCCCTCAAATCTGAGCCCTCGAATCTGAGCCCTCGAATCTGAGCCCTCGAATCTGAGCCCTCAAATCTGAGCCCTCGAATCTGAGCCCTCGAATCTGAGCCCTCGAATCTGAGCCCTCGAATCTGAGCCCTCGAATCTGAGCCCTCAAATCTGAGCCCTCGAATCTGAGCCCTCGAATCTGAGCCCTCAAATCTGAGCCCTCGAATCTGAGCCCTCGAATCTGAGCCCTCGAATCTGAGCCCTCAAATCTGAGCCCTCGAATCTGAGCCCTCGAATCTGAGCCCTCGAATCTGAGCCCTTAGATTTGAGAGCTTGTGCAGCATGTGTGTCGTTCATGCGTACATGCGTCCTCCAAGCCAGCATGCCTGGGCTCTACAACACGTAAGCCCTAGAAACAGTGCTTGTGTGCGTGTGCATGTGTGCCTCTCATGTGTGCATGTGTACCTCTCATGTGTGCCTCTCATGTGTGCATGTGTGCATGTGTGCATGTGTGCCTCTCATGTGTGCATGTGTGCCTCTCATGTGTGCATGTGTGCCTCTCATGTGTGCATGCATGGATCATGTTTTGGAGACATTTAAAAATCTCCCTGCAAAATCAAGGCCAGTGGAGAGGACAGAAACTGCAGCATGGCTACTTTTGGAAATTCTCAGGAGCGCCTTGCAGAATCCAAGCCAGAAGAGCACCTTGCATTTCAATTGACACACACAACAGTGTGGCTGTGGCTGTGGCTGGATTGCTCTGCACATTCTTGCTCCATCTCCCCCTCTCACCCTCTCACATGCCTATCCTCTCCCCTCCCACCACCTCTTCTCTGCAGGTTCAAGGCCTCGCTAAGAAGGCCAGAGGAGGGGGCAGACACGATAGCCTGGCTGGCGAGTCAACCCGAGTCAAAGCTGGTCAACGGGGGCTTCTACTTTGACCGTCGGGTTGCTTCCAAGCACCTTCCTTTTGCGGGCACGGAGTACAAGAAGGAAGTTGTGGATGAGATCTACAACAAGCTGAAAGAACTTGCTAAGATTACAAAAGAATAGCACATAACCCAAAGTATCATACAGTTCATGCAATGAGTAGTATTTTTTTTATATGTATTTTGTGCATCACTCAGTTATCATCTCATTTATGCGAGGCCGCTATTCGACGGCTTCAAGTAGAGTCGCGTGGGGGAACCTCGGATGGTGTCCCAACTTACAGCGTGTTGCAATTGCCGGTGCACTGCATCGGCTCGGGACGATTGGAAGGGCCCAGGCAGGTGGGAGGTCAAAGCCGGGCAAAGAAAATGTTTAATGATTTAAATAGGTATTTGCGAATGTGAAAAGAGGACATGGTAGAATGTTTTTGCGCGTTGTCTGTAAAATTTTGACGACGTCTTCTTTTCCCTGAGCCTTCCTGAACCCATGAATTGCACCACGCCGTTAGGGCGTGGAACATTTGGGAAATTTTCCAATCTAACCTTAGCGCCTGAACGGTTGAAAATAGTCCATATTGTGAACACTTGCGATTTGCCTTGCAAATGCAACATCTCATTTCAACTGCAAATGCAACGTCTCATTTCAACTGGCAAAGTACAAGATTTTATCGTCCAAGCATTGTACAACATACGTAATAGCTACCATGCATCTCATGCTAGGGTGGGGGGGGCGGGAAACTTGAAATTGAAAGTTCGAAATGAAAACGTGGGTGAAGGCCAAATGGCCTTCGCCCCCTCTTTTAGGGTTTTTATACGGGCCGTCACAAAATATTTCGTAGTTATCACGAGCAGTCACATGTTCTGCCAAATCTATCATGAACGGTCACATGTTCCGCCAAATCTATCACGAACCATCACACGGGTATCACCCGCCGTCACTCAAAGGCACTAAATTCTATCACGGGTAGTCACACTCGAAACTTTGCAATCACAGATGAACCCTCTCATCATTTCATTGACCCGCCTTGTAACACTGTACAGATTTAGGGAGTATATTTCGGGTTGCTGGTTTTTGTCCTGTATACGCGACCATTTTGGGTGCAAAGATACATGGTTACGTTCGAATCGACGTAATACACGTTAGTTCTAAAAATTGTTTGAATGAATTTGAACGCATATATATGTATACATATATTTATAGAGTTCACAGTTCATTGAATCTGCCTAAATGTTTATCAAGATGCTAAAAAAACATAACTTGGAATGTTTACATGCCGAAATTCATATCAAGATGCGTATAAACATCTTGATAAACATTTAGGCAGATTCAATTAATTGTGAAGTCTAGAAATATATATATGTATATATATGTCAGAACACGCTCTTAACTCGTGACTTAGTAACTTAGGGTTTACCTAGGAAGCGTGAGTGTCGAGAGTGAGCATGGCAAGAGAATTGGGCAAAGAGGGTCATTCACTAAGGAATGTTTACAAGATATAGGATAGGGGAGAGGATAGGGTACACCACCAGCAGTTGAACCTAATAACTAACTAATACACTAGCAAGCTGTAGGCAGTTAGGATATGCAATATAATTCAACAATATATGCATTCAAACTTATTCATACGTTTTTAAGAACTAAAGTGTGTTACGTCGATTCGAACGTAACCATGTATCTTTGCACCCAAAATGGTCGCGTATACATGACAAAAACCAGCAACCCGAAATATACTCCCCAAATCTGTACAGTGTTACAAGGCGGGTCAATGAAATGATGAGAGGGTTCATCTGTGATAGCAAAGTTTCGAGTGTGACTACCCGTGATAGAATTTAGTGCCTTTGAGTGACGGCGGGTGATACCCGTGTGATGGTTCGTGATAGATTTGGCGGAACATGTGACCGTTCATGATAGATTTGGCAGAACATGTGACTGCTCGTGATAACTACGAAATATTTTGTGACGGCCCGTATAAAAACCCCCTCTTTTATACCGAAAAAGAGGGGAAGTATCGTTTCGCCGAAGCCTTTGCTTCGGTACAATTCGCTTCGCTATTCACAATACACAATTTTGGAAAGTGTTTCACTTTCAAAAATTTACATTTGTTAAACGCTACGTTCCACGCTGCGGCCTTACATGCGCTATAAAAGAACTCGTTTCCCGGCCCTCCATCTCCAGCTTCACTTTCGGCAACACACAAAGCAGCAATGTCCAAACAGTATTGGGAACTTCGTTGATGCCTCTCGCACCATGCGCATCTGCCTAGCTGTCACAACAACCGACACATCTGCCTGACGCATCTGTCTCGAATCCAAAGCCTTGGTAGTAATATAGTAGTCGGATCGGATGTACTCAGAAGCAGTCGCTTGTAACAGGAGCCAGCAACCTCAATTCGACATTCGAGTCGGCTCGCGATGACCACAACAAGTCTTTTTTTTAGCCTGAAACGTCTCTGCTGAACAGCGTTTCAGGGTAGATTGAGCTGATGCCGTGTGTCCGTGTCAGCCGCGAGAGCGGAGTCTGAAAATGCAATTCACGCAGCTTCACTTCAGTTGCTGAGAGTTTTAACTTATCTCGACCAAATCACTCCTCACCCGTGAAAATGTGGGGTTTCGCGCTCGAACCGACGAAGCGTATCGGAGGGGTGTCGCCACCTCGCCGTCCGATCAGGCATCGACCCGGAACCTCCAGAAAAGCCGGCGGAATTCTTGGCTGGATTCCCGGCGGAGCTGGCAACAGCTGGCGAACGATCTGCTCGCCGGTGATCGCTCTCGTGGTGATCTGGCTGCTGGGAATGATCATCTGGAACAGCGGAGTTATCAGGTACGAAAACGAATGGACCAAGTACCATAAACTGCATTCTAGCGCCTGGGAGGCTTGCTTAACACGCTCGTTTTGCGAACAGAGGAGGATTCAGTGTCGCTGGAAAAAAAAATGACTCTCTTCTGACTTCCCATTCTGTCTCCTCTTCCCGGTTACACATTCTCCTCGGCGGGATGTTTGTCCTTTTCTCCGTCCTGCACTGCTGCAGCCTTAAGAAGCAAACAACCGCTCCAACCGACTCAACTACCGGTCTGGACTCCTCATCTGAATACGGCGGCGATGCTACTTCCATGGGTGATGGTACCACCGATGACAGCTCAGATCTCACCCCCTCTTTTACCAATAAGATGTCGTCTGGTGGAGGGGGATTCGGGGGAGGCTTGGGAACAGGCTCGAGAACCGGCTTGGGAGCAGGATTCGGGGCCGGTTCGGGAGCAGGTTCGGGAGCAGGTTCGGGAGCAGGTTCGGGAGCAGGATTCGGGGCAGCGGATGAGGGTCTGGATTCCGAGGACGGGGACGGGGAGACAGGCGGCCTAGCGTCGGGATTCCCAAGGTCCTCTGGCACCACTGGCGCTGGTCGGATGGGGGGGGGTCTGAACTCAGGGGATTCTTCCAGAACTTCCCCCTGGAGTTCCGCTGGTGGGGGCAACAGGGGCGGGCTGGGGGCAGGTGGAGGGGAGGATGAGGATGAGGATGGAATGATGGGAACTGGTGGGAGTGGTGGGTCGAGGGATGGGTTTCCCACCAGCAGTAGTAGCAGTAGCAGCAGAGACGGTATGTGGGGTGGTGGCAGCAGCGGTGGTGCTGCAGGGGGAGGTAGGTTCGGGGGAGGTGGTGGTGCTGGGGCAGGCGGAAGCAGGTGGGGAGGGGGAGGCGCGGCCAAAACGTGGGGAGGGAGAGGCGGGGCGGCGGGTATGTCAGGGGAGGATGCGGATGAGGATGGAGAGAGCCGAGGTGGTGGGGGAGGTGGACTTGGGGTATCCAACAGTCGTGTGCCTAAAACGGGTTCAAGATCGTGGGGAATGGACGGTGAGGATGATATGGAGGCTGGTGGTGGTGGGAATACGGGCGGGTTGGGATCCCGGGGTGGGGCAGGTGGGTTTGGTAGAGGGGGAAGGGGTGGGGGGAGGGTGAGAGGAGGTGAGGAGGAGGAGGAGGAAGGGGAGGAGGAACAGGAGGAGGAAGCGGGAGGGGAGGAGGAGGAGGAGGAGGAAGAGGAGGAAGAGAGCGAGGAGGGAGAGGAGGGGGATGAGGATGAGGAGGGGGAAAGCGACCGGGGACGGGGTAGGGGTAGGACTAAGAGGAAGAAGAAGGGAGGGCGGCGGGGGAAAGGTGCTGCGGCAGATGAAGATGAGGAAGAGGAGGAGGAGGAGGAGGAAGGAGACGGAGAGGGAGGAGACGAGGAGGAGGAAGATGAGGAGGAGGAGGTATCCAACAGTAAGAAGGGGAGGAAGGGCCGTGGTGCTGCTAGGAAGAGAGCAGGGAAAGGAGCGAGGAAGAGGAAAGGAAGCTATGATGATGAGGAGGAAGAGGACGAGGAGGAGGAGGAGGTGGAAGAAGCGGAAGAGGAGGAGGACGACGCAGCGAGAACCAGGAAGAAGAAGCGTGGCGGTGGTGCAACCAAGAAGGGGCGGAAGGGGAAGAAGGGGAGGAAAGGGAAGAAGAAGAAGGGGAAGCGGGATGCAGGGGAGGAGGATCTTGATTCAGCCAATCTCGATTCAGTGGACATGGAGGGGAAGAAAGCAGTCAACGAGGCGGAGAGAGCAGAGGAGGAGGCAGAGCGGGCAGTGGCAGAAGCAGATGGGGAGACGGGCACTAAAACGGCTGTGGATAGCGCAGTTCAGAGCATGCCAGAGAGTGATGTGGCTCAGATATACTACTCTGTGAAGACTGTCCAGCGAGGTGCGTCAGTCAGGCTCTGTGTGTGAGTGAGTAGGTGAGTAAGTCAGAGAGTATCCCAAAGCTAATGTTTGAGTAAGCTGGATGGCGCTGTTCAGAACATGCCGGAGAGTGACATGGCTCAGATATATTATTCTGTCACGACTGCCCAGCGAGGTGCGTCAGTCAGGTTCTGAGTAGTCAGTTCAGATTTTGAGTGTGTAAGGTGAGTGAGCCAGACTACTCAGAACATGCCGGAGAGGAGAGTGATGTGGCGCAGATATACTACTCTGTGAAGACTGCCCAGCGAGGTGCGTTTGGTGGTGAGTCAGGGTTTGAATGAGTAAGGTGAAGACAACAACATGTCGACCCACCAGCTGCGCATCGTGGCGTTCCTGCGCATCCCAGGCTTACCTATCACTGGTCAGCGAGTGATGGACTGGACTTCGACCAATCCCCATCCTTCTCCTTATCCCTCCAGAGTCCAGACCTCCCCTTTTTGCACAATGTGGAGTTCCTGCGCACAGAGTAGTATATCTGTCCCAGGGAGGGACCCCTGTCTGTCACGGGGCATGCAGCGCGTGCTGGAGTCAAATCCGCGTGTGATGAGACGATTTTTGAGTCGACTCAAAAAAGATTCCTGCGCATCCCAGGGAGGGACCCCTGTCACGGGGCATGCAGCGCGTGCTCGACTCAAATCCTCCCCGCTCTTCCTCTGTGTTTGCAAATTGCAGGTGTGGAGTCGGCTCAACTGGACGACGAGGAGGAGGAAGAAGACGGCATGTCAACCCACCGGCGCAAGTGCTAGACTAACCTCACCTTCCACCTCAACCCCGGCTCCCCTTCCCACAGGTGTGGAGTCGGCTCAACTGGACGAGGAGGAGGAGGAAGAGGAGGGCATGTCGACCCACCGGCTGCGCAACGTGGCGTTCCTGCGCATCCCGGGGACCCCCGTGACGGGGCAGCGAGTGCTGGACTTTGAGCGCCAGCTGGCGTGCGTGTCCCGCGACGGGCTGTGGGCGGTGAACTCCACGCCCCGCTGGATGCCGTGGGACCTTAATCCCTTGAGTGTGGCCCGCCAGCCCAACTATCGTTCTTGTGACCTGCTCTTTGCCAAGCGGTGAGATGCGGTGCGGTACGGTACGGTGAGGTATGGTCTGGTGTGGTTTGGTGCAGTACAGTGGTGGTTTGCTGTGGTGGTTCTTCTCGTCCCTGAATCAACTCCACGCCGCGCTGGATGCTGTGGGTCCTTAATCCGCTCACTGTTGCCCGCCAGCCCAACTACCGCTCCTGCGACCTGCTCTTTGCTAAAAGGTGCGGTGCAGTGCGGTGAGGTACAGTGTGGTGGTTTGTGCTACACTGCAGGGGTTCATCCCAATCCTCAACCAACTCCACGCCGCGCTGGATGCCATGGGTGGGACCTCAACCCTCTGACTGTGGCTCGCCAGCCCAACTACCGCTCCTGCGACCTGCTCTTTTCCAACAGGTGCTGTGCGGTGCGGTGTGGTATTGTATGATACGGGACTGGATGAGGTGCAGATACTGCCCACTGTGCGAGCTACCGCTCCTGTAGATACCGCTACATTTGCTCCTCCCAACCCTCCCCTGTGTTTCCTGTCCTATCTCAGGAAGGGCGGTGTGTTTGGGGCGGCCGCGGAGAGGGCGAGGCGAGCCCCCAAAGCGAGGGTGGCCTGGCGGCCCAACGCAAGAGCAGCATGGCGGGTGCGCCGGGAGCTGCTGTACCAGTGGCGCCCCTCCAGCCCCCTCCGCTGCCCCTTCCAGCAGTTCCAACTTCCACCCACCGCACTAACAGCTGCTTTCCCACCCTCAAAACAGCATGCCTCCTTCCTGCTCCGTCTGTCCCCTCTCCCCCCCCGAACACCTACCCAACCCAGCCCCGTGTGGTCTCTCCCGTGGAGGAAGGGCGGTGTGTTTGGGGCAGCAGCGGAGAGGGCACGGAGGTTGCCCAACGCAAGGGCGGCATGGCGGGTGCGCCGGGAGCTGCTGTACCAGTGGCGCCCCTCCAGCCCCCTCCGCTGCCCCTTCCACCCGTTCCACCCACCACACTAGCAGCTGCTTTCCCACCCTCAAAACAGCATGCCTCCTTCCTGCTCCGTCTGTCCCCTCTCCCCCCCTGAACACCTACCCAACCCTCCCCTGTCTTTTCTCTCCCGTTCAGGAAGGGCGGTGTGTTTGGGGCAGCAGCGGAGAGGGCACGGAGGTTGCCCAACGCAAGGGCGGCATGGCGGGTGCGCCGGGAGCTGCTGTACCAGTGGCGCCCCTCCAGCCCCCTCCGCTGCCCCTTCATCCCGTTCCTCCCAGCACCTTAGTAGCTGATTTCTGAACCGCCTCAAAACACCATGCCTGCATCCTGCTCCTTCTGCCCCCCTTCCCCTCCTCCCCACCTGCCCAACCCTCCCCTGTCTTTTCTCTCCCGTTCAGGAAGGGCGGTGTGTTTGGGGCAGCAGCGGAGAGGGCACGGAGGTTGCCCAACGCAAGGGCAGCATGGCGGGTGCGCCGGGAGCTGCTGTACCAGTGGCGCCCCTCCAGCCCCCTCCGCTGCCCCTTCCAACAGTTCGACCGCGAGGGGTTCTGCCGCGCCGTGAGGGGGCGCAACGTGGTGGTGGTGGGGGACGCGTTTAGTCTCGACTGGCATGACTCGCTGCTCAATCACCTTGTGACTGCAGGGACTAAGCACAAAGCAGGGCAGCTGGGAGATGCCTGGTAAGGGTGAGGTGGGGCGTTACAGGGGGTACTGGGCGGTGCTAAGGGGTGCTAGTGGTTGCCAGCGGCTGTGCCGTGCTGTGAGGGGGCGCAACGTGGTGGTGGTGGTGAGGGATGCGTTCAGCCTGGATTGGCAGGCCGCTCTGCTCAACTTCTCATGCACTTTCTCTCCCCTCCCCGCCCATTTACCAGGGCCAATGTCACAGAGGGGGCATGCTTCGAAAGGGGTCACCGCCTCTGCACCGACGTCCCTCTTATCCCCCCCTCCACCACTACCACTGGTGGTGCTGCTGCTGACCCCTCAACTCTAGTCGACCCTGACTCTCATGCACCTTCCCCTCTCCGCCCACCCATCTACCAGGGCCAACGTCACAGAGGGGGCGTGCTTTGAAAGAGGCCACCGCCTCTGCACCGACGTCCCCCTCATTCCCCCCTCCACCACCACCACCGCCGCTGCTGCTGCTGCTGCTGCTGACTCCTCAACACTTGGTGACCGTGACACTGATCAGGCCACTAGTGCTACTGGTGCTGGTGGCTTTACTGCTGGTGGTTCGGCTGCTGCTGCTGCTGGTGGAATTGGTGTTGGTGTTGGCGGTGCTGGTCGTCGTTCTCGCTTTGGGGCTGCTGCTGATGCAGCAGAGGACAGCACAGGGGGAGAGGAGGACGGGCAGGACAGGGGCGAGGAGGAGGAGGGCGCAAGGGGGATGCGGGCGAGTGGCGAGACGGGTGTGGGTGGACTCAGAAGTGGGTTCCAGAGAAAGGGATGGGGAAGAGGCAGAGGGCTGGCTGGGTTGACTTTTGAGTCGACTCAAAAGAGAGGCGAGGAGGAGGAGGGCGCCAGGGGGGTGCGGGAGAGTGGCGAGTTGAGTGTTGGTGGACTCAGAAGTGGGTTCCAGAGAAAGGGGGTCACACGGGGGGAGGAGGACGGGCAGGCGAGTGGCGAGTTGGGTGTGGGTGGACTCAGGAGTGGGTTTCAGAGAAAGGGTTGGGGAAGAGGCAGAGGCCTGGCTGGGAGAGTGAGAACTGGCGACTGGGAGGGGGAGGCGGGGAGTGGGGAGGCTGACGGGCTCGGGAGCAGAGAACGGGGTGAGAGTGGGGAGGGAGAAGAATCGGAGTCGTCGACGGGGTTTACCAGAGTGGAGCAGGAGGGGGAGTGGGGAGAAGCGGGCAGTGGGGTTGCGCGAGCAGGGAGGACCGGGAGGAAGAGAAGGGCAGGCGGTAGGCAGGGGGTTGGCGGAGACGTGCCGAACCAAGGGCTTAGCAAGGAGCGCGGTGGTGTGAGTCAGACGCTTAACAGCAAGGAGGGAGGGGATGGTGTGGTGGTGAGTAGGAGGAGGATGGCGGGGTTCAACCTGCGGGTGGTGCTGAACGCGTTTGCAGCGCCGGACACGGGGCGACCCACGCGGCTCAACAACCGCTGGCTCAAGCGCCTCAAGAAGTGGAAAACCAGCATCCTCGTGCTCTCCCGCACCCCCGCCTTTGGCGACAGTGAGTGCAGACGGGTGGGGAGGAGAAGGGATGGGGGGAAGGGGAAGGTAGGGTGTACTCTTTGTTGTTGTGTCTATCCGTGCAGCAGGTGGTTTTTGAGAGCTCTCAAAGCAGATGTTTCTTGAGAAGTCCCCAAAACCTTCACTGTCCCCCTTGCTTTTCCCCATACAACCAGAGGAGTTGATGCTGCAAGAGGTGCGAGATACCTCGAGGCAATGAGGGACCTGTACCAAGACATGCTTGTCATCTCATGGCCTGTCCCCCTTGCATTTCCCCTCTCTCCCAATCCTTCAGAGGAGCTGATGCTGCAGGAGGTGCGGGATACATTAGAGGCAGTGAGAGACCTGTATCCGGACATGCTTGTCATCTGGCGCAGCGCGGTGGGCGGCCATCCCAGCTGTCAGCACTTCACTCGCCCTCTCAGGTCCCGCCCTGCACTGCTGGCGGCCAAGGGGAAGATTCCCGACGTGTGGCTGCGGCATGCTGAGATGAACGCCGCTATCAGACCGCTGCTCAAGGTATGGCTGCTCTAGGCGTGCCTTAGTTAAGGTGCATGCAGCACAGATTGCCTCTCACCCTGCTGCAGCCAAGAGTAAGATTTCTGACGTATGTCTCATGCATGCTGAGATGAAACATTACGTCTGGTACGAAGTGTAAGTGCGTTACTTAACCTTATATTTGCTACTAAGTGTAAAGCTGTTCCTTACCCCTACGTTTGGTACAAAGTGTTAGTAAGTTACTTCACCTTATGGTGCGTTATAATCTTTACATTCAGTACTAAGCGTAATTGCATAATTTAATTCTATGTTATGCCCTACGTGTAAGTTAGCTCCTGTGGGGCATGGTTTCCTACCGTGGCTACTTGGCACTGACGTAAGTTAGGGTCGGGGCCTGGCGCAAACCGGGGAAGTCGAAAAAAAAAAAAAAAAAAAAACGAAGTGTAAGTATGATGCCTAACTCCACGCACCCCCTAATCACTCCCAGGAGTACGGGGCAGTATACATGGACGTTGATTCAGCCACCTCTTTGCGCCCCGACGGCCATCACGAGCGCATGGACGGCAGCATCAACTACCACCACTACTGCATGCCCGGCCCGCTCGACCACTGGGTGTCTCTCTTCCACAACCTGCTGCTGCTGCTCCACCACCACTCGCCTCCCCCCGCCCTCCCTGCTTCCGCTGCTGCTGCTGCTGCTGCTGCCTCTCCTCCTGACCTCTGTCCTCTCGTACCCCCCTCCCCCCCCAAACCTACCCGCCAGGAGTACGGGGCAGTATACATGGACGTTGATTCAGCCACCTCTTTGCGCCCCGACGGGCATCACGAGCGCATGGACGGCAGCATCAACTGCCACCACTACTGCATGCCCGGCCCGCTCGACCACTGGGTGTCGCTCTTCCACAACCTGCTGCTGCTGCTCCACCACCACTCGCCTCCCACCGCCCTCCCTGCTTCCGCTGCTGCTGCTGCTGCTGCTGCTGCTGGTGTTGGTGCTGGTGTTGCTGGTGCTGCTGGATTTGGTGGTGGCGACGGTTTGTCGGGACCTGGTTTTGGTGGTGCTGCCGGTGGTTCTGGGTCTGGTGGTGGTGGTGCTGGTGGGGTACCAGCGGTGAAGGTGAGTGGGGTGGTGGGCGAGGGGGGAGTGGTGGTGGAAGAGGAAGACTTGACTGATGTGCCCCGGGGAGGGAGGTGGAGGAGTAAGGGGGAGATAGAAGAGGAGGAGAGGGGGAGGGAGGAGGATGGAGGAGGAGGAGGGATGGTAGGGGTAGGCGGTGCGGAAGGGTTTGAGGGAGCAGGGACGGTGGGAGGGGGGATGGGAGTGGGAGGAGGGTTGGGTGAGGGGCAAGTGGAAGGGAGTGGTGGAGATGGGCGTGGAGGGGTGGAGAGCTCTGAAGAGGCAGATACAGCTGGTGCAGGACCAGGGACTGTTGGTGTTCCTGATAGTGCTGTTTCTGATGCTGCTGCTGGTGCTGCTTCTGGTGCTGCTGCTGGTGCTGACGCTGGTTCAGGGGTGCCTGGGGGTGGAGAAGCAGCAGGAGGGGTTGGAGGGGCGGGAGACGGGGCAACAGCTGCAGGTGCTGCTACAGACACGGAGGCAACAGCATCTGCTGATGCTGGTGCTGCTGGCTCTGCCACTGCTGCTGGCACTGTCACTCCTGCTGCTGGGACTGGCACTGTCACTGGTGGCGAAGGTGCAAGTGTTGGAGTGGGAGCGGGTAAAGAAGCACCCACTGCCACTGCCACTGCCACTGCCGCTGCCGCTGCCGCTGCAGCTGCGGCTGCTACTCCTGCCACTGCTGCTCCTGTTTTGGAGCGTAAGTGACTCCTTGAGTCAACCCCCCCCCCCCCCCCTGTCTTGTTGCTTCGTTGCATGTGCCAACTTGTTACGATGCACCCTTCACGTCCTCCTCACACCCCCCGCTTCTCCCCACTTCACCCCTCTTACCTCCACGGCACTCCTCTTCACCCCTCTTCCCCCCACTTCACCCCTCTCTCTCCCACCCCCTCTTTCCCCCCTTCCTCTCTCCACCCTCCCCAGCCTGCACCAACTTCTCGGCGTGCATCCCAGGGACGCGCATTCGGGGCGAAGCGGCAGTGGTGGAGGCGCAGCAGGAGGTGGCGTGTGTGGCGGAGGACGGCAAGTGGGTGCGCTTCAACACACTCATTACACACACACTCCCTTCCACTCTCGCCTCCCCCCCACACATCCCCCCTCTCACCCTCCCCTCCTCTCGCCCTCCTCTTCCCTTTCCCCCCACCGTCTTTCCTCCCTTTCCTCTCTCTCGCTCGCCTCTCTCCTCCCACCCCAGCCTGCACCAACTTCTCGGCGTGCATCCCAGGAACACGCATTCGCGGGGAAGCGGCAGTAACTGAAGCACAGCAGGAGGTGGCGTGTGTGGCGGAGGATGGCAAGTGGGTGCGCTTCAACACGCCCCGCTGGCTGCCCTGGTCCCGCGACCCCCACACCAACCCGCGCGCGCCTCACTACGGCACGTGTGACCTCATGCACGTTAACGAGTGAGTATGTGGGTATGCCTTGGTTTTACGAACCCCACACCAACTCGCGCGCGCCGCACTACGGCACTTGTGATCTCATGCACGTTAACGAGTGAGTATGTGAATGAGTGAGTGAGTGGAAAGCACATGCCATGCCCTGGTCCCGCGACCCGCACACCAACCCGCGCGCCCCGCACTATGGCACCTGTGATCTCATGCACGTTAACGAGTGAGTATGTGAATGAGTGAGTGAGTGGAAAGCACATGCCCTGGTCCCGCGACCCCCACACCAACCCGCGCGCCCTGTACTACGGCACGTGTGACCTGATGCACGTTAACGAGTGAGTGCCTCCTTTGAGGTGCCTGAAAGGTTGCCTGGAAGGTGGACCTTTCAGGTGTGGAACGTGCGACCTGCTGCATATGAACGAGTGAGCAGTGAGTGAGCGAGTGGCTGAAGCACAGCAGGAGGTGGCGTGTGTGGCGGAGGACGGCAAGTGGGTGCACTTCAACACGCCCCGCTGGCTGCCCTGGTCCCGCGACCCCCACACTAACCCTCGCGCCCCGCACTACGGCACGTGTGATCTCATGCACGTTAACGAGTGAGTGTGTGGATTGCACATGCCCTGGTCCCGCGACCCCCACACCAACCGGCGCGCCCCGCACTAAGGCACGTGCGACGCGACCTGATGCACGTCAACGTGTGACCTGATGAACGAGTGAGTGTCTTCAGGTTAGTACTTCAGGCGAGGCGAGCTCGTGAGTGGCATGGGGCTTGGCATGGCTTCGCTTGGCTTGGCTTGGCTTCGCACGCGCTGCACCTCGGCACGTGCGACCTCATGCATATGAATGAACGAGTGAGTGTTTTTGTTGACCTGTGAGCCATGTGAGTGAGTGAGTGAGCAGGTGCATTACTTGACTGGTCTGGTCGTGGTGTGCCAGTGTGCCACTCGCTCCTTCCTTTCTCTTCGGCTCACTCATCTCCATCTCCCTTCCCCCCTGTCTCCTCTCCTTCCTTTTCTCTCCTCTCGTCTCCCCACCTCCTTAACCCCCAATCCCCAACACCCTCTTTCTCCCCGTTGGCAGGACCGGCGGCAAGGGCATGTACGGGTATGCGGCGGACAAGTTCCGGAAGAATCCGGGCGATCGGGAGTGGCACGTGCGGGCGGAGCTCAAGTACCAGTGGAAGGCCAGCCGCTTCTGCCCGCCCTTCATGGGGTTCAACCGACCCTCCCTCCTCCCCTCCCTTCTCCATCTTCCCTCCCTCCTTCCGTTTCTCCTCTCGTTTCCCTACCCCTCCACCTCCCAAAACCTCTACCTCCAACACCCGTCCCTTTTCCCTGCCGGCAGGACGGGCGGCAAGGGCATGTACGGGTATGCGGCGGACAAGTTCCGGAAGAATCCGGGCGATCGGGAGTGGCACGTGCGGCCAGAACTGAAGTACCAGTGGAAGGCCAGCCGATTCTGCCCGCCGTTCATGGGGTTCAACCGGCACAAGTTCTGTGCGGCGGTGGGGCGGCGCAACGTGCTGCTTGTGGGGGACACGACTCAGCTGGCGCTGCACGACGTGTTTCTCAACCACGTCACCACGATTGCGACACAGAAGGAGATTGGGGATATAGCTGATGCATGGTGAGAGAGGGGTGTAGTGTGCGCAGTGGGGGTTGGGGGGTGTACGTACGGGTGGGGATTGTGGGGTTTGCTGTGCCGCTTCTGCCCGCCGTTCATGGGGTTCAACCAGCACAAGTTCTGTGCGGCGGTGGGGCGGCGCAATGTGCTGTTTGTGGGGGACACGACTCAGCTGGCGCTGCACGACGTGTTTCTCAACCACGTGACCACCATCGCCACTCAGAAGGAGATTGGGGACATTGCGGACGCCTGGTGAGGGAGGGGTGTGCTGTGCGTAGTGGGGTTTTAGGTTTTGTGGTATACGTGGTGGGTTTCTTCCTCTGTTTCTCAACCACGTCACCACCATCGCCACTCAGAAGGAGATCGGGGACATTGCCGATGCATGGTGAGGGGTTCGGTGTTGGTTGGATTGGGATGGTGGGTGCGTGGGGTGGGGGTATGCTATGCTGCGTCTGCTCTCTGTTTCTCAACTATGTGATGTGACTACCATCGTTGTTCAGAAGGAGATCGGGGACATCGCTGGGCCTGGTGACGGGTAGAGGTGCTCTCCATGCGGTGGGGGTTGGGGTGCCTGCTGGTGGGGCGGCGCATTGTTATTCAGAAGGAGATCGGGGACATCGCTGAGCCGGGTGAGGGGTTCCCTGTGCATGGTGAGGGCTGGGATGCGTCCTTGGAAAGATGGCTGATCGGCTCGAGTGTTCTTTTATTCTCAGATGTGTTCTCGTGCCTCTAGTCCTTCTCCTCGTCCCTGCTGTTCTTTCTCCCAAAGACTAGATTTGAGGCGGTAGTGCACCCAATTGACTTGACCCCAAGGCCCTCATACGTGGGAGGGTGATATGTTCGAGCGTATGTTTTTTGAGAATTCTCAAAAAACATACGCTCGTCCCTGCTGTTCTTTCTCCCAAAGACTAGACTGGAGGCGGTAGTGCACCCAACCCAACTGACCCCAAGGCCCTCATCCCTTGTTCCCCTCTCTCCCCTCGCCAAACCTCACCTCTTTCCCATGCTTCCACGGCAGGACGGCGCCCAACAACCAGCCGGCGTGTGCCACCAGCGCCCCTCATGTGGTGTGCTCCGACATTGTGCCGGGGGGCTTCACCTTCCGCGTCGCCCACAACAACCTGCTCACACCCGACTCGCCCGGGGGAGGGGCGTTCAACCAGCGGTGGCTGGGGCACCTGAGGAAATGGAACGTGTCCATTGTGGTCCTCAACAAGGGATTCGAGCGCCGACCGAGTGAGTGCTGCTGCTTCCAAGGGAGACCCAGTGGCTGGCTGGCAGTGGTTTGGGGTCACTGACAAAGGACATAGTAGTTGGGTGGGGGGACACTGACGGGGGCGGGGAGTTGAACCAGCGGTGCGTGGGTCACCTGCGGCAGTGGAGCGTGTCCGTCCATCGTGGTTCTCATCTCAACAAAGGCTTCGAGCGAGCGCTGCCCCAGTGAGTGAGTGTTGCTGCTTCCAGGGCAGGGGGACTCAGCTGCCAGGGGGGACGGTGGTTGGGGTGGGTGGCATTCAACCCCCTGGCAACGGTGGTTTGGTTCTCAACAAAGGCTTCAAACAAATGCTGGCTGGAGTATGTGGGCATGTGAAACGCGTTGACTGTATCCGACTTTTGAGACGTCTCAAAAGCTGCCAGGGGGACGGTGGTTGGGGTGGCATTCAACCCCAAACAAATGCTGGCTGGAGAGTATGTGGGCAAGCGAAACGCGTTGACTGTATCTGAAGTGACAACATGTTTTTTTTTTTTTTTTTTCCTTTCTGAATCTGGTCCTCCTTGATTGCCTTTTTTATCTGACCACCCCCGTGACTATTTCTCCCCTGTCTTTCTTCCCTTGCCTTCTTTCCTTGCCAGCCCCGGTGTACCTCAAGACTCTCCGCCAGACGCTCACGAAGTTCCGCCAGGTGGCACCTGACACGCTGCTGATCTGGCGATCCACGTGGCGCGGCCATGAGGGCTGTGAGAATGCCACGGAGCCACTGGCAGCGCCGCCCGATAATGCCACCCGGGCTGGTCCATGGGCATTTGTACTGGAGCAGAATGAGGCAGTGCGAGATTTGATTAGGGTGAGTTGGATTTCACAGGTTAAGTCAATTTTGTGCTCCTAGGATGCCATGTCCTCTCTTGGCCTTCAAGTTTGAATTTAATGTTTGGTCAGAAACTGCCTCATGGTAGGTAATGTGGGGGAATTTTACCTTATTCAAGTATTTTTTGTTTCTCTCGCGCCTCCCTCTTGCAGGAATTTGGTGGTGTGTTCATGAATCTGGATTTTTCCTTGTCAATGCGACCGGATGGTCACCTACGTCAACTGAATGGGCTCACAGATTGCTACTACTACTGCTTGCCTGGTCCTGTTGACCATTTCATGCGGCTTCTTTACAACTACCTCCTCATCCTCGATAGAAAAGGGCCAGTTTCATCGGCTCAAGGAGGGTCCAAGACATAGCAGGGCTAGGTTATTCGACAACATTAAGGAGTCTTTGTGCATCTAAATAACGTGTTACGTTCTATATAGAGTACGAGTTGGTGTTTGAGCTCGGGCTTGTACAATACCGGAAAGTTCGCCGAGGAATATCTTGTTTGGTCTTGGACTTGAAAAGGAGCGCGAAGGCATCTTTCCACCAATCAAATTCTACCATCGTGATGCTGCTTTCTTGACGACCCTGCCGTTCGTGCTAATGCAAGGCCTGTTGGACGGCCTCGATTGCGAGATCTCTGAGCTGAGTCCCCATTCATCTTTCTGGACCGATCCATCCACATGTGGTTTCTTCCAGTCCATCTCAATCGTCCAGGAATTCTGCATCGACGGCTGTGTGCAGTTAGCGCCTGGAGAACAGGCAGATCTGTTTTCGGGGTTGTGCGTTCTGTAGTACACGGCGCAGCACCTTTCAGGGATGAGCTAGCCAAGGGATGAGCATTCAGTCAAACCAGTGACGGATGAGTTTAGGGGACGAGACGATAGTTCCACCGGCAGTCTCGTCTAGTTCACTGAATCCTTGCACACGGACTGCGCTCCGCAATAAAGCTGTGGCGTTTCTATATCATCCGGTATCCTATCCTGCAGTGTTATGCTTCTTCTAGACAACGATTTTCTTTTTCCAGCATTCGCCCGTACGGTGAATCCTGTCGTCCAGCATTGACCACATCTGACTCTATCCTGACCACCAGTTTCCTCCTCTCTGTAGATACTTGCGCTGCTTATATATTTACAAAAACGGGTTTTTCAGCATTCACCCTTACGGTGAATCCTGTCACCCAGCACTGACCACGTTTCACCCCCTCCTGACCGGCATTCCCCCCCTCTCTGTTAGCACTTTTCATTCCAGCAATCTCCGCGCGGCTACCGCGCAATCACACTGACAAGATTCATTCCCTTCTCTTTAAAGTGATAGTACATTAGCTGAATTCGTCATAGATGGCATCAGTCGCGTTGGACCCTCCCCGCCATTGCTGGCGCGTCGCTCGGCCACTTCCCGCCGTGATTCGCGCGTCCGCGTGTCGGAAGGGCGGAGTCAGTCAGCTCAAGAGCAGCCACCGACGGCTCCTCGTGCTCACCGCCAAGCCGAAATGGCGATGCGGTACGAACCGCTCTTCTGTTTCATTTTTTTCGTTTTCCAGGTTGTTTGACAGTTTGTCAGTTTCTGTATCGTCAATGTTCTTAAACTCCTCGTATACCAAATAACGTTCTCGCTGCTTTCATTAAGCCAGCAATGGAGTTTTTTTCCAGTCACCACATTCTGGCTCATTAAATGACTGCGTTTTCCTCGCCGAGGACATCGTCCACTGCTTATCCCCTGGTTTTCAGTTACCTAAACAAACAACCCCTGCTTGTCCCCTGAAGTTCTGTTACTTTGCTGTTCCCAAATTTTCACATTCCCGCAACCAGTGACGTTCAAGCGCAGCAGCCATAAATGCCACGCGTCTCACTCCGAGTTCAACGGAAAGTAAGACTACTGCTTTCATTTCGCTCTCTGCCCTACTTCCCCCTCTGCCATACTTCGCCTTCTGCTCCCCACTTGCGCCCTTGATTCCATTTCCCAGTTTTCCTGCATCTAATCCTACAATCCCATCCCAACTCCAGTCCCAGGAAACTCACCCAGCCCCTATCCCACACATTCCCTCCCCTCGTCGTCTCACACGCAAGCAGGGCCCACTTCCCTCGGAACGGACACGGCAACGGCAACTCCCACTGGTCCCACCACCCCTCAGCGTCTGGCTCCGAGCGAGCGAGTCACCAGAACGCAGCACGGAGCCATGAGAGGGGATACGAGGGGCGATATGAGGGGCGGCATGGGGGGCGGCATGGGAGAGGGTATGGGAGAGGAGACGTTAGAGGGTACGCTCAGAGTGGCTCTGAACGGCCCGCTTCCCCTGGCTCTTCCCCGTCCCCTTCCTCGTCCGCCTCCCCTTTCGCTTCCTCCTCTCCTCCCTTCGGCCAGTCCGCCGCCTCACACTCCTCCTCCTCCTCGCCTGCCACCTCAACTGCTTCGCCAGACTCGAATGCTGCCGCTGCGGGGGCTGCTCCCGGGGAGTTTGCTTTCCATTCGCATCACACGATCCTGGACGTTGATCAGGTTGATCCGACGGCTGGCGATGCTGCTGCGTGGGGTGGGCTGGACTCGGCTGCAGCGGCAGCGGCGTGGGAGAGGAGCTTTCTGAAGCGGGTGGTTGACACGATCACCGATTCCAAGTACTTCAATGTAAGCATGTGGTGATGCAAGCTCAGGGGGGCTGGTTCGAGTGTCAGGAGGTTTCTGAAGCGGGTGGTTGACACCATTACTGACTCCAAGTACTTCAATGTAAGCACATGGTTATGTAAGCTCAGTGGGGCAATGTAAGCACAGAAAACCGCGTACATTGAGACGATTTATTAGGCGCCTTAATAAGCGGCAGCAGCGTGGAAGAGGAGCTTTCTGAAGAGGGTGGAGGGAGGAGCTTTCGCGGATTCCAAATACTTCAATGTAAGCACACGGCAGTCACTGTAAGCACATCGAGTATATGCACACTGGTTACTTCCACAGGGCAGTGTAAGCAGCACAGTATGTGACTGCTAATCCTCACACTCTGACTTTGATGCCCACTGCTGGAAATACAGAGACATATCCCACAGCTAATCCTCTCACTCGTTCTCGTTCCCTCATTGTTTCCCCTTCCCACCTTCCGCTCCCACCTCCGCCTATCCCCTCTCCCGTCCACTCAAATCATCCTCCCCCACCCCCTTCCTTGCTCCACTGCTCAACCCCTCTCCTCTCCGCCAATCAGCTGCAGACAGCTGGATGGCTCATGGCGGGTGCTGCTACGGCGGCAGTGGGCGTGCAGGTCACGGCACACATCATCCAGGTGAGATGCAACGCGCACGTCGTTCAGGTGAGATGAAACGCGTTTCTCACTCAGTCGATGCGAAACGCGTACGTCGTTCAGGTGAGATGAAACGAGCACGTCATGGAATGGAGGCGAGATGGGAACGTGCACATTATCAATCAGCAGTCCTCCTCCATTCTCCCTCCTCTCCCTCCTCCCCCTCCTCTCCCTCCTCTCCCTCCTCCCCCTCCTCTCCCTCCTCTCCCTCCTCCCCCTCCTCTCCCTCCTCTCCCTCCTCTCCCTCCCGTCGCTCCCCGCTCCTCCAGGCAATCGAGTCCGTCCCTCTGCTTGCCTCACTAGAGATTCTCGTTGGTGCTGCTGTCACCACCAACGTCGCCACCACCATCGCTGGAGGGGGGGAAGGTGAGGCCGGGTGAAGTGAAACAGAAGGCATTATGGGGGGAAGATGGGCGAGGGGAGAGGAGGACACGAAGGGCAAGGGAATCTGGCAGGACAGGACGGATTGTGGAAAAGGTTGAGTTGGAAAGCTCAAGAGGGTGGTTAGTTACAGTAGAGGGAGAGGTAATGAAAGGTTGGAGGGTTGATTCGTAACGCTTTTCAACGCGGCCCTCTCTCACCTCCCTGTCTCTCCCTCTCCATCCCTCCCCCTACTCCCCTCTTCCCCTCCTCCCCTCTTCCCCTCCTCTCCTCCTCTCTCCCTCGTGGTACTCCCCTCTCTCCGCCTCATGCGCCCTTTCCCCTCTGACTCTCCTCGTGTGCCCCGACCCTCCTCTCTCGTCCCCACGCCCCCTATCAGCGCGCGAGCGCCTGGAGCAGCAGTGGGACGAGTTTGTGAAACGAGTCAGCGGCACGTATGGGCTGTCGGACCCGGTGTTTGACGAGATGGAGAGCGGCAAGGACCTCGAGGTGGGCTGGAAATGAGGGTGGGTTGAGTGTCGTTTGTGCATGGCTGGCTGGCTGGCTCATGTGTGGCATGTGTACGTTGAGTCAGCGGCACGTATGGGCTGTCCGTCCCGGTGTTTGATGAGATGGAGAGCGGCAAGGACCTCGAGGTGGGCTTTCAGCTATCTCTGTGTGTGTGGGTGGTTCGTTGACTGGTTGATGTGACATGTGTGCGTTGAGTCAGCAGCACGTCCGGGCTGGGCTGTCGGACCCGGTGTTTGATGAGGTGGAGAGCGGCAAGGACCTTGAGGTGGGCTCCCTTCGAATGTGGGCTGGGTGTACTTTGTGCATGTGGCTGGTTGATGCGTGGCATGTGTTCATTGAGGCAGCGGCACTTATGGGCTGTCCGACCCGGTGTTTGACGAGATGGAGAGCGGCAAGGACCTTGAGGTGCGTTTTCTGTGGTTTGGTCTATGCATGTGGATGGTTCATGTGCCGTGCGCACCATGAGTAAGTGGCACATACGGACTGTCGGACCCGGTGTTTGATGAGATGGAGGTGGGCAAGGACCTCGAGGTGGGCTCCCTGTGATAGAGGGTGTATGTGATAGTGGGCTCAGTGTGGTCTCTGTGAAAACCTTCTTCCCTCCCTCACACACATTCAACCCCTCACAAGCCTCCACCTCACCCCCCCTCCTCTGTTTTTCCACGTGAACACCCCACTCTTCCTCCTTTGCTTCCACACACAACACACGCACACACAATACAGGCTCAGATTCAGGACCTGCTGTCGCAGTGCAGTGCACTTATAGCCGACGCAGCACTGCAGCACAGCACGCAGAAGCCTCCACACCTCGGAGGCGACACACCAGGAGAAACCCAGCGGCAGAGGGAGACGCGGGCAGCAGAGGGATTGCGGAGGGCCGCAGAGAGACTTGATCCAAAGCCTGCAAACAGCACAGGAAAGAGGACAGAGGGGGGGGAGCTGAAGCAGGGGAAAAGGAGGGAGGGTGCACAGGCTGATCCTGAGGTGCCTCAGAGACAGGCTGGCGGGGAGGAGGGGGAGGAGGGGGAGGAGGGGGAGGAGGGGGAGGAGGGGGAGGAGGGCGAGGAGGGGGGGGAAGCGGTGGTGGCGGTGAGAAAGGCGGAGCTGGTGCAGGTGTTATCCGAGTTCGTGGAGAGGAGGGAGGGCAGGGCGAGGCGCGTGAACCGCATGCTGCAGCAGGAGGTGCAGGCGGGCAGAGGGCTGGAGGGAAGACTGGGAGACCTGACTAAGGTGAGTGAGAGTGACTGTAGTTTCACCAGGGTGCTGGCTATGGGGTGAATATGGCAGGGCGAGGCGTGTGAACCGCATGCTGCAGCAGGAGGTGCAGGCGGGCCGAGGGCTGGACTAAGGTGAGACTGTGTTGGGAGTCAGCGGGGTGGATGCGGGGGAGCATTGGGCAGGATGGGCGGAAGTGAGGGCAGGATGTGGGGGAGAAATGAGCGGGAAGGGACGGGTTGGGGAGAGGGGTTTGCAGGAGAGACAGTGAAGTTTCACCTGGGTGCTGGCTATGGGGTGAAAAGCGCAGGGCGAGGCGCGTGAACCGCATGCTGCAGCAGGAGGTGCAGGCGGGCCGAGGGCTGGAGGGGCGACTGGGAGACCTCACTAAGGTGCGTGAAATGGGGGGACAGTGGGGAGAACGTTGGGGGAGTAATGGGGGGAGCAAATGGGCAGCAGCTGGAGGAGCGACTGGGGGACCTCGCTAAGGTGCTGGCAGAGGGGAGCAAGTGGGGAATGTCATGCAATGCCAACTCATGCCACGCCCTGCCTCGCCATGCCATGCCGTGCCATGCCACGCCACGCCATGCCATGCCATGCCATGCCATGCCATGCCATGCCATGCCACGCCATGCCATGCCATGCCACGCCATGCCATTCAGATGATCGTCCGTGTGCTCCCTTCCATCCGATCCCCCTGTATTCCACACTTGTCATTCACCTGCCATGCTGCCTCGCTGTCAATGCTTTCAGGCGCTGGAGGTGCGCACGTTGGCGTCCGTGGCAGCAGCACAGAACGTGGCTCGCCTTGCCTTGCCATGATGTGCCATGCATGCCATGCCGTTCACATGCGCGCATTGCTGTCACATCTATCAATGCCTGTTACTGCTGGCAGGCGCTGGAGGTGCGCACGTTGGCGTCCGTGGCAGCAGCACAGAACGTGGCTCGCCTTGCCTTGCCATGATGTGCCATGCATGCCGTGCCGTTCACATGCGCGCATTGCTGTCACATCTATCAATGCCTGTTACTGCTGGCAGGCACTGGAGGTGCGCACGTTGGCGTCCGTGGCAGCAGCACAGAACGTGGCTCGCCTTGCCTTGCCATGATGTGCCATGCATGCCGTGCCGTTCACATGCGCGCATTGCTGTCACATCTATCAATGCCTGTTACTGCTGGCAGGCACTGGAGGTGCGCACGTTGGCGTCCGTGGCAGCAGCACAGAACGTGGCTCGCCTGCAGGCGCTCAACGACTCGCTGCAGGTGAGACCGTGAGCCGAGTGGGCTGTGTGCGCTAGCCCACTCTTCAAGGGAGAGATGTGGTGATGTGAGAGTGTGGTCAGAATGTGGTGATGTGGGGGTATCACTCGTAGCAGTGCAGAACGTGGCTCGCCTGCAGGCGCTCAACGCAACGACTCGCTGCAGGTGAGCTGGGTGGGCTGTACGGGACAGTACAAGGAGTAGGGACTGATGGGAGATGGAAGCCGTTGAGATGCCACGTACTGTCCGCTCAGCTGCAGGGCCTCTTCATCAATGCTCCTCTTTTTGAGTCGACTCAGAAGTTGAAATGCCACCACTGTCCGCTCAGCTGCACGGATTCTCCATCAACGCTCCTCCCATGGCCCCTCCCATGCCCCCTCCCATGCCCCCTCCCATGCCCCCTCCCATGCCCCCTCCCATGCCCCCTCCCATGACCCCTCCCATGCCCCCTCCCATGACCCCTCCCATGCCCCTTCCTTGCCCCTCTCATGCCCTCTCCTCTTATGCCCCATCTACTGTGCTCCCTCTGTCTCACCCTCTCCCACAACCCCTCCCACACGCCCTCCCACACACCCTCCCACACCCCTGCGGCCCGCCTCGCTCACCACCTCACCACACACCCTGCCCCTGCCTCTCCCCATGCTCCTCCCACACCCCCTCCCCCCTGCCCGTGTGGTGGCTGGCAGGCGGAGCGCAACAGCGTGACAAGTCAGCTGTCTGCGTTGACCAATCAGATCACAGGGCTGTCCACGTCACTGGACGTGCTGACGAGGCAGCAGGACTCCGTGTCCCAGTCCAACACGGTGGTGAGCGGTGACATGCGGTGGGGAACAGGGAGGAGGGGGTGGTAATGTGTGTTGTGTTGTGTCCCAGTCCAACACGGTGGTGAGCGGTGACGCGCGGTGTGTGTGGGTGGGTGTGTGTGAAGGGGCAGTAGTAGTGTGGTGTGTCCCAGTCCAACGCGGTGGTGAGTGGTGACATGCGGTGTGTGTGTATTTGTGCATGTGTGTTAGTGCATGTGTTCATGTGCATGTGTGCATGTGTGTGTTGGGGGGGGAAAGGAAAGGGGGGAGAGGGGTAGCGTGTGGCCCAGTCCAACACGGTGGAGAGTGGTGATGCGTGGGGGGGGGGGTGTGCATGCGAGTGTGTGCGTGGGGGGTGGGGGAGGGGAGGAGGAATGGGGGCGGGGAGTGTGTACTGTAGTCCAATACCCTGTTGAGGATTGACATGTTGCCTTCACAAACGCTTTCCCAACCCCCCTTCCCCTTTTTTCCCCTTCTCCCCCTTCTCCCCCGTTTTCCCCTTCCCCCCCGTCTTCCCCGTCCCCCTTCTCCCTCCCCCCCCCCTCTCCTCCCCCCTGCCAGCTGCGTGCTCGCCTGCGCAAGGCCCTGCTTGAGAAGCGCCAGCTGGCGCAATCATTGCGGGCGGCGCACCGCGTGCAGAGCGAGCGGGCGAGTGACGTGGAGGGGCGGCTGCGGGCGGTGGGGGCACAACTGAGGGCGAGCGAGGGGGCGATGATGCAGGAGAGGAGAGAGGAGGAGGCGAATCTGCAGTCGTACCTGTCCCAGCATGCTGCTATCAAGGTGTGCTGTGTGGTGTGGAGAGGTGTGGTCTGGTGGGATGTGGAGGTGTGTGAGGGGACAAGGAATATATGGCAGGCATGCTACAGGTGAGGGGCGTGGAGGGGCGGCTGAGGGCAGTGGGCGTGCAGCTGAGGGCGAGCGAGGGGGCGATGGTGGTGCAGAGGAGAGAGGAGGAGGCGAATCTGAAGTCGTACCTGTCTCAGCATGCTGCTATCAAGGTGTGGTGGGGGGGGGGGAAATGAAGGCAGGGTAAATGTTATGAGTAAATATTAATATGCGGGAAGGTAAACGTTATGAGTAAATATTAATATGCGGGAAGGTAAACGTTATGAGTACATATTAATATGCGGGAAGGTAAACGTTATGAGTACATATTAATATGCGGGAAGGTAAACGTTATGAGTAAATATTAATATGCGGGAAGGTAAACGTTATGAGTAAATATTAATATGCGGGAAGGTAAACGTTATGAGTAAATATTAATATGCGGGAAGGTAAACGTTATGAGTAAATATTAATATGCGGGAAGGTAAACGTTATGAGTAAATGTTAATATGCGGGAAGGTAAACGTTATGAGTAAATATTAATATGCGGGAAGGTAAACGTTATGAGTAAATATTAATATGCGGGAAGCAACTGAGGGTGGTGGGGGCTCAGCTGGGGCCGAGCGAAAGGGCGATGGTGGAACAGAGGCGGATAAAGGAGGAGGATGTGCAGTCATACTTGTCCCAGCATGCCGCTATTAAGGTGCCTGAAGGGATGTGGAGGGACGTGGATGGGCAAGGAGTGGGTATGTTATGGGCAAGGAATAGATGTGGAGGGGTGCGGATGAGCAAGGAATAGATGTGGAGGGTTGTGGAGGGGTGGCTGTGGGTGGTTGCGAAATTCGCCATCCTCCCCTTGCCCTTCCTTCCGTCCCCCCCCCCCAATCTTCATCCCCATCCTCTGCAGTCAGAGCGCAATGCAGCGGTGGTGCAGGCGAGTGACTTGGAGCGCCGGGTGGCATCTGCAGAAGCTCAGTTGAAGGAGGTCAACCGATCGCGTGACCACCTCTTCATCACCAACCATGAGGTACGCGTTTTGAACCACAAGGTAACCCTCCCTGCTGCTAGCAACCATGGGGCACACTTGGGGCACAGATGCCCGATTGCACATGGTGGCGGCTGCAGAAGCCCAGCTGAAGGAGGTCAACCGATCGCGTGACCACCTCTTCATCACCAACCACGAGGTAGTGATTGCCTGCTGCTGGCATGGCAAGCATGGGAAAAGTTTTGAGGCGCTTCAAAACTACTCTTCATCACCAACCACGAGGTAGCCATTGCCTGCTGCTGGCATGGCAAGCATGGGGAAAGCGTGGGTACTGCTGGTGGCGGACAAATGTCCGATTGCCCATAGTGACATTTGCTGCAGGAGCTCAGTTGAAGGAGGTGACCTGCTCGCGCGACCACCTCTTCATCACCATCCAACCACGAGGTACATGCGCTTCCATTCCATGCAGCGCTGTCAGTCAGAGTGTCCCTGAACTCAGAGACAGGACTACCAAAAGGTTCTTTTTGAGGTGCCTCAAAAATCGCTTCCGTGTTTCCGTGCAGCGCTGTCAGTCAGAGTGTCCCTGAATTCAGAGACAGGAAGACCAAAAGGCTCTGAGGGGGTTTTTGCTGCTTACGCCTCTGCTCACCCTATTTCACCCCTGTTCACCGCTTTTCACCTGTTCCCCTTCCATCCTTTCTTTTCCAGTTGAATACGCGCTTGACAGCAGCAATGAACGAGAACCGGCTGCTGCAGCAGCGGGTGGATCAGCTGCAGCGCACCAGCCGCCACTCCGCTGCCGCCTTCAGAGACAGGGAGACCACCCTCAAGCAACACCTCGCGGATCGCCATGCTGAGCTGGCAGCCTCTCGCCAGCAGGCGGCTGCTGAGCTGGCACGAGTGACGTCCAGGCTGGAAGCTGAAGTGGTAAGCGGTTTTTCCACTCCCGATGCATATCCAGGGACAGTTGTTGTTGCTAGATAGTATTGTGCTCGTTCCTTTCCCTCCCTCTCCTTTTGAGTCGACTCAAAAGTCACCTCGCCTTGAGTCGACTCAAAAGTCACCAAGTTACTCCCAATTCATATCCAGGGACAGTTGTCGCTAGATAGTATTGTGCTCGTTCCTTTAGTTCCCTCTCCTCCCCTCACCACTCGCCGTTATCAACCTCTATTTCAGTACCATGCACTGCAGCGTGCAGCACAGGAGGAGGATGTGGAGAGGAAGAGGGGGGTGAGATGGCTGGAGGCGCAGGTGGGGTTAACCTATACTTGATTCTCCTTTTCACCCCTTTGTTCCTGGTTGGTCACAGAGAGCAGCGCAGGAGGAGGTGGTGGAGAGCAAGGGGGAGGTGAGGTGGCTGGAGGAGCAGGTGGAGTCAACCTAGAGTTGCTCCCCCTTCCCCTCCCTGTATGCCTGTTGCCCGCATGTGTTTGTTCTGTGCCACAGAGAGCAGCGCAGGAGGAGGTGGTGGAGAGCAAGGGGGAGGTGAGGTGGCTGGAGGAGCAGGTGGAGTCAATTTGGACCTGTTTCTCCTTTTCACCCCTTTGTTTCTCCTTTCCACCCCTTTGTGTCTCTTTTCTACCCCTTTCGTTCCTGGTTGGGCACAGAGAGCAGCGCAGGAGGAGGTGGTGGAGAGCAAAGGGGAGGTGAGGTGGCTGGAGGAACAGGTGGAGTCGATGCGGGAAGAGGGGCAGTTGCACACGGCACGGCTGAGAGCTGCTGTGGCTGCTGCTGAGAAGCGGGCGCAAGAGGTGAGAGAGAGGAGAGGGGAGTGGGGAGGGAGGAGAGACGGTTTGCAGGGTGCCTTGGTGTATTTCCCAGCAACGCATTGTGGGAAGAGGGGCAGCTGCACACGGCACGGCTCAGAGCTGCTGTGGCTGCTGCTGAGAAGCGGGCACAAGAGGTGAGGGAGACATAAGAGGGGTAGGGGGAGAGAGGGAGTTTGCAGGGTGTATTGAGTATTTTTCAAGAACGCGTTGAGGGAAGAGGGGCAGCTGCACACGACACGGCTGAGAGCTGCTGTTGCTGCCGCTGAGAAGCGGGCACAAGAGGTGAGAGAGAGGAGACGAGAGGAGAGATGAGAGAGGACGAAACCAGCTGGGCGAGAGACCAGGACCAGCTGTGTCTGCTATTTCTGTGTTTCTTTTTTCCCCCTTCTGAAGGGGTATATTTAGTGTGTAGCTAGCCTTGAGTTGTGTTGTTCCGCTGAATGCCATGTGTCGCTGCCTGATTGCAGGAAGCTGAACGAGCGAATGAGCTGCAGGCGTTGCTTGCAGAGAGAAAGGAGACGTCAGACAGGGAGACGAGGCTTCTGGAAGAAAAGGTTTCCTCGCTAGAGTCCAAACTGAGCGAGACGGAGTTGAAACTGGCTGCTACAGTGAACAGTGCGATAGCGACTGCCAGGTCAGCACTCCTGCCGCCCACCCCTGCCTCACCAGTAGATGCCTCGTTACTGTCGTTTGAGGGCTTTGGAGCAAGCATTGGAAGTAGTGCTCCTGGTTCACTCAACAGCAGTGAAATCGGCAGCAGCATGAGCAGTGGCAGCGTCAGCAGCAGCAGTGGCGGCAGGAGAGGGAGGCGGAAGGGGGAGAAGAGCAGAAGCAGCAGCCCTGCCGGGCGTCCAGGCAAGGAGGGGAGCACGGAGGGGACTGGGCTGACGAATCTGGCGTGCAGTGGAGGTGGGGGGAGTGCAGGTGGGCCGTGGCACAGTTGAAGGGGGGGTGGGGGGTTTGGCATACTGAACGGGGTGGACCATGCACATATTGCATAGAGGGCATGGAGCATCATCTTCTGACGAGCCTAGTCGTGAAACACGTCTCAACTCGAAGGGAGATGAAGGAAAGGTAGCTGCTGCCACTCACTTGCACGATGTCAAGCCTCTTGGGGCGACTGAAGGGTCTGTTGCAGCACCCCCCGTGGCACCCACAGCGACTGGTGCAGCTCAGGTATTGCGCCCTGCCATGGCAAGACAAGGCACGGCACCCAGCAGAAACGAAATGAAATGAAATGAAATGAAATGAAATGAGATGAAATGAAATGAAATGATAAATTGAGTTGGAACGGAATGAAATGAAATGCATGAGAGAGATTGTCAGTCTCACCGACACATGCAGTCGTCCCCGCAAGCTGTGTTGCTGCCCCCCTTGCAGTCGCACCCCATGTCCTCATCATCCATCACTGGTGGCGGCCGCAGGTGAATGTCTGCATGGAAAGGAGAGGAGGCAATGCAGAGGTCACGCAGTGAGCGAATGTAGGACTCCCAAGAGCCCTTGCAGTCGCACCCCATGTCCTCATCATCCATCACTGGTGGCGGCCGCAGGTGTATGTCTGCATAGGAAGGGAGATGAAGGAAACGGATGAGAGGTTTGAGGGAACCCTAATTCCGCCACATAGCATCCCAGAAGCCCCCTTGCAGAAACACACCCCACGTCTTCATCATCCATCACTGGTGGCGGGCGCAGGTGTATGTCTGCACGGGAAGAGAGACGAGGACAGAAACGGCGCGACCGCAAGGCAAAGGGGTTTTGCAGTCGCACTCCATGTCATGTGATTGTCCTCCAGAGGCTCTAAAAACAGTTGCAGGCAGTCATATGCTGCGCTGCCATTGAGACAACCTTTGAGGGTTTCGGGTACAAAAGTGTTTGTATCATGTCATGTCATCGCCCTGCATAGGAACTAGAAGTTGTTGCAGTCAGTCAACTCGAGTGAGTGACTGACTGGCTCACATTCAGTGGCACGCCAGCTGCTTCCAAGTGATAAAAGAAGTGTCTTGAGACGTCTCAAAACACTTCTTTTATCACCTGGCTCGCAGTCAGTGGCACGCCAGCTGCTTCCAAGAGAAAGCTCGCCCTCTCTGCGCTGCACACTCACCCGAGTTGTGGTGCATGCATCGCGGCTTTAAGCCACGAGTTGTTGGTGCAAATCTGCATCCCCTGGCAGCACAGCACTCACTCGAGTTGATGTGTATGTATCGCGGCTTCAGCTCCTGGATTGCAGCTGGTAGGGCACCCTCGTCCCTCTCCTCCAGGTCCACAGAGAGGGGGATGGCGGGAGGCAGGCGGAAATCCACTGCCACGTGGGGCAGCGGCAGGGCGCACATGCCTTGCTGCAGACGTGGGAGGAGGGGGGAAGAGAACGGCAGAGGAAGATGGAGTTGGACGGGGAAGAGGCGGAGGCTGACTGTCATGCGGGACAAGGGAAGTGGACAAGAGGGCGCACATGCCTTGCTGCAGACAGGGGGAGCGGAGAGGGTAGTGAGAAGGGGGTTGGATTGAAGTGGTGCTCGTAGAAGGAGGAGTCAAAAGGTACTGAATGTGTTCGATTACAATGGGTTATACAAGTAATTCATCTGAGTTTCTAGGTTTGATATGTGCGTGCGACTTTTTGAAGACAGAGGGGAAGGAAGGCCGGGATGGAGCGGTTAAGGGGAGGCGGCTCACGTGCGCAGTTTGCACGGGTTCACAGTACTGTTGGCAGGGCAGGGGAGAAAGCAAACATGCACAATGCACATGCAGCAGGAACAACACGCACGCATGCAATGCAACATGCATACTCGCACATGCACACACATGCACACACATATGCACACACATATGCGCATGCACACATGCACGTGCAGAGAAACAAGGGAAAGTGCAAAGAGGGGGAGTGGGCGGTGAGTGAGGTTGCATGGACGTGTGAGATGAGAAAACAGGGGGCTGGATATGCTGGAAAAAGGCATGTGACGCACGAGGCATGTGAGACGAGAGGCATGTGAGACGAGAGGCATGTGAGACGAGAGGCATGTGAGACGAGAGGCATGTGAGACGAGAGGCACTGGCAGCATTCTGCTGACAAGAGCCTGAGGGAGCGAGGAAAGGACAGGACACGATTTAGCAAAGGCCGAAAGACAGAGTGACCGCCATTGCAAAGAGTTACGGGCGGCCCACAGCCTGAGACGCACCCAGTTGAGAATGGAGGGAGTAGGCAAACGGGGCAGAGTCGACCTCTCTTCCAGCAGGCTGCAGAAATGACACGAGTCCTTGCTGCTGGTGCAGGCATGGCCATCACCACTACTGCCACCGCTGGCACCACTCATGTCGCCCTTGGTACCACCAGCATCACCACCAGCATCCTTACGACCGTCTGTAGCACCACCAGCTTTACTGCCACCAGCATTGACACCGTCGCTGCCGCCGCCACCGCTGCTGCTGTTGCTGCTACTGACGTTGCTGCCGATTGCTCGATCCTTTTCCCCTCCGCCGGCCTTGCCATCCCTGCCCAGTCCCCCATTCTCAATTCCACTAGCACCGTTGCCATTACCAACGCCACTGCCACTGCCATCCCGGCTGCCACCATCATCACTGCCGCCACCGCCCCCACCATCACCACCACCGCTGCCACTCCCACTCCCAATGGTGGCGGCAGTGGCTGCGGCGGCTGTGGGGGTAGCAGCGGCAACAGCTACGCCGGTGGCAGCAGCGGCAGCAGTGGCAGTGACAGCAGCAGCAGCGGCGGCGTTGGACAGGGAGGAGGAGGAGGAGGAGGCAGAGGGCGAGGGGAAGAGTTTGTGGTGCATGCAGTGCAGCCCGTGGGAGGTCCAGGAGAGCCCCATCTGCGGCTTGGCGCACCGGTGGTGCAGCAGGTTCACGCACCCCGGCTCGCAGCACCGCTCCACGTCCTCATAGACTCGACACAGGCACAGACACACCATGCAGCGCGCCTGCCGTGGAACCATACGGATGGGGGATTGGGTGGGGGGGACGTATGGCCTTGAGGGTTCAGGTCACCACATCCTCGTACACGCGGCAGAGGCACAGACACGCCATGCAGCGCGCCTGCAGTGCAAGCACAAGGATGGAGTATGGGAGGGATGACCGTGAGAGTTCAGATCAGATCATTGCATTCTCATATATGCCGCGGCAGAGACATGCCACGCAGAGCGCCCGAGAGGCAAGCACAGGGGATGGGAAGGGATTTTCTGAGAAAGCAGTGGGCAGCATCATCATTCCCATACGCCAGAGATAAGCATTGCGGAGTACCTGTGGTGCAAGCACAGGGAATCTGGGATGCCAGAGACATGGCGTATGTTTCCTGAGTATCTGCAGATACGTGCTCTGCTAAATGCAGGGTTTGGTCCAATGTTGCACTTCGGGAGTTGTCTGCGTAACCCAATGCCAGCGCTGTGGGTGGGGAGCCGTGGCAGCAGAGCCCATCAAGGCGGGCGAGTTCATCGTTGAATACGCCGGTGAAGGTGGGTTGAGAGGGGTGAAGGTGGGTTGAGAGGGGTGAAGGTGGGCTGCGAGGGGTGAAGGTGGGTTGAGAGGGATGAAGGTGGGTCAAGGATGGACTGGGAAGATTGGGTTTCACCTAGTTCAAGCAAAATGGTTCCCCACCTTACTGGATACACACCCAAACTCCCTTCTTTTCTTTGTCACCTTACAACCCTCCTGTGCCCTCTTTTTCCTGGAGTGATTGACGATGCCATGTGTGAGGCCTGGCTGCGGGCCATGCGGGCAGGGGGGACAACAGATTTCTACGTGTGTGTAGTGAGCCGCGATGTGGTTATTGACGCCACCTTGCTCTGAGATGACTTAGTCCCCTCGTTTCCCTTCCGCCTCCCCCTTCCCCCTCTCCTTGCCCCTTCTTCTCGATTTCCTCTCCAGTGATAGACGATGCGATGTGTGAGGCGCGTCTGTGGGCGATGCGGGCAGGAGGGGCGACGGACTTCTACATGTGTGAAGTGAGCCGTGATGTGGTCATTGACGCTACCTTCCAGGGGGGTCACGGCCGCTTCGTCAACCACAGCTGCGCTCCCAACGCCGAGCTGCAGAAGTGGTGAGGGAATGCAGAATAGTGGATAATATTGTGAAGTGAGATGAGATACGGAAAAGAGATGAGAGAATAAAGAAGCCCTCTGCTCTTTGCCCATTTCCCCATGTGTCCCCCGACTCAGGCTAGTGGAGTGGAGGGGCATGTGCGAGTGAATTTTTCCGCAGCACGAAACGACTCTGCCTAATGCCCATTCATCTCCAGGCTCCAAAAAACCTCCCAACTCCACTTTCTTTCACGTGTGCCTGTTTGCCCGTGTCTCTCCCCGACTCAGGCTAGTGGAGGGGCATGTGCGGGTGGGCATCTTTGCCATCAAGGACATTGCAGTGGGCACAGAAGTGGCGTATGATTACAGGTGCTGTGATTGGCCGGGTGGGTGGCTGGGTGGCTGGCTGGTCTGGTGGGCAGGTAGGTGGGCAGGTGGGTTGGTGCGGGTGGAGGGGCATGTGCGAGTGGGCATTTTCGCCATCAAGGACATTGCTGTGGGAACAGAAGTGGCATATGACTACAGGTGCTGTGGATGGGTGGGTGGATGGCTGGGTGGGTGTAAGTAAAAGGTGGTGTATGATTACAGGTGCTGTGACTGGGTGGGTGGATGGGAGGAGGGTAGTGTGTGGGTGGAATGCTGGTGTTGTGACTTTGGTTCCACCCAGCGTTCCGTTCCGGACTGTGACCATCAACAGTTGATGTCCCTGCTCGTCAGCAACTCTTCTTCCCACTTTGGTCTCACCACATGTCGCTTCGCATGCATGCACTTTCTTTCCTCTCTGCAAAAAGCACCTTTCTCAAACTCACTCAATAATGACTTTGTGCGAAGCCATATGCATAGCTGCTAATATGTTCTCGCCTCTCGTCCCATCCCCCCTTGAGGTGTATTTTGAGGCGCCTCAAAATACACCTCACTCAACAATGACTTCGTGCGAAGCCATATCCAGAGCTGCTAATATGTTCTCGCCTCTCGTCCCATCCCCCCTTGGACACGCTTGGATTGTTCACACAGGTTTGTGAGCTTCGGCCCGAACAAAGCTTGCCAGTGCGGTGCAGAGCGGTGCCGAGGAGTGATTGGGGCCAACCCTCCAACCACAGCAACTGCCACTCCTGCTGCACCTGCGCCTGCAAAACCAGAGAGGCAGGCTCGGTCCGTACCTGGGGCGAAGCCCTGGAATAAAGGGGCAGGAGGGGGAGCAGGAGTCAGAACAAAGGGGTTGTTTTGGGGCACAAGGGGTGCGAGATCGAGACGTATGCTGACGCATCTGTCTCCCCCCTGGTGGCAGCAGCACCATCAGCAGTGGCTGCTACACCACCTAGTAACGTGATTCGTACATTCTTTTATTAATTCGTTCGAAGTTTCTACTGGTATGATTGCAATTCGATTGTTCTTGGAAATACCCTTTTTTTACTACCGTATAAATTCAGTGTTGCTGGCAGGCATGTGTAAGGAAACAACTTTTCCTTACTTCACGTCACATCGCATACCGCGTACAGGACTATTCCAGCCACTGTACACCCAACAGTAATACGTTACCACCTCGCGACACTCGCGATACTGGTCCCGCCACGCCACCACCACCACCGCGCCCAAACAACCCAGCTCGGCTGGTAACCCGCGACCCGGCCCTACGCCTCCACAATTCCCAACCTCAGCGCTAGGCCCGCAGGGAACACCTTCGCGAGCGCGTTACCGTTACCAATTGCTTTCGCTATTTAACAATTCGCTCATAGTATTCTTTTGCCTCAATAGTGCAGTCTTCGTTTATTCACTCAATTGCACTCGAGTATGCAGAGTTACCGTAGTATACGAACGACTCCCCAAACACTGGCTTCTCTGGTACCCTATGTTTTGTCGAGGATGCAGTGCAGAGCAGAGACCTTACGGTATGAGATTGTCCCTGAGCTGACTTAAGAGCCGAGGAAAAAGTAAGAGATTTGAAGAGATCGCCTCCACTTGTCCTCAACCAGCTCAGTTCTGCTATTGGCTAGAAACGGTCCTTGCCTCGGCATCAGGACCTTCCTCCTCGGGTTAAATTATGGCATACAAAGGATACAAAGGAGAGCAGATTAGAGCACGAGTTAGTTAGTTCTTAGGCGAATCTAGCACCTATTTGGCAGCACTACCGCCAGCCTCCCCAACGCGTAACCGAGTATCTCAGAACCTGCCACAGAGTTAGTTGCATATGTTGGAATACATTTCACGCAAGGTGAAGATGGGGTGCATTTCAGCAGCACAGCCGCTGAAGGGGAAGCTAAAAGGGCTGCTGCGCTCACTCATGAATGATGTGTCATCATCATGCTTCAAACCACGATGTTGCTGGTGCGGCTGCTGATGGTAGTGGTGGTGGCGGTGATGCTGGTGGTGATGCTGGTGGTGGTAGTGGGTACTCCCATTCTGCTTCAGGAATGGCGATGTGCTTCAGCTGTAGTTGGTAGGCGTTCAGGCTGCCCAAAAAGCAGGCCATTATTCCCCTCTCCCCTTCCCCCCAGCACTGCTACTTGCCCCCTTCCTTCGGTTCCCCAGTTCTGCTACTTGCCCCAGAGATTCTCCAGCCATCCCCCTTTCTTTGCTGTCTTGGGAGGCGATGCCGCCGTGTCAGCTGCACTCGCTGCTTCTTGTGCTGGCGGTGGTGGTGCTTGAGCCTCTGGAATTGGGAGAAAAGAACGCAAGGGGGGAGGGGGGAAAGAAATATGGGATGGGAGGACGAGGAAGAGAGAGCGACAGCCGGTGACCGCATGTCGTCCAGTCGTGAGAATGACTTTTGAGCAGACTAAACAGCCACATTGACCCCTCCCATGAGCCATGCCCCTCCCATGAGCCATGCCCCACCTCGGACCATGCATGAGCCATCACGCATATGCAATCCAACAATACTGCACCCACCTCACCCCATCACCCCACCACCACCACCACCACCACCACCCAGTCATCCCACTCACCAATGCCGCGATCCTCTTCCCGCCTTGCCATACTTTGCCCCTCCTCCCGTCTCTCCATGCTCATTGCTGGTTGACTCTGCTCCTCGTCTGTCTCCCAAACTGGTCCTCCTCCCCCTGCCTTCCCTCCCCTCTCTCCTCCCACTCCTCCTCCCACTCCGCCTCCTCCCTCTCCTCCGCTCTGTCCCTCACTTTGCCCCTCACTCTGCCCACTGTCACTAGGTGACCGCACAGGAGCCAATTTCCCAGCGTAATTCCCACTCCCACTGACCTGACTCCCCATATTCCCACTCCCCATATTCCCACTCCCCATATTCCCACTCCCCATATTCCCACTCCCTAACCCTCCACTCAGCCCTCCACTCATCCCCCCACTCCCCACTCTGCCGCCCAAGTCGCCCCCACTTCCTAGTCTGCCGCCCAGCCCGCTCCCACCAGCCCCATGTAACATCGCACCGTGGTTACCACTCCCGCCATATGCACTGCTGCCGTACCCATCACTCCCATAGTTTCCACTCCCCAACGCATGCCCCTTGGCATAGTTCCCACTTCCATACGCCTCACTCCCGTAATTCCCACTCCCATACGCCTCCTCGCCCCTATAATTCCCACTCCCTTGCTCCCCCGCAAAATTACTCCTCCCCAGCCTTGCCCCATAATCCCCCCCACCCCCACCACCACCCCCATAGTTCCCACTCCCTAACCTTCCTCCGAAGCTCCCGCTCCCATACGCCCCACTCCCAGTGGCACCAGAGCTGCCGGCTAGCCGGCTAGCTGCCGGCTGAACGTCCTCCTGAAAGGAAACCTGCCGGCTGCTGCGACCGGAGGTGCGGGGAGGGAAGGCGGAAGGGCCAGTGCTAGTGCTGGTGTGAGTCTTGAGACTGGGGTGCAGGGGAGGGTGATGGGACTGCTGCTGCTGCTGGTGCTGGTGTCTGTATAAGGGTGGGAGGGCGTTGTGTGTGTTGAACTGATCAATATCATCCTCCTCTTCCTCTTCCTCCTCTTCCTCCCCTTCCCCCTCAGTTCCCTCCTCTGTTTCTTCCTCTTCTTCCTCTTCCTCTTCTTCCTCTTCCTCTTCTTCCTCCTCCTCTTCTTCCTCTTCCTCCTCTTCCTCCCCTTCCCCCTCAGTTCCCTCCTCTGTTTCTTCCTCTTCTTCCTCTTCCTCTTCTTCCTCTTCCTCCTCTTCCTCCTCTTCCCCAGTTTCTTCTGTCTCGCCAGTCACTCCCGTTTCCTCTGTTTCCCCAGTGCCGTCTGTTCCCTCGGTTTCCTCTTCTGTTTCTCCTTCTGTTTCTCCCTCTGTCTCTCCCTCCGTCTCTCCCTCTGTCTCTTCTGCCTCCCCAGTCACCTCCTCACTCCCTTCCTCTGTCACTTCCTCTGTTCCCTCCTCCTCACTCCCTTCCTCACTCCCTTCCTCCGTCACTTCTTCTGTCACTTCCTCTGTTCCCTCCTCCTCACTCCCCTCCTCACTCCCTTCCTCTGTCACTTCTTCTGTCACTTCCTCTGTTTCCTCCTCCTCACTCCCCTCCTCACTCCCCTCCTCACTCCCCTCCTCGCTCTCCTCCCCTTCCCCCTCACCTGTCTCGCCAGTCAATTCTGTCCCATGGCTTCTCCAGCTCTCCCCTTGCACCCCTCCTCCTCCAATCCCTCTACCCCCATCTTGCTCCTCCCGAGCCTCTAGCCTCGGCTCGAGGCTCAGCTCCGGAACAAGGTCCGGGCGCCCATGCCCGCTGTGCCCTTCCCCCCCTCTCATTCCATCTCCCGTTCCCCCTTCTGCCCTGTGTCCAGCCCCCACTCCCTCGCTCCCATCTCGCTTCTCACCCGAACCTGCATTTCCCGAATCTGCAGCACCTGCACCCGAACCTGCCCCCGGACCTGCTCCGCCCGCCGAACCTGTCCCACCTCTTCCGCTCCTCGACCCTGCGTCGAGCCAAGAAAACCCACCGTACAGCGCTGGACCTGGCGCCAACTTTTGAGGCTCGGCTTTCACCCGAGGCAAGGGGGAGGATCGGTAGGGCAGGTATCCGGAGCTATGATCACTCAAATCCAAATAACTACCCTCATACCTCCCACTGAACCCACTCCTTTTGCTGCTGCCCCTGCCGCTGCTGCCGATACTGGCCCCGCTTGCAACACTCGCCCCATCCCCGTCCCCACCCGCCCCATCCCCACCATTATCCTCCTCATTGTCTTCCTCGTTATCCCCTTCAGTGTACCCGCTCGCACTGCTGCCACTCCTACTCAGCCTCCCGCTGCTACCCCGATCCAGCCCTTCCAACCCTGGCGAGTTGCCTCGGGAGTCGCCTTGGGAGTTGCCTCGGGAGTCGCCTTGGGAGTTGCCTCGGGAGTCGCCTTGGGAATTCCCCTGCGAGCCCCCTGAACTGCGAGGAGTGTGGGGAGTGGAGGAACCTGCAGCTTGCTGCCACTCCAGAATCCGCTGCTGTATCGCATTCAACCCCCCTGCACCGTCCGCACCGTTACCAGCACCTACAGAAACACCTGCACCTGCAGCAGCAGCAGAGGCAACACCATCCGGATCAGCATCAGCTCTGCTGGTGCTACTATGACCATTCACCCCACTCCCTCCCGGCCATTCCTTACTGGTATGGGGACTAGCATGCCTGCTGGGATGGGGACTAGCATGCCGGCTAGGATGAGGGCTGGCATGTCTACTCGGGTGGGGGCTGACATGGGGGCTGGCTCGCGGACTAGGCCCAACTCCTCTCTCCCCAGCCGGTCGCAGTGCTGCCTTCCAGTCAACCGTATTCTGCCGGCTGTTGCTGTCCGGCTGACTGCTAGCCGGCGGGCCTGCCGGCCGCAGGTGCGCGCGCCAGTTCGGATCGCTCTGGTCCGTGCTCCCAGTGGCCAGTCGCGCTGAAGAGTCAATGTGTCTCAGAGGGACGGACGGGGCTTCTAGTGGCATTACCACCGCTCCTCCCCCTCCTGCTCCTGCTGCGCCTCCTGTTTGGTGCAGAGGCGGCCATTCGTTGGTGTTTTGCCTGCTGCCCGGCCTGCTGCCCGGCCTGCTGCTCGGTCTGCTTCCCCCCTGCTGCTGCTTCTGCTGGATTGAAGCGGGTGTGGGCCACTCCTGAGTGTTCTGCCTGCTGCCCTGCCTGCTCCCCTGTGGCTGCGGCTGAACCGACACAGGAGCCGGCCACTCTTGGGTGTTCTGCCTGCTCCCCGCTCTGCTCCCCTGCTGCTGCTGCTGTACTGATTGAGGGGCAGGCCATTCGTTTGTGTTCTGCCTGCTGCCCCGCCTGCTCCCACCCCACATACCCCCGCCATCACCAGCAGCACCAGCAGCACCCATCTCGCGGTTGAAACTCCCTGCTTGCTGCATTCGGATTGCAGCAGCAGAGGCACCACCACCTGCCGCCGCCACCACAGCTGCTGCTGCTGCGATGGCAGCATACCCTGCCTCTCTCCCTCCTCCCTCCTCTCCCTCTGTGCTGCTTCCCTCTCCCTCTGTCTCTGCCTCTGTCTCTCCCTCTGTTTCTTCCTCTGTCTCTGCCTCTTCTTGTGACGAGCCCAGTTCTCCTCCCTCCCCTGTGTCCTGCTCTCCTCCCTCCCCTGTGTCCTGCTCTCCTCCCTCCCCTGTGTCCTGCTCTCCTCGCTCCCCTGTGTCCTGCTCTCTGCTACTCTCTTCCTTCAGAGGCACCACACTTATCGATCCATCCTCCTCCTCCTCCTCCTCCTCCTCCTCCTCCTCCTCCTCCTCCTCCTCCTCCTCCTCCTCCTCCTCCTCCTCCTCCTCCTCCTCCTCCTCCTCCTCTTCCTCCTCTTCTTCCTCCTCCTCTTCCTCCTCCTCTTCCTCCTCCTCCTCCTCCTCCTCCTCCTCCTCCTCCTCCTCCTCCTCCTCCTCCTCCTCCTCCTCCTCCTCCTCCTCCTCCTCCTCCTCCTCCTCCTCCTCTTCCTCCCCTTCCCCTTCTGTTCCCTCCTCTGTTTCTTCCTCTTCCTCCTCTTCCTCCCCTTCCCCCTCTGTTCCATCCTCTGTTTCTTCCTCTTCCTCCTCTTCTGTCTCTTCTGTCACTTCCTCCTCCTCTTCTGTCTCTTCTGTCACTTCCTCCTCCTCTTCTTCCTCTTCTTCCTCTTCCTCCCCTTCCCCTTCTGTTCCCTCCTCTGTTTCTTCCTCTTCCTCCTCTTCTGTCTCTTCTGTCACTTCCTCCTCCTCTTCTGTCTCTTCTGTCACTTCCTCCTCCTCTTCTTCCTCTTCTTCCTCTTCCTCCCCTTCCCCTTCTGTTCCCTCCTCTGTTTCTTCCTCTTCCTCCCCTTCCCCCTCGGTTCCCTCCTCTGTTTCCTCCTCTTCTTCCTCCTCTCCCTCAGTCTCCCCCTCCGTCTCCCCCTCCGTCTCCCCCTCCGTCTCCCCCTCGCCCTCTCCCACCCACCCCTCCCCACCCTCCCCAGCACCAGGAACACCATCGTAGCTCCCCTCACTCTCCTCCGTCTCTCCTTCTGTCTCCGTTACCATCTGCCCCACTTCATCATATAAGGCGAGCTGGGATTCAGTCATAGAGGTAACATCATCATCAATCGTTTGTTCCTCGCCTATAGTGTGAACCGTCACCTCCCCCTCCCCCCCTTCCTCCTCTCCATAAAATGACCCTCCCTGATCTCCTTCCGTCCCTTCTTCCTCCTCTTCCTCTTCCTCCTCCTCTTCCTCCTCCTCTTCCTCCTCTTCTTCCTCCTCTTCATCCTCTTCCTCCCCCTCCCCTGTTCCCTCAGTCTCTTCTGTCTCCTCAGTCTCTTCAGTCACCTCTTCCCCTGTCACCTCCTCTTCAGTCACATCTTCCTCTTCCTCCTCCTCCTCATATTCCTCACTTGCTCCTGTCCCTTCAGTCACCTCTTCCCCTGTCACTTCTTCTGTCACATCCTCTTCTGTCTCCTCCTCTTCAGTCACCTCCGTTCCTTCCTCCGTCATCTCTTCAGTCCCCTCCTCCTCCTCTTCCCCCTCCTCGTCCTCCTCTTCCTCCTCCTCCTCTTCCTCCTCCTCTTCCTCCTCCTCATCTTCCTCCTCCTCATATTCCTCCTCTTCTGTCTCTTGCGTCACTTCCTCCTCTGTTCCATCCACTGTCTCATCCTCCTCCTCTTCCTCCTCTTCCTCTCCTTCCTCCTCATACTCCTCACTTGCTCCTGTCTCTTCAGTCCCCTCTTCTTCCTCTTCTTCCTCCTCTTCCTCCTCATATTCCTCAGTCATTTCCGTTGCCTCAGTCCCCTCCTCCTCCCCCTCATCCTCCTCCTCCTCTTCCTCCTCCTCTTCGCCTTCCTCCTCCTCATAATCCTCTGTCACTTCAGTGACTTCTGTCCCCTCCTCTTCTTCCTCATCCTCCTCCTCTTCCTCCTCCTCTTCCTCCTCCCCTTCTCCTTCCTCCTCATAATCCTCTGTCACTTCAGTGACTTCTGTCCCCTCATCCTCCTCCTCTTCCTCTTCCTCCTCCTCGTCCTCCTCTTCTTCTTCCTCCTCCTCCTCCTCCTCCTCCTCCTCCTCCTCCTCCTCCTCCTCCTCCTCCTCCTCCTCCTCCTCCTCCTCCTCCTCCTCCTCCTCCTCCTCCTCCTCCTCCTCCTCTTCCTTTTCATAAGTGTTTGCCGTTTCTTCAGTCCCTGTAACCTCCTCCGTCCCAGTCATTTCTTCTGTCCCAGTCACTTCTTCTGTCCCTGTAACCTCCTCGGTCCCAGTTACCTCCTCCGTACCTTCTTCTGTACCCTCCTCTGTCTCTGTATACCCCTCCTCATCCTCATCATCTTCTTCCTCCTCCTCCTCGTCCTCCTCCTCGTCCTCTTCCTCCTCCTCCTCCTCTTCCTCCTCCTCCTCCTCCTCCTCCTCCTCCTCCTCCTCCTCCTCCTCCTCCTCCTCCTCCTCCTCCTCCTCCTCCTCCTCCTCCTCCTCCTCCTCCTCCTCCTCCTCCTCCTCATCTTCTTCATCCTCCTCCTCAATAACCTCAGCAGTCACAACACCGCTATTCCCCTCACCATCCGCCCATCCCGCGCCGCCATAAACACCAGAAGCAGACGACGAAGCCACCGCAGCCGAAACAGCAGACCCTGGCGACAACCCTTCATCAAAACTCACCTCCTTCCTCCTCCTACCCGCACCCGCCGCAGCAACACCAAGCTGCTGCTGCTGCTGCTGCTGCCACTGCTGCTGTTGCTGCATCTGACCACTCGTTTGCTCCCCTGACGTTAACACTTCACCTACAGGAACTTCCTCCTCCTCCTCTTCCTCATCCTCCTCACTCGATGCAAATGACCATTCTCTCTCACTACCCTCCCTTTCCCCCTCGCCTCCTCTGCCTCTCCCTCCTTGCTGCCGCAAACCACCTGCTGCCTCCTCCTCCTGCCGTTGCTGCTGTTGGCGTTGCCTCGCCATCTCCACTGCAGTAGCAGCTGATAAGGACGAAGCCATGATTGCACTGGTCAAAGCATCATTCGCCCCCATGCCTCTCTCCCCTCTCTCCCCTCTCTCCCCTCTCTCCCCTCCATCCGCACCCCCCATCATCCTATCCCCGCTAGGAGTCATGCTCCGCTCAGCACTTAACAAAGTGTCAGTATTTCTAGACTCGGACTCTGATTCGTCCGGGCTCGACCAATCAGCTGAGCTCCGGGATGCAGTGGTGCTAGCACTGGTCGGCCGGCCCCGAGCCAAGGATGCAGGAGTGCCTGCCGAACCTGCGGCTCCCGGACCTAGCGGCGGCCGGCGCGAACCCCAACCACTTGCCGAACCTGCTCCTCCTCCTGCCGCCCCTGCCGCTCCTGCCACCCCTGCTGCCCCGACTGCCCCTGCTGCTGCAGCAGCAGCACTGGCAGAAGCACCAGCACCATCACCCTCCTCCTCACAGCCACCACCCCCTTCACTATCATATGCTGTTGCAGGAGTGGGCCGGAGGGGGAAGGAGGGCGCTTGGGAAGATACCGGGAAGACAGCGGGGGGAGCGGGCGCGGGTGTGGGTCGAAGGGGGAAGGAGGGGGAGGCGGAAGGGCCAGCGGGAGGAGGAGGGGCGGTAGGGGGAAGGGCGGAGAGGCGGGGGTCGATGGGTGGGGGAGGGAGGGGGGAAGGACCCATGGGTCCTCCTGGGAAAGAATCTCCCTTGCTATCACCCCCCTTGCTGTTGTCTCTCCAGCTGCTGCCGCTGCTGCTGCTGGGTCCTCCTACCCCTCCTGGCCCCCCTGTACCGTGCACAACCACTTGTATCCGCCCTGACGGGGATCCTGGTGGTGATGGTTCTTTCTTCTCGCCCTGCTGCTGCTGCTTCTCCTGCTCCTCCTGCTGCGTCGGCTGCTTCTGCCCCCATCGGAATGGCATGAGCGCGAATGCACCCACAGCTGCGGCTGCTGCTGCGAATCCCCCAGCCACACTCATCCCTCCCGCTCCTGCCGCCCCCCCTGCTCCTGCTCCTGCCGCTCCTCCTCCCGCTCCTGCCGCTCCTGCTCCTGCTCCTGCCGCTCCTCCTCCCGCTCCTGCCGCCCCCCCTGCTCCTCCTGCTCCTGCCACTCCTCCTACCCCTGCTGCCCCTGCTCCTTCCGCTCCTCCTGCTGCCGCTGCTGGTGGTGGGGTTAACGCGGCTGAAGTGGATGCAGCAGCACCATTGGTAGCAGCACCACCTACTGCTGCTCCTGCTGCTGCTCCTCCAACTGCTGCTCCTCCTGCTGCCGCTGCTCCTGCCGCCACTCCTGCTCCTCCTGCTCCTGCTGCTCCTGCTTGCCCTGATTGCACAGCACCACTATCCCCACTATATGGCTCTGCCTCCATAACTTCATCATCCTCACTCCTCTCATCCTCACTCTCCTCCTCCTCGCCCTCCCCTTCCGACCCAATCTCAACTATCGTCTCATGCATCATTGGTCGGCTTCTCAACCCACCTCCCCCTCCTCCTCCCGCTGCTGCTGCTGCTGCCGCTGCTGCTCCAGCCGCTGCTCCCACTGCTACCCCTGCCGCTACACCGGCAGCAGCACTACCAGCAGTGGCACCAGAAGAGGAATCAGCGGCAGGAGTGGCGGGAGTTGGTGGGGGAGGGGAGAGCTGCGGCGGAGTCTGTTGGTAGGGGAACAAAGGAGGCAGGGGAGATGAGTTGAGAATGAGAAATGAGAATTGGATGAGGATGACATGAGGCAGGAGTGAGAATGAGAATGTGGTGTGTAAGGCCTGTAACTCACCCGTCCAAGGTTCCTTCTCTGGTCGTCTGACTCCGTATCAACATCATCAGATGTTGGCAGTGCCATCGGCACTTCATCCCACTCCTCTGCCGTCGTTTGAGTCGACTAAAAACCACATGTGTGTAACTCACCCGTCCAACGTTCCTCCTCTGATCGTCTGACTCCGTATCAACATCATCAGATGTTGGCAGTGCCATTGGCACTTCATCCGACTTCTCTATTAAGACAAAACTGACTCACCCGTTTAAGGCCAGTTACTCACCCGTCCAACGTTCCTCCTCTGGTCGTCTGACTCCGTATCAACATCATCAGACGTTGGCAGTGCCATCGGCACTTCATCCGACTCTTCTGCCGTCTCCTCCCCTCCTCTCCCACTCCCTCCTCTCCCACTCCTCCCACCCCTCCCCACCTTCCCACTACTCTCCTCCTCCCGAGTGCTATACCCCTCCCCCTCCTCCCCAACCTCCACACTCGTGTACTCCTGACTCTCCCCCACTGGCAAAGCCATCACCACCTCTTCCCCGCTCTCTCCTATCGCCCCACTCTCCGTTTTCCTCCCGCTCTCTCCCCCACCACTGCTGGCAGCAGCAGGGACGGAGGGACCGGCACCAGCAACAGCGGCAGCCCGGTCAGCTGCCTGCTCGATCCGGCGCCGCAGGGGAGAGTCGCTGCCGCCACTGATGGGCTTGGAGCGACTCGAGTCGTACTGGCCAGACCTGGAAGGGTGAGGAGGGAAGGGTGGAGAACACGTGAGGAAAGGAGTGGAAGTGACGGGAGAGTCGCTGCCGCCGCTGATGGGCTTGGAGCGACTCGAATCGTACTGGCCAGACCTGGGAGGTTGAGGAGAGGGTAGGAAGGACGTGAGGAAAGGACGTGGTGGGAGAGGGTAGAGAGGAGAGGAAGGAACGAAAGAGGTGGAATTGAAGAGAGAGGTGCTGCTGCTGCCATTGACGGGCTTGCAAGGAGAGGCGGCAGGGAAGAACTGACCCGGACGGCATCAAGAACTGACCTGGGCGGCAGGAGAGCTGACCTGGGCGGCAGGAGAGCTGACCTGGGCGGCAGGAGAGCTGACCTGGGCGGCAGGAGAGCTGACCTGGGCGGCAGGAGAGCTGACCTGGGCGGCAGGAGAGCTGACCTGGGCGGCAGGAGAGCTGACCTGGGCGGCAGGAGAGCTGACCTGGGCGGCAGGAGAGCTGACCTGGGCGGCAGGAGAGCTGACCTGGGCGGCAGGAGAGCTGACCTGGGCGGCAGGAGAGCTAACCTGGGCGGCAGGAGAGCTGACCTGGGCAGCAGGGTGGACCGTGGAACTGACCTGGGGGGCATGGCGCCGAATCCAGCCATGTGCATGCGCGTGCTGGAATCCATGTCCTCTGAATACAGCTTTGAGACCTCGCAGGACTCGATTTTGAGATGTCTCGGAAGTTGGGAACTACGTCCTCTGAATACAACGCCGCACTCTCCTCCTCTTCCTCTAAACCTGAGTCGCTTCTGATATTTTCTAACACCAAGGAGGAACGGACCTGGGCGGCATTAAGAAGTTACCTGGGTGGCATGGCGCCGAATCCCGCCATGTGCATGCGGGTGTTTGAGTCCATGTCCTCTGAATACAACGCCGCACTCTCTTCCTCCTCCTCTTCCTCCTCCTCGTCATCCCTCTCCTCCGTCTGCTCGCCTGTTTCCCCCGCAGCCCCCCCTGCTTCTCGGGACGAAAAGGACGCAGAGCTGGGCTGAGCGGCAGCAGCAGCAGCAGCTCCGCCCGCTGCTGCAGCTGCTGCTGCTGTGCCAACTGCTACGGCTGCAGCAGCAGCACTCCCAGCACCAGCAGGAGCAGCACCAGCAGCACCATCACCAGTAGGAGCAACAGGGCCCCCAGTGTCGAGGGCAGAGGCGGTGGTGTCGGGGAATTCGAGGGAGGGCGGGTTGGCGAGGGGGTTGGTGATGTAGATGCGCGGGGAGGAGCCCGCTGAGCCGCCGTGCTTCATGCAGTAGGGGTCCGCACAGCTGGAGGCACTGTGGTGGGAAGAAGGGGGGAGAGAAGGGGGGGGAAAGTGGAGCTGAGTCAAAAACCACACAGCCTTGTGAGCCGCCGTGCTTCATGCAGTAGGGATCCGCACAGCTGGAACCACTGTGGTGGGGGGAAAGACGGAAGGGGGGAGCAGCCGGAGAGGGGGGTCAAGGAGGGTAGCAGCTTTTTGACCCGCCGTGCTTCATGCAGTAGGGATCCGCGCACCTGGAGCCACTGTGGTGGGAAGAAGGGGGGGAGAGAGGATCGGAACGGGTAGGTGAAACGAAGTTGGAGGGAGGGAGGGGACGAGAAAGGGGGGGAAATAATAGAGGGGGAGGTGATAATGGGAAGGAGGTGAACCCATACCCTCACTCACCCATGCACTCCCTCATTCACTCACTTAAGCACTCACTCACTCACTCTCCCTCACAGACACACACTCACCCGCATAGAAGTCCGCGTCGCAAACTGCTCTCCTCGTCGTCCTCCTGGTTATTCAGATATCGGTCGAGCAGCAGGCTAACCGGATATGCCACCGGGGAGAGCAGCAGCAGCAGCAGGCAAGCGAGCCATGCGGTGGCGGAGGCGATGCGGAGGGAGTGGCGCGCACAGATGGCGGGGGGAGCGAGTGGGTCCCATCCCCTCTCCCTCTCCCTCTCCCTCTCCCTCTCCTTCTCCCCTTCCCTCTCCCATCACTCCCACTCACACAAGCACACTCACCCGCACTGGAGCCCTCGTCGCAAGCTGCTTTCCTCTTCGTCCTCTTGATTATTCAAGTATCTATCCAGCAGCAGGCTAACCGGGTACGCCACGGGGGAGAGCAGCAGCAGCAGCAGGCGGGCGAGCCAAGCGGCGGCAGAGGCGATGCGGAGGGAGTGGCGCGCACAGATGGCGGGGAGAGCAAGTGGGTCCCATCCCCTCTCCCTCTCCCCTTCCCTCTCCCACTCTCCCCCACACACAAGCACACTCACCCGCACAGGAGACCGCGTCGCAAGCTGCTCTCCTCCTCATCTTCTTGATTGTTGAGGTATCTGTCTAGCAGCAGGCTCACTGGATACGCCACAGGAGAGAGCAGCAGCAGCAGCAGGCGGGCGAGCCAAGCGGTGGCGGAGGCGATGCGCAGGGAGTGGCGCGCACAGATGGCTGGGGGAGCGATTTCCACGAAGAGCAGTATGAGTAGCACGCAGAGGATGAAGCCCATTAGCATGCCCAACACGCCTGGTAAGGTGGGGTGGAGAGCGGTGGAGAGGGGTGGAATACGGTGAGATGAATGAGAGCACATGGAGTGGCGCGCACAGATGGCGGGGGGAGCGATCTCGACGAAGAGCAGGATGAGGAGCACGCAGAGAACGAACCCCATTAGCATGCCCAACACGCCTGGGATGGGATGTAGGGGTGGAGAGCGTTGGGGAGTGGTGGAGAGTGGTAAAACAGGTTGGGATGAATGAGAAGAGTGATTTCCACGAAGAGCAGGATGAGTAGCACGCAGAGGACGAATCCCATCACCATGCCCAACACGCCTGGGAGGGTTGGAAGGGTGGGTAGGACAGCGATGGAATGAGGTGAGATGCAGCGCAAGAGCGGATTTCACGAAGCGCAGTATGAGCAACACGCAGAGGACGAATCCCATCACCATTCCCAACACGCCTGGGAGGGTTGGAAGGGTGGAGTGGAGAGAATTAGGCGGAAGTGGAGTAAGGGTGATTTCTATGAAGAGGATATTAGAGCCACCTAAGCGCACATGAGCCCTCCTGAGCCCCACCTGAGCCCACCTGAGCCCACCTGAGCCCCACCTGAGCCCCACCTGAGCCCACCTGAGCCCCACCTGAGCCCCACCTGAGCCCCACCTGCTCCCGCCTGAGCCCACCTGAGATCTATGGGTATGGGAGACCCACCTGAGACGAAGAGCGTGAAGCTGACGTTGACGCTGGTGCTGGCGACCAATAGCGTGGTGAGCAGCAGACTGCCACGTGTGCGCAGCGCTGCCACCTTGGCAGCCTGCCACCTCAGCCGCTCGTCCACGCCATCCATCGCCGCCTGCTCGAGATTGGGAGGGATGGGGAGGGGTGGGGTGGGGTGGGGTGGGGTGGGGTGGGGTGGGGTGGGGTGGGGTGGGGTGGGGTGGGGTGGGAGGGAGAGAATACCATCCTGGCAGCCTGCCACCTCAGCCTCTCGTCCACGCCATCCATCGCCGCCTGCTCCCGAGGGGACGGGGGGGTGTTGGGGGAGGTGGGTGCGGGGGAGTTGGGAGAACGGAGGGGGGAAGAAAGGGGAAGGGGAGGGGAGGGAGAGCGGGTGACGGTGGGGGGGAGAGGGAGGACAGCGGTGGTTACCCGCGGCACTGGTGTTACCTGCAGCGTGGCCATATCGAGTCCCAGCGTAGACGACATCATGCAGGAGATGACGAGCGACATGGCCAGCAGGCAGCACGCGGAGATGGGGAATGGGAGGGGGGAAAAGGGAGGGGGGAGAAGGGAGGGGTGCGGGGGTTGGGGGGGAGTCTGGGGGAAGGGGGAGTATACAGTACAATTGTGTGACTGGGGGGGTTACCTGCAGCGTGGCCATATCGAGTCCGAGAGTAGATGACATCATGCAGGAGATCACGAGCGACATGCCCAGCAGGCAGGAGCATGCAGAGAGGGGGGTGGGTGGGGGAAGGAGCAGGGACGGCCGGGGGGGAGGGAGGGCGGGGGGTAGAGGGGGTCTACGGTAATACTCTGTAACAGAACTGTTTACCAGCAGCGGGGGTTACCTGCAGCGTGGCCATATCGAGCCCCAGAGTAGACGACATCATGCAGGAGATGACGAGCGACATGGCCAGCAGGCAGCACGCGGAGATGGGGAACGCGATGAGCTCAGCGGTGGAGAGCGGTGGGAGCCAGCCGGAGGCGGTGTAGCAGGAGTCGTAGCAGTCGATGGTGGGCCCGTCGCACGCGTTCAGACACGCCACGATGCCGTTGCTCGGCGCGCAGGCTCCCAGCCGCGCCAACGGCGCCCAGCAACTCATGCTGCCGCTGCTTCTGCTTCTGCTACTGCTACTGTGTCTACTCCTTCCTTACTCCTGCTGCTGCTGCTGTTGTTCCTTAAATCTCCTCCTCCTGTTGCTGCTGCTGCTGCTGCTGCAGTAACAGTCAGCTACGTTCCCTTTGCCCTCGCCGCTGCTGCCCGTATAGGTACACCCTCCCTTGCTCCCTTCTCTCACCGCTGCGCCCCTCCCAGACCTGCCCCTCGTCGAGTCGCGCAGTGGGATTCCCAACCTGTTCGCAACACGAACTCAGCTTCGTATCCCCTCTTTCACCTGTTATCTTCTTACTTTCGCCCTCCTCGCTGTGTTAAAAAGAGCACTTTCGCCTGTTTCCCTGTACGATCGCTCGCTGCGGGTTCTTCTACTCGCACGAAAGCTCAGCTTCTTATTTCCAACCCCTTTCCCGCAATCGCCAGCGTCGCAATTTCGCTACTAAAAATTTCAGCAAAACCTGGTCGCAAAATGTATCGCGTTAGTAAAGTTAGAAGAGCCTAAAACGAAGGTGTCACCCGGCTGGGCCTGTCAACGTAATCCTGTCGTATTCCGTCACTATTTCTGAGCCGCCTCTATAGTAATTCCGTCGTATTCCATTGATATCCCCGTCGTTCTCTTCGTCCTCCGCAAGCTCTTCCGCCATTCCCGGGGCATACGGCGCCGAAGCCACGGCGTCACGAGTCGACCCAGCGCCGCTGATTGGCGGACGAAAAACGGTATCTGATTCTCGGCCAGTCTATGCTAGCGGTCTGACTGACGCTGGTTCGAAGCATGCCGGTTTCTCTCGCGCGCCACTGCTTCGTGCTAATTCCTTTTCTAGGACGGCGCTCAATATCGCGAATGGTTGAGAGCGCTTGGAGTAGTAAAGTAATGGCGGTCTCGAACGACGAATATATCAATTCATTGAAAGGACGGCAGAGTCTAGACTGCGTACGCAGCACAACTTACGTCACACGGGACTATGGTGGGAAGTTAAATTAGCAGAATAGAAACGTCGCATTTGCGCGTATCTAGCGTCACCATTCGTCAAGCTACCGACTTCGCGAACCAGACGATTTCGCGCCAAACAAAGCCCTTGCTTCCTCTCTACTCGGCGTAACCTACTGCTGGGCCCGTGAAGTCACCACCGTCGGCTGTCGTCCTCGATAATACCGCGCCATGCTCGAGCGCAAAGCGCGTCATTCTCAAGGTGGGTGGGGGGACAGGATGGAGGGACGAGGGGCGGGTGGGTGGGTGGTGGGCGGGAGGGGTACGAGGGAACTAGTTTGACCAGTGACGGCAATCGAAGTCGCGTAAACCGGGTACAGAAAGCCAACGTGCTTTGATTCTTGCCGAACCAGATTCCCACGTTGACTTGCGGTACGGAAAGCAGCTGGACGGACCCTTGGCTTTGGTTGGTTCCAGCGAAGCTCAAAACCCAAAGCATATTTGCCCCGGGCTGGAACTGCAGAATGGCTAGCACAAACCAGAAGTCGTGGTTTGGAGATTTCGTCCAGCCTGTTAGGAGATCAGGCTCGGCTGGGATGAGGAGGTTCGGCATTTTACACGAGGCTCGCGCCGTGTGCGAAAGGCATTTCTCGTGGTTTGATCGTGCCCTCGCTGGGCACGCAAGTCGTCGTCAAGTGCCCCGCCAGAGCACTTGCCTGATAGGGCAGCGGAGCGTGACGTTTTACTGGCGCCACGTCAGCCCTAACTTTGATCAGGCGCCTGCTTGCTTCCTCGTCGCCTGCATCTACTGGACCCAACTTCACTTCAAACGCACAGCTGCCACCGAATAGTTGTGTACTGACAGACCCGTTACTAAAAATACACCAGGGATGTTTCAAAGATGTGAGCACACTAGCTAGATGTCTACAACTTCAAATCAAATAAGCACATTCTAGCAATACCTGCCAAATCAGCCTATAAGATGGCACAAAAAGAGTGGCGCATCTATAATGTTTGAACACCCACTTATCTCCAACTTCTCTATCTCACAGAGCAACGCTAAAGAGGGGGGTAGACGTGTCAACCGGTCACAACCACTTAGCTCAAATGACTTCAAATTTGACATGAGCCCAACGCCTTCAGGTAGCTCCGAGAAATTACGGCAGCAGGTGAGCGTGAAATGGGTTAAAGATGAAAGCTGAGTGAAGGAAGATGGGATCTGCCGAAACTCAGGGCACCAGCTGATGGACAGCTCTTGGAGGTTGGGCAGCTGCGAAATTTCTTCAGGCAGGGCAGAGAAAAGTTCACAATTGATGAGCTTGAGGCTTTCAAGAGAAGAAAGTTGGGAGAATGTGCAAGGAAGGGTGGTAAGCCTGTTGCAGGCAAGCAGCTTTAAGGTCCGGAGGTTTTTAAGCTGCCCGAACGAGTCAGGCAAGTGCGAGAGCTGGTACGTGTTGCAGAGTTCCAACTTTTCCAAAGCAGGCAAATCCCCGAAATCCTCGGGCAGCCTGAAAAGGTTTCGGCAGCCTGTGATCATGAGGTCGGTCAGGCGGTCCAGCTTGGGGAGGGAAATGGGCAGCTCCGTAAGATTTTCGCAATTGTGAATCTCCAGGCTCCAGAGATTGGGAAGAAAGCCAATGTCATCGGGAAGAGTAAGAAAGCATTCGCTTATCTCAAGACCCTCTAACGAGGATAGACGGCTCATGGAGGATGGGAGGTAGTGGAGGGAGTGGCAGGAGCAGAGGACCAGATTCCAAAGATTTGGCAGCTGCCCGAGGGACTCTGGAAGGCTTGTGAGGCACGGAAGAGCAAGCTCGAGCGTCTTGAGAGATTGCAGCTGACCAAAGTTTTCGGGCAGAGATGTCAGGCTGTAGCAGGTGGTGGCACTGAAGTGAACGAGGCTGGAGAGCTGCCCGAAGGATTCGGGCAGGGCAGGCAACGAATTGCACTCCACCAGCTCTAAAACGCTGAGGTTTTTCAGTCTGCCCAGGCTCTCGGGTAGAGCCCTGAGGTGAGGCGCCTGGAGGTGTAGGACGCGTAACGCGGGCAGCTGCGAGATTTCTTCGGGCAGGCTGCGAAGGTCATCCAATGAGATGTCGAGAAACTCCAGTTGTGTCAGGCACGTTAACGACGGGGGGAGGAACTTGACGCTAGGTATAGTGTGCAGTCCGAGCCTCTCTAATCGCGTACAGGCTCGGAAGAATCCGTCCAGACCTATTTCCGTGACTCCTCCAGCTGACGACACACGCCTGGTAGCCGTTAGGGAGAATCGCTTGAGGTTCGGCAATGCCAAGCCTAAACCGGAGATGATCTGATCGTTGATCACGTCAAGACTGCGATTCGCTAGCTGCAGGGACGTTAGGTTCGGCATGGCTGATAGTGCGCGAAGCAGCGACGCGCTCGAGATCTCCCTGCGACTGACGACGCGAATGTCAGTTTGAGCGACGCGTGCGACGCGGAGCCATCGCTTGCAGACGAGGGCGTGGCGAAACGAAAAGAGGTCCGGGCCGAGCCGGGAAAGGAGGTACGAGAGAAGATCGTCGGAAAGATCGTCGAATGGACAAGCTGTTGGCTCCATAGAAACGGTGAAAAAGGGAGATAAAAGAGAGTATGTTGGAGGCTTTACAACAGAGTATAGTCGGCTCGTTGCTAACTACTACCAATTCCTGATGAAACCTCCGTAACATAGTGTGAGAACCTTTACAAGTTGGGAAATGGATCTGAAGTAGAACGGGTTGACGAGGAGAGGTAGAAGACGAACGGGTTGGGGCAAGGTGGACGAATATCTACGAAAAGCAAAATGTTGGTGTTCGCTCCGTCACCGTCTCTATACATGCGGTAACCAAAACCGTGACGAAATTGCTTCCGCTCACCTCCCTGCCATATCACCTCCACGCACCTTTCAACACACCTTTCACATAATTGATCCCCCTATTGAGTGACTAGTGGTAGAAAACTTACAACATTATTTTACATAAGTTGCATTGCAGTCAACCATTACATAAACTCCACATAGCTGGCAAACTCTTGGAATGTTGACATGTATCTATGAACACAAGCAGATGCTACTGCAACAAAAATGCTACCTGGTGCTAGCTGCACCATTTATACAAGCAGAGGCACTACTACATCTACAACCCCCTAGCTACAACAACACACAGGAGGGAGGGGGGAGGGGGGGTGCAGGGTGCTGAGTGTCATAGGACAGGCACCTTGAGGCGAACTTCAGACTTGTGGGTATAGATCACATCGGAGAACGCAGGTCAGATGGAAGGGCAGGAGGGAACTCGGAGGGCGTGTGGAGATTGTGAGTCGAAAACAGATGGTGTGTGGTTGAAACGGGCGGACCTGCTGCCGCGAATCTCAGCTCTTGACACAGATCTGGGGTGATGCTGCTGCAGATTCTGATGATGCTGCTGCTGTTGGTGGTGCTGCTGCTGATGCTGATGATGCTGTTGATGAGAGTGCCGCTGATAGTGAGTCTGTTGCTCTTGACTGTTGGCACAACGATGGTGCTCCTGCTGCTGCGGATTCTGCTGCTGCCACTGCTGCTGCGGATTCTGCTGCTGCCACTGCTGCTGCGGATTCTGCTGCTGCCACTGCTGCTGCGGATTCTGCTGCTGCTGCTGCTTGTGCAGAGGCAGAGGCGTGTAGGCCACAGCATCGGAGAAGCTTCGCCTTCTTGAACAGTGCCCGGCACCCAATACGTTTCTCGGAAGCCTCTCTGCTGCACCAGAGAAGCTTCGCCTCCTTGACGGGATGGAATGAACGTTGGAGGTGTAAGAGGGAGTTGAGTCCAGAGAGGGAGTTGAGTTGAGGGAGCAGAAGCCACGGGAGGGAGTGGAAGTAAAAGATGGGGTTGAGGCGAGAGAGCAGGTTGAAGTGAGTGAAGGAGTTGGCTGGAGCGAATTGGACCTTCTGGGTTCATTATAATATGCCAGATCAGCCATCCAGGAACGCGCATGCGGCGTGCACTGCCCCGCTCCAGTGGAATCCCCATCGCTGGAATTCTCGTCGGCGAAATCTGCCTCAGTCCGCCCTCCAGCACCTGGTTCTCGCACCTCAAGAGCCACGGGCACGGCTCCCATGACAGCACCATCAGCGTCATCAGCAACACCATCAGCACCACCATCAGCAGCAGCAGCAGCATCATCACCCCATGACTCTGAGGTGGTCAATCGTGTCCTGCTGAGCTCCCTGTGTGCCCCCTCAAACGCTGTCACCCTCTGAGAGCCCTCAAACGCCGCCACTCTCTGAAGCCCCTCGAACGCCGTCACGAACTGCTGGCACCGCACGCTGCTGAGCGCCCTGTGCATTGACTCGGCCTCCACCATTCTTTGAGGCCCCTCGAACGCACTCATTCTCTGAGGCCCCTCGAACGCACTCATTCTCTGAGGCCCCTCGAATGCGGTCACGAACTGCTGGCACCGCACACTGCTGAGCGCCCTGTGCGCGTCCAGCAGCTGCAGCCGACCCTCCAGCGCCTGCAGTGCCACGTCATTCGAGAGCTGGCAGCGCTGGAGCAGCCGCCGGAAGGTTCCGCGGAGCGAGCGAGCGGGCGGCGCAGCAGAGGAGGGGGGGGATGGCGTGTGAGGGAGAGTGGTTGAGCGAGTGGGGCGCGCAATGGGGGGAGTGTGAAGAAATGGGGCATGAGGGGTGGATCGAGTGGGGGAGACGACGGAGGGGGCGTGAGGGACGGCCGGGGAACAAGTGGGGGGCGTGCAGGGGGAAAAGCAGTGGCGGCTGCTGCGAGGGTGAGTGGAGGGAGGGGAGCTGGACAGTGATTGCTGGGAGTAGGAGTCACGGCGGACGGATGTTAGGGGTTCTTGAAAAGCGGCAGTTTCCTGAGAAGCAGATTCCTGCCGCGCAACCATGGGCATTCCTGATGATGGTACTTGAAAACCACAAGTCGACTCGACTTGTTGAAGGAACGCCCATGGTTGAGAAGGCTCGTCCACGGCGCATTGGCATTGCCCGGCGCATTGGCATTGCCCGGCGCATTGGCATTGCCCGGCGCATTGGCATTGCCTGGCGCATTGGCATTGCCCGCGGGTTAGTATGTCCACGACACTCCCGCTGCTGCTCCCTTGCGGCATCACCATGCATTCTGCCAGCGCCAAAGGTGATTCCACCCAATGCTGATGATTCGCATGATAGGAGTTCATCTCACATGGAGCCATGATGGCCAAGTGGGGCGTCTTGACGAGCACGCGGGTTCCAAGATAGATCGATCCAGGGTGGTAAAGAAGAGGCTTGGCACTCCCCTAGGGGTGACTCTCTGAACGGGTGGGGGGATAAGCTGCACGTGAGGAAGGATCGTCGGCTTGGTGCATTCGAGCAGAGGAGTGGGAGGAGCGATTACTACGCTTCTAGGCGCCTCTAAGGTCGTCCGAGCGACCATGAGTTGAGCTGCAGTGGAAGGAGAAGCGGCGGATTTGCGTGACTCAGCCGAGGAAGGCGGGGAGAGATGAATTTTAAAAAGGAGAGCACGGCTCTTTTCAGAAATGATTCAGATTCGTACTTATAAGAGAGAACTGCCAGGGATAACTATGCTCAAGGGACGAGGCGGGGGAGGGAAGGGAGGGCGGCGGGACGAGGGGAGGAAGAAGACTCGCGGCGGGACGAGGAAAGGAAAGGAAGTGCGATTTCGCCCATCCCTCGGCAACAGTAGCAGCAGAGCCAGGGCCTCCCTACAAACCTCCGTTTTGAGCCACATGCCGCTCGTGTTTGGAGGGGCCCCTGATTGGCATCAGTCCGCAAACTCCTGAGATACGAGAGAAAATGCCAATTTCCTCGAATCTAGGCGGCTCAGACATAGATCTGTGAGAAGAGTGTGTTGGGATTAAGAACAGAAACAGTGTGAGAACAGTGTGAGAACAGTGTGAGAAGAGGCGCACAGCTAGGGGCGACCAGAGGTTGGAACAAGCTACCAGGAGCTGCCTACCCAGAGATTGGCAACAGGAGATTAGCAGCAACAGGAGATTAGCAAGAGGCGATCAGCAACAGGCCAGAGCAGACCGTGCGACAGACGTGTCATGGTGCGGCATTCCTGGCGTAGCGACGCTTTTGAGGCACAACCCTGGCTTTTGAGCCTGGAAAGCACGGGCTCATTCGCTCGTTCCACCACGTGATGGCTTGGAGGCGACGACCAATGGCAAAAGCGCGCGACCCTGAGCTAGCATCACCCTGTGATGGTGGTGAGATCGGGGTGGGGGGGAGTTGTGTTGTGGGCGGAGAGTGACGTAACGACGCTCATCTGACCTGCAACCCTATCCATGGATGCACCAATGGCGTGCGTCCCAGAGCTAGCATCACCCTGCGATGGTGTTGCGATAAGGGTGGGGAGTGACGCTCATCTGAGCCGCATTCCCCATCCACGACAGTACCATCCCAAGGCTGGCAATCCCAATCCCGTCGAGATCACTAGATCACTTTCGAGGCGCCTGAAAAGCTCTTTGAGGCAGCTGACTCAGCTCGGAGCTGTCCCTGGATGCACCAATCATGGCGTCTACAACAGTACCATCCCAGGGCTGTGATCCGGTTGGAGATGAAGTGGCGAACGGATAACTGGCATGGCGTTGCTTTTATCCACAGGATCATCGCTGCGATTCGCGCTTCACGTGAAAGCAAGCCCTCAATTTCACTTCTTCTTTTTTTAGTTCGACTCAAAGATCGACCTCCGCGTAAAAACGAGAACTGTCACTAATCCGACAGTACCGGACAGCACGAGAGGTCCTTGAGGCGTCACAAAAGGGTTTCATTCGAGTCGAGACGTCTCAAAATAAAATTCTGCGACTCGTCTCAAAAGTCTGCACTCCACGTCTGCACTTCACGCCAGCACTCCACGTGATAGGAGGCACTTTACGTAGGTGAGCTGTCCGACAGTACGATATGGTCCGATCCGACAAGCGAACAACTCCGAACGCTTTCTAACGACTCCAAGCGCTTTCTGTTGGAAAAGGGGCGATCCTCCTCCTCCTCCTCCTCCTCCTCCTCCTCCTCCTCCTCCTCCTCCTCCTCCTCCTCCTCCTCCTCCTCCTCCTCCTCCTCCTCCTCCTCCTCCTCCTCCTCCTCCTCCTCCTCCTCCTCCTCCTCCTCCTCCTCTTCCTCCTCCTCCTCCTCCTCCTCCTCCTCCTCCTCCTCCTCATCCTCCTCCTTCGCCTGACTTCTTCTCACCCGCAGCCGCCGCTCGTGTGTTAAACGGTCTACAGTCTACGGGATTGATGTACAGTGCATGCATTTTCGACCAATCTAACAAACTCGGGGTTGCATGCAAGTCAGAGCGGCAATCCTCCTGAGGCGAAGGCAGACATTCGACGTGGCAGCCACCTCGCTGTACACCACATCATTCAACACCGCGTTGACTCGGCAAGGGCACATATGGCGCGAGAATACAGTGTAGATCATGGCCTCGCGCTACTACTATACAGTTTCGACTAGGTTACCCCTTCTTACCCTATCGTAATCGACCCCAGATAGCCTAGAGAGCGAGGGCACGCTAGGCCTGTCCCCAACAAGTCTATCGCTAACCCTTGCGTCCCTCGAGCTGAAACCTAGGCACATAAACTGGGCATTCGTGCAAGGCTGTTGCGATATTGTACATACACACTGCACAACGTGCACGACTTCTTTTCCAAAAAAGTATCCATCACTGCAGCAAACAAACAACCTTCAGGTGAGGCTAAGATCAGACCAGACCAGACCGAGGCATTTGCACGGAATCTATTTCGCGGACTGACCGTAACCAACCGTAAATCGGCTCCTGCAAATGTCCGAGAAAGACCGTTGGGATTGGAAGGAACGCCAGAGGCTTCCACAACGAAGCATTATGTCGCGCCGTATAGCACGTGACAGGAGGAGGCCTGTTGCTAATACAGTTCAGGCCGTTGCGTCACCACAGCCCTGAGGCTGCTACTAGAAGAACACCGTACGTTATCCCACAGCACCTTACAGCATCCCATCCCATTCATTGGGTTTATGAGACAGAAACATCCATCCATTCTTTTCTGGCTTCCATTATCCATATCTTCTCTCTTCCGCTTCCCAGGCAACCGCCAGTACGGTTCCCCCACGGTCCTCCCGCCATCAACAATCGTCTGGACTGCCTGTGGGGCGCGCCCAGGATGGCTCGCTTAACGAGTTTCAAAGCGGCCAAGAAAGATCCAGAACGGTTAGATAGATATTTAATGTGGCGGAGGCCCTCACCATAAGCCTCGGGATTGTAGCTCACACACCCTTGGGCCTACTTGATTGGTTGGAGACGGGCTTCGGGGTTAAAGCGACGGTGCACATTTGCCACCCAAAACCCAGAACCCTGGCGAACTGTTACTGCGGATGGAAAGTGTCCGCACGAAATCCTGGTTTTCGCCAGCCAGCACTTTCGCGCTGGCAAGCCTGGTTCAAAAAAAAAACTTCTGAACCCAACACTGCCAAAAGTTGCCCGTCGCTTTAACGAAGATGGAGGTTCGGGTTCGGAGGTTCGGAGGTTTGCGGACGCCCATCATTATTTCGCATAAGCTATTTCGCAAAACCATGATAACTGCGTCTGCCAAACTTTTCCAGACCTTTCTCAACAATACACAATGTTGTAATTATCCTGCCAGTTGCAGGTACTTGTGAGCAAGCTTGCATCACATATTTATTGAAGGTGGAAACAATATACGCATGCTTCCAGCCATATACTTCTGCTGACCTATGGACGACTCGCTCTAGCCTAGAGCAAACACGTGGTGCGCCACTGCAAAGAGGTTCAAGCTACAACTGTTCTTGTGGTGCTGATGGTGCTGCCGCTGCTGCCGCTGCAGGATCTGCTACAGACTCCACTACAGGCTCGGGAGGTTGCATGGCTGTAGCAGCACCTTGCAGCCATGCCGCTACAGCCATGGCTCCGGGATCAGGCACCGATGCCAACACCTCTGCTGGTACATAACTGGACCTGCCAGCCTGGAGCAGAAAAGAACCATGTATAGATGGATTCAATAACCATGCAGCGTTGATTGAGTCACAGTGTTCAAATATTCACAGGATATTAATTAATTCGTCGTGCAGCGCCAATGAATTACACAGTGCATGGATAATGGGTTGCACGAAAAGGTGGATTTCTTGGGTCAGGGCAGCAATGCCGTGCCAACACCTTTTCCCACACGTTGGTGGAAGTGCTAATCTAGAGTGAGGGGAAAAAAATGACATTAGACAAGAGCTAGCATTGACTTGGTTGACTCACCAGTGCTGGCATTGACTTGGTTGACTCGGCTCCTGCAGCAGCAGCCTGAGCAGCAGCAGCCAGCGCTGCCGCTGCAGACTCCCCTGCCTTGACACTGCGAGAGAGAGTGGCAGCGGCGGGCAGCAGAGCATCCAGCATGGTGCGGTAGCCCGCTTGAGCGCCGCCGTACAGACTCACCGCTGCCACTGCCGCCTCAAATGCCGCCGCCCCTGGTGATCACAGGGAGGCAGGGGAGGCAGGAGAGGGGGCAGGGGGAGGAGGAGGGGAAGGGAGGGGGGTTGGAGACGATGGGAAGAGAAGGGGTTGAGAGGTCTCAGATGTCCTCGTCTAGCCATGTGAGAGAGAGAGGCAGCGGTAGGCAGCAGCGAAGTGCAGTAGCCGGCTTGAGCACCGCCGTACAGACTCAACTCAACGCTGCCACTGCCGCCTCAAATGCAGCCGCCCCTGGTGATGATAGGGAGGATGAGAGGAATCATTGATGGAACGTAGGAATGGAAGTGGAATGAACTAGTGGATAAATTGATGGGTGGCATTCGAATTGAGGGCCGCCAGAAGTTGAGACTCAGACAAGGAAACTAGAAGGAATTGAGGGGTTGTTTCTTTTCAAGTTTGTTTTTTCTTATTCTCAAGATCCAAGCAGTCTGGGGTTTGGGTTAAGGGTAGATGGAAATTAAGCGGAGAACCCCTTTTTTGTTAAAAAAAAACCCAGAAGATGAGTTGAAGACGAGGAGAATAGAAGGAAATAAAGAGTCCAGGTGGGAGGGGATAAAGAGGAGGGAGAGGAGGGAACACAAGGAAAGGAGGGAGAAGAGGGATCGGAGGGAGAGACGCGAGAGAAGGAAGAGGAGGGAGAGGAAAGAGAGGAGGGAGAGGAGGGAGGGGAGAGAGAAGAGGGAGGGGAGGGCGAGGAGCGAGAGGAGGGAGGGAGAGGACAGACAGTGGGCAGGAGTGGGCTGTGCTGCTGGCCCTGCGAGCTCCCTGAGCTTAACATACGCTGACCGGCAGAAGATGTCGTATCTGAGAGAAGAATGTCCACAGGCACGATAGGAGTGCGCAGGAGTGAGCAGAAGTAGGCAGGAGTGAGCAGGAGTGAGCAGGAGTGAGCAGGAGTGAGCAGGAGTGAGCAGGAGTGAGTAGGAGTAGGCAGGAGCGAGCAGGGGTAGGCAGGAAAGGAAACAGGTCGGATAAAACGGAGAGTGGAAGAAAGAGGGGCAAAGCCGCAGAAATTATTCAGTAATTGCGCAGCTTTTGAACAAGTTCCTTCATTCTTTGCATGGTAGGACAAGCAGTGGGCACCATGAGGGTAAGAAACAGCCCCCATATCCCCATCCCCCCCCCCCTCTTTCCCACCTTCCCCCCCACCCCCACTCACATGACTCCACTTGTCCCCCCCATGGAGCAGCGCACACTCGCGCCCATCTCCCTCACTGTTGCTGGTGCATCATTAAGCGGGTATCTGGGTCGAGGGGAGGGTGAGGGAGGATGAGGAGGAGGACAGAAGAGGATACGGAGTGGGTTGCAGAATGGGGGGTTAGGAGACGGGAGAGTAGAGAGATGGGAGGGTAGGGAGATGGGTTTAGGAGATAGGAGGGTAGGGAGATGGGTTTAGGAGATAGGAGGGTAGGGAGATGGGGTTAGGAGATAGGAGGGTAGGGAGATGGGGTTAGGAGATAGGAGGGTAGGGAGATGGGGTTAGGAGATAGGAGGGTAGGGAGATGGGGTTAGGAGATAGGAGGGTAGGGAGATGGGGTTAGGAGATAGGAGGGTAGGGAGATGGGGTTAGGAGATAGGAGGGTAGGGAGATGGGGTTAGGAGATAGGAGGGTAGGGAGATGGGGTTAGGAGATAGAAGGGTTAGGAGATAGGAGGGTAGGGAGATGGGGTTAGGAGATAGGAGGGTAGGGAGATGGGGTTAGGAGATGGGAGGGTAGGGAGATGGGGTTAGGAGATGGGAGGGTAGGGAGATGGGGTTAGGAGATGGGGGAGGCTACGAGGTTAATCAGTGGGCAGGAAGTCAGAAGGGTGCAGACTGGGAGAGGAGCGGAGAGAACGAGCAAAGGCAGAGTGCGGGTGCGGACCTTGAGGCGAGGGCTTCAAGAATGTATTGAAATCTCAGAAATCGCTCACCTTGAGGCGAGGGCGTCGAGGACTGCCTTGGCCCCGCGACTCATCTGAACGCATGGGGTGGGGGCAGGCAAGGTGGATGGATGGGGTGAGCAAGAGGGGGTGCAGAGGTTAGGTTGCAGCAAAGCAATGAGTGTTTGAGAGGGGGGCCGTCTAAGAGACTAGGTCTGCCTTGGCCCTGCGACCCATCTCTGATCTGAACGAATATGGGCAAGGTGGGTGGGGTTGGGAGGGGAATATGGCCGATCTTAGCATCCCATGCATTCAGGTCGGCCAGAGCCAGCATCATAGAGTCAAATCATGTGCACAAGCCCCCCTTTCCTCCCCTTCCCCCCCTCCCTCTCACCGTGCTGCCGCAGTCCCCTTCACCAATCTTGGCATCCCAGGCATTCAGGTCGGCAGTGCCAGCACCCCCCTCAGATTCATTGAATGTTGCTACAATCACAGCCCTAAATTCCCCCTTCCCCAATCTCTCCCTTTCTCACCGTGCTGCCGCAGTCCCCATCGCCAATCTTAGCATCCCATGCATTCAGGTCGGCTGGCAGAGCCAGCAACTCCTCTGCTTTGATTGTTGTTACAGTTCATGCAGCCCCCTTTAATTCCTTTCTCACCGTGCTGCCGCAGTCCCCATCACCGATCTTGGCATCCCATGCATTCAGGTCCGCTGCCAGTGCTAGCACGGCCTGAGCGCCCCCTCGGATGCACCGCTCTAGGCACCGCCCCTCTTCTGTTAGTTCCTTTGGACGCTCACATGCTGACGCCTGGGAGGTAGGGGGAGGGAGGGAGGGGGGATGAGGGGGTGGGCGGATGGGGCGCGCGTGTTTCACTCCATGCACTCAACTCAAGCACGGCCTGAGCGCCCCACCACCCCCACCACGGATGCACCGCTCCAGGCACCGCCCCTCCTCTGTTAACTCCTTTGGACGCTCACATGCTGATGCTTGGGGGGGTGCAGGCGGGTGGGGAGCGTGTAAAATGGGGTTTGTGAGGTATGAGGGCATTGGGGGTATAAGGCAATGGCAATGGCATGACGCATTTGGGGGGGGGGGGGGGGGGGGGGTTGGGGTGTTGAGGAGTGGGGGATGGGGATATGGGGAGCACGGAGGTATGGAAGGCATGAGCGGCATAGCAATTATTTGGGGGACATCTCAAGCACTTGTTCATAGAAGTGGGTCAGGATGGGTCAGGATGGGCCAGGATGGGCCAGGATGGGTCAGGATGGGCCAGGATGGGCCAGGATGGGTCAGGATGGGTCAGGATGGGTCAGGATGGGTCAGGATGGGCCAGGATGGGCCAGGATGGGCCAGGATGGGTCAGGATGGGTCAGGATGGGTCAGGATGGGTCAGGATGGGCCAGGATGGGCCAGGATGGGCCAGGATGGGCCAGGATGGGCCAGGATGGGTCAGGATGGGTCAGGATGGGCCAGGATGGGCCAGGATGGGTTAGGATGGGCCAGGATGGGTCAGGATGGGTCAGGATGGCCCAGGATGGGTCAGGATGGGTCAGGATGGGCCAGGATGGGTCAGGATGGGTCAGGATGGGAGGGGAACGTACAGGTTGAGAGCCTGGCGGGGCCGGGGGGAGAGGCACTGGCACCTTGGTGGCTGGTCGCGCACCTGAGGGGGGGGGAGAGGGGGGGTGGGAGGGGGGGGATGGGAGGAGAGTTGGATAGAGTGGAGGGAGCGGCACTGGCACTTTGGTGGCTGGACGCGCACCTGGATGCGGAAGGACGGGAGGAGCCAGAGCGGAGGAGTGCCTTGAGGAGTGCCTTGAGGAGTGCCTTGAGGAGTGCCTTGAGGAGTGCCTTGAGGAGTGCCTTGAGGAGTGCCTTGAGGAGTGCCTTGAGGAGTGCCTTGAGGAGTGCCTTGAGGAGTGCCTTGAGGAGTGCCTTGACGAGTGCCTTGACGAGTGCCTTGACGAGTGCCTTGAGGAGTGCCTTGAGGAGTGCCTTGACGAGTGCCTTGACGAGTGCCTTGACGAGTGCCTTGAGGAGTGCCTTGAGGAGTGCCTTGAGGAGTGCCTTGAGGAGTGCCTTGAGGAGTGCCTTGAGGAGTGCCTTGAGGAGTGCCTTGAGGAGTGCCTTGAGGAGTGCCTTGAGGAGTGCCTTGACGAGTGCCTTGACGAGTGCCTTGACGAGTGCCTTGACGAGTGCCTTGACGAGTGCCTTGAGGAGTGCCTTGAGGAGTGCCTTGAGGAGTGCCTTGAGGAGTGCCTTGAGGAGTGCCTTGAGGAGTGCCTTGAGGAGTGCCTTGACGAGTGCCTTGACGAGTGCCTTGACGAGTGCCTTGACGAGTGCCTTGACGAGTGCCTTGACGAGTGCCTTGACGAGTGCCTTGACGAGTGCCTTGACGAGTGCCTTGACGAGTGCCTTGACGAGTGCCTTGACGAGTGCCTTGACGAGTGCCTTGACGAGTGCCTTGACGAGTGCCTTGACGAGTGCCTTGACGAGGGCCTTGACGAGTGCCTTGACGAGTGCCTTGACGAGTGCCTTGACGAGTGCCTTGACGAGTGCCTTGACGAGTGCCTTGACGAGTGCCTTGACGAGTGCCTTGACGAGTGCCTTGACGAGTGCCTTGACGAGTGCCTTGACGAGTGCCTTGACGAGTGCCTTGACGAGTGCCTTGACGAGTGCCTTGACGAGTGCCTTGACGAGTGCCTTGACGAGTGCCTTGACGAGTGCCTTGACGAGTGCCTTGACGAGGGTAGCACACACACTCGCCTCGCTCTCACGCCCTCTCACATGTACATGCATGTGGGGATGGCTTTTGAGGCGCCTGAAACAAAAAAAGAACAACTCACTCATGCAAGAGTGTTCAGGAGTATTCAGGCGCCTCAGGCAGGTAGGTGAGGAAGGAGCCCACCTTGGCATGCGTTGGGCCATGCAGGGGCGAGGGTTGGGGCGTCTAGTCGCTGCAGCACTTGATCGTCCACCTTGAGCACTGAGAGGGACAGCCCTGTGGGAGGGGCACATCGAACCAAGGATCAAGGAAAAAAAAAATCAAACAAAGAAAGAAGTAGGTTTTGAGGGTTGAGCCATCTAGTCGCTGCAGCACTTGATCATCCACTTTGAGCACTGAGAGGGACAGCCCTGTGGGAGAGAGAATAAAACCAAGAAATAAAGCACCCGACAGCACCTGACAGCACCTGAGTCAGCCCTTTTCAACCAGGGTCAACAAGAGTCAGCCAAAGAGAACCAACCACTAGCCATCAAGAACCTATGATCTTCCCACGGAATCCACCTGACAGCACCTGACAGCACCTGACAGCACCTGACAGGTGGTGCCTGTGGCAGTGCATGTGGAGCCTGGTCACCTGACATGTCGAGTGACGTCATGAAGTGGCCTGCATACACCCGCTCCACTGCCAGCCCATGCTTCACCTGCCATGCCATGGTGTAGAGGGGTGCAGAGGGGGTGCCGAGGGGTGCAGAGGGGTGCAGGGAGACACAGACAGAGTAAGAGGTCCGCATACACCCGCTCCACTGCCAGCCCATGCTCCACCTGCCATGATGCACACAGGGTGTGCAGAGGGGTGCAGAGCAGTGACGAGGTGTACAGGGGCGTGATTAGCGGTGGGTGCAGAGAGATGCTGTGCAGACGCCGACAGAGAGTCACAGACAGTGAGTGAGTGGTGGTAGCTGTAGCGGCGGACTGAGTGAGTGGTGTTTGCATTGTCATCACCTGTAGTTGCGCTACAGCCTTGCCAGCCGCAATCATGACCTCCATGGCTGGTGTCGCGCCCAGGCTGGAAGGGGGAGGGAGGGCGGGCGGGAGGAGGCGGTGGAGAGGGGGCGGGTGGGGGGAGGAGTCGGGGGTGGGGGGAGGAGTCGGGGGTGGGGGGAGGAGTCGGGGGTGGGGGGAGGAGTCGGGGGTGGGGGGAGGAGTCGGGGGTGGGGGGAGGAGTCGGGGGTGGGGGGAGGAGTCGGGGGTGGGGGTGGGGGGAGGAGTCGGGGGTGGGGGGAGGAGTCGGGGGTGGGGGGAGCAGAGAGAAGAAGGGGAGCACAGCGCATGATGATCATGGCTGGAGTTGCACCCAGGAGGGGCGGGGGAAGAAAGAGCGGGGCGAAGGGAGGGAGAGGGATCGGGGAGGGGAGGCGGTGAAGAGGAAACACAAGCGAGGACAGGTGAGGCCAGTAATGAGAACAAAACTGTTCATAATGACCATGCCTGTCCCAAAGACCATACCTGTTGACCATGAGAGCTACTCTGCTGCCGAGCTTGAGAGGCATGTAGCCCGTGTCCTGAGAACAAAGCGGGTGGTTGAATGAGGAAGAAAAGGGAACGGGAGGTGAAGAAATGGGAGGAAAGGGAATGGGAGTGGGAACGGGAGTGGGAGGAATGGGAGCGAGAAGATGAAGGGGAGAAAGAGCAGAGACAAGGTGGGCATTGTAAGGGGCCAGATGGCAACTGCGAGGATATGAGCCGCTGATACGGCTGTTTTTTATGCAGTCAGGGTTTGAGTTTAAAGCCCGACTCACGGGGTTGTTGATGGTTTTGAGCATGTGGGAGACGACGACGTCCACTGGCTGCATGTCCACCACTGCTGCTCCTGGCTGATTTTGATGCTGTCAGGGTTCAGGGCTTATAACCTTAAAGCCCGACTCACGGGGTTGTTGATGGTTTTGAGCATGTGGGAGACGACGACATCCACTGGCTGCATGTCCACCACTGCTGCTCCTGGCTGATTTTGATGCTGTCAGGGTTTGAGTTTAAAGCCCGACTCACGGGGTTGTTGATGGTTTTGAGCATGTGGGAGACGACGACATCCACTGGCTGCATGTCCACCACTGCTGCTCCTGGCTCGCCATGCTGGTTGCATGCATGGGTGGGGAATGGCAAGGTGGGGAAGGATGCACAAACAAGCACACACGCACATAATTACACAAGAGTACACAAGGGTACCCTTGTGTGGGTACCCTGCACACATCCACTGGCTGCATGTCAACCACTGCTGCTCCTGGCTCCCCGTGCTGCATGTGTGCATGGGTGGACGGAAAAATGCACAGTACGGCAGCAGATATATTCAGAAACTTAGAGGCAGCCTTTTTGCACCACATGCACACATGCCCACTCACAAACACATGCACACTTGCGCGTGCACCCACATCCACACCCATCCACACCACATCCCCCCCCCCCCCTCCCCCCCCTTCTTTCCCTCACAACCCCCCCACACACACACGTGTCAGCTAGTAGAATAGTGTCTCCAATCCACTCCACATGCGTGAAGACTGCCAAAGGCCCACCCGGACCTTGTCCACTCCACTCCACTCACCACGTCCATCCCCTTGTTTCCCCACCATCAACCCACTCCCACCCCGCCCCACCCCCACAACTCACAATGCCCAGCCCGAGTTCCATCTTGGTGGCAGGGAGCCGATCGGAGGGGAAGCCTCCCGGCACGGTGCAGACAGAGAGGCCCACCCCCATGGTGCCCACCAGGCCTGTGGTATGGGCGACACACAGGCAGCACCGAGCATGTTGGAAGGGGGGAGAGGGCGGAAAAGAAAGGCGGACGATCCGACGGGAACCCCCCCGGCACGGTGCAGACAGAGAGGCCCACCCCCATGGTGCCCACCAGGCCTGTGGTATGGGCGAGAAGAAGGGGAGGAACAGAAGGTGGGGGAGGGGCGAGGGAGAGGGTGGGAATGAAAAGAGGACAATGGGAGTAAATGCCTCCCGGCACAGTGCACACAGAGGGGCCCACCCCCATGGTTCCCACCAGGCCTGCAAGGCGAAGGAAGAGTGTGGGAAGTGGGGAAGTGGGGAAATGGGGAAGTGGGGAAGTGGGGAAGTGGGGAAGTGGGGAAGTGGGGAAGTGGGGAAGTGGGGAAGTGGGGAAGTGGGGAAGTGGGGAAGTGGGGAAGTGGGGAAGTGGGGGAGGGGGGAAGTGGGGGAGGGGGGAAAGAGTGTGGGAATGAAAGGAGGACAAAGTGAGGAGAAGAATCCCTGAACAGTGCACAAAGAGGCTAGTCAATGTGACTAGCCTTAGTTGACCATTTGTAAGCCCTACCAATGTGGTCAACCCAGCTGCTAGCCTTCTGCCTGTTTTTCTTTAATAAATAATGATACAAAAAGAGATACAAAATCAAATATTGGTACCAGCAACACTCCCCACTCTCTGACCTAACCCGCAACATATCCTAATCCAGTCCCCACCTGCCACCTGGCGAACCTCTGCTGCCACGTCAGCGAGTGACTTGCCCTCCTCTGCAGCTGCTCCTGCCACCTGCAGTGGGAGGGAGAGACGGGAGAGCAGGGGAGGGATGGAGAGTTGGAGACAAGTCTAGGGGGAGAAGATGTAGTGTGCGGGAAAAGAACCTGATTCTTGTGTGAAGTGAAGAACCTTCTTTTCTTTTAGGGGGGTTGATCCATACATGTTCCTACAGTCCAGAATCGCTTCGCACCTCACACATGCATGCATGCACCTCGTTCTTCACACCCTTCTGACACAAACCCTATCCCTTAAATCATTCCGAGTGAGTTGGAACCCAAGCAGATTCCACCCACCCACCTTGTGTACACAAGGGCTGTCCCGGCGAGGCCTCTTCTTTTGCAGGTCGTTTGTTTAGAATTCTTAATACAGGTAATTTCTTTTTCTTTACTTTTTTTCCGAATACATATCTTTTTTTCTCTTCTGGATTCTCAACAAAGAACCCCGGCAGATCCCACCCCACCCCACCTTGTGCACAAAGACCGTCCCGGCCAGGCCTCTTCTCCCGGCAATCCCACGAGGCGGCGGCAGCGCACAGTCATCCCCCACCACCACCATCTGATGATACACAAGCAAGAGAGGTGAGGACGGGCGGTGAGCAAGAGAGGTGAGCAAGAGGAGGAGGTGAGTAAGAGGAGAGGAGGAGGTGCGTAAGAGGAGAGGAGGAGGTGAGTAAGAGGAGAGGAGGAGGTGAGGAAGAGGAGAGGAGGTGAGGAGGAGGTGAGGACGAGGAGGAAGGGAAGTAGCAAGCGGAAGCCCAGGCATCTGAACTGAAATTCTAGAAGGCACCACGCGGGTGGAGTTTCGAGATAAAAAGGAAAAACAACTGACTGACTCACGTCGACTTTAAAGCCCTCCTCCTTGGCTTGCTCTGCTGCCAATCCGAAGTTCAGCCTATCGCCTGTATAGCTCTGGAAGGAAGGAAGAAAGGGACGACCAGTATGGAAAAGGATTGAATTCGGCTCAATATTTAATTCCAGGAGCCAGAAAAGTAGGAATCGGCCTAATGCGATGGTGGTTCAGTTTCACAGGACTTCGGAGGGCAACGTAGATGTGCACTTCGGAGATGGTTCCAAACCAACAACACAGCAGCCCGCAACATTCTGGCTGAGGGGCACTGGTGGAGCAGCAGTGGTCATGAAGGCATGGTGGTCTTGAAGAGCAAAGCTGCTTTTGAGCCGCATCAGAAACATGACTCGAAGCTGGAAAAAACAAGCATACAGCGGAAGCTGCAGCCTGGAAGCTGGAGAGTCAGCTTGAAGCTGCCTGACCAGCTACTTTTGTTAGCCCCAGCTGAAAGCTGGCCAGTCAGCTCCTGAACACGATTGAGAGAAGGGAAAGCGCATTGACCTCTTTAAAATTCCTCTTTACAATAGGACACACCCACCTTGACGATCAAGAGGCAGCAAGCAGGCCCAGTCACTGCCCGTATGGCCTGGGGAAGAAACAAACGCCAGCACACAGGCACAGCAAATTTCGTGTGGACAGACAGGCACAAGAAACGAGCACAGGTGTGTGTTTGGACTGGAGCATAACAAGCACAGGCACGGGGGTGCGTGGGATGAGCTTAGAGGCTTGTCGGAAGGAAGGGAGGGGGGACGGCATGGGTGGGGAAGGGGGAGGAGGGAGGACTAAATCTCGCCTGATTGTGCCTCTTTCACCTCAAAGTTTGCACTTCAATATTTGGTTGCCTGCAGAAATAAACACTCCAGTGGCCTGCAGAAACAAGCACTAGCCTGCACTACTACCCTACATCGTACCATACCATACCATACAATACCGTACCGTACCATACCATGAGGACAGCGTTGACTGAAGGCGATGCAAAGACATCCCCACACACGGCAGCGGTGAGCATGCCCTTCCCCACCACACCACCCCGCCGCATGAGCTGGCTCGTACCCACTCCCTTTTTCTTAAGCACCTCAAAAACAGAATCATATCGTACCATGAGGACAGCGTTGACTGAGGGAGACGCGAATACATCCCCACACACACACGGCGGCGGTGAGCATGCCCTTTCCCACGAACCCTGCATGCGCTGGCTCATGCCCGCTCCCTTTTTCTTAACCACCTCAAAAACAGAATCATATCATACCATGAGGACAGCGTTGACTGAAGGCGATGCAAATACATCCCCACACACGGCGGCCGTGAGCATGCCCTTCCCCACGAACCCTGCATGAGCTGGCTCGTGCCCGCTCCCGCCGCCCGAAATGATTGCCACCTTCCCGTACGTCCCTCTGCTGACGTCAGCTCGCAGCACCACCTTCACCTGCATTGATTTCGCAAGAAACGTTTCGTGATCTTCCGTAGCTGACGAACGGTTGGAATTTTGTGAATGCCCTCGCATTGCATAGCTAAAGATTTCAACCATTCCCTGCTGTTAAAGTGGGCCAATTTGCAGGTACTCAATATAGTTTGGCATATTCAAAATAAGAATGGATTTTGTTTCAAAAGATGTTGTTGCACAAAGAATTATGGGGGGACCTCACGTCGCCATCCAGACAAACATCCAGGAAGACATTCTAAAGGACATTTAGGTCATCAATGTTATTCTTGAATTGTTTTTTCAAGAATTGTCTTAAACCCCTACAACTTTGAGCAGCCTGCGAGAAGGAACTCACGTCAGGGAAGCCATCGAGGTACTGTAAGTTGGGGTATGTCTCCACCAAGCCCTCGATCATCCCGAGGACACTATGTTTGAGGAGCCTAAAAAATAGACTTTGAGGCGCTTGACAGAAGGGACTCACGTCAGGGAAGCCATCGAGGTACTGCAGGTTGGGGTAAGTCTCCACCAAGCCCTCGATCATCTCGAGGACCACACCTGCGCGGCATTTACACTCGGAAATTGGGTAAATTCTGAACTAACTAGACTCCCGAACATGCAGCAAGGCGGGAATGAGCTCAGCCGTGGCAGCTGAGTTTGATTTTTCTTTGACGACTCACAGGTCAAAGACATAAACATGGAAAACTTAAACGAGTTTCAGGGCGTCTTACCTAAACATGGATGCCACAACACATACGACTTATGGCACCCGGCTGAAAATGGCACGTACTGGACCTTAGAAGCTTAGCCTATGCCTGGAAATCTGCTTTGTGAAGACGGAAATAAACGCGAAAGAGTGGAGCTGATCATTTGTACCTGATGGGTCATTTATGAGCTTCTTTGCGCCTGACATAGTTGTCGTGCGGAAATGCAGGAGCGGGATTTGCACTATTTCGTTAGGGCACGCGTCAATCAATCCATGCTGCGATAAACGAATTGGACTGACAGGTCAATGGTCACGCCTGCTGCCTTGAATGAGGGGTAAGTAGCTTTGGCAGGGGTACTACTAGCGACCCTCGCTTTCAAGGGGACTACAGTGCTATATGCGGGCACTTTCCGCCACTCCGCCACCCCGACAGGAACATTATGGCAACAGCACAGAACTCGGTCCCACATTCACCCACGTGTCAGAATTTCGCGAGCCACTGGAAAAAATATCCCTTTACTTGACCGAAAAACTAAAACCCAATCGGGAAGGGATGCGTCCCGGAGAGGCATCAACCCTAAGAAAAATGTGGGTTCCCGTGTTTAGGGTTGATCCCTACCGAAAATGAGTCCATGTTCCCTATGGGTTTTATATTTTTTATGCCGTGCGTTTTGTAACTTTTCGAATTTGTGACACGTGGGTGAATGTGGGACCGAGTTCTGTGTTGTTGCCATAAATTTCCTGTCGGAGTGGCGGAGGGGCGGAAAGTGCCCGCAACTAGCACTGTAGTTCCCTAGAAAGCGCAGGATCGCTAGTAGTACCCCCGCAAAAGCTACTTACCCTTGAATGAACGCTGGTCCGGTCACCGAATAAGAGCCTTTCTTTAGAACAAAGAAATTCGACCAAAATCAATTTCCTAACAGGGCGCGAACTTGCTGGCAGCTTGGTTCGGAAACTTGGGTAACACCGACGAGCTTGGTAAGAAACTGGTGCGGGTAGGCTTGGTGTGCTTGTGTACTTACGGACGTGGCCTGGCTGCCTTGGGTCTGGTTTGGTCGCTGGTTTGCCAAGGCTAGTAAAGGAGGACAACATTTGGGTGCGACTAGCGGGTACTGGAGTGATTTTATTGGTTGGGTGACAGGGGAGATTTCTTGGTCAGTGTGGGGTTATTGCGAGGATTGATACACAGTACTTCTCGTGCTGATGAATCCTATATCTCGTGAAGTTCTTGTATTCGCACATTGAGTCCGCCAATGCGCGTACAAAATTTTCGCACTTCTGTGTCGTCATTCTACACGTTGGAGGTGGTGGGCGACCCACCTGGAGGACAGAACTTTGTCCACCAGAACAGAGTGACAGCCACCTGCGCCGTGCCTTCAGGTCGTTTTTTTCCAGACTGGATCATAACGGCAAACGGTAGCTTAGCTTGCCCAGAAATAAAGACAAGTTTCTAAGAACAGCAGATAAACCCACAGTGCACACGCTGATTTTCATTTAAACCCAATACGTATCCTGCCCAGCAGTTAGCTTTCTGATAAAAAGTTGGCGTCACACCAAGTTCCAGCTGGAATTACCAGCCAAACCAACCAAACCGCCTCCAAGCGAATCTGCGATTCGGAAGTGGAAGGGGCAGGTGACGATCCATACAAATTCGTGACAGATTCACAGCCATCACCACCACCATGCCATTCACAGCCGCAGTGTAGCAGTGTACGCCAATCGGACAGGTGTGTCGTTTGATGTGTACGGTACGGAGAACTCGCACCGTCTCATCCTCACAACCGTTCGTTTCATTGCATGCTGCATTGCGTGTACACGACGAAGGCTTGTTTTCTCGTTAGAGGTTCCCAAACAAGTGTCCTCTGCGTTTGCTTAGCCTCACTTGGCCGTGACGCACCATGACATTTCTCCGTTTTTAGATTCCCCACCCCTCACCACTCCTCTTCTATCAAACGACACATGAATATATCTCGCAGCTTGATTCGTTTGAGAAGGGAGGCTGATGATTAGTGGCCGTTTCATTTCATCTAAAAAATGTTGTACACGTCGGAAGGACTACAGTATCCACCACACACAATGCGTCCACTGTGTTGTGTGCGCTGTTGTAGAAGAGGACCCGCTGTGCACTGTTCCACAGTGCATTTCTTCAGGCCCACGACAACATTCCTTCCCCTCCCCCTTTGTCTTGCCTTCAGTCCAGTCAGTGCCCAAGACTGAATTCCGGCCTGTGACATGACAGGACAAACATATCCCCCTGCTGCCAAGCTGCCAGCTAGCCCACCCTCCCCACATCCGCCATTGCCTCCCACCACCACCGACGCAGTCTGGCGTGGAGGAACCTCATAGAGGTCCCATCAAATCCCATTCCCTAACATCCTCATAGGATAAGCCGTGGTTGTCCTTGGCCGCATATTCCGCCGCAGATTCCGCCGCGCATTCCTCCGCGCCATCCGGATGAATCTCACTTACTGTAGCTGACGGAACCTCCCCTGCAGCCTCACAATGGCTGTGCGGCTGCCGCCGCGCCGCCACGTGGGATCCCCACGCGGACCGGCGGCGACAATCGCGGCGTCGCTCACGGCGTCGCCTCTTCTCCTCCTACTCGTGTCCGTCGCCCTTCTCCCGACCCCCGCGCTATGCCAATACTCGACAATAGGCGTCCCGGTAGCTATAGTAGCAGGAGGCGTGTACGATCCTCTCTCAGGCGACACGACGTCCCAGGTATGGGAGATTAATCTCCGAACGCGTCGCGAAATAGGCTATTCCGGCAAACCCGACAGCAATGCTAACGCGGATCTCAGTTCCTGCGGCGTCGCGACCGACGGAACAGCCTATATATCTTCAGGCGGCTCGTATGTAAACGCGATTAACTACACCCTAAACGGCGCGGTGCCGCTACCGCCCGTGGCTCTTCCCGGCGGGTTCTCAGGAACGGTTGTTGCGCTTGGGGGACCTTCCGAGAATCTTCTGGTTGTAGCGGACGGGACGGACACAGCTGCAGGTGCGGTTTCAGTAGACCGGGTGACGGGCTCGTCGCGGACACTCGTTGGAGCGGGTTACCAGTGTCTGTCCGCTTCGTTCTGCTCTTCGCCAGCCGCCTCCCCCTCGGATTTCCTCGTCCTGACATGCCACGTCACGGCTGACGATTCTGACGTGGTCGTCATTGTGCCGATAGATCCGACGACTGGGAATTTCCAAGCCAATGCGGCGATTAAGATGTTTTCGGCGTCGTACGCGGCGCGGCAGGCCGTCTGTTCTCCCGGCGGCGGCTTCTTAGCCGTTCTCCGGTACGACACGAACGTTCTCTACACGTACGCGCTTCCGCTCGCAGGAACCGCGCTCCCGCCGCCGCTATCGACAACAGTGCTGACGTCAGGCACACCCGGATCGCTCGGAGTGGATCCGCAGAATAAGAACGTTCTGGTTACCAGCGCCGCGAATTACGGCGGCACGTCTACGCTCATGGCGTCCCGAGGCGCGACCTTTTTGGGAACTATGGACGCGATAGATTTCACGGAGACGGGAGGATGCGCCTCGGCGGCGTACGTGGGCTCCTTTCAATACTCCACCGCCGCATCTGACGGAGCTCGCGGTGTATCCGAGCAGCCCGCCGGTGGCGCTGCTCGCGCTTCCCGAAGGCGTATACGCGATGGCGCTCGCTGCGGACGGCGCGGTTTCGACGGACACGACCGGATTCGTGCCGCTTGGGGGCACCGAGTCGGGTTCGAGCTTTTTCTCCAGCGCGGTTTGCGTTCAGAAATTCGTCGCGAATAGCCCGCCGCCGTCGCCGCCGCCGCCGTCCCCGCCACCCCCCAGGCCTCCCCCACCGCGCCCGCCGCCATCCCCGCCGCCTCCCCCTAACCCGCCCAGCCCGCCGAAACCGCCGCCGCCATCTCCCCCGCCAAAGCCTCCTCCAAGTCCGCCTCCTCCTCCGAAACCGCCTTCCCCGCCGCCACCGCCCAAGCCGCCGAGCCCGCCGCCAAATCCGCCGCCGCCATCTCCGCCGCCGAAGCCGCCTCCCACTCCGCCCAAACCACCTCCCCCGCGACCCCCCCCTCCGCCCAGTCCCCCGTCTCCCCCGTCTCCCCCCGCCACCACTGGAATGGTGACAGATCAATCCGCCACCACCGTTTCTTCCCCGCCCCCTCCGCTCGTCGCTTCCTCTCCGCCTCCGCTTGTCTCGTCCCCGCCCCCTCCGCTCGTCTCTTCCCCGCCCCCTACGGTCGTCGCTTCCCCGCCCCCTACGGTCGTCGCTTCCCCGCCCCCTACGGTTGTTGCTTCCCCGCCCCCTCCGCTCGTCGCTTCCCCGCCCCCTCTGATCGTCGCTTCCCCGCCTCCACTTGTCGCTTCCCCCCCTCCAGCTGTCGCGTCGCCCCCTCCGCTCGTCGCTTTCTCGCCTCCACTTGTCGTGTCGCCCCCTCCGCGCGTCGCTTCCCCGCCGCCACTTGTCGCGTCTCCCCCTCCGCTGGTATCCTCCCCTCCACCTCCCAACCCTCCGCTCCCGCCATCTCCGCCTCCTCCACCGCAACCCCCAAGTCCTCCGCCCCCGTCTCCCCCTCCCTCACCACCTCCCACCCCCCTTCTTCCTCTTCCCCTTGTCAGCTCTCCGCCTCCCCCTGTGTATTCTCCGCCACCCCCTGTGGATTCCCCCCCTCCTCCGTTGCCCCCCCTTGGGCTAGCGGTCTCGAGCACTCTCTCCCCGCCTCCCCCAGTAGTCGAATCCGTTATAAGCAGCCCCCCTCCTCCTGCTCAATCCGATGCAAGCAGGACGCATCCTCCGACCGCTGAACTCGTTATAAGCAGCCCGCCTCCGCCTGTTGCCGTAACCGTCGTAGATAGCCCGCCTCCACCTGTCGCTATACCCGTTATAGCAAGCCCACCCCCACCTGTCGCTGTACCCGTTGTAGCAAGCCCACCCCCACCTGTCGCTGTACCCTTTATAGCAAGCCCACCTCCGCCCGTCGCTGTACCCGTTTTAGCGAGCCCGCCTCCACCAGTCGCCGTTACCGTTCTAAGCAGCCCGCCTCGACCAGTCGCTGTACCCGCTAAAAGCAGCCCGCCTCCGCCCGTCCTGCCTTCCGCGTCCGGCGTTCTCTCCCCGCCAGGCGCCAAGGAAGCTTCCGCGGACCTTTCCGTTGGAGCCGACCCAGATCCTTCCGCCACTGCGCGTTCGCCGCCGCCATCCCCAGTTGCCGCCTCTCCGCCACCCCCCCGTTCCCCTCCGCCGCGTCCGCCTCCCCCTATCAAAGCCCCTGTTAAGAAGCCGAAGAAAAAGCCGCCTCCCAAGAAGAAGAAAAAGTCAATGTCCAAGAGCGGGAGCGGAGGTGGAGGGGCGACCTCATCCTCGCTATCAGCTGATGTGTTTGGCGCGTCAGGTACACGGTTAAATGACTTAACAGGGTGCATCGCTTGTTGAGTACTAGTTTTTTCCTCTTACTTCAAGATGCGTACATAGCATCACGGTGGTTTACGTTCACGCTTTATCCTAACTCCCACCAGCACATCTTCCCATGTCCCCCCTGGTGTTTCCCTCTTCGCCCCATTGCCGCGCACCTCTTTCCCAATCCCCTTTCTCATCGCTCCCTGAACCGATCCCTACTAGTCGTTACAGTTTATGCCCACCCTCGCGTAGGCTTGTGTTTGAATCTCTTCATTCGCCCCTTCTATACAAATTCCTTGTTCTCTTACTCGCCTCGTCCCCTTTTGTCCCTCCCTTCAAACCCCAGGCGCCGCGACGTGCAAGCTGGGGGTGCGGCAGAAGTGCTTGACGCGGCTCGTGTGCCAAGACGCGCTGGACGTGGGAGGGTGCTCGTGCCTTCGCGAAGCTGGTTCGCCGTCGTGCACGAGTGAGTAAAATCTCTCTCGGGATTATTTTTTCGCCAATATTTGTGCTCTCGCCAACCGAAGTTCTCTCTTTGTGATGCGAGTGAATGTTGTCTCACCAATCAATTTTCTATCGCCATTGTGTGCTCCCTCGCCAATGTTACACACTTCAATGTATTAGCTGATTTGTGTTCACAACAACTCACACGTACCAAGTTCATCTCCCATCAAGCTCCTCTGTCTTCTCTACACCCCCTGCTACTACCCATTCCAGTCGCACCTTTCACAACCTTGCTCCACTTCCTCCCCTCGTAAATTTAGGACCTTGATCTTCCATCAAACCCCTTAAATTCTTGTTTCCCTTCGCTCACTGTGGCTACTTGCTGCTCCCTCCTTCTTCCTGCTCCTTCCTCCTGCTCCCTGCTCCCTGCTCCTTCCTTCCCCCAAACCAGTTACCCGCAAGTGCATGGTGCCGGCAGCATGCCCCGTGGAAGCGCTCTGCACAGCTCCTGCTGACAGCTGGGCCCCCACCTGCTCGTACCCATGGTGACTTTGAGTCGACTAAGAAATGTTCTCCCCTGCTCCCTGCTGCTCCCTTCCCCCCATTCCAGTTACCCGCAAGTGCATGGTGCCGGCAGCATGCCCCGTTGAAGCGCTCTGCACATCTCCCGCCGATGGCTCGCCCCCAACCTGCTCCTGTCCGGCGGGCTTTGCACCGCTCAAGGCAGCCGTTGAGGACACTGCGTTTGACTTCTGCGCTCGCACACGCTGCAGCAGCTCCCTCGCGTTCATTGGATTCGACTGTGGTACGTCCTCTGGCTTTGCTTTTTTAATATGTACGGAGTTAAATCATCACTTTTGTAGATCTTACGTTTGTTTCCAATCCTGCCAATATCTCCTCTTATTGCTAATCCTTGCTCGTCAAGTGTTGTTCAATGCTCCTCGTAGCGTTCTTCATGCCGTCCCATGTCCCTCCACGCACTCTTCTGTGCCCCTCCCAGCGGCTTTCCATAGTCCTCTTTCTGCTGTTCTGAGCTACTCTCAATGCTGTTGTATGCTCCACTATGTTCCATGGTTCTCCACCTGCTGTCAATGCAGGGCCGCCAAGCTCCGTGGTTTGAGTTACAGCATGTGAATTTATTATGTTGCTGGGCCTAAACAGCTGTTAGCATTGCATGCTTCGTTTAGTGAATGTTGTTTGTTGTGGGTGGGGAGTTTAACTACTGTACCATAGACCTACCGGTAATCTTGCTGCACAGTGGGGATTGAGGTGTAGGGGGGGGCTGCTTTTAATAAACAAATGAATTTCCTGAGAAATTGTTTTTTTTGGTGCGACATGGAACATACAGGACCGCTTTCCACCACATGGCACCGTCATGAGTCATGGACTGTAAACGTATGATAACTACAGTGCCAACTGACCGTGTCCTAAGGTACAGTACTGCATCACAGTTTTATGCCTTGTTCATGTTCAATAAACCAACAGAGCCATAACTTAATGTAGCAGCATAGCATAAAACGTCGGTACCTGGTTAGACAAAGTTGCACATTCACCAGGATTGTTTTCATCAATTACCGGTTCAGCGAGATGGGGCTTGGAACTAAGAACTCAATTATCACCGTAATTGCAGCAGCAACCGCAAGATTCTATCGACAATTTGAATGGTTCTCACTGCATTGTGGCAGCAAGAACGTTCATGAGAAAAACACAATTCACAACATACACGAAACCCAGAACCAGGGGAACAAACACTTGCTCTGGGTGTTTTCTGGAAATCAGAGCCAGCGTTTGAGGTCGGGGCTGTCTAATGGGATTGTACTGCGGCTGAAGCGGTAAGGCTGGAGCGGGAGCACTCGGAACGTCTGGGCTGTCAAATGGCCAGCGAAACAAGTCTTTTAAACAGACGCCCAAAACGTCTAGTAGAGTCGCGTCATCCCTGGAACGCGATAGACTGCTGTGCAGAGGGCCCCAGCAATCTGCTCTGTCGAAGCTGGGCGAGTGGGAGTGGTAGTGGATCCATACAGTTGCGGCGGTAAGATCTGCAACCAGTTGCGAAGTGAGATACGAGTAGGTTCACACAATGCTGAAGCACAGGATCTATGAGTAGGTCCACACAATGGTGAAGCACACAATTTGGTGAAGTGCTTACATGGATGAGAAGCGAGCAACGCCTTCTCAGCGTACATGATGGACTCCAAAACCTGTTGGCGGAGACAATAATACATGCTAGGGTTAGTCAATTGAGCCTCAAACGACAAGCTTCATCAGCAGATCAAACAATATATTATGGTGCTCACCAATGGCATTTCTCTTTCAAATATCCAGCTTCGGATGACGGGGGGTGCGAGGAATGAATGAGACCCGCTAACATGACAGTGCAGATGCAAGGAATATTGAACTTCGTCTTCGGCCTTTTGTCGCACTTTCCACTCCCCTACGACTTCGTCGCGGAAGAGCTTCGATGACCATCCATCTAGCTGACCAAGGAAAAAAAGGCGTCAGAATTTTATTCAACATTTGCGGATCAAGCAAACGGGAGGAAGAAGGGGGGGGGGGGGGGGGGGGGGGGAGAGAGGGGGGGGAGGGTGGGGGAGGGGGGGTGCAGTTGCACACCTGTTTGACGTCAACGGCTGAACTAATCGTCAAAAATAGGTCAGCCGTCATGTCGTCATGTGTCACTGTATATACACGAGGTAAGAGACCAGCGGCTTCTGACACGGCTACTGCCGGTGTGCTCCCTATCATGTCCGAAATGTGAAGCCTCGAGGGACAGAATTTCGCAGGCTCGCCAAGTCCCGAGACCTGAAACGAGTAAAAATCCATCCATGAGAACTATAAGTGCTTTCTCGAGACAACAGGCGAGATATCAACAGCGGGGCAAGGGCCAGAGTGCTGACCACTGTAGGTTGTAGGTGCTTTCGATGATCCAGGCATTGGCGAGAGTTGTGGGGGTAAGTGTACTCAAGAGGTGAGAACCTAAATGATGTCTCTGCACGTCGGCGACACCTGCGTTGAGTATCTGCTGGGAATCTTTTCTGGTTGAGTCTGCAACGGAGTCCGGCATGGGAAAGGCCTGTTGACATTTGAACTAGAGTTTCGAATCTGCAAAATACTAGATGCCCCGCTGCTGCTCGGAAGGACGCCTCCGCTTTCAGAGTAACGCGTACCAGCTACTAATCGACTGATAGTCAAAAGCACTCGGATAGGGAGCGGTTGAGTGAGAACTAGGAAACCCGCAAGCAGATCTCACTCAACACATTCGCTACCCGAGGCTCAAACTAACCATCTATTGCAGTCACCCGAATCGTAGCTAACAAATGATGCTTGCTGCTCCTGCTTGAAGAGAGACTCAAGCCAAGTCCTCCCAGACTAAGGGATTGAACCGAACCGCTGGACTCTGGCAGGGATGTGCTAGAATAGACCAACCAGATGTGGGACAGGTCACAAGATTGGTCACAAGAGCGGATTGAGTGGAGGAGCGAATAGAGGGGGGGAGTGTGTGAGGGGAGGGATGCTGGGGAGTGTGTTGAGGCCTGTGGGAGAGGGAAAGGAAGGAAAGAAAGCAACGATGGAGAAGGTGCATTGATCGACAGGAGCCGCTGGTGTTGGAGCGCGGGACATCGCACATGGGATGGATGGGGAAGAGATGTGCCGTGATGGAGTTGCGACGTGGCCGCTACTTCCGTAGCCAGTCATTCAGGAACAGATATGGGTAGGATTCGCCACGTCAGCGATTCTCAGCCTTGTCTGGGCAATTTTACGGGCTGGTTTGATTTGTTCGGTTGGGGGAGGATTCGTGTGAGGGTGGTTACAAAAACAGGCGAAAATTTGCCACAAGTGAGCGAAATCCTGCATCAGCTGTCGGAGACTTCGAGGGGGGCTCTGCTTTGAGGTGCTGCGATTGGTTGGATTCGAATTTCGAACCCCCGAAGGTAGACATCCGCCATTCCACCCAAGAACGAATGTGGAGGGGCACTAATCGATGGTTTCGCGGACCTGGGGTCGTAAGTGCCAGTTCTGTCGGAACTGGGATATTCAGCAAACACCAGATACTCTGTGAGCCTTTCAGAAACCAGTCCTGAAAATCTGGGGTGTAACAAACGGTATAAACCCAGTTGGGACGCGCATTTCAGGAGTTCCGTTCCCAGTTTCTTGTGGAGGTCGCTCGTGGGGTTCAAGAAAGTAGGATGTGCTGTGCAGAGCAGAAGTGTTGGGTTGGGTTGGGTGATCAAAACACGAGAGTCAAAACACGAGTTCTGCTGCCTCGGATGGTCAGACCGCTCCGCCATGGCTATTCCATGTCGACGAGGGCCCCAGTTTGAGCCACACGTCCTTGCGTTAGTCAGCACGGTGCAATCGTTTCTTGCCAACAAGGTGTCGAGGTGCCTGTGTGTAGCACCCAAGCCGACCACTTTCGCGACAGGGGTCTCTCGATCTCTTAGTTGAGGAGGTTCTAAAGACCCTTGCAAACCTCTGCTGTGCAATATATTGGCGTACTCGAGCTTTACTGACGACGACGTTCGCCGCGTTACGAAACGAAGACGCTTCCACTGCGTCATGGCTTTTGCGATTGCACAGAAGCTTGTCACTCTGCCTAACAGCTTCTCCTCCGCTCTGTCCAGGTCTCGATCAGAATCTTTCCATAATAACTGCTCTCCGTCTCGTGTCTACACTCACACGCTCAGAACAAGATGTTCAGCAAATGAATCCTCCACGTCATCAGGTAATCGGCACTCCGGACGTTTGGTGTCAGTTAATTTCAGCCTCCATTCCCGCTTTTGCAATCGCATTTCACTCAATCACACTCATCATTTATCTCTTCTCCACGTGCAGAAGGAAGCAACGAGTCAGACCGCAGCACACCAACAGAACACTCTCCTGCCAGCAACTTAGGGTTTCAGGATTCACAATACCCACAAGACTTGGAAGGTTTACGAAATCCGCGTGACTTTTCAGGAGCGGAAGCTAGGTCTGCTGCTGATGCTAAGCAGGAGAGCTCACGAGCGATACCCCGAAGGTTCTTACTTGGTGGAGCCACATTAGCCGGCGCAGGGATTCTTCTTGAAGGTGGAGGCGACAGAGCAGGCCGGCCGTTACGCAGTAACACAGGCCGGCGATGGTCCATCCAGGGTTCGGGTAACGCGACTCCCTTACCGTTACCGTTACAGCCGGATGTTGACTCTCTCCCTGGGGAGCTGAGCAGCCTGCTAGACGACAAAAAAGGCCTGTGGGTGTCTGAAGCGGGGTCAGCCGCCCGACTCGTGCCTGTTCACGAGGGGTTGATCGCGGAGAAGAGATTCAGCGATTTTGGACCGTACGATGTGGAGAATCTGTACCATCAGGAGCACACGTGTGCATCCTGTTTCCCGGACTGCGCAGCAGGGGGCTGCTTGTTGCGGATAACGGTGACGTACCCAGCGAGGATGCGGCACACGTCATGGACGCCTCAATACTCGTTACAGGTCGGTCAACCGTTTCTCTATAACCACGCTCCCTCTTTTTCCATACTTTGATTGTGCTCCTCGTCCCGCTCCACTATGGTGACCATCTAATCCCCCCGTCAATCCCTTCGTCCCGGCTCTGGCGTCCCTTATCCTGTGTCACTCGTCTCTCCCACACTCTTGGCCACCTTTCATCTCTGTTGTCGTCGCTGCTGTCTTGCGTCTCTCCCCACAAGAGGACAAGTTCCCCCTGGCGGTGTTCAGCAGCGGGTTCCTGCTGGATTCTGTGTTTCCGTGCTCCCACCCACTCCCACTCCTTGGCGACTCTCACTGCCCTCCCCCTCCTCCCCCCCCTCCCCCGCTCCCCACTGCTTCCAATAGGAGGACAAGTTCCCCTTGGCAGTGTTCAGCAGCGGGTTCCTGCTGGACTCGGCTCAGTACCGCAGCTACGCCCACCACCTCGCCAGCTGGGGCTTCGCTGTAGTCACCTACAATAAGGTACGGTAGGGGGGCGTACGTACAACGAGGTGCAGGGAGCATTTGGGATTCTCAGAAGTTACTCCAATGTAGCTACGCCCAGCACCTGTCTAGCTGGGGCTTCGCTGTCGTCACCTACAATAAGGTACGGTAGGGGGGGCACGTTAGGTGGGCGTGTTTGGTTTTTCTTCCCTTTTTCTTGTTTTTCTGTGTCCCTCACTAGGTGCCCTTAGGCATGTGAGGATTGCATATTTGATTCACGCAGTGGCAACTGCTGTTTCATGCACTGCCTATGGTTGCCACCACCCCTGAGTCCTGACTGACTGTTTGACTGACTGATTTGACTGACCGACCAACCAGCCTAACGAGCGATGGACCGACGGACCAACTTAGCTACTGACTTAACTGCCAAGTGACCTGACTGACTCACAGTCACGGTTGCATGCATGGCAGGTGGAGGGGCTGATGGGCCCTCTGGACGACATCATCTGTGCACGGTTCATCACAGAGCTCATCAACTGGGCTGGCACCAGGTGAGTCTGCTTTGCTCATGCCATCGTCATCATTATCATCGTTGTAGTGCCTTTCTTGTGAAGTTCCTTTCCTATGATGCCATGGCGCGGCAGCCAGAATCGATGTCTTGTTTGGCTCAAGGCCAAGAGCTTTCATGGTGCAGCTGCTGTTACATTTGAAATCACAACCGCATGTATGACTCATCCCGAAGGCCCACAAAATCTCACGCTGCAGCTCATGTGATTCTCATGGCCTGTCATCTGGTTGCTTGCTCCCCCTCTGCAGTCACTTGCTTCGGAGGATTGCAGACAACACTCGCGTCTACCTCTGCGGTCATTCCAGGGGAGGTGAGACCCCCTCTCCCTGTTGCTTTTTTGTGATGTGAACGCGTGCGTGATTCTCTTGTACGTGTGTGCAGAACTTTGTTTTTTATCCTTGTGTGTAAGTCGTGTTTTCTCTACTCCCATTCGACATTGCTGTTGCCTTTCCGCATGCACTCGTGTGCAGCCAAGGTGAGCGTGCTGGCAGCAGCCATGGACCCTCGAGTGCTCTCCCTCGGCCTTGTCGACCCTGTGGATAACACAAGTGAGTTGCCAGCACAGCACACACACGTGAAACTGTGCATTGACTAGACTACACAACAATGGTCAAGTTGTCAAGAAATGTTCAGCACACACACACACACATCACCCTGCTTCCACTCACCTCCTTGTCATCACACGCCATCTCTCCCTCTCATCCCTCACTCCCTACCTCGCCCACACATCCCTTTTCCTGAAGTCTACGTGCCTCTGGACCTGCGACACCCTTCAGAAATGGCACCAGCGCGATGAGCCCTTCCCTTCAAGCTTTGTCTCTACCTGTCATTCCTCCCTCCCCACGCCTCCCCTTCCCCCACCCCTCCCCCTGCAGTCTACGCGCCTCTGGCCCCGGGGTACCCCTCAGCTGTAGCAGCCATGCATGCAGGCACCAGTGCCATCGAGCACCTGCTCGCCCAACCCAACCCCGCCAACCAAGGCCTGGCTGTCTCCCTCCCCACGCTCGTCGTGGGCGGTGGCTACCCCGGCGACTGCGCCCCTGCTGCCTCCAACTACCGCTGGTTCTTCAAAGAGGCTGGTAAGCCCAGCTGGGAGGTTGTGCTGCGAGACGCGGGGCATTTCCAGTTTTTGGACTCGCCGCCGGTGATCCAGGCGGCTGTCTGTGGGCTGGGACCGGCGAGGGATGAGGATGTGAGGCGGGCCACGAGGGCTTGTATTGCTGCGTGGGGGCATGCGACTGTGCCCCGACAGAGGGGGAGGGGGTTGGGTGGGGGTCGGAGAGGGGTGGGGGAAATGCAGCAGCAGGGTGGGGGAGGTGGGGGAGGGGATGGGCAGGGCTGTATAAGTATTGGGGGGAGGTGTGATGGGGGTAGCAGCAGTGGTGGCAGTGATGGCAGTGGTGGCAGCGGGAGAAGTGGGATAGGAGAGGCTGCTGTAGCTGGTAGTCAGAGAGTGGATCCAGGAAGGGAAAAGGGGCCAGCACAGACTCCTGCTCCCGCTTTGACCCCGTTGACTCCGTTGACTGCGGGGGACAACTTGGAGGCCCCTGTGTCAGATAGGAAGGACGAGCTGGAGGCCATGATTGTTTCAGTTGCTGCTGAGCTGGCAGCGCTTGGAGGGACGAAGTTCACTTCAAGACTGAAACTATGACCGTGTGCCGTAGAGTGTTCGTTTAGTGGTAATTAGCCAGTAGTAATGTATATGCTGCTGATTTTGTCAGCTTATTTTATACTGTGCTGGGTTTTTGTGATGTGGTGTTGGTATCAGTATTTGTGCATGTTTGTATACGTGCCGTATCAATCTTTACACAGTTAGCTTCAAGGTTCTACTACCGAAATAAGAAGGGTGATAACAGCATCACTTTTTCGCTACTAGACATCAAAGCAGACAACGCATAACGGAGCTGGCTTCGACAACATCGAGGCTCCCAGATTCTGCAACTCAGGTTGGGTGCTTGCTCGAGTGCTTGCACTGATCACGGATGGCGTCTCGGGTCCCCTTGAGTCCTGATTCTTCCCGACCGAGTCTGTCACCTCATTTTCAATAGTTCCATAACATTCCGTCAGCCTCGCTGATGATCGATCATGGCCGTCCGATCATGGCTTGGTCGCACTTGAGTTGCAACGAGCGGCACAGCAAAAGTAGCTCCTACTAGGACGCCTCTCACCTTGAATAGTTTTGATCTCTGAAGTTACCGTGTTTGCTAGTCTTCCTAATGATGGTATCATACCACAATGATCGTGTGATTCACTTCTCAGATGCTTCCTTTTGCAGAAACCACAAAGACTTCAAATAAATTACACGAGCCATGAGACCAAGTTTTAGATGCCTGTAAATCAAATTCTCGCCGACTCCTCTCACCACGTGCTGCCATGGCCGTCACTGAATCCTTGTCCCTTGAATGTACCATCAGCGGTCATAGAAATGAGTTACTGCGATTCTTTCTCTAGCGAATCCTGGGTCAGTATGGGTCACTGCGAATCTTACTAGCAAATCCGCGGTCAAAAATAACCACTGCTGTCGTCAGTAGCAAGCCCTTGATGAATCTGTGAGTCACCGCGATCCTCACTAGCGAATCCCTGGTCAAGATAGCCACTGCTGTCGTCACTAGCGAATCCCTGGTCAGGATGAGTCACTGCTGGTGCAAGTGCGAGGCGGGAGCGGGGCAGTGCGGGCCCAAGGTACCGAAGCTCAAGACGCTCTTCAACGCGCACAAGAACCTCGACGACTCGTCGCTTCGCCGCGGCGACTGGGAGGCCGAGCTCCACGTCATCTGGGAGGTGCGTTACAAATCGTGAGAAGTGCGTTACAAGTCGTGAGAAGTGCGTTACAAGTCGTAAAAAGTGGGTTACAAGGCGTAAAAAATGCGCTTCAAGTCACGGGAGGAGCGTTACGCGTGAGAGGTCCGTTACTAGCTATGTGAGGTGCGTTACATGTCATGGGAGGTACATTACAAGTCACGGGAGGTGCGTTACACGTCATGGGAAGGGCGTTTCAAGTCAAGGGAGGCAGAAGGAAGCGTGTACTCAGGGAACATGAGGGAAGAGGACAAGCACCCATGGATAATGCAGCCATTAACGAACGATTCTCTCTGTTCTTGCCTGCCAATTTATTCCCCGTGCTGCTTCTCTTACCTCCCACATCCTTCATTCCGACCCTTTCTCGTTCTCGTTTCCCTGTCTTCCTACCAACCCCTTCTCTCGCCTTTTCCTTTCCCTCCCTTCCTGCGTTGGCTCTTGGATTTTCCTCTCTGTGTGATTCAGGAAATAGGAGAGGATAAGCTGACTCGCTCAGAAGACCTGCGATTGGCCGTTGCAGACGCTGTGGATAAGGCTTACGAGAAGGTGATGACATGGACTGTGGGTGTGCTCTGATAGTAACAGTAGCCCATGCTTTGGGACGATTGTAGAGAAACGCTAAAGAATGGCTCGTGCGTTTCTGGATTGAATCAACTAAAGAATCGCCCTAGAAAGGTGTCAGCGATCGGAGATTGTGTGGTTGTAGTGTCATTTCCTGCTGTCTCTTGCGGTGCCGTGCCATGCCACGCCATAGCGACATGCCATGCCGTGCCATGCCACGCCATAGCGACATGCCATGCCGTGCCATGCCACGCCATAGCGACATGCCATGCCGTGCCATGCCACGCCATGCCATGAGATGCCGTGCCATGTCATTCATGCCACTCCTTCCTTCCTATGCTACAGGATGTCAATATTCTGACATGGGATGCTCTGGTGGGGATGCTCTGCTGGGGCCCGATGTCGAGTGCCTGGTGGACCCCCCACGCCCCATCTATTCAAAATCTTCTCCCATCCCTCCCATGGCAGGCAGTGCGGGAGGCAGTAGAGCAGCGTGCAGCGGCTGTACGACTTGCTAGGGCCCGATGCGGAATGCATGACCCCACTCCCTTTCCCTTCAACCACCCTCTAATTTCTCTTTCCCATCACAGGCAGTGCGGGAGGCAGTGCAGCAGCGCACATCACTGGAGGAGGGTGTGAGGGAATCGGAGCAACAACTGTACGACCTGCTGGGGCCCGATGCAATGTGCCTGACCCCACTCCCTTTCCCCTCAACCACCCTCTAATTCCTCTCTCCCACCGCAGGCAGTGCGGGAGGCAGTGCAGCAGCGCACAGAGCTGGAGGAGGGCGTGAGGGAAGCAGAGCAACAACTGTACGACCTGCTGGGGCCCGATGCAGAATGCCTCGTGGCCCCCCATGCCCTGCCGCTGCAAGAGCGGCTTGACGTCAACCTCTCCCACCTGCACCAGCTGGAATCGGTGAGTGCTGCTTCTTGCGCGCTGATAATAAGTTCGTTTTGAGATGTCTCAAAGCAACAACTGTACGACCTGCTGGGGCCCGATGCAGAGTGCCTCGTGGCTCCCCACGCCCTGCCACTGCAAGAGAGGCTGGACGTGAACCTCTCGCACCTGCACCAACTGGAATCCGTGAGTGCTTTGAGGCGCCTCAGTACGAACCTAACGAATAGCCTAGGCCCCCACCACAGAGCTACAAGAAGTAATCACCCACTGAAAAGGAGTTCGCTTTGAGTTGTTGCAAGTCAGCAGCTGTACGACCTGCTCGGCCCCGATGCAGAGTGCCTGGTGGGCCCCCACGCCCTGCCATTGCAAGAGCAGCTGGATGTCAACCTCTCGCACCTGCACCAACTGGAATCAGTGAGCGCTGCTTCGATGTTCGTGCATGCATGTGCATGGATGTGCACATGCACGCCTGCTAAGGGAGGAGCTGGATGTCATCCTCTCCAACCCACCCACCCATCCATCCGCATCTCCTGGCGTCCATGTGCCACTCCTCCCACTTTTCTCCCGTATTCCTCCAATGCAGCAAAGGCAGGAGGGGAAGGGGTGGCTGGGGGGCCTCGTCGTGCTGGCGGAGCTGAGGAGGAAGCTCATCTGCCTGCACTCCTCACTGCACCTGTCTTTTGGCAGGCCCCAAAATTACTCCCTCTGTCCTCCCTCTGTCCTCCTTCATTCTTTCGGTGCAGCAAAGGGAGGAGGGGAAGGGGTGGCTGGGAGGGCTGGTTGTGTTGGCGGAGCTGAGGAGGAAACTCATCTGCCTGCGCTCGTCTCTGCACCTGCCACCGCCAGGGAGCGACGCTGACATGCAGGACGTGAGTCCCTTGGGTTGGAACTGTAGAGGGTGGGTGTTGACAAATCAGTGTGAGTGTAGGGGCTGGTGCTGTTACGTGGGAGTTAGATACTTTAGCTAATGGACTCAAGACAGTATTAAGACTCATCGGATGCAAGGAACGAAAAGACAAGATGATTCCATGTGGCCAGCTTCCATTCAGTGCCGTTTTTCCATCCTCGCCTTTCTCCCCCCTCCCCCCACTTTCCCTCCCCCACCCCCGCCCCTTCCCTTCCTTCACCTCGATCGAATTCCAGATTCTGGAAAGCACAATGGAGGCCCTTCCCAACGCACACTCAAACGATCCAAACCAGAAGCTGCAGGCACACAAGGGGACAGCACTGCCGCACTCTGTGCAGCAGAACCAGCAGAAGAAGCAGAAGCACCAGCACCACCATCCCATGGGTCTGCAGCAACAGCAGCAGCAGCCCATGGGCGAGCGTCTAGAGGCCTTCTATAGCACTCTGTGCCGCATGGAGAGCGCATGGGCTCACCACCGCTCTGACCCCTCTGCCCCCTCTGCCTCCTCCCCAAGGGTTATGGACAATAGGCAGAGTCTTTCCGTTGCTGGCTCGCACGGCCCTTCTCCCCGGCCCCACTCTCCCCCTTCTTTCCGCCACCCCCTCTCCCCCTCCGTCCGCCCCCTCACTCACTCCTCCACGTCCCTCCTCTCCTCCTCTCGCTCCGCATCTAATCTCCTCCGCTCGACCACCCCCCCTCACACGCCGCACTCTCAGCACTCCAACCGAAGCAACAGGGACGGCGCTAGTGACAGAGGCACTGGGTGGTTGAGGAGCAGTGGTGCTGGTGCAGGTCCTGTTGACTCAAAGAGGTCAGTTCGGCAGAGTAACAGCAGCAGCAGCAGTGGCCACAGCAGCAACCGGGCCAGTAGCAGCAGCAACAGGGGGAGGCGGGGGGAGTATAGGAGGGCAGGGAGAGACGGGGAGGCGGATGTGCTGGTGTTGTCGGGAGGAGGAAGTGGAGGACGGAGTGGAGGGGGAGGAAGTCGAGGAGGAGGAGGAGGAGGAGGAGGAGGAGGAGGAGGAGGAGGAGGAGGAGGAGGAGGAGGAGGAGGAGGAGGAGGAGGAGGAGGAGAAGGAACGGCATCATTAGAGGATGGGCCGCTCACACTAGAGTCACTGAGTGAGTTTTAAGGTGCCACAGAACAAGGTGACCTCCGAGTCGACTTCAAGGTAAGCACCTGATAAGGGCTCTTTCCTGGTTTGACTGGTTGCCACATGAATTCATGCCGCCACCCCTTGCCTCCACCCCTCATGCCTCCACCCCTCATGCCGCCACCCCTCATGCCTCCACCCCTCATGCCGCCACCCCTCATGCCTCCACCCCTCATGCCTCCACCCCTCATGCCTCCACCCCTCATGCCTCCACCCCTCATGCCTCCACCCCTCATGCCGCCACCCCTCATGCCTCCACCCCTCATGCCTCCACCTTGTCTCCACCCTCGTGGCCCCACCCTCATCCCTCATACTCCCCAAATTTCTCATGCCTCCACCTTGTCTCCACCCTCGTGCCTCCACCCCGCATCCAGGTCGCCACATTCTTCGCAAGATGGACCACTTTCAACAGCAGGACGCCCGCTCCCTCTCCTCCCAATCGGACTCTTCGGGCCGTCTCAAAAGCCTCCACTCTCATTTTTCCAGCCTTCTGCCACCACCCTCGCCCTCAGGTCGCCGCATTCTTTGCAAGATGGACTTCTTTCAACAGCAGGCCGCTCGCTCCCTCTCCTCCCAAGCCTCCGCCCAAGCCTCCGCCCAAGCCTCGGCCCAGCCTGCTCCACCCTCGGCCTCAGGCTCGGAAGCCAGCTTCCCAACCAGCAGAGGAACGGCAGGAAGAGCAGGAGGCGCAGCAGGAGGAGGAGGAGCAGGAGAAGGAAGGTTGCTAGATGGGGTAGACTGGAGAAGGGGAGGAGGAGGGGGGTGGGGGGTTGGAGGAGGAGGAAGAGGAGGAGAAATGAGGGAGAGGGGGTGGGAGGGTGGATGGGGGGATGAAGAGATGGAAGGGGGGTGGGCAGCTTCGTTTGAGCCCCCGAGCTTCGTCCGCCCGCCCACCCCTCACACTTCTTCGTTTCTACAAGCCACCATTGCTGCCGCTGCTACCACTGCTACAGCTCCTCCTCCTCCTCCTCCTTCTCCTACTGCTGGTGGCGGTGGTGCTGGTGCTGCTATTTTTGCTGGTGCTCGTTCTTCTGCTGCAGCTGCTGGTGCTGTTATTGCCCTTCCTTCTCCTCCATCTCCTCCCTCTCCTCCCTCCGCTACTTTCCCTCCTTCCCCTCCCTCACCCCCCACCTTCCACCCTCCTGCCTTCTTCCCTCCTCCATTAACCCTCTCGTCGCCCAAGCCTGCACGATCCACCCCCTTGACTCCTTCCCCACCTGCCTTTTCCGTGCCCTGGTCTGCAAGTTCAGCTACAAGGTCTGCTGCTGCTGGTAAATTAGCCCTTAATGCTGCTGTTGCTAAACCTGCCCCTACTGCTGCTCTCGTTACCCGCAGCTTAAACCCCCTCTCTGCATCCATGTCACTGGCTGACATTGTTGCTTTAACCCGTCATGCTTCTAACGAGGATGGCTCTCCAAAAGTGGGAGCAGGAGCAGGAGGTAATGTGAGACCAGGGCACAGTGAATGGGGCAGGGGAGGAGTGAGGGATGCTATGGGGGTACTGGGGAGTGGGGGAGGGGTAGTGAGGGGAGTGAGAAAGGGAGAAACAGCAACTGCAGCAGTGGCAGCAGCAAGGAAAGCGGCTGGAAGTGTGTCTGCTGCTGCTGTCGCTGCTGCTGCTAGCGCTCGCTTCGACGCTGCTGCTGCCATTGCTGCTGGTGCTCCCGGTGCTGTGATCCCTCCTAGACCAGATGCTGCTGCTGCTGCTCTCGTTGCTGCTGCCTCCTGTGCTGCGGCTGCAGCTACTGCTGCGGCTGCTGCCGCTGGTGGTGCTGGCATCAGGGGTGGCAGCAGCAGCACTAGCAGAGCAGCCAGAGTTTCAGCAGCAGCAGCAGGAGCAACAGCAGCAGCAGCAGGAGGGACGGGATGGGGCAAGCAGGGTCACCTCGCCCTCTCTGCTTCCTCTCCTTCCTCCCTCCTCTCCTCCCTGCCCCCCGCCCCCCCACCAACTTCGCAACCAGCAACATCAGCAGCAGGAGCAGCAGGAGCAGCAGGAGGAAGAGGGACGGGGAGAGGAGCAGGAGCAGGAGCAGGAGCAGGAGCAGGCATGCCTCCTCCCCCTCCTCCGCCTCCTTCCCTTAAAGCCCCCCCTCCGCCCACACAAGCAGCGTCCAGGCCAGGGGGAAAGGGAGGGGCGCGATCTGCTGTTCTGGCAGCAGTGGCCGCAGCAGAAGCTTCCAAGAAGGAGCGAGAGGAGCAAGAGAAGGAGGAGGAGGAACGAGGAGCAGGAGCAGCAGGAGCAGCAGGAGCAGGAAAAGCTAAAAACTCTGGCTCTGCTGCTGCAGCTTCGTCTACAGCTTCCTCTGTGCCTCCCCGTCCCCCTCCTCCCCCTCCTCCGCCTCGCCCTCCCCCTCCTCCTCCCTCCCTCCCCTCCCCCCACATCCCAGCCTCCTTTTCCCTCCCGGACCTCTTCCAGACGTTCGGAGATCCTCGGTTCCCCACTCCCCCGCCTCCCCCGCGCCCCCCTCCTCCCCCTTCCCCTTCCCCCCAACGGTCCCATCCAGGGACCTCCACAGGGGCAAGGCAAAGGGGGGAAGGAGAGGCAGGGGCAGGGGGAAGGGCAGGGGGAAGCGGTGGAGGAGTTGGGGAGGGGGGGTTGCGGAGGTCAAACCGAATGGGGCACCTGTATCGAGGGCTCAAGAGTCGGGTGGAGCAAGCTATTGTTGGCGCCCAGGCACTGGGGGAGGACAGGGGAGTTGGAGGGGGAGGGGGAGGGGGAAGAGGGGGAGTGGGAGCAGGAGAGGGGAGGGGAGGAGGAGGGGTTGCAGGAGATGGGGCAGGGCGCATGAGAGGGAGACCACAGGGAGGGGGGCGCGTGTCGATTGCTCTGGCATTGGCAGAAATCCATCAGAAGTGAGTGGCTCTGCTCTGCTCTGCTCTGTTTCTTGCTTTCTTGCTCTTCGTTGTCTGCGTATGACTCTTGAGTCGACTCAAAAGTCAGAAGGGAGAGGGGCGGGCGGGTGTTCGTTGCCGTGGCTTTGGCAGAAATCCCAAAGGTGAGTTGCTCTGCTCTGTTCTGCTCTGTTTCTTGCTTTCTTTCTCTTCTCTGTCTGTGAATGGGTGTGTGCCCTTCTCTTGTTTGATTGACACCTGTTCTCCTGCCGTGGGCAAGAGGTAGGTGTGTCTTCCGCATGTGACTTTTGAGTCGACTCAAAAGCCTACTGTGGGCAAGAAGTATGTGTATCTTCCGCATGTGCTCTCCCATTCCCCCCTTCACTCAGCCCCCTCACGCTTTCTTCTGTGAAATCGCATCGTTTGTTCCTCCCTCAAGCAGTCCTTACTATATGGTGGCCTATCCTAAACCCTGACTTCTTCTCGTCTCTCTCTTCTTCTTGTTCCTCCAACATTTTTATGCATTTGGCCCTCGTTCTAAACCCTCCAGCTCAGCATATTTCCAGCAGATCGAGGCTGACGTGGTGAAGCATGCAGACGCCATCTGGCAGGCGAAGGCTGACCTGGAGGCCTTCCAGACCACCGATTTCGACGAGCTGGTTTCATTTCGGGCCAAGATAGAGGCGCTTCTCCAAGACTTGACTGACGAAACTCAGGTATCTGGGTAACCCCACGGCCGATTATTACTCTCGGGTAAAGGGGGAATGAGAGTAGCCGCGTATTGGAGATACCGATTTCGACGAGCTGGTGACGTTTTGGGCCAAGATAGAGTCGCTTTTGAGTCGACTCAAAAGTCAACCCTGGCCAAAACTCCACCTCCCTCCACCTCCCTCCACCTACAGACTGTCTCTCTCGCAGGTGCTGCAGTGCTTTGAGGGCTTCCCCAGCAGCAAGCTGGAGCTGCTGGTGCTGCTGCTGACACTACTAGAGCCAGTCAGAATCAAAACACATCCCATCTCCCACCTACCGCCTCCCCACTCCCCCTCTCGCAGGTGCTGCAGCGCTTTGAGGGCTTCCCCAGCAGCAAGCTGGAGCTGCTGCGTGCGTCGGCATCGCTGCACTCGCGCCTCTCCGCCCTCTCGCGTGACCTGCTCTCTGCCGTACCCATGAGCTACGATGACAGGGGAGCGACACCCGGTGCTGGTGGTGCTGCTGCTGGTACTGCCGGTGCTGCTGCTGGTACTGCTGGTGGTGCAGCGCCGGCGTCAGTGGCAGCGGTGGGGGTGTGTTTGGACCGGTGTGAGCGGCTGTTTGATCGCGTGCGAAGAGAGGTGGAGGCAGTGGAGAGGAGCAGAGAGGAGGACGCTAAAAAGTTTGCAGCGCAGCGGCTGCCGTACAGCGGTGGCGCCATCGAGAGGGTGAAGGCGGCAGCAGTGCGCCTCTCCTCGCGTCTCTTGGAGCTCTCAGCCCAGGTGAGCAGCTTGACAGGTCACAAATTAGATTAGAAGTAGGTTGAGTAGGGTGGAGTTGGATGCCGGGTGGAGGCAAGGTGACTTTTGAGTGGAGGCAAGGTGACTTTTGAGTGAAGGCAAGGTGACTTTTGAGTGGAGGCAAGGTGACTTTTGGGTCGACTTAAAAGTCACCTCGCAGTGTGGTGGGGCTGGGTTGGGAGTGAAGGATTCAGGACCCCTGTGCAGTGTTGTTTCTGCTGGAGGCATGGACTCAAGTGAGGCTGTCAAGCTTCGTTTGTCTTGATCCTGGGGTAGATTAATCTACTGCCTCTGATTCAGCCACTGCACACGTTCCTTCCTTATCCTGATGTGCTTTGGGATGCAGCTTCTCATCTCATCACTGGTTGCTCTACTGGAGCTGCCTGATTCTCCAAAACCCTGAACCCCTTCTCTCTGTGCTGCCTTGTGCGAGCAGAAGAGCATGAAGCTGAGGGCGTCAGTGGAGCTGGTGGATGGCCGTATTCCCGTGTACGATGTGCCCCGAGTCAAGGCAGGCACTTCTCTTGTTTTTAGGTGCCTTAAATATAAATTCCCTTTCTCTATGCTGCATTCTGTGTGCAGGAGAGCATGAAGCTGAGGGCGTCAGTGGAGCTGGTGGATGGGCGCATTCCCGTGTACGACGTGCCTCGAGTCAAGGCAGGCCTGTTTCTCCTCTGGCGCTGCTTCCAGTTCGCATTCAGAGCGTACAATTTCGCAGGAGGGCAAGATGAAACGGCTGAAGAGCTGTCTCTTACAGTGGCCAAGGAGATGGAAGCGTATCCAGCTTACATGTGGGGATGATGTGATGTCTGACTGATTCATACAGTAATATTCAGACAACTGTGTAGTATGGTATCTGCTTCATGATCGTCAAGGGGGTGAACTCTGTCGAGTAAAACAATCTCAACCACATACACCACAGCAGCAAGAAGTGCAAGAACACCTGAACCACCATCATCCTTAAGGTTTCAGCCCCGTTCACTCATTCACTCGCCCTAGGCTTCATGCTCTCTTACTCTCACTCACCCATCCCAGGGGTTTCAGCTCCCTTCACTCCCACTCACCCACCCTAGCGGTTTGAGCCCCTTTCTCCCACTCACTCACGCACCCTATGAAAGTTGAACAAACGGGTGGAGATAAGTAAATGATACATCTGCCATGATGAACACTTGTCAGTAAATACAGAGTTGCTTGCTACCAGGCAAACCTTACAATTGCCTGGATAATATACTAATCACCCGAGACTCTCTACAAAGACCACCCAACAAACGGGTTCGTACCGTAAGTGCCCAAGACCCAGGACGTATGAAACTGCAGGAGAAACCACGGAACCCTGGGAACCTAGGGCTGGAAGTTGCTATCCAAGAAGCCGTTCTCTACAAGCACCTGCTCCCGCTTGGCCTTATCGAGATCCGAGTCCACCATCATCGCCACCAGCTGCTTGAACGTCACCTCGGGCTTCCATCCAAGCTTTTCCCGAGCCTTGGCTGAGGATCCGCGGAGGTTGTCCACCTCGGATGGGCGGAAGTAGCGCGGGTCGATCTCGACGTGCTCCTTCCAGTCCAGGCCGACGTAGCCGAAGGCCTCGATGAGGAATTGCTCGACGGTGAACGACTCTTCTGTGGCCAGCACGTAGTCGTCAGCCTGCTCTTGCTGGAGCATCAGCCACATGCCCTGTAGAGACAAATCGGAAGGATTGTGGTCGTTAGACAATGACGTTTTGTTCCTTTGTTGCTTGTGTTTGGCCAAATGTTTTCTTTGCAATGATTGACTTTAAGGAGCGAGACGGGAATGCGGGAGGGGCGAGGAGCAAGACGGAGCGGGAAACACGAAAGAACCAATAACCAGCATCAGTGACATCCAAATATCAAGTAACAGAAGCACGAAATCGAACATTCGTACCTTGACATAGTCGCCGGCGAAGCCCCAATCACGAGAAGCCTTGAGGTTGCCGAGGTACACCTTCTTTTGAAGGCCAACCTTGATGCGGCCGACAGCGCGGGTGATCTTCCTCGTCACGAAGTTCTCACCACGCCTCGGGCTCTCGTGGTTGAAGAGAATGCCGTTGCACGCGAACATGCCGTAAGCCTCGCGGTAGTTCACGGTGTACCAGTGAGCAGCCACCTTGGAGACAGCGTACGGCGAGCGAGGATGGAAGAGAGTATTCTCGTCTTGAGGAGGCGGTGTAGCTCCGAACATTTCGGAAGATCCGGCCTGGTAGTACTTCACGGAGCGTCCGGAGTTCTCAATGTGGTTGCGAACAGCCTCGAGGAGGCGAAGAGCTCCCGTGCCGACGACATCGGCGGTGTACTCAGGGTTCTCGAAAGAAACGCCGACGTGGGACTGAGCACCGAGGTTGAAAACCTCATCAGGCTTGATCTGGTCAATCCAGTGACGGAGAGCAGTAGCGTCGGACAGATCACCATAGTGGAGTCTCAGCTTGGCCGATGAGACGTGAGGATCGCGGTAGATGTGGTCCAGGCGCTGGGTGTTGAAGTTAGAGGAGCGCCGGATGATACCGTGGACTTCGTAGCCCTTCGACAGAAGAAACTCTGTCAGGTAGGACCCATCTTGGCCAGTGATACCGGTGATAAAGGCTTTCTTAACAGGGCCTTCGGAAGCCATTGCTGAGAACTCGATAATCAGAAGTCAGAAACTGGAAATTTGACCAGAGGGACTGAAATTTCAATGCAAAAGCTAGTAGAATGTGCTGCTGTAAATCTTGAGGAGGGCTTCAGAAATGTGATGTTGTGAAGGTCAGAGAAATGCTGAATGCATCAGAGACAGGGCGTGCCTGATTATTATGTGGCAATGATCCACAGGCTCGGCAATTGTGGTTGTTGAGATCGTAGGTTCGGGTGTCCACCAAACTGTAAACCGTAGCGTGAGAGTTCCGATTGGTGAAGCAAGAGGCTCGGTTTCTACCAAATTATATCTGAGAGTGTGCGAATCAGGCTCGTCGTGACGATCTCTGCCAGGTTGGTCTGGTTTGGTTGGTGATGTGGTATCCCAAAAGGCTAGGGGTGTGCCTGCCCGCGGTATTGTCGGCGTGATGCCACGTTTGATTGAAACTTGTGTGCGTTGTGGAAAGCGGGACCTTGCGTTGCATTGCATCCCGTTACAGTTCATGCGAGTGGCTGCCCCGTTGGGGTTCCAGGTGGTTTGTTGGGGGTGACCACCTGCCCCAGGTGGTGTTGAAGATTCACAGTAACGAAGTGGCTTCCTGATACCGTAACTACACCCAACAAGGCAAAAAACCGTACCTTAAATACACAAGCTACAGCACACAAAGTGGTGCGCACAACCATGATGACGATGGCGGCGACAATGACAGTGGTAGAACACTCTCTAATAAAATCTGGTGGGCACCACTACAACGACGGCAACAATGATAACAACAAATGGTGCTACGTAGGCTACACAATTTTTCAGAGGTGCTGCTGAGGGCTCAGAGTACCTAATAAGGAACATGAGGGAATGCACTATACCTATGGATGCAGGTCATGCGGCCATGAAGCGCACGTACGACAATATGATCGAGCCCCACGTGGTGGAGGGCACGCCGCACGGGCTCATGACCTTTGGCAGCAAGCAACTTGACAGAATCAGGAGGGGCTTCTATGGCTCATGGTTTTGTAGTATGCTTGCCCCCAAAACGGGTGGAGAGCCCAAGGCCCCGCACGAGGTATAGGCCGCCTACTGAAGGGCAATACACAGGCACGTGGCACCGTGCACTATGGAGTGCTTGGGCCGCTCATAAAGGGAATGATACCACGAATGGCGACAGGCCGACCCTAGTAGTGGCATAGGACTTGGCACTTTCATAGAAATGATGCTAGGTGTGCAGAGGTTACCCAAAAGAGATTTAGGTACCCGAGGGCTAAGCGTGTGGATTAATTGATAATGTGACTTGGATCTCACCATATTAGTAAACCGCACGGCATGGAGAGCACGTGCAAGGTAATATGCACGTCCTCGGTTCAGGGTACGTGCAACGTATCGCTACGTCACTTTGGGTTCCTTGAACTTGCTGGTAGAGCTAGAATGGTTTCGACACGGTTTTCCGTTTCCTAGATATCTTTCCAGACGCGAAGGATCAATCACAAGATATTGAGAAAAGTATTTATATTAATAAGCTACGTCGACAAATAATTGCAGCCGTTTAGGGCTTGTGCACAATGAAGGACATGCACTGGACCTGCTTCACGTTGTCAAAGCCCAGAACACGGATGAAGCAACCAGGGTAGGAAGACTTGCACTCGTTAATCTCCCTGAGCACCTGGGACGCGTCAGTGCAGCCGAAGAGGGGCAGCTTCCACATCGTCCAGTAGCGGCCATCATAGTAGCCGGGGCCGCTGTTGTTTTCCCTGTACACAACACCGCTGGCATCGAACTCAATAGCGGGGACCCAGCCGTTCTTGAGCATGTACCGGATCTCCTTGACGATCATGTCGTCGGTGAGAGCGGGAAGGTAGGACAGGGTCTCGAACCGGGGGTTGCCAATGGGGTTCCACACCTGCACATTTCGAAAACCATGTGAGCACTCGATCGAATGATACCACAACAACGCGTGAAGATAATCAACTTAACCGATCACTTTAACATAAGCTGGGGAATATGATTGAAGCACTGACCTTCATGCACGACACACGGCTGCCGTTGGAGACAGTCTTGGTGGCGAAGCCATTGGGGGTGGCAACACCAGCCTTCAGGCCGGAGAAGGACACGGACTTGGAGGAGGCAGCAGAGGCCTCCACAGTTGCCTTGAAGGCAACAGGGGCAACAACGGCGGACGAGGTGATGGAGGCCATTTTCCTTTCTGGAGGGAAAAGGAGAAGAACTTGGTAGGAAAGGTTGCACTGATTGCTGAGACAATGAGATCTCTGGGTGTTATAGCTGGTGTTGTGAGGGTTCGCTAGGGTAAAGCGGTCCGTGCCACGATCAGGGTTCGTGCGGTTGGTGGTGGATAGGTTCGAGCTGGCTGTTATCCAGTAAACAGCGCCGACTAAGCAGGTCCACCCAGATGTGTATGGAGGGTACGCTTATGTGGCAATCTCTGGTAGCGCCGATCGTTCTGATGTGGGAGGCTTACTGCCTATGTGGCAAAAAATGCAACTTTGCAGCACACGATTGTCCACCGTGGGAAAGGCTGACATCGGCACTTCTTTTGGCCATTCGCGCCAACCACATCTGTCAGACGCGGTGGCAGTTGAGTTGAGATCTCTTCCAAAAGTTCACACGTCAGCAACTCCCGCTATAACAGGCACCTAAAAAATGCCGCGCTAAAAATATTCTGCAAAGTTACATCCTAAAAAGAAAGTCTTCATAAGAAATGTGGATGGGCTGCATCCCACGAAGCTCGGGTGACAAAAATGATGCAACCACCTTTTCGCCCAGTGTGACGTTGCGATGACACAGCTTTGCCAAATCGACAACCCACCAAGCCCCAGGTTGAACCTATCCACGTCAGTCACACGAAATTGGATGGGAACGAGATTTGTGGGTGGTCCCCTCCCATCCAACATGGTACACATGGTTACCTACCCAGAGCCCAATTTCAACGAGTAAACACGTCTTTCCCAACATTCCTCTCCATTCGTCCTGAGACTGATCCACCAACCAACAACCTGCGACACTCCCTTCAGTTTCACACCCGCCTACTTCTGATCTGGTTGGAGCTTTGCTCTGCAGTCACATTCAGGCTGGTGTTCGCGGATCAACCAGGTTACACGGCCTTCTAGAGCCGCCTTTTTACTTGGTGTATTTGGATCAGAGGCAAGATACTTGGTGGCTGGGCTCATGGTATTCACTGGTCGAGAAATTGCCCTTGCATAGTCGAGATACAGCCCTGTCCTGGTCCCGTTCACTCGAGAATTTATAGACCAGAGCAACGTCTGGACGCATTCCAGGAGCGAGTGACAGAGTTAGCATTCACTGACAACATGCAGACGGGCTTAGGGTTATGTCGATCGAGCCTCGCAACACCTCGCTTTCCTGTTAGCGGGAGCGGAACGTTTTGTGATAGCCATATCGATTCCAATTGCGTGAAATCGACTTCATCAGTTCGTCCACTAACTTGCGTCAATAAACGCGACGATTATGCCAGTTCAGCACGTTGTGCGCGTTATAACCACGTTACAAGAGAATCGGCAACTTTGGGAAGCCTGCACAGATTGACGGTTAGGAAGTTGGACACAAACATTTCCTTCAGTACTCTGAAAAGGCGATCGCTGCGAGATTTCGCTGCAGCCTCAGACGCGCACGGGGCATCCGGCAGAATTAGCTCTTCGCCGCTTCATTCCAGGTCGCAATACTCCGATCAAAACACCTCCAGTCCTGGGGCTTCGTCCAATTCAGGCAATTCCTCAACTGCGTCCGACAGTGCTGCTCCATCCCAAGCGCAAACGCAGCAGGAGCAGTTGCAACCACAACCGCAGCAGCAGGAGCAGCAGGATCAGCAGCAGAAGGAGCAGGTGGCGCAGGGAAAATTCTGGCGGCGGGTGAAGTTTGGCTCGCTGGCTGGAGGGCTGGCTTTCGGTGGACTGTTGATGGGGAGCTGGCTGTTCACGGTTCTTCTGACGGGAGTGGTTCTGCTCGGTACTGCGGAGTATTTCAACCTGATTGACGCCCGGGCCAAGCTGAACAACGTGGCCGTTCCTTCGCGGCTGTCGGTTTACATTGGCTGCATCGGCTGCGCCATCATGCCGCTCATTGCCATGTAAGATTTTCGTAATTTCACTTGCGCCAAAAGAAAGAAAGAAAAGGTGTGCGCTCCCGTGGCGATCGCTGTGCAATTCACACGGTAAACAGACCTCTCGAGCCGCTTGTTGTGACTTAGGGCTGAAAAATGATGCGGAGTTGTTTTTAAGTAACGGGGCTGAATTGCCGGCTGCGTTGCACAAGCGCGAGTTACAGATATGAAGGAATCGGAAATTGGTTGGAGAGAGGGGTTCTGAGCGATTAGGTTTTGGAAAGGGGGGTGTCGATGGGGCGGGGGGAGTCAAGGGTCGGGTTCATAGGGGTTTACAATCTTTACGTTGTTATGATTCAAGCTACGGTGGCAAGGGATTGGGGAACGAACGGTTCTTCCACCAACACCACGTAAGCTTACCAGGCGCGGCGTGCTCTCCGCACGTGATCATTTGCTTGCTCTATGAGTCGCCATGTGCGTATAAATAGTTCCGCGTGATTCTGGGTTTTCTAACGCGCGTGACACTCGTCTCTGACGAAAATAATCCATTCATGTGTAAGGAAAACTGGTCTCAGTACCCATCCAGAAAAAGAATAAGTTGAAGCTTCCCGTCCCTTGGTTAACAGCGATTGGCAAGTCCAACGGTTTGTTGAGCTCCTAATTTGCCTCCTGGCGACCATTCTCCTGAAATGCCTCTGAAATGTCAAAGAAGCCTATCAGGCAAAACCTGTCGTTTATCTCAGCTCTCTTGTTCCTCCGCTCCCATCTTTCATGGCAGGGTGAATGGTGGGCTTTTGACTCCGGGAGCGAAATTCGCGGGCGGGCTGCTGCTGGCCATGCTGCTGACTCAGCCCAAGCGGCCTCGCTGGAGCCAGTTCACAGGCTACATCTGCGGCCTCTTCTACTGCGGCTTCCTTCCCAGCTTCTGGGTCACGGTGAGTTCTTACCTCCCCCTGCGTGGATCACTGCATTTTTTGGAAGCCTCCGGGTCATGTTACGTATTTTTATTTAATATTCACAACGCTTTTTTGCCAGATATTGGCCAGGGTTGCTGCTTCAGCATTTTCTCATCCTTCCCCTCCCCCACCTCCGCCACCCCCTTCCATTCTTGAACCCCCCCTCTTCCCTCCCCACTTACATTCTTGCGGAGTGGTCTGGCGACCACAGTCACGATGACGTCGCCAATGGCGTGACTCTTTGTCGTCCTCGCTTGTTTGTACCTTTCCCCCTTAAAATCTTCCCTCTTTCCCACCTCCTCCCCCACTTTCCCCACTCCCTACCATCCACCACTCCAGCTGCGGTGTGGCCTGGCGACTACAGCCACGACGACTTCGCCGGTGGCTCGGGTGTGGCCCGCCCTGCTGGGAGGGTTTGTGCCTCTCCCTCTTAACTCTTGCCTCCCTCCCCTCTCTCCCCCCCCCCCCCCCTCTTTCCCCCCCACCACTCCAGTTGCGGTGTGGGCTGGCGACTACAGCCACAACGTCATCCCCAGTGGCGCGGGTTTGGCCTGCCCTGCTGGGAGGGCCGGCCCTGTGGACGACGGGGCTGGTGGCCATCTTCATGGGCTTCGCGGGGGTCATTGCTGCCGACACCGGGGCGTATCTGGGCGGCAAGACCTTTGGCAAGACGCCTCTCATTGGTAGGTTCGAGTGAGGGTGGATGGGCGTGGTGTGAAGCAAGTCTGTGAAACTGCACCGTGCGTGTGTTTCAATCCCCGAAGAGGATGGGGATGTCACGATTGCCTCAGACAAAGACATGATGATGGAACAAGGTTCACAATGATTCACAAAGGTTTGTTTCCTTCACCTAGTTCCATCATCTGTGAGCGTTTGCGAACCCGCCGTCCATCTGTCGTCCTGAGGTGACTTTTGAGTCGAGGTGACTTTTGAGTTGACTTAACCTTATTCCATCATCTGGTAGCATTTGCGAACCTGTTGTCCATCTGTTGTCCTGCTCCGATCTTCACTGCCAATCCCCCCTCCACCCTCCCTCCTTTTCATCTGCACCTTTGATCTGCATATGATCCTATTTTGGTTCTTGTCTTACCCCGCAAGACCCTGCCAATCCCACATTCCGCCATCCCACCTGCGTAGGCGATTGCCCCTCAACTCTTACTGTGCTACGTGCTCCCCATCCCTCCATCCATGTGCCACGTTCCCCTGCACCACGATTCCTACCCTGCACCACGACTCCATCACCACTTCTAATTTGGCAGAGCTGAGCCCCAAGAAGACGGTTGAAGGGGCGTTGTTCGGGCTGGCCTCTTCAGTCTCTGTGTCCGTCCTCCTCTCTCGTGCCTTCAGCTGGCCTGCCACACCTATCAGGTGCTGTCTTTGTGCTGTCATGCCTGTATACCGCTTACATTGAGGTGATTTTTGAGGCGCCTCAAAAATCACTCTGGTCTCTGTGTCCGTCCTCCTCTCCCTTGCCTTCAGCTGGTCAGCCACGCATGCTGTCCCGCTTTCTCATGGATGGTTGGTTCCTGTTCACATTTTGCAACGTGACTTCCTGCCTAATGCATAATGATCAAGTGCTGATTGTATTGCAACGTTTCCGTTGTTGTTGTTCTTCAAACTATCCAACACCTCTTTTCCCCGTCCTTTTCCTTTCCGAAAACACATTGTTCACATTTACTCTCTTGCATTCTGCAGTGCGGCGGTGCTCGGTGTGATTGTCTTTGCTTCTTCCCTCTTTGGAGATCTTTTCGAGTCGGCTCTCAAGCGCCAGGCTGGAGTGAAAGATGCCGGCTCTCTCATTCCGGGACATGGTGGAATTTTGGACCGCACAGATAGCTACATCTTCACAGCCCCAGCGATTTACCTTTTCATCCGCTATGTTCTTCCTAAGCTAGCATGAAGTTGAGCGTTCATGAAATACGCCTATGTTGTTGGGTAGGGAAATGAATTTGTAGGTTGTAGAGCCTGCTGCATTCTGCTTTCAAGCACTCCTGACCCTAGGTTGTTGTACATCAGGAAGTCGTATCATAAAATAAAAGCTTGGATTGGATCCTTGTAAGCATTGCAAGGATGCAGGTTAATTGTCACTTATGGAAAGATAACTTAAGTTGAAAAATCTTCTGTAACATACGCTGCTTCTTCGCAAAAGTACTGCCTGAGAACGAACCGAATTTCGAGGTTCGCCATTTTAGTTCGCCATAGACTTGTAGCGTCTCCCGACCTTGAAATTTGCCCAGCCAAATTGGAACCTTGGGATCTCCGCCGAGTCGACTATCATTTCCAGCCATGTAGCCTGAAAACCGAGTCTGAATGGTAGTTGACCTAGTAGGCCCCAGTTCGTTAGGAGTGTCTAATTTCATGCGCAAACGCATCCCAGATAGACGAGAGCTTCTTTGCCGCGAGCCACGTGGATATTGAGCGTGTGTGAGCGAGCTAAGAGCGTGGATGAACCCGCAGAACAGGTTGAGCAGTCGATTGGCTGTTTTTGAAAGGTAGAGAGGCCGGCACAGAGCCTTGGTGATGGGGGGTTCGACACCGCCGGATGATCCCGAGGCAGCGAGGACGATTCAATCAGGAGCAGATGCAGGAGCAGGGGGAGGAGGAGGAAGAGGAAGAGCATCAGCAGCATCAGCATCAGCATCAGCATCAGCATCAGCAGAATTAACATCAGCAGCTACAACAGCATTGCCGTCTGGCGGGATGAACCCCTCAGCCTCTTCGAGCCGCTCCCGTCCTAATTCACGTCATGAGGTCGCAGAGGCCAATCAGGGAAGCCCACGTCACGAGATTGAGATCTCCGATTCTGAGACGGAGCCGTTGACGGGCCCGCGAACCGCCGGCGACGCCAGCGACCGACCATGCGACAGCAGGGATCGTCCACCTCTCTCGCAAGCGCGGCGAGAAGTCAGGCGGCACGACTACGTTCCGGCTCACAGCAACAGAGACACCAGAACCACGAGGCTCGGCGAGAGGCTCGACGAGAGGTCCGGCGAGAGGTCCGGAGGGAGGTTCGGAGAGAGGTCCGGCGAGGAGGGCGGGTTGTTGGAGACGCTGGGGCAGGAGATAGTGGCGATCGTGACGCCCGTGTCCATCTGCATGCTGCTCGTCGTCGCTCTCGTGCTCGCGCTCACCCCGCACGGCGCCTCCGTCACCACACCTACCATTGCGACGCTCGTGTATCAGGAAGAGAGGTACGCGCGTCGCATGTAGAGGAAGCATTATAGCGGAGCCATTGCTGTGACGCCCGTGTCGATCTGCATGCTGCTCGTCGTCGCGCTTGTGCACGCGCGTCCGCCACGGCGCCTCCGCCTCCGCGCCCATCATCGCGGCGCTCGTGTACCAAGAAGAGGGGTGCGCGCGTCGCATTTAGAGAGCCATTATCGAGGAGCCATTACAGGGGAGCCGTTATAGGGTGCCCCAGTGACCTCCTGCTCTCCTCTCGCCACCCTGTGGGGAGCCTTGCTGAATGCATGGGGCTGCTGGGGCTGGTGGGTCAGACGACTTCCAATCACCCCGTGCCCTTTTCTCCTCCCTCATTCTCTCCTCTCCGTCGGCCCCCACCCGCCACCAGCACGGACGCACCCTGGCAGCGGCTGTGGGGCGCGCTGTTAAACACGGCAGCGATGGTGGCGCTGGTGACAGCAGCCACGTTCGTGCTGGTGGGGCTGTTCTACTGTGACCCAACCAACTCGCCCAGCCGAATGCGTGGGGCTGCTGGGGCTGGTGGGTCCAAAGACAACCAATCGCCCGCACTTCTCTTCTCCCTCATTCTCCCCCTCCCCCCCCACCAGCACGGACGCGCCCTGGCAGCGGCTGTGGGGCGCACTGCTGAACGCGGCGGCGATGGTGGCGCTGGTGACGGCAGCCACGTTCGTGCTGGTGGGGCTGTTCTACTGCGGCTGTGCGCGCTGCATCTGGGGCTACATGGGCTTCTCTGGCTTTGTCATATTTGCCGGACTGGGCGGCACACTCGCAGTGCAGCTCATACAGGTCAGAGGCGCTGCCATCTGCTAGTGGTCTGCATCTTTCTCTCCTGCTAGCGGTCCGCATCTTTCTCTCCTGCTTCCTATCGTTCTTGCTCTTTGTTAGCGTCCAGTTGTGTGTCTGGCTCAACTCCCATCCTCCCTCGCCCCCCCCCCCCCCCACCAGCGCTTCTCCATACCAATAGACATCATCACCTTCTCTCTTCTCCTCTACAACCTCTCAGTGGTGGGCGTGCTCGCAGTCTTCTTCTGCCGAATGCCCATCTTCCTCACCCACTCCTACCTCGTCGCGGTCGGCGCCATCGTCGCCTTCTGGTTCTCCAGCCTGCCTGAGTGGACCACGTGGATGGTGCTCATCGCCATGTCACTCTACGACCTCTATGCCGTCCTCACACCAGGTATGTTCACCTCCCACCCACCCCAGACAATCACCGCCTTCTGGTTCTCCAGCCTGCCTGAGTGGACCACGTGGATGGTGCTCATCGCCATGTCACTCTACGACCTCTATGCCGTCCTCACACCAGGTATGTTCACCTCCCACCCACCCCAGACAATCACCGCCTTCTGGTTCTCCAGCCTGCCAGAGTGGACCACGTGGATGGTGCTCATCGCCATGTCACTCTACGACCTCTATGCCGTCCTCACACCAGGTGTGTGCATGTCTTGATGCCTCAGGACTCCTCAGGACTCCTCAGGTCAGGTATGTGCCTCTCCTATTCCAGGCAATCAATCCCACCGCCTTCTGGTTCTCCAGCCTGCAAGAGTGGACCACGTGGATGGTGCTCATCGCCATGTCTCTCTACGACTCTCTTCTCACATCCCTCCTCTCCATAGCCATGGACCGAGACGAGGGGATTTCAGCACTCAACATCCTCGGTGCTGTTGCTGTTCTGATCCGATTCACTCACTCACTCACTCCTCACATTGTCTTTCCGTCGCCTCCCATGGAGCGAGACGAGGACATCCCAGCCCTCACCTTCGAAGCTGTTTCGATTCATTCACTCCCCGCCTTGCCCTCTCTTTCCCCACTGTTTCTCCTCATCACCAGTGGGTCCTCTCAAGCTCCTTCTAGACATAGCCATGGAGCGAGACGAGGACATCCCAGCACTCATCTACGAAGCTTGTTCTATCTCCTGCCGTCCCTCCCATCCCCCCCATTGTCCTACCGCAGTTGGCCCCCTCAAGCTCCTGTTAGACATAGCCATGGAGCGAGACGAGGACATACCAGCACTCATCTACGAGGCCCGGCCCCCACCCATGCCCTTCGCCCCGCCCCCTCCTGCCCTCCGTCCTCCTCCCCGCCTTCTCACTCCCACTCGCCCGCTCCCCTCCGGTCACGTGCTCCCCTCCGGTCCCTCTCTCCCACTCCCCCCTCACTCTCATTCCACCATGCCAACTCGCCTCGGCCATCCCCCACTCTCCTCCTCCTCCACCTCCTCCTCCTCGTCCTCTTTCCCGCCCTCTCTATCTCCCTCCACCGCATCCAACCCCTCTCCATCCGGCACCACATTTCGGCCGACAAACAGCACAGCTGGTAGCACTCTCGTCCCTAACACAGCCCTGGGGCAGGCGGATGGGGGAGGGGGAAGTGGGGGGGATGGGATGACTGGTGGTGCGGTGGGGAGCGGTGCTGGTGGGTCAAGGAGAACGCGTGTGCGAGGCCAATTCGAGCGGCGGTTGCAGCAGCAGGGGAGCGTTGCTGGTGGTACGATCGGTGCTGCTAGTGGTGCTGCTAGTGGTGCTGCTAGTGCTGGTGGCAGTGGTGCCGGAAGGACCTTTGCTGGACAGCTGAGTGCCTTTGTTGCTTCTGCTGCCGCCGCCGCTGCCACTTCTGCTCTGCGCCTCACTGGAGCTCAGAGAGAGGAGAGGCTGGGAGGGGAGGGAGCAGAGGGGAGGAGGGCGAGGGGGGTAGAAGGCGAGGGTGAGAGAGAGGAGGGAGAGAGTGAAGGTATGCCGCTTATAAGTCGAGAAGTGGGGTTCCCACCGGAGGGTGCAGGAGGAGGGAGAAGCGGAGTAGAGAGGGGAGGGGAGGGGCAGCAGACGAGGAGTGGTGAGTGGAGCGAGCATGCAGCAGACTTGAATCGCGGGGGAAGTGGAGTGCTGCTTAACGAGGTGCCTTATAACGGGTCGGTGGATCAGTCGTCGGGTAGTGGGAGCCGCCCGGGCAGCAGCAGAGGGCGGCGGGGAGGGGAGACAGCAGTGAGAGGGGAGGAGGAGGTGGAGCGGGAAATAGCACGGCTCAGAGAGGTAGCCAGCCAACACCTGCGCGAGAGAGAGAGGGAGAGAGAGCGGGAGCGGTGGAGAGGCGGAACGATCTCCCGGGCGGTATCGCTTGGACCGGAGTGGAGCATGGGGGCAGTGAGTGGCGGGATACGGATGAGAGCTGGGCTAGAGGGGCAGATTGCGGGGATTGAGGGGCAGAGTGTGGGAATGGACGGTTTGCCTGGTATGGACGGGCAGATGAGAGGGTTTGAGGTGAGTGGGGGTGCGGTGGGGTGCGGGACGGTGCCATGCAGAGCGGATGGGTTTCCACGCTCAGTTGCTGAAGGTAGCAGTCGGCCGCATAGCTTGCTTGGGTCTGGTGGGTGGGGGGGTAGTGGGGATCGTGAGAGCAGTGGAGGGTGGTCGGCTGACTTGTCTTCGGTTCACGTGGAGGATCCAGAACAAGGTGGTGGTGGTGCTGGTGGTGGTGGTGCTGGTGGTGCCTCTGCTGGTGCTGGTGCTTCTTCTGCTGGCGCTGGTACTGCTGGTCTTAATGCTGTTGTTGGTGGTGATGACGGTTCTTCTAGCTTTGCTGCTGCAGCTGCTGCAGCTGCTGCCATTGCTGCTAGAGCCGCTGTTACCACCGCTGCAGATGCATCGACAACCACCGCTTCTACCGGCAGCCACAGCAGAGGGCAGATTGCCGAGCCTGACAGGTTCGGCACGCAACCGAACCAAGATGTGCATGCTTATTCCGCCGACAACCCGGACGATATTCACTACCTGCCGAGCCCGAGCCTGGAGCCGAGCAGCAGCTTCGGCCCGGACCTTCCAAGTGCCATCAAGCTTGGAATGGGAGATTTTATTTTCTATGGTGTTCTGGTGGGGAGGGCTGCAATGTATGACTTGATGACAGTGTATGCGTGTTACCTTGCGATAATTGCAGGGCTGGGCGCTACACTTGTGCTCTTGGCGTTACAGAAGCGGGCGCTGCCTGCACTGCCCATCTCGATTGGGTTGGGAGTGGTTTTCTACTTTCTGACACGTCTGCTGCTTGAACCATTTGCTGTTTCTGTTGTCACAAACTGCTTGTACTTTTGATACTAGTTGGATCCAGCGCCTTATGAGCTTCTGTCTTAGGGGAATATGGGTGTATTACAGTAACCAGATTGGAACCACAGCATTGCAAATCAAAGTCACCGATTGTCATCTTTACCTGGCCCATGTGCTACGGTAGTCAGACGGGCCATAACCAGACAATCCTCTTACCGTATCAAACTGTGAAAACAGTGAAGTTGGAGGGATGAAACACCTCTTGTGATTTACGCATGAAGGTGTGGTAGTGCGAGAGAGTTAAGGCCCTCAGATTCACTTTCAGGGACCCTGATGCATCAGTGTATGTACAAAAAAGTAGTAGGCTGAAAAATCAGGAATTTCAGGGAAAAAGCCCTGATATCTGAGGGCCTCTTCAAGACCAAGGCAGCACGTCTGTGTGAGTGTTTAAAACCCATTTCCCCCCTCCCTTCCTTTCCACCTGTTGCGATCGGAAGTTGATCGTAGCCAGGATCACCTCAGGAAGGTTCGCACACTTCTAATCTAGTGGTGGTGGGCCCTTGACCTCAATAGCAGAGTGAATGTAAATGCTTGAGATAATAAAAACATGCAGTACAAGGAATATAAATATGAGTACAGGGGAATTCGAAACGACCTAGCTAGCCATGTACTCTAAGGGGTACATTCCCTTATTACAGCGAAATCCAACCGTGCGACTCCGGGTGGTTACGGAACTGTTCGGGCAGAATCCTCGCCACTGCTGCTGCCTGATGCTGTCTGCCCGACGGTCCAGATGCTCCTCGTAACCGTCTGTCCCTTCGCATTACTTCTGCCTTTTCGTATTCACTCTCGATACTGCGTGCTTCGGCTTTGCCACGGTGAGGAGTGACCAATAGTATTTTCACTAACCACTATTCGTAACACCCCCCTTCACTCCTGGCCGTAGCAAGCATTGACCCGCTTGACTACCCCGCTGAGTTCGGAGCAGTGCTGGTACTGCTGACGAGGCAGTTTCTTCGTGAGGAAGTCTGCTGCCATGTCACCCGTTGGGCAGTATGTCAGATCAACCTTGCCCTTGTCAACTTCGTCCTTGACGAAGAAGTACCGCGGTGTGATGTGCTTGGTGCGGTTGACGAAGCCAGGTTTGTTCGCGATCCTGATCGCGCTCTGGTTGTCGCAGTGCAGGCGAAAGTTCGTTGAGGCCGGAATTTTCGCTTCTTGCAACAGCTCCTGAAGGTAGAGACCTTCGCGAACAGCTGCTGTTGCTGCGATGAATTCAGCTTCCGCCGATGACAGGGCAACCAACTCCTGCTTCTGAGAGTTCCAGGAGATGGGGCCGCTGGGCTCGAGGCGGAAGAGGAATCCTGTCCTGGACCATCGATTGTCAGGATCAGCGGCGTGATCAGCATCCACGTAGCCGACGAGACTGAAGGATGCGGTTGGGATGGTGGAGTAGCTGAGCCCGACATTGGGCGTGGAGATAAAGAATTGAAGGGCTCGCTGAAGATCTGAGAGGTTCTCAGCCGTTGGTTTGCGTGAGTACTGAGCCAACTGGCTTGCGATGTAGGAGAGGTCGGGCCTGCAGGTGACTGATGCGAAGAGCAGGCACCCCAACTGCTGCTGGTAAGTGTGAAGCCCAGCAGGGGACAGGGCTTTGTCGTCAGGCTTGTGGTTGGGTCCTGGAGTGCGGTAAGGGGTGGAGAGTGGTGCAGGCGCAATGTTGAAGCGCTTGCTAAGCTCCTCCGCATACTTCGCTGCTGAGAGATGAATGGCTTCTGGCGCGTAAGTTATGTTGAGTCCGAGGAACTGCTTCACGTCGTGGTTGCAGGTGATGTCGACGCGCCCTGCGAGACTCTTCTCGAATTGCTCCAGCAGTTCGTTGCTTGAGCCTGTGTAAAGGAGGTCGTCGACGTAGACCGTGAGTAGGATGTATTCGCCGCGGAAATCGCGGCGATACATCCCAGGGTCGTGAGGCAGCTGCTTGAATCCGATTTCAAGCAGTATGTTGTGCAGGTACTGCTGCCAGAGCCTTGGTGCTTGTTTGATCCCGTAGAGGGACTTGCGCAGCTGACAAACGCGTGGATCCTCGTCGCCGTATATGTGTGGCTGCTCCACGTAGATCACGGCGTCCACTAACGCGTACAGGAAGGCATTCTTCACATCGATCTGCCGAAGTGGTAGGTGGCGTGCGGCTGCGATGGCGAGCAGAATTCTGACGGAAGTGTGACGACTAACCGGCGCAAATGTCTGGTCGAAATCAATCCCGTGCCTCTGATCGTAGCCGCGCACCACCCAGCGTGCCTTGAATCGCTCAATCGTTCCGTCAGCTCCCGTCTTCACGCGGAAGACCCATTTGCCGGAGAGGATCCTTCTGCCCTTCACTGCTGCACGGTCGACGAGCACCCAAGTGTCGCGCGACTCAAGCGCCCGAATCTCCGCATCCATTGCTTCGCGCCACTCCTTGCTGTGTGGGCCTGTGAGAGCTTGTCGTGGGTTCTTAGGCTCGATGATGCGCGGAGCAGTGGAGACGACAGCGTGCAGTCCCAGGAGTTGAAGGCCAGTGATGGTGCTGTCATGGCGATGTTGGGTGACGACTTCCTGCACGTCGTCATCGTCGCTTTCTGGTTCAGGCGGTGCTGGTGGTGCTGTGTCTCCGCCGCTTCCGCTTCCTCCTGCTGCGCCTCCTGTTGCGCCCGCTCCTCCTTCTCCTGAATCATCGTCGTCGTCGTCGTCGTCGCGGCGATCGCCCCTTGTGAACTCCCCTCTGGGATCCTGCTCCAGAATTGCCGCTGCAGCTTCGTCCTCAGGTGAAGCGTAGCTGTGGCCCTCGTTGGCGTAGACGCGGTTTGCGTTCGTCTGCTCGTCCTCACGGAATTGCTGCAGAAACAGCCGCTCGTAGAAGATAACGTCGCGCGCATTTTTGATTTTCTGGCTTAGGAGATCCAGGATGATCCATGCCTTGTGTTCGTGACTGATGCCGAGGTGGATTCCCCAGCGCGCGCGGCTCTTGAACTTCCCGATGGTTGACGTTGGAGGTCGGTATTGAACCATGCACCCCCAGACGCGGAGCATAGAGGTGTCCCCCTTTCTTCCCGTCCATTTCACATGCGGCGGGGAGTTGCCGGTGATTGCGGTGGTTGACAGCAGGTTGTGCACCCGCACAGCGTGGTGCATCGCGTAGGTCCAGTAGATCAGCGGGAGCTTCGCCTGCCGCATTAGCGCCCGCACCTTCGTCATGAGGGTGCGATTCGTGCGTTCTGCTACGCCCTGCTGCTGATGCGCGTAGGGGAGAGAGATGTGATGCTCGATCCCCTTTTGCGCGAGGAAATCCTGCAGCTCCTTGCTCCTGAACTCCGCTGCGCCATCGGACTGCCAGATCTTCAATTTCTCCCCAGATTGCCGCTGTGCGTGCGCCAGCCACAGGCGGAATGCTTCGTAGGCTCTGCTGCGCGCTTCCACGTTTACGACCCATACGTGGCGTGTTCCGGCGTCGACGAAGGTGAGTGTGTAGAGCTCGTCGTTGATGCCGCAGTGACCTACGTTGAGGAAATCACTGTAAACTTTCTCCAGCTTGGCGTAGCGATTGGTTCCTGGGTCGAGTAGGGGGAAGGGCTGGTGACTCAGCACGGCTTCGGGGCAGACGGTGCAGGTGCGCGGGTGAGTTCCTCCTCTCACTTCGGAGCCATCAGGGCGCAGTAGCGCGCCAGGTGCGAAGACGTCGGCTTCGATGCAGTTCTTCAGAGTCGTCCGCGAAGGGTGACCTAAGCGCTGATGCCAGATGGCGTCGTCGGCGCGGAATCCGGAGGTGCGCATGTAGCGCGCCAGTGCAGCTGCGGGGTCTTCGTCAGGTGCCGGTGCAGGTGTGGGAGCTGCTTCCTCATTCTCTTCTTCTTCCTCGTTCGCCGTCGTTAGCATGAGGGCGAGAAACTCTTTGTCGCGGATGATGGAGTAAGGGATATTGGTTCCGGGGATCGTGCCAAGCACAAGTGTCGGTTCGCGCGGTTCAGGGGCAGGTCCGTAGACGGTGCGTCGTGGGGTGAGTGGTTCACTACCCCAGTCGATGGTGTCCCAGGGGTCACTTCCTGAAGGGATGTCAGGGGGCGGAGGTCCTAATGCAGGGCGGCGCGGAGGGCGTCCGAGAGGGACAATAGGAGGTTCAACCTCAACTTGCGCAGGTTCTGCTTCCCCTTCCCCCCTTCGTTCCTCGCGGAAGGCTCCCCAGCCGCTCGTCTCGCCGCCTGTTGCTGCGCCCCATCCGCCGGTTGCGTCGCCCCAGCCGCTTGTTGCGGCACCCCAACCGCTTGTGTTGCTCGTTCCCCATCCGCTGGCGCTCCCCCACCCCCCTTCATTGGAGGCGCTTTCCTCGTCTTGCTCCCAGGCGAGCGTTCCGCGTGCCTCGGCGAGGCTCTTCTGCCGAAGCTCCTCGGCTTCGCGTTGCGCCAATGCCTCCTCTTCCGTAGGTGAGAGTCGTTTCTTTGAATCGCGCCGGTGAGAGTATATCTCTGCCGCCTTCTTCTCGGTGTAGGGCCGAGGGTTCCCATGGGCGTCGAAGGTACCGACGCCGACGCCGCGGAGCATGCCTTGGAGATGCTGAGATGCGGGTCCGGGGAGAGGATGTTCCGGGGTGCCGAATACGACCCGTGTAGCTGTTTCCAGCTCCAGTTGGGATAGACCCTCCTCAGGCGGTGCGTCGCGCTCTGCTTCGCGAATGGCGGCAAGGCCGCGGCCGGCGATCGCGCTCGTCGAGGTCGTCGGTGTGTGGCAGTCCCTGCAGACGCCGTCAGGATCGGGGTCGTGCAGCGCCAGCTCGCGCGGGTGTGGGTGGTGCGGCACCCAGGGGCGCCCATCGGGGTGCTTCCAATCGCGACGAAGGATGTGCTCGAAGCGCAGGGGGACGAGGTCGATTAACTCCTGCGAATCGCCGCTGCAGTCGGGAATGTCAAAGTCGAGAACGTATACGCCGTTCTCGGCGTGCGCCCGTCCGATCTGCTTGCGCGTCTTGTTCGGCATCATGAAGTGAAGCAGGATGTCGCGCGTCTCGGGGTCGGTGCTGAGAATGACTCCGCAATCCAGGAGTTGCGCCGCCGAGAGCAGATTAAAGCGTAGGTTCTGCACAATCAACACGTCGTTAAGTGTGATGTGCGTTCGACTCTCTCGTGCCTTGAGCACCACGATGCCTTGCGCGCTTACGCGCAGCCGCGTGTTGTTCGCCACTGTGACGTAAGTGACTTCGGGGGTGGCGACGGCGTTGGATATGTAACGCTCGGAGCCCACCATGTGCTGCCCACAGCAGCTGTCCAGGTACCAGTTGTTGTAGCGCCTGTTATCGTTTCGCGCGAGCTGCGCCAGTCGCGGAGTGACGATGTGCGGAGTGTCGACCTTCAGAATTTGTTCGCGCGCGATCCAATCGATCGGTGCCGGCCGCATATCAGGTACGTGCGGAGGGCTCTCTAGCAGCGGGACTGGCAAATTCCAGTCCTGGTTGTCGTCGTCGCTGTAGTCGTGACGCGTGCTGAATGGATTGTTGTTCGGGGACGCCTCGATTGGGTCAGGTGCTGTCTCCGGTGACAGTGAGCGCGCGCGCGGGCGACGAGAGCCGCTCGTCATGGTCATATTCCCCATGACATTGCGAACGGGGGCAGCTTGTGATGGCTGCTGCTGCTGCTGAGATGGTGGATTCAAGTTGCGCGGTGGCGGTTGATACCCCTGGGCGGGACGCGTGACGTTCCTCGCGTCTTGTCGGCCGGACCAGTTGCTCGGATTGGTCTGGCGAGGACGAGATCGATGCTTGCATCGATCCGCCAAGTGCCCGAAATTTCTGCAGATTTTGCAGTAGAGGCGCCGCGGCCGTCGCTCTTCTGTGTTGTCGGCGAAGAATGCGAGGCGCTCCCTATCTCGTCGCGGCGCTGGTCGCTGCTGGTCCATATCCCTTTGTTCGACGAGAAGGGCGGCGCAAAGGGCGGCCTCCGAGATGACCCCCTGCTGTCGAAGAAGCGCCTTGTAGGGCCGCCACTCTGGGCCTAGCCTTTGGAGCACGATGTTGACGAAGATTTCTTCAGAAATCGTGCTCCCCAATTTCGCGATTTGATCGCGTAAGCTCCGACAGCGATTCAGGTAACTGTTGGCTTTCTCTCCTAGTGCCATCTTGGTCTCCAGTAGCTGCTGGAGCAGGCGGCTCGACGACACTGAGTCCTTGGGTTGGTATACGCCGTTCAGGTGGCGCCAGGCGTTGAGGGCGGGAGCCGGCGAGGTTTTGTATGAGCGAATGCTCAGTTGCTCTGTCGGCGACATGTTCCGCAGAAGAACCCCGTACGCCATCAGGGACTCGTTGTAGTACTTGATTTTTGCGTCGTCAGTGTCCTCCGTAGGTCCCGAGTAGCTCCCGTCAAAGTAATGATAAATCTGCGCGTTTTGCAGCAGCAGCTCCAGCTCGAAGCTCCAAGTATAGAAGTCTATGCCGTCGAAGCACACACTTGTCTTTATTTTTGATATGCTCAAAAACCTTGTTTGCGCAGAGAGAATTGCTTCATCGCTGGGACAGGGAGTCTTGGGTGTTGAGCCATTTGTGTCAAGAGAGAAGCCTTGCGGGGCGGAGTTCTGGCCGTTTGAGGCCGGTTGAGTGGGTTGGGAAGAAGTTCCCGCATCGCCATTCCGCAATGTCTGGAGTCCTTGCTCCAGGCTCGTGAGTCGCTGAAGCAGTTGTGCGAGGACGGCGGAAGGGATCGTCGTCGTTTCCTCGCTTGTCGCAGCCGGGTTGGGCTGCGCTTCAGCCGTCAGATTCGTCTGACCTCCAGATCCTCCGGCCATTCTTACACGCGATCGTGTGCCGGACGCCACTTTCCGAATGTCGCAGATTTCGGAGATGGCGGTGCGAAGGATTCCTGAGTCGCTCTCATACCATGTTGCGATCGGAAGTTGATCGTAGCCAGGATCACCTCAGGAAGGTTCGCACACTTCTAATCTAGTGGTGGTGGGCCCTTGACCTCAATAGCAGAGTGAATGTAAATGCTTGAGATAATAAAAACATGCAGTACAAGGAATATAAATATGAGTACAGGGGAATTCGAAACGACCTAGCTAGCCATGTACTCTAAGAGGTACATTCCCTTATTACAGCGAAATCCAACCGTGCGACTCCGGGTGGTTACGGAACTGTTCGGGCAGAATCCTCGCCATTGCTGCTGCCTGATGCTGTCTGCCCGACGGTCCAGATGCTCCTCGTAACCGTCTGTCCCTTCGCATTACTTCTGCCTTTTCGTATTCACTCTCGATACTGCGTGCTTCGGCTTTGCCACGGTGAGAAGTGACCAATAGTATTTTCACTAACCACTATTCGTAACACCACCCACCTCACCGTTCCTCCCCCCCCCCCCCCCTCTCTTCTTCTCCGCCCTCCTATAAAATACATACATGCCATGATGAAATGCCAGGGGCTATTTGGGGGTGAGTGATAAACTGCATGCTCTTTTGAAGTGTAGTTATCTGAAACTGGTCCCTCCTGTGTAAGCAGCATTCTCCACATTTTCCCTCGCCTAGCAATTTTGCGTTTACGCGGGAACCTCTTCGCGCTCAAAATGATGTCGGGTTTCGCGAGCATCGCTCGCAACGCCACGCCACGCACGAACTTCGCTATTCATTTCTCATCAGTGTCGCTTCCGCACAGTCATCTCCAGAGCAGGCATGTGTAGTCAATTCGCGGCTCGTCTCCGCGGCTCGAAATGTGGGATGGGAACCAGGGGAAATGGGTGCCAGCCATCCCCTTCCGCCACTCGCTCGCCTTGGTGTTATGTCGAATCGAAAACTGCAGCCCATCTACCGACCAATGCAAGTCCGCACGAACCACCCTAGCCCGGTTGAGCTGGCTCCGCCATGCGGCACTAAACCTGTTACACCCTCCGCTGCTGCGAAAGATTCAAGCCTGTGGTGCGGTGTGGATGCCTTATCTCCACATATGTTGGTCAATCACGTTGCCCGAAATCTTCACTCGAGAATTCGTGCCCGATAACAACACTCTCGACCTTCGGCCCCACATCCCCTCCCAACCCCATCGGCGACTTCTTTTGAGGCGCCGCATAGCACGCTAGGGTTGAACTTGGTCCTCGCCCACCGCCGTTGTCGGCGATTTCTTTTCACCACAGCCACCAGATTCTCATGTCGCCGCTGCGTGTGCGTGATCGAGCTTAGTCAAGGCCCTAAATCACTCAACCCTCAAACAACCTCGCGCGACACTAGTGGGAAACCAAAAAGCCGACCCGAGGACCGAGGAGCCCGAAGGGATCACTCTAGCCTCCCCTTGGTGTCTTAGTCGATAATTCCTAAACTTTAGTTCCAATACAGTAGTTGCTTCAGCAACCATCCCGGCTGCCACGCTCTAGTCAGGACTCAGCAGCCGTGCAGACTACTCGGTGCCTGTCGCCATACCCGGTAGATTCCCTCGACGCTGCTAGCGGCGTCCCGCCCCTCTCGCCCAGTCCTGTTCGCTTCACAGAAGGAGGCATGCTCTTTCAGCAGCCGTCACAGGGATAACAGAAGCCCTTTGCTGCTGGAAAACTGCACTGATTTGTTCGGGAAAACCCGCATTTAGGATTTGTGTCTGCCTAATCAGTGCGCACATACGGTCGAAGATGGGAGCTTATAACGACCACCGAAAGATTTCATTAGCGGGGACGAAACGGGGTTACTCAGTAGCGATGTCCACCGTCATCGCCGTCATTGCGGTCGTGGGAGTGTTCGCGCAGCTCGACGTTGCAGGAGCAGCAGTAACGCCTCAAGGTCAGTCATCGTTGACACGTCATCGTCAGCATTGTATGAGGTGACTTTTGAGTCGACTCAAAGGTCACCTTGTTCGCGCAGCTCGCCGTTCCGGGAGCAGCCTTAGCGCCTCAAGGTCAACCAGTCCTCAACACGTCATACCGAGTCATTATCAGCTTGTTCCTGGAGGAAATGTAGTTAGTACGTGAGAAGAGTTACGCATTTCGAAGATTGATGCCGTGCTTGCACAACTCTTTACTCTCACACAACGCACTCCCAATCCCCAAAATCTTCCGCTTCCCCCGAACCCAGCCTCACCCGCCGCCAACTCCGCTATTCCTTTCCCCCTCCGCGAAATGCGAAATGCGACTTCACGACCGGGGAGTGGCGGAAGGGGACCAAAGGATTTCCGCGGTATACGTCGCTTCCGGGAAAGCCCAATTCTTGCCCTTACGTGCGAAGATCACTTTTGAGAATTCTCAAAATTCCATTCCCCCCCCTCCAGTCCGGAACGCGAAATGCGACTTCACGACCGGGGAGTGGCGGAAGGGGGGGACCAAAGGATTTCCGCGGTACACGTCGCTTCCGGGAAAGCCCAACTCGTGCCCTTACGTGCGGTCGGATTTCGCGTGCGAGCGCAACGGGCGTGCGGACATGCGGTTCCAGTGGTACCGCTGGCAGCCCAGGCAGTGCATGTACTCCTACTTCAGCCCCTCGGGCTTTAAGTACATGCTCAGAGGAAAGGTGCGATGCGAAATTCTACAACATTTTTCACTCTCATTTTTATCGATCCGCCAGTCGGTACCTCTCACACTCCACTATCGTCTCATCCACTCCTCCCGCACCCCCACACCTCCCCCACGCCTCTTGTGCTCGCGGCGCAGAAAGTGCTGCTGGTGGGCGACTCGATGATGTCCAACTTCTACGAGGCGCTACTCTGCGCCATCCACATCGGCGGTTTCAAGGGCGAGGTGAGCTTTCAATGGGACTTTTCCGTCCTCGGACGGAGAATCGCGCTCGCCATTCACTCCCTCCCACCCTCCCCACATTGCCATGACCTCCCCAATTCCCACCCCCTTCCACTTCCTCCCTCCCCCTCCCGCCTGGCCCCCGCTTCCGCTCCCACTTTTATCTAGATAATGCACAACGTTCCCCCCCCATTTCCCCCCTCATTTCCCCCAACCCCCCCACTCCCCTCTCCCCGCTGGCACCTCGATCCGCCTTCCCCCTCCCTTTTCCCTTCCCCAGGCCTACCAGCGCAACACGGGGGGCGTGTTCGACATAAAGGGAGTGCGCTTCTCCCGCATGAAAATTCTCATCGCGCACCTCTATTGGGAATTTTCAAAGTGACTCATGCGTCCGTTCCGCCTCCCCATCTTCCCCTTCCCTTCCGCAGCCCTACCACCCTAAACCCTGAACACGGGGGGCGTGTTCAACGTTAAAGGCGTGCACTTCCCCCCCATGAACATTTCCATCGAGCATCTCTTCTCGCCCTACCTCATCCAAAAGTGACTCATAAAGCCCGCTCCGTCACCCCACTTCCCCTTTTCCTTCCCCAGCCCTTCCAGCGCAACACGGGGGGCGTATTCAACGTCAAGGGCGTGCATTTTCCCCGCATGAACATTACCATCGAGCATCTCTTCTCGCCCTACCTCGTCTACGCGATCACGCGCGGCGCCCAGACTGCGAGCGCGAAGGGCGGCCACGGCTACGATGTCCACGTGGACAAGATCCATCCGACGGTCGCGAAGATCCTTCCCGAATACGCCATGGCGGTCTTCGCGTCGGGCGTCTGGTGGCAGCAGAACGTTCCGCGCCGCAAGCAGCCGAACATTTTTTTCGTGAATAACTCCCCGAAAAACCTCTCGAATCTCGATGCGCACGCGTGGGCTCTCAATACGCTCGGCTCGTACCTAAAAACTTCCAACTACGGTGGCGTGCCGTATTTTATTTCGTTCTCGCCCCACCACGGCGGCGCGGGTAACCCGCAAAACGGAGTCTACCAAGGTACTTCAGTCGTGGGGAAACCTTCGTGGGTTGGCGCATGCGGAGCGGTGAAACCCATGTCCGAACAGCTCGCGATAAAGGATTACTCGTTATCGCTTCCGACGTCTGAAGCGTACATGACAACGCAGAAAACTGCTCTGATGGGTTCGACGTTACGGTTCCTCCAGGTTACCAGCCTGAGCGCGATGCGGCCTGATGCGCATCAGGGACCCTGGTTCAAGAGGAGAGCTTCGACCGGTCTTGGTTCGCCAAGTGGCAACGGCGAGTCCCCGTTTTCCGGGGATTGCACGCATTGGTGCTTGCCAGGTGTGCCGGACGCGTGGGTGGATATGATGTATGCAAACATGCTTCGAGAACCGTCATTGGCAGGAAAGAAGTAGAATACAAGATACCTAGCTTATGATTTGGCAGGGTAGAGTGCCCATACCTTTTACTATTCACCACAAGAGATTTGAATCATGAATTGGTTTGGACAGAGACCTTCAAAAATGCACGAGCAGGTATGGTGATGTGGTTGGATGGTGAGGTAGGGGGGGTGTGGTGAGCGGGGAAAGAGATTGAAGGGAGAGGAGGAGGGGGGGGGGGGGGCATTGAAGCTGCTTGTGGGGGATGGAAGGAAACAGACTGCATGGACCACCAGTAGGGGAGACAGAGAACATAGCAGTCTCTTTACATGATAATTGTTGTGCTTAACTGTTTCTGGTGGAGTATCTGACCCTAAACTCTTGGCCCAAAGAAAGGCACGAGGAGCAGAGAGGTGAAAGCTTTGTACTGTTGGTGGGGGGGAGGAGGGGAAGAGGGGAGGGGGGGGAGGGGGGCATGGAGTTGCATTGAGTTTAGTAAATGGCAGTCAGTCAGGGCTGGAGCCTGGAGGGAAAGACTTGGCATGGTGTAGGTGTTAGGCAAGTGGGTGCGACGGAGCGTTGCATGGGGGGTCATGGTCATGGTCATTGTCATGGGGTGTCTTCAATTATGAGGAGGGGTGTATGGATGGAGAAGACAAGGCACGTGGATGGAGAAGTGAGAGTTTGGTGCCACTTCCATTGAAAACCCCGTTGATGTAAGACACATGCTAGTAAGGCTACAATGGGGAGAGGAATGTAGTATGGTAGGTACTTTTGTTGTACATCATTTCGGCATCTACTGGAAACAAAGACGTCTTCAAAACATTTATTTTAATGGCTACAATGCAAGTGTACATTGAAGGTTACAGAGGGTACATAATGTGCTGGTTGCTTTCCGTTTGATTGGTGGTTTAGAGCTTCTGGCACATGTCGTGCCAACATGGCACTTCAGAACAAAGAATCGCACATGTGGCACTCTTCTGTCTTTCCATTGGTAGATAATAACATGAGCATGGCTAGCAACAAACAGGCAATCGGCGGCTGTTCCGTCCAACTACACCCAGTGGACAACAGCAATATGACATCACGCGTGAGTGAAACCGTAGCGCCTCCACTTGCCCTCTGCAACCAATTCAGTACAGACAGAGAGTACCGCCCTCCCTTCCTCCCTTCCTCCCCCCACACCCCCGAAGCCACTTTCCCCCAACCATTCTGCCTCCCCCCTCCCCCACCTCAGCCGCCGCCATGCTTTCTTGATTATTGGTGCATTCGCCTGGCCTGTGTTCGTGACCCCGTGGCGAAAGTTGCACTTCTACTTGGTCCACGTGGTCATTTGTTTGCGCACGCTAACCTCTCACGAAACCCTCGTGGTCGGAAGGTTCAATTCTATTCGTCGAAAAACGTCGCCGTTTCCGGCGTGATATCTATTCTGACCGTGGATCACACGCCGGGCCTCCAAAAGCACTCCAGAGATGCCGTCGATTTCGTCAGCTCAGGTTTGACCGCGTCGCGCTCGTTGACAACAAGATCACTGTAATCGCACACGTCCCGTCATCAACATCTGCGACAATGCCCCTGGTCGTCGGCCAATCTACGGCCTTCGCGCGCTCACATTCCCCCCAAGAGTTACCCAAACAGGCAGGCTCGACAGGTTCTCGTTTGGCAACGACCAAACGTGGTTCGCCCGCAAACCTTCTTGGCTGGGCGAGCTTTGGTTTCTATGAGGGGCGATCTGGTGGATTTGGCTCGGCCCGTAACGAACCCCCTGGCTCGGCACCTTCGTTCACATCTAGAAGCGTGGTTCGGAATCCGCTCGGTTCGGGACTGAGCCTAGCGAGCACTAAGCGCAGCTGGGATATAATCCCAAGGTGGAAAACTTTCATTTTCATTTTCTTCGTAGCTCGGTAGTTCCTGGAGCAGCCATCATTTGCAAATCGTCTTGTGAAGGGGGCACGTCAAGAGTGTTTCTTTCCGGGCTTGTGCCGACGATCTTCTACGCGGGTCCTTGGCGCTGTCAGTGCAGCCGCCATGGCGACTTACTCGGAGGTTACCACCGCCACTAACGGGCTGTACAGTTCCGTGTACAGTTTCATGTGCAGCGATAATGACACGGCCATGCTGACGTCGGCGTTCCCGAACATGACGGTCGGCGATGCGGACTTCGCGAGCTTCTTCTGCAGCAAGCTCGATCTCATCGCGGCGCAATTCCAATGGACGCAGCTTGCCGTCGACAACACGTACCTCCTCTTCTCCGCCTACCTCGTCTTCGCGATGCAAGTAAGTCGCGACGTTACCTAATCCCTACGACCTAATGGCAGGCTGCTTGCTGTCTTTCGTTTCTACCTTCCTCGACTCCCCGATTTCTTCCTGGTTGTCTTTTAGACTTTACCCTGAACTCTACAAAGGACTTACTGTGAACTCTTTTCCAATGATTTTGTCGCAGATTGGTTTCGCAATGCTGTGCGCTGGAACGGTGCGCGCGAAGAACACGATGAACATCATGCTCACCAACGTGCTCGACGCGTGCGTCGGAGGCCTCTCCTTCTACATCTTCGGCTTCGCCTTCGCGTTCGGCCAAGGAGGGACCAGGTACGTAGCAGCTACGATCCTGACACTTCCGAGCTTTTCTTTCAAACGCCGCATTGCCGCCCTTTTGCTGATCTCTTCACCTGAATTTATTTATGTAGCGTCCCTTGTCATTTGAAGTCCCGATTCGTTAACGAACTCACCCCCCCGTTCCTTGTTCCTCCTGCTCCCTCGCAGTAACGCGTTCATCGGAGCCAACTACTTCGCCATGTCGGGCCTGCCGGTGTACACGTCGTTCGACGCGCCGGGCATCAACTACATCTACGACTACAGCTTCTGGATGTTCCAGTGGGCCTTCGCCATCGCGTGCGCGGGCATCACGTCGGGGTCTATCGCGGAGCGCACGCAATTCACGGCGTACCTCGTGTACTCGACGTTCCTCACGGGCTTCGTCTACCCCGTCGTCGCGCATTGGATCTGGGCCACGGTACGAGTCCCCACCTAGTCAGGGGTCCTGCTCTCCGCTGTCCCTCTAATGCCTGCATATTTTCATTGCTTCTTAACTCACCAATATTCCGTGCTGTTCTATCTCCGCGCGTGTGGTGTGTTCCCCTATACCCCCTCCTGGTCGCAGAACGGGTGGCTGTCAGCGTTCAACACGAACAATCTCTTCCTCGACGTGGGCGCCATCGACTTCGCGGGCAGCGGCGTGGTGCACATGGTGGGCGGCGTCGCGGGGATGTGGGGCGCCCTCATCGAGGGTCCGCGCCTCGGCCGCTTCGACAAGGGTGGCCGCCCGCTCGAGATGAAGGGCCACTCGGCCACGCTCGTTGTGCTCGGCTCGTTCCTCCTCTGGTGAGTCCCAACGCTCAGTTGTGTGCTCAAAAATGTCCTCCTGGTGCCCTTGACTGGTGATTGATAAGATATATGCGTGGCCATTGGGGTTCTCGTTTTTTTCTTTTTTTTTTGGTAGCGAACTGTCGCTCCTGTCTCACTTCATGCCTGTGCTGTGTCTGCAACCGTACGGTGTCATCCTGACAGGTTCGGATGGTACGGTTTCAACCCCGGGTCGTTCCTGCGCATCACCATCCCGTGGACTGACGTGCTGGGTAACTGGTCGTGGGTGGGTCGCACCGCCGTCACCACTACTCTCTCGGGCTGCATGGCGGCCGTCAACACGCTCATCGCCAAGAGACTCCTCGCTGTAAGCGCCTCCAAGTTGCTGCTGTAGCTGCTTTTCTAATTCTAGCAATGTGCACAAAAAAACAGAACGGTGATTGAATTTGGGCTACCCCCTGACACGAAACCGATATGGGTGCTGGTTATATCGTGAGTCCCCCCCTCACCTTGTGTTAATCCCTTGTTTTTGCTCAGGTAGGTTTCTGGCGCTTGACTGATGGTTCTCTCCTCTCGCCCTTTCCCTCTTGTGATTTCCCTCCTGCAGGGCTGCTGGCACGTGACGGACGTGTGCAACGGTCTCCTTGGGGGGTTCGCGGCCATCACGGCGGGGTGCTCCGTGGTGGAGCCCTGGGCCGCCATCCTCTGCGGCTTTGGCGCCAGCTGGACGCTCATTCTGCTCAACATGCTCTCCATGAAGGTCCAGTTCGACGACCCGCTCGAGGCGACCCAACTTCACTTTGGCTGCGGTGCCTGGGGCCTCTTCTTCGTTGGTACGCTCCCTCTACCCCTTGCTCCCATGACCCCTTCTAGCCCCTGGTTCTGCCTCTTCCCCCTGGGCTCTCTGATCCATTGGGGGTGATTTAGGGAGCCCTGGGTCGTGGAGCCCTGGGCCGCCATCCGCTGCGGCTTCGGCTCCAGCTGGACGCTCATCATCCTCAACATGATCTCCATGGAGATTCAGTTCGACGATCCTCGGAGGCCACGCAACTTGACTTTGGCTGCGGCGACTTTGGTCACAGCCTAAGTACTACGCCTTCGTTAGTACGCTTTCTCACTCCCAGACCGCTCTTCCCCCCTCTTCCCCCCCCCTCCCCCCCCCCCCCCCCCCCTGTTTCCCCTTCTCCCCTTCGTGGCCCCCCTCTCCCCCCTTCGTGGCGGAGGACTACGTGATGCAGGCATGCGTACGTCAAGCCCCACACCATCAATCTCCTAACCGAACCTAACCCTTTCTCACCCCTCGGTTCTCCCCGCAGGTCTGCTGGCCAATAAGGACTACTTGATGCAAGCCTACGCCAAGCCCGCCACCACCCCGTACGGGCTCTTCTATGGCGGCGGCGGGAAACTTTTGGCGTGCCAGTGCCTTGAGATTGTCTGCGTGTTCGCGTGGGTGTCGGTGCTCATGGGCGCGCTCTTTTTCATTCTGCACTCGCTCAACCTGCTGCGCGTGCCCCCCGATGAGGAGATTGCGGGCATGGATCTGACCAAGCACGGGGGTTCCGCGTATAATGCCGAGGGGCAGGACGGGCAGGGCGTGCAGCTGTTTGGTCCCCCCGAGACCGGCGCTGCGAAGCCCGCGGAGGTTTAAGTTGGTGTTACAATTTAGCAAGCTTTTTTGGAAGGTTATGCAGGATAGTAGTAAGTTAATGATGGGCTTGCATTTGGAGCAGTTTCTTTTGGGAAGGTGTAGATCAATAATGCTTCTGTAATGCAGCAGGTTTAGTAATCTTTTGCTGAAATCTTTAATGCTGTATCTAATGTAATATGGCTTTTGGCTCTACCTGGATTGATTTCTTTTACATCAGTGTAGATAGTAGGATAGTATATTACATCAATGCCCAATACCGTACGTGGTTTGTCAGCCGTGCCAATCATACATAGACAGCTGGAAAAGATTTCTGGTGACCAGACCATCGTACTAATGTACCCTAAGGTATACCCGTCTGGCAAGCTACCACTGCTACATAAATACTTTATCCACCTCATCTGATAAGTCATTTGTTTTCACAGGCAACAAATTCTGGTCTAGTTGCTCAATTGACACTCATTCTTGCAAGGAAGCTGTGTTGCCAGTAGGCAATTATTTTAATACGGTACAAGTACACACAAATCTTAGTACAGAGAACATGGAATCCACAAACCAGCCGTTCTATCTACTCCATCCACTCCTCTATCGCTTCTCTGGTGTACATCACATGTTCCGATGCCAAGCTGTCTGCAAACCCAGAACCGAGAAGGGAATAGTTCCCATGGGATGATAGGTCTGGCTCTTCACCATTCCCCTGAAACGGAGAGCCCGGCAACAGACTAGCAACGGCATAATGCTGCTGCTGCTGCTGCCGTCCCACCACAGATCGTCCTCCAAGTTTCCCGCTGTCGTCAAAGTGGAAGGGATGAGAAGTGCTGGAGAGAAAACCAGCTTGAGGGATTACAGGAGACTGCGGCAGCACCTGAGAAAGAGAGCTGGCAGTGGCACCAGCAGCAGCATACGCCACGTGGGCAGGCACAGCAGGCGGAGGGAGGGTGACGTCAGCATCCCTCTCCAGCCATTCCAACCCCGAAATAGCGGATTCAACCGCAGAGTTCGAGAAAGAGCCTGAAGAGGAGGAGCCCTGTGGGAGCATGAAAGGCATTCCCGAGGCTTCAGTGGGAGGGGAGAGAAGGGTGGGGGACCACTTATTAGGGAGGGCTCCGGGGGCTTTAAGAGACGGGGAGAGGGCGGTGGGGGAGGGCAGCCACGGCAGCCATGGCTTGTCGTCCGGGCTCCAGCAGAGATTGCTTGCGCTTGCGCTCTTTTCAACGCTCCCTGTGTTGCCCTCCTGCTGTGTGCCTCCCTGCTGCTGCTGCTGCTGCTGCTGCTGCTGCTGCTGCTGGAGGAGGTGATTGGTGTTGAGGGGGGACGATCCCCACATCTCCCACTGCGCTGCTGCTGCACCCCCGCTTGCTCGCTGCTGCTGCTGGTGCTGCTGCTGCTGATTGTGGTAATGCTGCTGGATCTGCTGGTGCTGCTGCTGCCACTGATGCTGAAATGACTGCACGTGCACGGGGGCAACAGGGCTTGGAAGAGGCTTACCCGTAGAGGAAACAGGTGAGGGGAGAGTGTAGGAAAGGGAGGGGGAGAGCGAGGAAGGGGAAGGGGAGAGAGGGGGAAGGGAGGGCGTGGAGGTGGGGAAGGAGCTGAGAACAACGGGAGGGGCATAAGGGGATGAGAGGGATGAAGCGAAGGATGAAGAGGCACCGTTGCTCCTGCTGCTGCTGCCACTGCTGCTGCTCCTGCTAACTGCGTTGCTGCTGCTGTCACTTCCGCTGCCGCCGCCGCCGCCACTGCAGCTGCTGCTGCTGCTTTCCCACCCATTTCCCTCGCTGGTGTCAGAAGATGGCTTGGACTGCCGGGATTGGCGGGCAGCAGGCTTGGAGATATAGTCACTCTCACCACTGTCACCCTCGCTTCCTGCACCCTCGTTTCCTGCCGCCACGAGCATGAGCTGATCAATCAACTGCGACAGCTCAGGAGGGGTCAATTTGGTCAACTGAGTCAACTGGGTCAACTGAGTCAGCTGCTGCTCCTGACTCTTCTGAAGAGTCACGGTCATATTTTGCTGCGTAAGCTCCACGTCAGCTTGCACAGACGTGGTTTCGGCGTCTGACGCGGATTCTCCCTGGCGCGCGTCTGACGTGGCACGCTCGCGCCTCACCCGTCGCTGCTTCCTGAAAGCCCTCTTCCGCGAGCGCTGCTTCTCCGAGATTTCCTTCTCCTCAAGCAACCCGTCAATCAACTCCGGAACCTCTGCAACTTCCGGAATTTCCGCCGTCGCCTGCGCTGCCACGTCACTCTCCAACTCAGCCGCCTTGCTCTGCTCAATCGTTTGGTGCTCCTCCCTTTCTTCGTTATTATCACATCCGCTGTACTCCTCCGCTTCGAATTCAGCTTTCCCGCCGCGGCCTCCCTTGCCAAGCCGCGCTCCTTTCTTCCCCTTTCCGCCGCGCTTCCGCGTCCTTTCTCCCGCCTCCCTCGTGCACACATCAGCCGCTCCCTCCGCAAAAGCGGAACCAGAAATGGAAGTGGAAGCAGAATCCGAGGATAGATGCCGCTGAATCCGCATCCGCGATACAAGGAGACTCCATGCTGACGCAAGCATCCACACGAACATACGAGCGCAGACGGCCGGGATTTGGATGCAGGTGAAGAGAAGAGCCTTGGTAGTCGCGGCAGCGCGCCCGGCTGTAGCAGCGGCTGTAGCTGCTACAGAACTCGTTACAGTCGTAACTGTAGTTGTTACCGTTACTCTTACAGACACCATGAGCTGCCAGCACGAGCGAGTGACGGCGCTTCTTGCGGAACTGAGGCCGTGTCGCAAGCCTTGCGAAGCGGACGTCGCCTTCTCGCAGGCGAGTCTTCGCAAACACTGAAGATTTTCGCCAAAGCTTTGCGTCATACTTCTGGTAACCACCTCGTCTTCGCCACATAGCGTTGCTGCACATGAGTTGGTAATACCCGGGCTGGTTACCATCTCCGTGCGCGATGTTCGCAAATTCCCAGCATCGCTGCCACTGCGCGTTCTCCGCGCCTCCACCGCCTGCAACATGCGGCGCTTGCGGTTGAAACTCTCGCGCTTCGCCTGTATCGTCTGCAGGCCGGGGAGGTAACACGTGTACCAAACAAGAGCAATCGCTTGCGCGACGAGCATCGGCGGAGAGGTAAGATCGATGAGCGATCCGACAGGAAGAAGCAGCAGCGGGACGCCGAAGCTGGCTAGGACGAGGATGAAGCGCGGGATAAAGAAGAGGAACTTGACGAGAAAGTCTAGAAGCGCGCACGCGAGGCAGATGCTGACGGTACGGCCGCCATAGGTGACGGAGAAAACGATTGAGTGCTGCCGCGAACAGAGATTCGCGCGGCTGGGAGATGACGTGGACGTGGTGAGGATGGAGCGCGGCGGGTCTTGAGATGACGTGAGGGAGGAGGACAGCTGTGCAGGCGCCATTGGAACTAATTGATATCTGAGAATTTCTCTGGTAGTTGCTAAGGTGTTTTGGAGAAAAGAGTCGCTGGTAGATAGACTAGACTGCTGTGCTCTTAAAAATATGAGCTGATGGTGGGAAGCCGAATCTGGGACGGATCGACGGGACGAAACCCTTGCTCTAGAATTGAACGGAGAGCGGTCTTTAGTACCCGCAGGATGATGGGAACGCGTTAGCCTGGTGAATGCGAGGTGGCGTAGAGAGGGAAGCAAGACGCTAGTTCCGAGAGCCTTTCCGTGAATGGAGATTCGTCCATGTGGAACGCGATGGGCGTTTGACGAGCGGCATTCACGGAAGTAAGGTCGAAGGTCTACCTAGAGAATGGACGAGGGAGGATATGGGAGAGGATGGGGGTATGGATGGAATTATTGAGGTGATGAATACATAATGCGGGTTTATGGTACGGTTATGCGTGGTTTGTTCAGGCTGGGATGGAATGGAACGCGTTGATAAAGCTGGGGGAAGGATAGGCGCAACGCTTGCCGAGTGCGACGAGGGGCGAATTTGTTCCGCCGCGCGCGCGATCCGCAATGCGAGGTGTGCTGCTGCTGACTGGGATTTCTTCCCCGCTTCCCCGTACTACGTCCCCCCCCTCCAACCTCAGCTGGATTATTGCGGAGGAGCCCCTCGTGCATGTTGCATGCGCTCGTGCGCGCACCCATGGAACTGTTCTCCCTTGAGAATGCCGCGCTGGTAGGGCTTCCTGTGGAGGCGGACTTCTGCACTGACTAGCGGGATTGGTTGAAAAGTCTGCGCCTGCCAAGGCAAGCAGTAATTGCGCTGCGCTTGAGGCGGGTTTCGTCCCCCCTCCACTTCCCTTGCCTCGTGTCGTGACTCTCTCCCCCCACACACAGAAGAGTCAAGGGCTGAGGTTGGGGGGACATCGGGGGAAAGAACACATCGAATGTGGTCGAAGGCGGTTCGTTCAACGGCTGTGATCCTCCATGCGGATTCATTTATTTCATATCGGGCCACAGCACACACGTTTGTACACTGCAATAATGCAAACGGAGCCTTTTGCAGTGGGCAACAAAACAGAGAGAATTTCCGCGCTGACATCGCCCAACTGACGCGTTCAAATCTAACTTCTTCGTTGGCTCCGCCTCCAGCGCTAGCCACACCTGCCCCTGCGGGTGGAGACAAAGGAGCTTGACTCCGACGCGGACCAGTCACAGGGCAGAGTTCCACCCCAGGGCGGACGCTTCAAACTTCAAACGCGTTTCGCCCGTCTCGGTTGGACGGCGTGACGTCCGCCATCCCGTGGGTTCCGGTCCGCAGCACACAGCTGGTGGGGGGGTGGGGAGGAGGGGGTCACAATAATTGGAGTGGTCAGATCGCTAAGGTTTATTGATGTATTTATTGATGAAACATTAAGAAATATACACCCGGCACTGTAACAATTATAAAGGCATCCAAGCCTCATGTACGTGTTGCGATGAGCTCAACGGCGAGATCTCCAATTTCAAGACTTTGCCGCTTATCATGTCTGAATTTCTGAATTTCACCTTTACTCATCGCCACATCCGCCGCGTCTTCGCCTCGTTAACTCTACCAAACCACGTAGTATAATCGAACGCCACGATGAATGGCACAGGCATCACCGGCGCGGGATCGCAGAGGAAGTCGACGGGCAACGAGATGAGCGAGAAGCTGCTGCAGGGTTGGGCGATGCTCGCCATGCACTGCCCCGTCTGCTTCAACCCCATCCTCCGTAGCAGGTGCTGGTCCATCCTCGCTATACGTCAAGGTTCACTCGCTTGATGCGCATAAAATGTCATATTTATCCCGAAGGCTTTCAACCTCTTACAATCTCCCCACTCGTTCATCTCGGATCCCTCCGCCCCCCTTCCGCTCCCCGTTTCTTCCACTCATTCCCCCACACCACGCCCCCCCCACCTTTTCTGTCCCCCCTGGCCCTCTGAAACCCGAACCCCCTGTCAACCCCAAACCCCTCGTACTACGTCCTCTTAAACCCTCTCACGGGCTGTGAAACCATCAGGGCGGGAGAGAAGCGGTGCGTCGTTTGCGATCTGCCCGTCATAGAGGAAGCCGACGCGCCGCCCCAGATGACGTCAGCAGCGCCACAAGAGCCAGCTCAGCAGCAGCAGGGTGGAAGGTCCGAAGACGGTGCGGCAGGGTGGGAGAAGGAAGCAGAGGAGAGAGGCAGAGATCCGAGGGAAGGAGGGATGGAGAGGGTGGTCGAGGACGGGCTTGTATCGGGGACGCCATTAGAGAGGATGACCGGAGCTCAGCAAAGACAAGATTTGCCGCCCATCGGCCCAGTACTTGCAGCAACGCCTAGCACGGCAGCAGCAGCAGCTGCCACTGCCAATGCCACTCCCTCGGCGGCTCCCTCAACTGCTCCCTCGGCTGCTGGAGGAACGGCAAATGGCCCTATCGCTCCCCTCCTGCCATCCCCAAGTGCTCTCCCCGCCTCTCTGCCTGTCCCCGGCATGTTGCCCCTTCTACCTGGTGTACCGTCCTCCTTACCAGACACGTCCATGAGCGCGCTGAATGCAGCGGCTAATGATGCCCTTATTGGTGCTCTGCGGGCCGCTGTCACCCAACTGCAGGTGAGCTCGTGTTGCGAACCAGTCCGAACTAGGCTTTTGGCGATTGTTCTCCACCACTCACAGTCGTGTGCTGTGCTGCTGTTTCTCTTTTCCAGCACACTGCACTTGGATCACCGTCCCACAGGTACGTTGATGGTACTTTTGAGAATTCTCATGTGATGTGATGTGAGCCATGTGATGTGAGCCATGTGATGTGAGGCATGTGATGTGAGCCATGTGATGTGAGGCATGTGATGTGAGCCATGTGATGTGAGCCATGTGATGTGAGCCATGTGATGTGAGGCATGTGATGTGAGCCATGTGATGTGAGCCATGTGATGTGAGCCATGTGATGTGAGCCATGTGATGTGAGCCATGTGATGTGAGCCATGTCATGTGGCTCTGCTTCCTTCCGGAGACCTGCGAGCGCATCACAGACCCTTCTCCTCTTTCTCCTTCTCCCTCTTTTCAACCCTTTTCACCCCTTTTCACTCCTTGCCAACCAACAAGAAACTCCGATTGCTCCCCTCCAATCACATCCGACCGCTGCTTCCCGTCCCCGCCTCACCCTACTCTCTATCCCTACATTAATCCCATCACCCGTCCTGCTCTGCTGCATCAAGAACCTGGCCTGTTTTCGCCCCTCATCCTTGCAGGCAATCACATGGCACGCCTGTGTCCCTTGTGAGTACACAGGATGTCATGGCCTAGCCTAGTCGGTGTTTTGCTGACCTGGCCTTTCTTCACTTGGTTGCCATGACATGCGATGACATGACATGACATGACATGACATGACATGACATGACATGACATGACATGACCCTGTCCCTCACAGAGAGGACAAAAGGCCCTCGAGTGCACATCCGACTTACAGCAAACGCAACAGGTGGGTGCGGATTTTGAGTCAACAGGTGGGTATTCCTTCTGAGTCACTAGGTGGGCCTGCTGAGTCACCAGGTGGCTGTGCTGTGTCACCAGGTGGGCGTGGTGAGAGTAATCTCAGATTATGCGCAAGTTCCCCGACCTGCTTTCCCCCCATCACACCCCGCATCCCACGCCCTCACCATCTCACCCCCATCACCCCTCCCCCTCCCTCGACCCGACCTCACCGTCTCGCCCTTCCCCCTCGTGCCGAGAGTGCATGGGCCACCGACCAACGGGATTTTCGGTCACTAACTTCTCCATCCCTGTTCTCCATGTCCCCTCTTCCATCTCCCCCCTCGTGCATTCACCTGCTGCTAATGATTTCAGAGAGTGTATGCGCCACCAATGAGAAACCGAGGGTCATTCAAAGTTCTCCCCCGTCCTACCCATTTCCCCCCCCATCTCCACTCCATCTCCTCCCCGTGCCATTGTGCCTTCATACCCAGCTGCTGGGCATCATTGTGGAGTGTGCACGGGCTATCAAGGAAATCCAGCCTTTGGTTCGACCAATGTGACGTGACAATACAGGCAGCTGAACCTGCAACATGTTTCCATTATTCTGTACATCTCTTGTACAACTTAAACCAAAATGTATTATGTGTAAACATAAACAATTTAGCTATATTGTAATTAGCCACAGTACAGCGTTACAGAATGGATGAACTACAGCATCTATCCCACTTGTATTTGTAGTGCCATTTCTCTCCAGAAGACTTGTGCGTGCGCAACACAACACATTGCTACAGTAAATGTCTGCCCTGTGCAACAGTGGATGCCGCCCCCTTTTGAGCCCTCTTGCCCTCCACTTTGTACATCTCTTTTGTCTGTTTCTTTGCCTCCCTCGCCATCCGCTTCTGAGCCTTCACTGCTTCCTGCACAAGGTGTGGCAGAGAGAGGTTGGTTGTGGTGGAAAGAGGTTGAGTGAGAAGCGAGGGGTGACACAGAGAGGTTGGTAGTGGTGGAACGAGGTTGAGTGCGTAAAGAGGGGTGTTAAAAGTGAGGGGGGCATGGGGAGGAGATTGACGGGGTGAAAGCACCACTGGGTACTGAGAACAACACCATGCCCACAAAAAAAGGGGTAAAAGCACCATCACCCAAGCAAGGCAAGTACCCCGGTGTTACTTGTGCATTTATTCGCATACACTACCCCTCACCATTCCCACACTCCATTCCCATCCCTCACCGTTCCCAGAGTCCATCCCCCACCATTCCCACACACCAACCCATGAACCTTACACAGCGGCACCCACTACCTTACGTGCTTTCCTTCCCCTCAGGAGTCATTTCAGGTGCCTCAAAAGCCCTACCTTGCGAGCTTTCGTCCACTCAAGAGTCATTTCAGGTGCTTCATAAGGCCTACCTTACGTACTGTCTTCCTTCCACTCAGGCGCCTTTTCAGATGCCTCAAAAGCCCTACCTTGCGAGCTTTCTTCTCTTCAGGCGTCTCCTTGTCCTTCCCTCTCGGCCGCACAAACACAACACCCCCTGCCTCCTCGTCCCCGTCCTCCTCAATCCCCTGAAACTGCCCAACCATCACACCGCCACTCCCCTCCCTCCCCACTCTCCCCGGTACAAAACCAGCCGGCAGCTGCGCTCGCCCCTTCAGCCTTATCTCCTCTACCCCAATCCTCCCACCACCTCCCCCTGCCGCTGCCCCTCCTGCCGCCGCCTCTCCCGCCCTGCTCCCCTTTCTGCGGGGATTTAAAGGGGCTGAGATTCGTCCGGGATGGTTATCGAGGTTAGAGTAGGTGGAGACTATCGACTCGCAGTCCCACTTGCCCCTCTCCCTCTCCTCCTCCTCCTCCTCCGAAACATATTCCTCCTCTTCCTCTTCCTCCTCTTCCTCCTCCTCTTCCTCCTCTTCCTCCTCCTCTTCCTCCTCTTCATTCTCTTTCGTGTCCCCTGCCTTCCCACCCGTCTCGGCCTCACCAGGGGAAATGGGAACAGCCACTATCTCTTCCTCTCCATCCTCTTTGCCCTCCTCTCCCTTTCTTCCCCCACTTCCCTTCCTTTCCCCCTCCTTTGTTTCCCCACCCTCCTCCTTCCCCCCGCTCTCCCCCTTCCCTCCGCCCTCCCCCTTTCCCCCGCCCTCCCCCTTCCCCATCCGCACAACCGCTCCCCCCTTCCGCAGCTCCAGCAGGCTCTCCCGCCGGGAAGCTTCCAGGAAGTCGTCCAGCACGTTACTGAACATGGAAATGTCTGCATGCCCTGCTGCAGATCCCGCCGCCCCCCCGCCGCCCCGGTGGCCTCCGTCCTCGTCATCAGAGAAGTCGTCCACGTCAGCATCCGCGTATTCCCGTTCAGCCAGCTAGAGGCGTGAGTCAGCAGCAGGGTGGAGGAATGATGGCAAAAGGAGGGGCAGAGGAAAACGCAAGGTTTGGGGTTCAATTCGGGCTTAGGTCAAATGGGAAATTTCTCCTCTAAGGGCGCAGGGTTTAAGGTTCAATCCTGACATGTGAAAATGGACAAATTCTTTATGGGCGTGATAAGATTCGGCTCCCAACACCACTCAGCACCTCTCAGCATGACCTAGTACAGCACCACTCACCAGCATCACTTGTTCCTCCAGCGCTCTCAGGTTCTCCTCCGCCTGGGCGCGGCTCCTAGCCTCCTCTTCCGCCCTCCGCCGCGCCTCCTCCCCGCCCACCGCCGCCTCCCTCCGCTGAGCCTCAGCGCGCTCCGCCGCTTCCCCGCCAAGCTTCTCCCTTTCCCCCTTAGACCCCAAACCCTCAACCTCGCTTGCAAGGCTTTCCGCGCCTGGCGCAACGACCGCGTCCACTGCCGCTCCCCCGCCCGCCACCTCTTCCGCCAACTCCCCCCCCTCCCCTTCCCGCGCTACCTCGTTCCCCCCATCTTCCGCCTCATCCACCTCCGCCGCCTCCGCCTCCTCCTCCTCCCCCCCCGCCGTCGCCAGCAGCACAAAGTCGTCTTCTAGCTCTCCGAAAACATCTTCCCCCTCCTCCCCCTCCCCCGCTTCCCCCGCTCCGCCGTCCCCTTCTAGCAGCGCTAAAACCTCCGGATCGAGCCCTGAAACACCCAGGTAAGTTGCGCTGCCTTCCCCGCCCGCAGCTTCCCCCGCTTGCGCTGCAGTTTGAACCGCGCGTGCTGGCGCTGCGGCGGCTGTGAATCCCCGCTTCGGCCGAATCTCCTTGATGACGGATGAGATCTTAGCCACGACCTCCAGGTCAGCAACCGGCGCGTCGGCGGCTGCTGTCGTGGCCGCTGACGTGTCGGGCCGCACGGTAAGGCGCGTGGCTTTATAGATCTGCAGCGGGCGGATGCATATCAATGACGGGGATGGATATTCAGTACGCATGCAAAGAACGGCGGTGTCTCAGTGCCGCGCGCGGGGATTCGAAGCTGAGAGGGGGAGGACATGGCGGATAACAAGAGCAAACAGGACCGGCCGTCACGAAATAATAAATAAACAATTGCGCACCTTCACGTCGTCGGGCAGTGCGGCGGCGGGCGCCTCGGCGGGAACGAACGAAGCGAACGTCCTCGTCTGCCCGATCACCCGAAGGTGCTGCGTGTAGTCGTAACCGTCGTCGGGTAACCCTAATTCGACAATTTCGCGCCGGGCGCTCTCGGTGAGTTTTTTCTTGCCCTGTCCGCCGGCCACGCTCCCTCCTCCTCCCATCACGCTCTCCCCATCCCATCCGGGGGGCCCGCCTAACCCCAGCCCCGCCCATAAATCGCGGCCTCTCCCCCCACCGCGCCTCGTGCTCGCGTGCGACCGGCCTGCGACCGACGCCGCGTCGTCGCCATCAGTCGTGCGTGCGACAGCCTGCGACTGCGCTCGGGATGTCCTGCTCCCGGCGACGCTTCTCCCCTCCCCTTCCTCCTCCTCCCCCTCCTCCTCATCATCCTCCCCCTCCCATTCCTCGCCGCTATAATCCTCCGCGTTCTCCGGGATCGGCGGCTGGTAGTCGTCCGAGAATCCCGGAACGTGGTTGCTCCCGGGGTCGGTGCGCACGAATACGCGCTCGCCGGGCGCGTCGGGGTCGTTGGATTCGCGGTACATGAGCGTGAACGACGCCGCGCTCTTCTTGTCCACGAACTTCTTCTTGCGACCCATCGCTGCTGCGAAAAGAGCGAGCGACGACGAAAAACGGCGAAAGCGACGACGGAGAGAGAACGGAGTGGCGATCGGGTCGGAGTGAGTCACGCAGCGGAGACAGGGAGTAGTCGTCGAGTCGAACGGCTGTTATGCGGATTTCTATTTCGATATCAAGGTGCTGCTTGGGTTCCACTTTTTGACGGGGCTGGCTGGGAGGGAGGGTGGGTGGAACAGTGAAAAGGCTGTTCCCACCCTGTCGACGAAGGCGCAGCGTGCAAAATGCGAGCTGCGTGGGGTTTAGAATAGGGGCGAATGTTTTTCGCGGATTTTATTGTTACCATTCACGAACTAAGATGGTAACTTCGCTGTGCGGATTCCCAGTTGTTGGGAGGGAAGAAGGGCTCGGTGGATATCCACATTTGGGAGATTCGTGGTCCCCAATCTTTGCGAAAAATGATGGCAAACCGTTTCGCGAAAACCACCGTGCCCCACTCCACCCCACACGACGCAACATTCCTCGTTGACATTTTTCGTTTTGCTAAACCCGTTTCGCAAAGAACCGAGATCCTTCTGATCCTCCACAGCTTCCCTCGCCATATACCCACCCCCATAACTAATCTCCCCCTCTTTTTCGCTCCTTAGCTTTCTGCTTTCGCTGCTCCCCGCCTCCCGGCGTCGCGACCTCGTTGTCTGGTTAAAGCGGTAGCTCCGTCCAGCTACCCACCTTGTCGGCCTCTCCGGCGCGACTTGGGCCTTTCTGGGCTTCTCAGGTCCCGTACATACCTCCTTTTATTCGCTAGATTTATATCAAAACACGCGTGTTTTTTTAGCCCGTAAGTAAGTAGAAGTAAAGCAAGCTAGCAGCCATGGGTTTCAAGGGGACTAAGGCGGAGAAGAAGCAGGCGTACGACAAGAAGGTGTCGCTGATGCTGGAGGAGTTCTCCAAGGCGCTGATCTGCAAGGCGGACAACGTGGGGTCGAAGCAGATGCAGAACATCCGCGCCGGGCTGCGCCCCGACTCGGTCGTGCTCATGGGCAAGAACACGCTGCTCAAGCGCACGATCCGCATGTACTGCGAGCGCACCGGCAACACCTCGTGGAACAACCTTCTCCCGCTGCTCGTGGTGAGTATGATAATGGTGTGATTTTCTTTTAGTTTCTCCCGCAGTGATCGTGCTCGCAAGAGAAGTCGCTGCTGAAGCGCACGATCCGCATGTACTGCGAGCACACTGGCGAAACGTCGTGGAGTAGCCCCTTCACCACCCTGCGTTCGGTTGGAGAACGGCTGGAGCACCTTGAGAATCTATATAACGTCACATATCATCACTCGCGTTCGTAACGTGTCGTGTTCCCTCCATCCGTACCTTGTCATCGTCTCTCCCCATCCCTATGGTGTCATCTCCTCTTCCCCCCAATCCGTACCTCATTTCTTCCCTGCATCCGCACGGTGTCATGTCTTCCATCCGTCCGTATCGTGTCATCGCTTCTCTCCATCTTACCGTGTCATCTTTCCCCCCAACCGTACCGTGTCATCTCAGGGCAACGTGGGGCTCATCTTCACCAAGGGCGACCTCAAGGAGGTCCGCGAGGAGGTCGCCAAGTACAAGGTGCGTTGCGAGGGGGTTCGGAGCGGTTCTGATCGGTTATGGGCAGCCAGTGCGAGGTGCTTCTTAACGATCTTTAGAGTTCTTTCGATATGTTTTAGTTGGGAAGCACAACGTGTGCTGCAATGGGATTCGGAGCGGTTCTGATTGGTTATGGCAGGTTTGAGGTCAGGGTAACCTGGGAAGGCCATGGTTGCGGCGGTTGGGGTTGGGATCCGGGAGGGTTTGGTCTGAAGGCATTAAGGTTCGAACTTAGAAGTCCTGGAAGGTGGGTAAGCGAGTTCATAACGGTTGCTGTGTACAAGATGGTAGGAGTCTCAAGTCACGCGAGTAATGACGCATTGGGATTCGGAATCTTCAAGTGTATATCTATCCATTATGTCGTTGAGTTGAGTGGATGTGGGTGAATGAATTGTTTTCACTCTGCCCTGAACCACTTTTTCCAAAACTTTGCCCTAACCAACCTGTTTTGTCCTATCCCTTCCCTCAACTCCTTCCGCCAATCAGGTCGGCGCGCCTGCGCGTGTGGGTCTGGTTGCGCCCATCGACGTGGTGGTGCCACCTGGCAACACGGGACTGGATCCCTCGCAGACTAACTTCTTTCAGGTGAGATTGCAGAAGCCGCGAACCCATGGCGCAGTGGCTTGGCATTGCTTTTTAGGCGCCTCAAAAATAGATTTCAAGGGCGCAGTGGCTTGGCATTGTTGCGGTCCGTGGGATCCGGTCCCTGGCCTCGCAACAATGGAGGCGCGGATCGTTGGCAGTTTTTTTTGTACAGATTTTGTATGTTTTTGTGTTTCGGGTTTCCGGTTACATAAATAAAAACGCAATTTTAAGGAAATGCTTCAAACTCACGGGTCCGTAATGATAGTCGCCGGGATTTCCAAGTGCCTGTTACAATGCGACCCCCCTTATTGCCTTCCCCTATTCCATCGTCCCTTCCCTCCCGTCATCCCTACCCCCTTCGCTCTTTAGGTGCTCAACATCCCGACCAAGATTAACAAGGGAACGGTCGAGATTGTCGCGCCCGTCGAGCTGATCCGGGCGGGCGAGAAGGTGCTAGCTCTAGCCCATCCCCCCACCCTCCTCCCCCCCTCCCCCTCAATCCCCCTTCCCCAGGTGCTCAACATTCCGACCAAGATTAACAAGGGAACGGTCGAGATTGTCGCGCCCGTGGAGCTCATTAGGGCGGGCGAGAAGGTCGGTTCGTCCGAGGCCGCGCTGCTGGCGAAGCTGGGCATCCGGCCGTTCTCGTACGGGCTGGTCGTCGACCAGGTGAGAGAGACATTGTAACTGGGTGATCGGTGCTTGTACGTGCCCGTTCTTCCCCTGCCATGCCACACCAACGGCCGCGCTGCTGGCGAAGCTCGCTCGGTATCCTCCCCTCCTCGTACGGGCCTTCTCGTAGTCGACCAGGTGGGCCTGGTCGGTATCATGGGCGTGATGGGCCTCTCTGAGCCTCTCTGAACTTGCATATGCGCGTCGATTCGAAACGAGGCCCCGTCCCTCTCTCTCGCTATTCGTCTGGCCATCCCACTGCTGTGCCTCCCACCACCCCTTTCCCCAATCCCCACTACGATACGTCGTGCTGTCCCCTCCCCTCCCCGCCTGGTTTTTGACTAGGAGAAGAAGTTCGGCCATTTCACCTCCTCTTCACCCCTCGGAACCTGGAACCCTAAATTCTGATCCTTGAACCCTGAACCTGAACCTGAATCTTCTCTCCCTTCCCCGCCAGGTGTTTGACGATGGTTCCACCTTCCATCCGTCCGTCCTGGACATGTCAGAGGACGACCTGCTGGGCCACTTCGCCTCCGTTTTACCCGTTCCGGAACCCAAAACCCTGAATCTCGAACCCTTCCATCTCTTCTCCTCCTGTGTATCCACCCCACCCTCTCTTCCCCGCCAGGTGTTTGACGACGGGTCCACCTTCCACCCCTCAGTCCTGGACATGTCAGAGGACGACCTGCTGGGCCACTTCGCCTCGGGTGTGGCCAACGTGGCCGCCATCTCCCTGGGCGCCGACTACCCCACGCTCGCCGCCGTGCCGCACGTGTTTGCCAACTCGTACAAGAACGTCATCGCTGTTGCGCTTGCTCTGGATGACTACACCTTCCCTCTGGCCGACAAGGTCAAGGAGATCCTCGCGGTGAGTCCTCCCACCTCCTTTCTCTCCGAGTAAGTTCCGCCTTGCACATCAGCCGGGTGCCCCCTGCTTGTCCCCTCGCCGCCGTGCCGCACGTGTTTGCCAACTCGTACAAGAACGTCATTTCGCTCTGGAAGACTACTCCTTCCCTCTGGCCGACAAGGTCAAGGAGATCCTCGCGGTGAGTCCATTTCCCCCCCTCCCTCCCTCCCTCGCTGTCGCGCTCCCTCCCTCCTCGTGCTCCCTCCCTCCCTCCTCGTGCTCCCTCCCTCCCTCTCGTGGTCCCTCCTTTCCGTAATTCCTGACCTGATTTTCTTTCAATACTTTCCACTCCTTGTCTCAGTAATCACTCTTCTTCACCCCCTTCACGCTCCTACTTATCCTTCCCCGATCCCTGCTTTCCAGGATCCTTCCAAGTTCATGGTGGCAGCGGTGGCGGCGGCGCCGGCAGCAGCAGCGGAGGCGGCCAAGGAGGAGGCCAAGCCGGCAGAGGAGGAGAAAGAGGAGTCCGACGACGACATGGGCTTCAGCCTCTTCGACTAGACGCACTGCTCGGCATTCGCGGACTAGATGTGCTGCACTGCAGTCGCAGGCTTTTGTCTTGTGGACTAGATGTGCTGCATGGCAGCCGTTGGCTGCTGTTCCAGCCTTTGGTTGAATGCACAGCTTCTATTGTATTCTGCTGCAGCAGGAAAATGTTTCGAGGATGGAGGAGAGGTGGTTGGATTTGAACCCATGTGCTCAGTGCTTGAAAAATGGTACCATTAGTTACGGATCTACATGATTTTACTTTCAAGGCGTAATCTACAAAGAGAAGGTTCCTTGCACATTTTACTTTGTTTTGATGAACAATCAGGGCCAACTAACTATACTTCTCTGTACCAGAGCACTGTCTGTTGTTTCCACGCTACATTTACATTCTCTTTCCTACGCGAAATGAGGAAGGATGAACCAATTTGGGCTTTCTTGACACCCGGCCAAGTTTAGACATCTGTTGCATTCTCCCACCTGTTCCTTGCCTCTCATAAGTTGAGGAAGCTGGAAGAAGGGAAGTGCCAATTTCAGAAGCAGTCTGTGTGTGAAGAACCATGGTACTGGTACCGTAGGTTGTAGAATGATATATACTGAAGCTTTCAATTGATATGAGAACAAGCGGCATGCTACTTTATGACTAAATGAAGAGTCCTTAGAAAGGAAGGTCCAATCCGTTACCAATTTCCACACCAATCAACTCAAGTATTCCTCTGCCAGCGACCTGCAGCCGAAGCATAGAGGACAAGAGTGCAGTTAGAATGCAAAACGGACGAAGTCTGTAGCCCATAGAAATGGATAATGACTTACAAAAACTGAAATGTTTCGACAATCTTGAGAGTTCAGGCATCCAACTCCAAAATTCCCACTGCAGATATTCTAATGAGCAATATGATATGGTGCTTATCATCCGCGTTCCCATTATAGTGCCAGCCGTCCTTTTGACACTCAAGGCAATCCCATGAACACCGCATCCGAACATAATGAAACAAGTTCATGCGGCAATTGATAAGATGCAACTCACCGCTTCCAAGATGATGACGCCGAACAAGCCAATCATGGCTGCTCGCGAGTTCCACGACTCCGCGTTCTCGGTGAATCCCCAGAAAGGCTTTGGAATGTTAGGCTCGACTTTTGGTGACGGGATCTGCGAGAACGGGGATGACACGGAGTGATAGAAACGGTAAATTTCAAGATCGCTACCTTGTGTAGCGATTTGATGTCAAGTCATTGAGCCAAATGACTAGAGAAGCTGATGCGCGTCAAACGGAGGCCACAGAGATGGATGAAGGATTGTCCAAGGTGAACTGACATACACGCTATGGGACGGGTGAAATGCCATGGACTGACTGACATGTGATGAATTAATTCCCTTAGACGTTTCCTGAAACGATAAACTCGAGTTATCGTGTGACGACAGTCACTGCAAGATTTCGCCGATGACCCGTTTGCCAGGTTGATCAGCAGCGCACACGTGACGTCAGGTCCCAAATACGATCGAGAGACTTTCGAGAGTTCGCAGGAGTCACCCCAATGTGAAGACGCAACAAACCTATAGGTATCGTTCCTTCTGCCTACATGACAGAACTGGTAATTATTAACAGTAGAATGCGCACTCACCCCAGCAGGAAGTTTGGCTGCTCGCACAGTCACTGATCGCCGAGCTGGCAACACAGGAACGGCTGCTAGACGTTGAAGTATTCTGAGGCTGGCAGTTCCAGAAGTAACGGAGAGGCTCGAGAGCGAGCACGAGGTGCACGTAGCCAAGGCAGCCATTTTACAAATCTACGTGCTGGCAATGTACGTGCTGGCCTGAACACCAGGAGAGCCTGCTGATGTCTCTAAGAATCAAGCAAGAGGAGCTAGGTACTCAAAACTAGGTATTCTCAGAAATCAGGGATGGAGCGGAATTTGACGGTTCACGAATAGTTTCTGGCTGACGGAATCAGTCAATGGGGTGACGACGACGATGATGTCTGTGGTGAGGGAGGAAAGACGCGGTTGGCTCACGAACGTCCGCGTGGTCGCTCCACACAGGCCGTGTCCGAATCACCTGCACTGCTGATGTGGCAGTGCCAGGAAAGTAATTTCGCTGGATGATTCGTCTGGAAGTAGTCCGATACAATGTGCGTCGTTATGTTCTGACAGCCAGATGTAAACAAACGAATCGGAAGTGGACAACGGAATTGCAGAGACAAAACACTATCCGTTACAGTTCATCCCGATATATTACAACAAGTTCAGGTCGTAAGCAATTTGTTTAAAGTGCACAAATGGTAGACCCAGTCGATCTCAACCGTTGGATAGATACATCAAACCCCCTTCCCTCCGAAGCCTTTCTCGCTCGCCCCTCTTGCTCTCCCCTGTCCCCTACCCACTCACAAATTCCCTTCGCTTCACGTAATTTCCCCTTTCTGCCCTAACAGCTCTGCAGCAGCCGCAGTAGCTCAGCGAACCTCCTTAGGCTCGCCAATTAGGTTTCCCTTGTCGCCCCCTCAGATACGCAAAGATGGTTGAGAAGAAGGTGCGCAAGGACGAGATCGTCACTCGCGAGTACACCATCAACCTCCACAAGCGCTGCCATGGCTGGTGCGATTTTGTCTATGTTCTTGCACTTCGCTCAGTCTATTAGCTCATCTGCTGCTTCTGGAAGCCATTTCGTTTCTTCTTATCTTATTGTGCTTTGGTGCAGTTGCGGTAGTGGTGAACGTTCTCTTGCGCGAGTCGGCAGGAGGGTCTGCTAGAATTAGACCAGTTTGAACTCTAGTTGCTGCCCGATGGACATCGTTGAGATAGTTCAGATTCTTGCGCTGCAATCTACATAGTTACGTTCGGGTTCCGTTTACAGATCGCTACCCTTAAACCTTCGAGGACCATTTGTGCGCCCTAGATTTCGTATCCGCTGCGTAGGAGGCGCTCAAATGAACGCCAAAACGACGTAGATAAAGCAAGCCTAACCGCCCAGGAGCATGGTGAAAAAGCGACCTTTGTTCGGTCACGAAGCCGTCGACGTGGCTTGGCGAAGTACCCATCACGCAGGATTAAGTTATCGTTATCAGGGAGATAACGGAGATGGACTGAGAGAGGGAGGTGCACCTTTTGCGTGCGGATGTGACCTCGTCCAGCTTGCCCTCATAGTTGCTGGACATATTACTTCCGTTTTAGCTCTATCGTGCAGCCGTCATTGTTCATCGATGTTTTAGAGATTGCAGTTTAATCGTTCTAGCGTCGTTTGGAGTTCGTTTCTATGCCCGTGTGCTAGTTATTGCCGTTGCTCACCTTTGTGTTCTGCTACCTTCCTGTATGAGAAATGGACATGGTTGGCTGGCTGCGCAGCGTTTTTCACCGTTAGTTCCTCTTTGTGTGATGAAGAGCTTGGCTATCATTTATCTTACCAAGATTCCCTTCATCATTTCCCACCCCTCCTATTCCTCTATTCCGTCTTCCTTCAGCACATTCAAGAAAAAGGCTCCCAAGGCCATCAAGGAGATCCGTAAGTTTGCTGCGAAGGCCATGAACACGAAGGATGTGCGTGTGGATGTGAAGCTCAACAAGCAAGTATGGTCACGCGGTGTGCGCAATGTTCCCCGTCGTGTGCGCGTGCGCATTGCTCGGAGGCGCAACGAGGATGAGGACGCCACTGAGGAGTTCTACTCCATTGTGACCGTGGCTGATCTCCCTGCTGAGGGCTTCAAGGGTCTTGGTCCCAAGGTGGTGGAGGATGAGGAGGCCTAAATGGATATATGGTTCAATATTTTTGCGTGTTTAGGTTGAAAGCAGGGGAGTTCGTTTGGATGGTTCTTCACACATGTTGCAAAAGCCAACTAAACAAAGAGGTTTTCTGCTATCTGCAACTCATGGGAGAATCACGATGACTGTCCAAGCAGCTTTTACATTGCACAATTAGGTACACCGGTTTTTGTCCTTGGGGTGTGGCAGTGAAACTAGAAAATCGGGACTATCCGTATTTTCCCTGAGAGTAAAGTGAATCAAGCACCGCTTTTATCGCGAACGCGCAGTTTCCACCGATCCCTTACTGTGGCCATCTCGCGAAGCATCGAACCGCATGCCACGTGAGCATAGGGCCACATTGCCTCATCCATTGACGCGTGTACACCACTTTGATTGGACATCAGGGATTTGGAAAACCGTACGCTGAATGTCGTACCACAAGAAGGTGTCAAGCAGTTGCTCGTACGTCTCAGCAGTTTCATTTCACGACATCAATCGCCTGTGTACGTTTCGGTCCGCCACCTCCTCGAGATCACCTGTTTGCCACCACTCTGTACCTCCTCAGAATGAATCTGAATCTTTCCTGACATCTCTATTTCCCGCCATTCCCACCTGTCACACCTTTCCAAACTGGTCCAGCAGTACGTTGTTTGGACCTTGGGATCCTCTGACTTCCCTTCCTCACAACATTCACTGTATTGGCCGTCATTTTCTCCAATTTCTCCCAAGAATCCCTCCACCTCCTCAGGACGATTGTGAGACCAGGCTCCGGTAGGGGAATTCGGAGGTTCCTCCTTGTTCCGAGGTCTAGACTAGAGGCGATATCGTTTTTGCAATCGAGTCCACAGAGTGAGTTAGTCGCAATATATCGCCGATCCTTCAGAGCGCTGGTCCGTCAAGCGCGGGATGAACTCGTCTGTTTCCTGTCACGCTGCTCATGCGCGCCTGCATTCAGTATCAGGTTCCGTTACAACGAATTTACCATCTGCTGCTGTAAAGACCTTCTCAGAAACCGTGAGGAGTCCAGGAAACGCAGGCAGCGCAGCGATGCACGGCCAGGTGTTTCCGCAGGTGCTTCCTCAGGCGTATCGCTGTTACTCCGCGGTAACCCCACTTCGTTCCCTCAGCCAATCAGCTCAATCATCAATTCGCGATTCAATCAGCGGAAGGTGGCACCGCCATCGCTACTCCGCCACTGCCACGTCATCCTTCACACGAGCCCACACCTTATCCAGAAAATTTACCTCAGCGCGTTCGGTCTACCTTAGGCACTCACAATCAGGCTTTCCTCCGCCGAGAAACTCCGCGTCTCGCCTTTCCTCGACTTCGGATAACGCGGTTTCGTGGCTTTCGCAGCCGAGAAGCCTTATCCCCGCTGCGATCAATGCTGCCGCTTCCGCTCCCCTCAATCCGCCTTTCTCGCTCGGTCACCAACTTGCAACCTTCGCCGGGTCTTCTCTTAAGTTGACCGCATCCAGCGCCGCCGCGTGCGCGTGCGCCGCGCGAGCCGCGGCAGCGCGTTGCTTCGCTTCCACGTGTCAATGCCGTGCCGGCCGGCCGCCGTTCGGGATAATTTCCCAAGCGCTGGTTCACGACGGAAGCGGCGGCGGCGGAGGCGGGGGATGGGGAATGGGGGGATTCGGGGGAGGGGGAGGCGGAGGCGGGCCATGGGGGCGCGGGGGAAGCGCGGGTGACGGATGGGGGGGGATGGAAAGCTGGGGCGGGGAGAGGCAGATGCGGACAAAAGCGGCAAGTGGGCACGTGGCGGCTGAATCAAGTTTAGGAGGAGGAGCTCGGGACACTGTTGTGCTGGATGTAGGGGTGAGTGGGGGGCGCAGCTGACATCACCTTTGAGAGTTCTCTAGAGTGATTCCAGCATAATAAAGTTTACGAGGGGGAGCTCAGAATACTGTTGTGCTGGATGTGGGGGTGAGTGGGAAGCATAGGCATGAAGAGACGGTAGCATAGGCATGGTGGGGGAGAGACGGTAGCGAGTCTGTCTGTAGCGGGTCGAGGCGAGTCTGGGGCAGGTGAAGTGAAGGTGGCACATTCTGGGCTTCATTTGTCGCCCTGAGTTCTCTCTTTGCGCTGGTTCCTACCTACCTCCGCTTTCTCTCCTCCTCTTGTTGCACCCCACAATGCTCTTCCCCTCGGCCTTCGCCTTTCTTCTTCACCCAACTCTTCGCCCTGCGATTCTTAACCATGCATCCACCTACCACACTCCCCTCCTGGGCCCCGCACACTCCCCCCACATACCCAACTTTCTCCCCTCCCCTCCTACCCTCCCCAGGGCGTATCGGCTTTGAGAATTCTCAGAAGTGATACAAGCGTATCCCCCTACCCACCCCTCCCCTCCCCTCCCACCCCACCCTTCCCCTCCCCACCCCTCCCCTCCCCTCCTCCTTCTCCCCCTCCTCCACCCCTCCCCAGGGCATGTCGTGTGGCAGCTGTGCTGCTTCAGTGAAGAACATTCTCGAGTCGCAGGTGAGGCAGGTTCGCAATTGCTGGTGACGTGAGAGAGCGCGCAATCTTGTAAGGATGGCCGATCCTTCCTGGGCATGCTCATTTCCGATGAGTCGATGACTGCTTATATCGGTCTGAGACTGAGAAAAGGGGGAGGGCGGCTGCAGCAAGCTTGCTTGCTGAGCTTAACGTGCTGATTTCTGAAGCTGACCTGACCTCACCACGCTCATGAATTTGGAGAATTCTCAAAATTCACCTGCAATTTCTGAAGCTGACCTGACCTCACCACGCTCATGAATTTGGAGAATTCTCAAAATTCACCTGCAATTTCTGAAGCTGACCTGACCTCACCACGCTCATGAATTTGGAGAATTCTCAAAATTCACCTGCAATTTCTGAAGCTGACCTGACCTCACCACGCTCATGAATTTGGAGAATTCTCAAAATTCACCTGCAATTTCTGAAGCTGACCTGACCTCACCACGCTCATGAATTTGGAGAATTCTCAAAATTCACCTGCAATTTCTGAAGCTGACCTGACCTCACCACGCTCATGAATTTGGAGAATTCTCAAAATTCACCTGCAATTTCTGAAGCTGACCTGACCTCACCACGCTCATGAATTTGGAGAATTCTCAAAATTCACCTGCAATTTCTGAAGCTGACCTGACCTCACCACGCTCATGAATCTGGAGAATTCTCAAAATTCACCTGCAATTTCTGAAGCTGACCTGACCTCACCACGCTCATCTCAGCTTCAGTGCAGCTGAAGCAAGCTGAGATGAGCTTAGCTCAGCTCATCCATGCGGGGGTGATGAGATGGTTAAGAAAGGATAACCTGTGCTGCCTATCGTGATCCACGATTGGATTTACACAAGATTGTGAGAGTGGGAGTTGAGTTGACAGTTTGTTTATCCAGCTCGCCGCTCAGGAAAAATGACCGGACCTTGCGGCTGCCCTTGCTGCCCTTTTGCATCGCGTGCTGCTTGCCTCCATTCCATTCCACCCGCTTTCTACGGTTTTACCCCTCCACCCCTTCTCTCTCCCTTCTCCGTGTCCCCATTTTCTCTGCCTTTCCCCTCCATGGCCCCCCACTTGCTTGTCTTTCGCTCTCTCCCCCCCATCCCCTCCTCCTCCTCCCCTCCCCTTTTTTCCCTGCATTCCCCTCCCACCCCCCTCCCAGCCTCCTGTGGTAATTTCTCGTAATTCTCAATAGTGGCACTACACTCCCATTCACCCTCCCCTCCCACCCCCCCCAACCCCTCCCCCAGCCTCCTGTGGTGTCTGCTTCCGTGAACCTTCCCATGGAGACGGCACTTGTCACCATCCGATTGGCCGGGGGCGAACCGCCGTCTGCTGATGCTACAGCCGCCGCCCCCGCTACAGCCACCACTGCTACAGCCGCTACAACCGCCCCTGCTGCTGATGATTCTGCTGGGGGCCTCGGGTGGGCGGATGGAGGAGCAGGGGCGGCAGAGGGGGGCGCGGCGGGGATGGGGGTGTCTCGGGAGTGGCAGGAGCAGAGGCGGGTGGAGGTTGGACGGGCGTTGGCGGAGTATTTGACCGAGTGTGGGTTTGAGTCGAAGCTCAGAGGTGCGTGTTGGGAATTGCCTTAGTGGCAGGGGAGGCAGAAAGGGGAATGGGAGCATTGAGGGAGTGGCAAGGCAAGAGCAGAGGCGGGTGGAGGTTGGACGGGCATTGGCAGAGTATTTGACAGAGTGTGGGTTTGAGTCGAAGCTCAGAGGTGCGTGATGTGTTGGGTAGTGGTGCAGGGGCAGGGGAAGCAAAAGCGGGAATGTGGGCAATGGGAGAGTGGCAGGAGCAGATGCAGGTGGAGGTTGAGTGAGCATTGGCAGAGTCTCGAACAGAGCACCAGAGGGTTGGAGTTACAGCTCAGAGGTGCGTGTTGTGTTGGGTAGTGGTAAATGAGCAGGGGTGGCAGAGGTGGGGGATGGTAGGGGTGGGTGGGAGCATTGAGGGAGTGGCAGGAGTTTGTAGCCTTTACTATTTCAACCAACACACCGAGTCAACGCTTTTAAGGCGTCAACGCTTCTCGTCAATCAGTGCATCCTGAAGTGTGTCTGAACCAAAACTCCATCCATACCTCTACTCTCCCCATTTTCTCAAACCTGCTGCTGTGACCCAACATGTGTAACGAGTCAACGATCATCCATGTGGTAACCGCAATTTGCCAGAAGAGTCAGCCAAGGGCTCAAGAGGCACAGGAGCAGAGGAAGGGCAGGTGACAGTGACGATTTTTGAGGCGCCTTGAAAACCTAACCCCACTCGCACCTCTCCCATACCAATCCCCCAGAGGAGTCAGCCAAGGGTTCAAGAAGCGCAGCAGCAGAGGAAGGGCTGGTGGTGGTGACAGTGGGGCCGCAGGGAGAAGGGCTGGAGGAGGGGGAGGCGGGAGGGCCGTCTGCTGCTTCTACCGGTGGTGTTGCTGGTGCCAGAGTTTCGGGTCGAGCAGCGTCAGCTATTGAGTCCAAGAGGGAGGAGCGCGTGAAAAGGCTGAAAGACAGTGGTGAGTGTTCCTTGCTAGCAGCTCGTCCATCTGTAAGTGCACTGTGTGCATCTAAGTGCTTCTTTTCTGCAAGAGCTGACCAGTTGGTTCTTCCGACAGTGGCAATTTCGAGCAGAGTTTTGCCCTACTCCCCTTCCCCTCTTCCCTTGTGCCGTCCAGCTCCCAGCTCCAGATTGTTGGCTCAGTGAAATGGTTTTGTAGCTCTCCCCGTTTACTTCCCCCCCCCCCTTCCCTGTTCCCCTCCCAGGCCGTCGGCTCCTGGTGGCGTCTGCGCTGGCAGCGGCGTGTCTGGTTGGCCACGCCTCGCACATGCTGCAGGCCTCCTCCCTCTCCTGGAAGCTGTTGAGTTGACTCACCCGCCTCCCATTCTTTACCCCCACTCTGCCCCCCCCAGGCCGGCGGCTCTTGGTGGCATGGGCGCTGGCAGCAGCGTGTCTGGTGGGGCACGCCTCGCATAAGCTACAGGCCTCCTCCCTCACCTCGCCATCCCTTTCCCCTTTTACTCTCCTTTGCCCCACCTCTTAACGCCCACTCTTTACCGCCACTCTGTTTCCTGCCCAGGCCGGCGTCTCCTGGTGGCGTGGGCACTCGCAGCGGCTTGCCTGGTGGGGCATGCGTCGCACATGCTGCAGGCCTCCTCCCTTGCCTGGAAGCTTCCTGCCTGGACCCACGCCCTGCACTCCACACCCGTGCACGCACTGCTCTCCCTCACTGCTCTCCTTGGCCCCGGTCGCAAGTGAGTGTAAAGCTTGAGTGCACTCTCGTCTTCCCCCTTTCCTCGCCTGGAAGCTGCCTGCCTGGACGCACGCCCTTCACTCCACGCCCGTGCACGCTCTACTTTCCCTCACTGCCCTCCTCGGGCCTGGCCGCAAGTGAGTATGAAGCTAGGGTGCACAATCGTCGCGTGTCCTCTCCCCCCCCCTCCCACCTGCACTCCACGCCCGTGTGCGTTCTCCTCTCCCTCACCGCCCTTCTTGGGCCGGTCACAAGTGAGTGTGAGGCTAGGGTGGCCATCGTCGCTTCTCCTATCCCCTCCTCTCCCGCCTGCTCTTCACTCCACGCCCTTCACGCCACGCCCTTCACGCCACGCCCTTCACGCCACGCCCTTCACGCCACGCCCTTCACGCCACGCCCTTCACGCCACGCCCTTCACGCCACGCCCTTCACGCCACGCCCTTCACTCCACGCCCTTCACGCCACGCCCTTCACGCCACGCCCTTCACTCCACGCCCTTCACGCCACGCCCTTCACGCCACGCCCTTCACTCCACGCCCTTCACGCCACGCCCTTCACTCCACGCCCTTCACTCCACGCCCTTCACGCCACGCCCTTCACGCCACGCCCTTCACTCCACGCCCTTCACGCCACGCCCTTCACTCCACGCCCTTCACTCCACGCCCTTCACGCCACGCCCTTCACGCCACGCCCTTCACGCCACGCCCTTCACGCCACGCCCTTCACGCCACGCCCTTCACGCCACGCCCTTCACGCCACGCCCTTCACGCCACGCCCTTCACGCCACGCCCTTCACGCCACGCCCTTCACGCCACGCCCTTCACTCCACGCCCTTCACGCCACGCCCTTCACGCCACGCCCTTCACTCCACGCCCTTCACGCCACGCCCTTCACTCCACGCCCTTCACTCCACGCCCTTCACGCCACGCCCTTCACGCCACGCCCTTCACTCCACGCCCTTCACGCCACGCCCTTCACTCCACGCCCTTCACTCCACGCCCTTCACGCCACGCCCTTCACGCCACGCCCTTCACGCCACGCCCTTCACGCCACGCCCTTCACGCCACGCCCTTCACGCCACGCCCTTCACGCCACGCCCTTCACGCCACGCCCTTCACGCCACGCCCTTCACTCCACGCCCTTCACGCCACGCTTCACTCCACGCCCTTCACGCCACGCCCTTCACGCCACGCCCTTCACTCCACGCCCTTCACGCCACGCCCTTCACTCCACGCCCTTCACTCCACGCCCTTCACGCCACGCCCTTCACGCCACGCCCTTCACTCCACGCCCTTCACGCCACGCCCTTCACTCCACGCCCTTCACTCCACGCCCTTCACTCCACGCCCTTCACTCCACGCCCTTCACTCCACGCCCTTCACTCCACGCCCTTCACTCCACGCCCTTCACTCCACGCCCTTCACGCCACGCCCTTCACTCCACGCCCTTCACGCCACGCCCTTCACGCCACGCCCTTCACTCCACGCCCTTCACTCCACGCCCTTCACTCCACGCCCTTCACTCCACGGCCTGACATCACCTGCCCTATTCCCTCCCACCTTCTCCCTCCTTGCAGCTTGCTGCAGGACGGGTGGAGCAGCCTGGGGAGGGGGGCGCCCAACATGAACACTCTCGTCTGCATCAACTTGCTCACATGCCCTTCTCCCCCCCCCCTCTTTCTACCCTCCCGCCTCCTTCCCCTCCTTTCCCTCCTTTCCTCCCACGCCATCTCAGGCTGCTGCAGGACGGGTGGAGCAGCCTGAGGAGGGGGCCGCCCAGCATGAACACTCGCGGCAGCCTCGGCATCTCACACGCTCTTCCCCTCGCCCCCACTGCCCCGACACTCCCTGCCTATCCGCTCTTCCCCTCCTGCCTGCCACTTTCCTCCCCTGCTCCCCCCGCTTCCCCCATCCCCTCTGCCCAGGCTGCTGCAGGATGGGTGGAGCAGCCTGAGTCGAGGAGCCCCCAGCATGAATGAACACCTCGCATCAACCTCTCTGTTGCACCCCTCCGCTATTCCACCTGCCCGCACCCCCACTTGCTCTCACTACCCGCTCCCCTCCCTCCTCGCGCTACAGGCTGCTGCAGGACGGGTGGAGCAGCCTGAGTCGAGGAGCGTGAACACCTCGCATCACCCACCACGACCCCTCACACGCGCTGGGAGGCTTTTCGGAAGCTAAGGGTTTTTCAGATCTTCGAACATGAGTCAAGGAGTCGAGGAGCGTGAACACCTCGCATCACCCACCACGACCCTTCACACGCGTGCCCTTCTCTCCCCCACTGCGCTGCCATCCCCTGCCCCCTCCCCCAACCCTCTCTTTTCTCCCTCCGCGGCTCCGCCCAGGCTGCTGCAGGACGGGTGGAGCAGCCTGCGGCGAGGTGCGCCCAACATGAACACTCTCGTCAGCCTGGGGGCTGTCTCGTCCTTTGCTGTCAGCGCTGTCGCTGCTGCCGTGCCAAAGCTGGTGAGATGATTGAGCCGTGCCATGCCAAAGCTGGTAAGTTCACTAAGCACATAGAGAGAAATCTCACCCTGCTCTGCTCGCTCGTCAGCCTGGGTGCCGTCTCCTCCTTTGTTGTCAGCGCTGTCGCTGCTGCCGTGCCAAAGCTGGTGAGATTACTAAGCACATAGAGAGAAATCTCATGTTACTCTGCTCGCAAGTCAGCCTGGGGGCTGTCTCTTCCTTTGCTGTCAGCGCTGTTGCCGCCGCCGTGCCAAGTGTTGCGGCTTCTTCTCTTCCACACCACAGCCCTCCCTGCATGCTCCCCAGAATCCCGCATTTTCTCAAGAGCCTCCCACCCACTCATCTCCCTCGGCCTTTCCTCTTCTTTTTCCCTTTTTCCCCCCTCCCTCTCCTCTTATCCTCCCTCCTCCCATCTCCCGTCCTGCTCATCCCCTCCAGGGCTGGCCGGCGTTCTTCGAGGAGCCTCTAATGCTGCTGGCGTTCGTGCTGCTGGGGAAGGCGCTGGAAGAGCTTTTGGGAATTCTCAAAAGTGACTCCCTTTTCTCTCCCCTTTCCCCCTCCTTTGTTCCCCATTCCCCTCCAGGGCTGGCCGGCGTTCTTCGAGGAGCCGCTCATGCTGCTGGCGTTCGTGCTGCTGGGGAAGGCACTCGAAGAGCGGGCTAAGATTAAGGTGGAAATGAAGCGGGGGGGGGGGAAGGGAGAATGAAGGGGGAAGAGGGGGGAGGGGGGGATAGTCAATTCAAGGTAAATTAGTCTACGGAGGAGTTGCGCTGCTGGCGTTTGTGCTGCTGGGGAGGGCGCTGGAAGAGCGCGCTAAGATCAAGGTGGGACAACGCGGGGGGGATGAAGTGGGGGGGGCTGGGGGAATAGTAAAATCAAGGTAAGGTAGGGCGAAGAGGGAGTGTAGACGCCCCATAACTCATTTGTACTGCTAGGGATTTTTTTGGTCGACAGAAAAATCGCCCTATAACTCATTCTGAATGAGTCTCTCATGCTCCTGGGGAAGCCCTTGCAAGAGAGGGCCAGGATCAAGGTTGAGCAAGGAGGAGGGGGATGGCAGCTCTTTTATCCCTGCTGCCTCTCCCTCCCCTCTCTCCTCCCTCCCCCATTTCCCCTACCTTCCCCTCTTCCCAATCTCCCTCGTCGCATCATTTCCCCCCTGTCGTCCCTCTCCCCACTCTCCCCACTCTCCCCACTCTCCCCACTCTCCCCACTCTCCCCACTCTCCCCACTCTCCCCACTCTCCCCACTCTCCCCACTCTCCCCACTCTCCCCACTCTCCCCACTCTCCCCACTCTCCCCACTCTCCCCACTCTCCCCACTCTCCCCACTCTCCCACTCTCCCCACTCTCCCCACTCTCCCCACTCTCCCCACTCTCCCCACTCTCCCCACTCTCCCCACTCTCCCCACTCTCCCCACTCTCCCCACTCTCCCCACTCTCCCCACTCTCCCCACTCTCCCACTCTCCCCACTCTCCCCACTCTCCCACTCTCCCCACTCTCCCCACTCTCCCCACTCTCCCCACTCTCCCCACTCTCCCCACTCTCCCCACTCTCCCCACTCTCCCCACTCTCCCCACTCTCCCACTCTCCCACTCTCCCCACTCTCCCCACTCTCCCCACTCTCCCCACTCTCCCCACTCTCCCCACTCTCCCCACTCTCCCCACTCTCCCCACTCTCCCCACTCTCCCCACTCTCCCCACTCTCCCCACTCTCCCCACTCTCCCACTCTCCCACTCTCCCCACTCTCCCCACTCTCCCCACTCTCCCCACTCTCCCCACTCTCCCCACTCTCCCCACTCTCCCCACTCTCCCCACTCTCCCCACTCTCCCCACTCTCCCCACTCTCCCCACTCTCCCCACTCTCCCCACTCTCCCCACTCTCCCCACTCTCCCCACTCTCCCCACTCTCCCCACTCTCCCCACTCTCCCCACTCTCCCCACTCTCCCCACTCTCCCCACTCTCCCCACTCTCCCCACTCTCCCCACTCTCCCCACTCTCCCCACTCTCCCCACTCTCCCCACTCTCCCCACTCTCCCACTCTCCCCACTCTCCCCACTCTCCCCACTCTCCCCACTCTCCCCACTCTCCCCACTCTCCCCACTCTCCCCACTCTCCCCACTCTCCCCACTCTCCCCACTCTCACCCACTCTCCCCACTCTCCCACTCTCCCCACTCTCCCCACTCTCCCCACTCTCCCCACTCTCCCCACTCTCCCCACTCTCCCCACTCTCCCACTCTCCCCACTCTCCCCACTCTCCCCACTCTCCCCACTCTCCCCACTCTCCCCACTCTCCCCACTCTCCCCACTCTCCCCACTCTCCCCACTCTCCCCACTCTCCCCACTCTCCCCACTCTCCCCAGCTCTCCGCCACTCTCCCCACTCTCCCCCACTCTCCCCACTCTCCCCACTCTCCCACTCTCCCACAAACTCTCCCCACTCTCCCCACTCTCCCCACTCTCCCCACTCTCCCCACTCTCCCACTCTCCCCCACTCTCCCCACTCTCCCCTCTCCCCACTCTCCCCACTCTCCCCACTCTCCCCACTCTCCCCACTCTCCCCACTCTCCCCACTCTCCCCACTCTCCCCACTCTCCCCACTCTCCCCACTCTCCCCACTCTCCCCACTCTCCCCACTCTCCCCACTCTCCCCACTCTCCCCACTCTCCCCACTCTCCCCACTCTCCACCACTCTCCCCACTCTCCCCACTCTCCCCACTCTCCCCACTCTCCCCACTCTCCCCACTCTCCCCCACTCTCCCCACTCTCCCCACTCTCCCCACTCTCCCCACTCTCCCCACTCTCCCACTCTCCCACTCTCCCCACTCGTCCCCACTCTCCCCACTCTCCCCACTCTCCCCACTCTCCCACTCTCCCCACTCTCCCCACTCTCCCCACTCTCCCCACTCTCCCACTCTCCCCACTCTCCCCACTCTCCCCACTCTCCCCACTCTCCCCACTCTCCCCACTCTCCCCACTCTCCCCACTCTCCCCACTCTCCCCACTCTCCCACTCTCCCCACTCTCCCCTCCCCACTCTCCCCAACTCTCCCCACTCTCCCCACTCTCCCCACTCTCCCCACTCTCCCCACTCTCCCCACTCTCCCCACTCTCCCCACTCTCCCCACTCTCCCCACTCTCCCCACTCTCCCACTCTCCCCACTCTCCCCACTCTCCCCACTCTCCCCACTCTCCCCACTCTCCCCACTCTCCCCACTCTCCCCACTCTCCCCACTCTCCCCACTCTCCCCACTCTCCCCACTCTCCCCACTCTCCCCACTCTCCCCACTCTCCCCACTCTCCCCACTCTCCCACTCTCCCCACTCTCCCCACTCTCCCCACTCTCCCACTCTCCCCACTCTCCCCACTCTCCCCACTCTCCCCACTCTCCCACTCTCCCCACTCTCCCCACTCTCCCCACTCTCCCCACTCTCCCCACTCTCCCCACTCTCCCCACTCTCCCCACTCTCCCCACTCTCCCCACTCTCCCCACTCTCCCCACTCTCCCCACTCTCCCCACTCTCCCCACTCTCCCACTCTCCCCACTCTCCCCACTCTCCCCACTCTCCCCACTCTCCCCACTCTCCCCACTCTCCCCACTCTCCCCACTCTCCCCACTCTCCCACTCTCCCCACTCTCCCACTCTCCCCACTCTCCCCACTCTCCCCACTCTCCCCACTCTCCCCACTCTCCCCACTCTCCCACTCTCCCCACTCTCCCCACTCTCCCCACTCTCCCCACTCTCCCCACTCTCCCCACTCTCCCCACTCTCCCCACTCTCCCCACTCTCCCCACTCTCCCCACTCTCCCCACTCTCCCCACTCTCCCCACTCTCCCCACTCTCCCCACTCTCCCCACTCTCCCCACTCTCCCCACTCTCCCCACTCTCCCCACTCTCCCCACTCTCCCCACTCTCCCCACTCTCCCCACTCTCCCCACTCTCCCACTCTCCCCACTCTCCCCACTCTCCCCACTCTCCCCACTCTCCCCACTCTCCCCACTCTCCCCCACTCTCCCCACTCTCCCCACTCTCCCCACTCTCCCCACTCTCCCCACTCTCCCCACTCTCCCCACTCTCCCCACTCTCCCCACTCTCCCCACTCTCCCCACTCTCCCCACTCTCCCCACTCTCCCCACTCTCCCTCTCCCACCTCTCCCCACTCTCCCCACTCTCCCCACTCTCCCCACTCTCCCCACTCTCCCCACTCTCCCCACTCTCCCCACTCTCCCCACTCTCCCCACTCTCCCCACTCTCCCCACTCTCCCCACTCTCCCCACTCTCCCCACTCTCCCCACTCTCCCCACTCTCCCCACTCTCCCCACTCTCCCCACTCTCCCCACTCTCCCCACTCTCCCCACTCTCCCCACTCTCCCCACTCTCCCCACTCTCCCCACTCTCCCACTCTCCCCACTCTCCCCACTCTCCCCACTCTCCCCACTCTCCCCACTCTCCCCACTCTCATCCCCACTCTCCCCACTCTCCCCACTCTCCCCACTCTCCCCACTCTCCCCACTCTCCCCACTCTCCCCACTCTCCCCTCTCCCCACTCTCCCCACTCTCCCCACTCTCCCCACTCTCCCCACTCTCCCCCACTCTCCCCACTCTCCCCACTCTCCCCACTCTCCCCACTCTCCCCACTCTCCCCACTCTCCCCACTCTCCCCACTCTCCCCACTCTCCCCACTCTCCCCACTCTCCCCACTCTCCCCACTCTCCCCACTCTCCCCACTCTCCCCACTCTCCCCACTCTCCCCACTCTCCCCACTCTCCCCACTCTCCCCACTCTCCCCACTCTCCCCACTCTCCCCACTCTCCCCACTCTCCCCACTCTCCCCACTCTCCCCACTCTCCCCACTCTCCCCACTCTCCCCACTCTCCCCACTCTCCCCACTCTCCCCACTCTCCCCACTCTCCCCACTCTCCCCACTCTCCCCACTCTCCCCACTCTCCCCACTCTCCCCACTCTCCCCACTCTCCCCACTCTCCCCACTCTCCCCACTCTCCCCACTCTCCCCACTCTCTCCCACTCTCCCCACTCTCCCCACTCTCCCCACTCTCCCACTCTCCCCACTCTCCCCACTCTCCCCACTCTCCCCACTCTCCCCACTCTCTCCACTCTCCCCACTCTTCCCCCCACTCCCACTCTCCCCACTCTCCCCACTCTCCCACTCTCCCCACTCTCCCCACTCTCCCCACTCTCCCCACTCTCCCCACCTCTCCCCACTCTCCCCCACTCTCCCCACTCTCCCCACTCTCCCCACTCTCCCCACTCTCCCCACTCTCCCCACTCTCCCCACTCTCCCCACTCTCCCCACTCTCCCCACTCTCCCCACTCTCCCCACTCTCCCCACTCTCCCCACTCTCCCCACTCTCCCCACTCTCCCCACTCTCCCCACTCTCCCCACTCTCCCCACTCTCCCCACTCTCCCTCCCAGGCAACCAGCGACATGGCGGCTCTCCTATCCCTGCTGCCCCCTCAAGCCCGTCGCATCGTCCCCTCCTCGCCCTCACCACCCTCCACTCCTGCTGCTGCCACAACACGCCCTGCAACCGCATCATCAGCAGCAGAATCAGCAGCAGCAGCGGCAAGCAGCAGTTTCAGCGATGCAGCAACGGAGGTGGTGCCAATAGAGGCGATCCAAGTGGGCGACCGAGTGCTCGT